AATTTTTCAAGAAGGTTAGCTAACCTTCTCACTTCTGCCCAATCAGATGAAGTAGGTACTCCCGGCCCCGTATTTTTCTCCCCAGGAACCTTTTTAAGAGTCTCCTTAAAATGTGGTTCGACAGATTCATACCTTCTAAATGCCCTTTCATACTTCTCAGCAGTTTGCAACATCAAAAAGGTGGAATTCCACCTTGTAGGGACATCTAATACCAAATTCTTAGAAGAATTACACTTTTCAATTTCAGCATATGATTTAAACTTTGAAATTCTTTGAGGAGACTGTCTAATGTACTTAACAACAGCTCTAACTCTATCAACAGATTCATCAATATAATCCAACTCATCCTTAACAACCATATTCATAATATGAGCAGAGCAATGAACATGCAACCATTTCCCTCCCAAAACACATTTTTCCCAATTACCAAACTGATCTTTCAAGCACTCAATTACAGCATCATTTGCACTAGCATTATCCATAGACATAGTAAACACATTATCAATTTTCCAAGCAAGCAAACAGCTTTCAATTGCTTTTCCTATATCTACACCCTTATGACTTGATATTGGGCAGAAATTCAAGATCCTCTTTCTCAAAATCCAATTACTATCAATATAATGAGCAGTGAGACACATGTAATTCACCTTTTGCAACGAAGTCCAACTATCAGTGGTAAAACATATTCTGCCTACAACATTACTAATCTCAGCTTGAATTTTTCCCCTCTCTTTTAAGTACAAGTGATAACAATCATTAGCTATGGTTAGTCTTTTTTTAGGAACATATAAAGGCTGGTAGATTCTCAAAAAATGTAGAAATCCTTTTCTTTCAATAAACTTAAAAGGCAGCTCATCAACTATGATCATATATGCAATAGCTTTTGTAATTTCAGATTCATCAAACCTCCAAGTAGATATGTGCCCTTTTCTGTCACTCTTCCCACCCTCAACAACCAAATTACTTTGACCCAAGTCATGATGAGCTCTATATTTCATGCAAACTTTCAAATGAGCATGCAAGGAACTTGTTCCATGTCTTTTCGTTTCAGCTTGATACTTAGTTTTGCAATATTTACATGAAGCTGTTTTCACACCATTTTTATCAAAAACAGTAAAATGAGACCAAACCACGGACCTTTGGAGACCTCTCCTTCTTTTCTTTGGAGATGGCTTTATGCAAGCCTCAGCAGTATCATCTTTAGCCTCTTTTGCCTCTTGGCCCTCTTCCCTGTTTGCCTCTTCCTCGCTTTCATACTCCACATCAATCATCAGTTTATCATCATTTTGAGAAGGTCCAACCACCTCTATCTCTTTCAACTTAATATGTTCAGACATCTAAGATAAAAAAAAAAATCAAATCATTAGGTTACTGGTTACATCACATGATCAGAAATCGAAAGAAATCCAACAATAAAACTGATAAAGTGATGGTCATCCAAACAGATACAGAAAATTATAATCAGCCATCCAAAGCCAACAAGGAAACAAACATAAACTTCAAAACCGATTTTTTTTTTAAGCCTCAAAACAACACAGACTCATAGAGTTTAAGAAGAAGTAGTACCAACTGCTAGTTACCTTAAAGAAGTAACTCAAAATTTAATCTTTAGAAAAAAAAAAAGCAGAAAAATCTTCAAATTGATGAAACAAACATTCGAAAACCTTCGTAAAAAATGAAAAATATCAGCAGCTAGCAGGCATTACCTCGCTCAATCTGTAAGAAGAGAAGGTTTCAGGCTATCAGCCTTAAACTTGGCAGTGAAACTCCAAAGTCCAAACAGACTTGTCTCCTTCAGAGTAGCATTCGACTTGCTCTGTTAAACAAGAAACAGCCACTTTAAGCATACTGAATAACAAATGAAAAAACAAAAAGGCCTAATACTAATCAATAATCATTACAAGCAGATAGCAAATTAAAAGACATAGAGTACCTCTTTACGAATTGAAAGACTGATCCCAGGATAGATTTCAAACACTCACATAAAGGTATTTGAACTCAAAGGGAAGAGAAAAAAAAACACAGAGTCGTTTTCCGCCGCGCCGGCCGCCGATAATTCATCAGCAAGTTGTTTCTGGTAAAGAAAATTCACATGTGGTTAATGACAAAAAAAGTTTAAGAGAGCAGAATTGGATATGAACTAAAGTTACTAAATCCACTTCAAAATTAGATGGATTCAAATTGCAAATCATACTTGTGCCAATCTTCGCCAAGCAGAGTCGTTTCTTCAGGAGTAAAATCGGAGACGATAAATCATTCGCCAGAGAATTGGGGAACAGATTTGAACTCAGATCAAAGGAAGGTATGGCGGGGGAGTTGCTAAGGGAAGAGGAAGAACCGAAGAAGAAGGAAGAAAGAAAGGGAAGAGGCGGATGAGGATTTGGGAATTAGGGTTTGGCCGCCGCAGATCTGTGATTGAATTCCGATTTGGGAAATAGGGTTTGGCCGCCGCGAGAGAGAGTCAGAGAGAGGGGAAGACGGAAGAATGAAAGAGAAAAAAAAATGTGAAGTGAAGCCCTAACCCCTAATCTGTATAAATTATTTTATTATTATTACATTATTTATTCGGGTATCGGGTAATACCCGAATCTTTTTTTTTCACCCGCTCCCCGAACCGATTAGACCCCCTCCATTTCAGTTAAGGCCGATTTCATACCCGATTCCCGAAAATCCGAACCGAATGGGCCGAATAAGGAACGGGTCGGTCGGTTAATCGGGTCTACCCGATTAGTTAACACCCCTACATATCCTGGCAAAATGTAAGTAGCTTTAGGAGGGATTATGTAACAATAAAGTGGCGATTTGCACACAGGGGGTGCAAATACATTCTCTTTATTGCTTGTTTTAATAAATGCATTGGCCAATTCGACAACAACTGATGAGTAAACGTGGGCATTGGATATTCTCAGAATAGCACTTGCAAAGGTGAATTGAATCAAATACTACATCTGTTTTGGCATTCCGAAACTTTGAATCGTTCACTGTCAGCATTAAACATTTCTGAAGGATGGTGGTACTGAATTTTATTGATACTAGACAATGTGACAATAAGACAACCTGATTTGTGGCGATATGCTTATGGAAAATAACAGAATGTCTGTGAGAAGGACATTTCCTAATTCCTTACATTATACACCTCGAACTCACGACACTGAAACCGTACATTCCAGAAGCCCACGAAACCAGAAGAAACCTTGGAGCTTCCAGGAGGCCACGTCCAAAACAGAGGAAGGGGTAGATGGATCAGGATCTGACACGTCACCCCACCTGACCATAGCCACTGATGATTCTGAACTGAGAAGGAAAGGTTGGCCAAGTTCAGACACAAATATGCATCCTCCCTTCTCGACAACAAGTTTCGTCCCTTTTTTAGAGTTTTCTCCCGCATCAATCTAATTGTACCATCCCCCTTTCAATAAACACGGGTTTCGTTCATTGTTAAAATGTCCCAAACTTAACTACTGTTAAATTTTTGTGGTCAGAAGATTCTTCTGATCTCTGGTTGCTCTTTCTGTCCAATTTACCTCTCAACTGATAAACTGTTAGTTGCTTTCCTTCATTAAGAAGGGGTCAGATCAATGTGTTTCTCTTTCGTGATGCATGAACCATAACGTTTTCTAAAGCACATATGATGATATTATACATATATACTCTAATCTATTCCAAAACAGACAACAAACGTAACAATCATTTTGACGATAATTGTAATTAACATACCACAAGGTCGAAACTTACAGGTGAATTACCTTTTTTTTTTTTTTTTTCCTTCGGTTTTAAATCATTACATCATTACATAATGGTGGGAAGTTACACCAACAATGTCGTGAGTATCTAAACCAATGGATTGGTACGGCATTGGGTATACTTATGAAGTTTGAAGTACATATAACATAAACCCAAGGGATCAAAAGTGGTTGTCGGGGTATTACGGTATATTTACCTGGTTGGATCGTATCCCCCGATAGGTAAGGGGTGCCCCATGTGAGATCATTTGAGTCCTGATTTCAGCATGATTAATTAAATTAATTAAAATCAGAAAATACCCAGGACAAGGTCACCGGCGTTTACCTTATTCCCACTATAACACTGCCTCACTGCCCACATGCTCACCAATTATTATACTATCCCATATTTCTTTATTACTAATTCCTCCTTGGCTTAATCCTGTGTAACGTAGGACGTATGAACATAAGAAGTAACACGCTCTACGGGAAATAAAAGTATTCCCTGGATTTAGAAACGAAGGGCTGGTAACTCTTCGATTCCAACATTGGTGCATGTGCCATTTAACGTTTTCCTAAAACAGGATTGATAATCACAGTAGCTGTTGAATGAGAGTTAGTAACGAGTAGTTTACGAAAGTTCAATCTCAATAATCGAACTTTTTTCGTGTTTAGTTCGAGTTAGTAAGTTCTAATTCAAGTTGAATGGCTTTATTTGCACACTCCTAACATTGGTTACTTGTGGTTTTGGGAAGGCACAATCAAAACTTTAGGGACAGAGCCATATCCGCCCCACGTTTATATGGTCGCAAGAAGTGCCACAAAGCCAAAGTTCATTAATTATATGTCAACAACTTAATTAGATGATCATACGAGAATGGTTTGTAAGTACATTTAAACATCCTTTAACACCCACCCACATGATTTATCAAACTTATAAAAACAGATATTCCCAGCAAACTTCAGAATCCACAAAGAAGCCAACCAGCCCCCACTCACTGCATGGTTGTCTAGCCAACCCTCAATAGATTCACCCAACACTTCTGAATTCCTGTGTTGTCTTCATCTCAAAAATTTCCCTTTTGTTTAAATTTGAGCATTGGAATCTTTTGTGTTACAAAGACAGACATAACAGCTAGATCTCTTCTTCGCTGTCGAATATTTGACCAAATTTTTTTTTTTTTTTTTGAACCAAGTTACAAAGTTAAATTAGTCTTCTCTCTTTCAAGTCTTTTAATCAGTCCAAATTCAGCACTTTTCACAATTATCAGCAGTAACATGCAGGTGAGCTAGCTTGGTTGATAAAATTAATATTCAAGTAGATCACCCTCACATGCATCTTGATCCCCATCAATCTGCCTTAACTCATTTCTTCATATATTTCGTATATAACAGATACTTCAATGGCTCATTAAAACTGCCCAAGACCCTCCAAGCCAAACTGGTTTTAATACCACCACCAAGGAGGAGGAAGCCACAAAGGGTAAGATTGATTACAATGGCATTAATTATTAATAACCATTATTAATAGTTAGTCAAATTCTCATTGAATGTATGAATTTTGGTTCAATTTGCAGGTGAACAGAAGGTTAAACCCAAAGATATAACAGCATTGAAGAACTCTGAGGCCAAGAACAGGAAGAGCAGAGGAGAACAAGTAGTATTGGATTGCAGCAAACTCAACATTTGGAAATTAGTTCGTAAGAAGGACATTGCCAAGGCTTGTTTCTACGGCACAATACATTTGAAGAGAGTTGGAAGTTGTCAAAGGAGGGAATACTTTGTTAAAAACATGAAGATGAAGAAAGAAGACCTTGCCAGAGGATTAGGCATGATCAGTAGTCACAAGGCTGAGAGTAAAGTTTTGCCAATTACTGATCAGCAAAACAGTACTACTCCTCCTCCATCTTCTTCTTCTTCTCCCACAAGTAAAGAAACTGATCAACAAAAACAATGTAGTACTTCTTCTACTACTACCAATACAGTAGAAAAGAAGGAAAAAATCAAGGGCGATAAAGCGAAAACCATTTCGAAAATGAAGGAGCTTTTGAGATGGGCTGCTGCTACTAAGGCTGAGAAGGGTGGAAGATACTTAAGCCGCAAGGTTTGTTCATTCAAATTCTTCCCTACCTTATTGTGTTTGTGTTTTTTTTTTTTTTTTTCACATGAATCATATGTAAATTGTAACTAATTTTTTTGGGTTTTTGGTCCAGGTTATGCAGTTCAGAAACAGGGCAGCCCTGAAATCAGTCCCGGATGATGATCAATTAAGCAACGATTCACCCAAGATTAGCTTTAGATGGGAAGTGGAGAGTTGCTCCACAATTTCTTCGTCATACTCTGCAATCTCCTCGATTGCTTCGTCTTCTATGAACTTCGATCAAAGATCAATGAGCCATCTTCAGGCTTCTGTAAGTTCAACTCCAATCCATGATGCAGATTTTTCCATCGTGAGGCCTGGAAATTGGATCACCACGGATTCTGAATGTAAGCATTGATTTCCAAATAATTTGCCAAACTTTTTTTTTTTTTTTTTAATTCAAAAACTGACCGGATTGAAAGTATCTAACTCCAATCTCATTGGTTCTTATTTGGGTATACAGTTGTGGTTCTTGAGTTATGACGGCTGAGAAAATGAAGGGTCCACAAAGGGATGAATCTAACTGAAACGGGGCATCATCAATCTGGGGAATAACTTTGATCAATTTTTATCCTCTGAAAAAGACAAGACGACGGAGGATATTTCTCGCGATTTATATGAAGTTCAACAATGATGTAATCTGTTCATAGTATTGCGTTTAATGATTCTGAGAATTAACGTTGAATTAATTAGCAGTGTAATATCTGTATTCCCTAGAAATAATAGTGGTCGAAATCAAATTGATTCCGAATCTCGTACGATTCCCTAACTGAAATGCTCGATTCCTTGTGTTGTTCAGTCGGTCATTAACATATAATTTATGCCAAAAATATACAATTATTAGTGATATTTCCCAAAAAATGTTGCCTTTTCAAGGCTGGAATTCTTTTTCTAACAGAATGACATCACTGATCGCTCTTTCTAATGATGGATTTAAGGGACCCAATTAAGTCCCAAACACTAATTTTTCTCCCTCAATGTTTTCATTTATTCTCTTCTTGCATTATACAAAATCGTAACTTAAAAACTGTGATATTTTCAAAACTCAGACTTGTTTGTCAATTTTCCTAAAGCGGTACATAACATTTCGAACCTAAAAATTTAGTTGCGGTATTTCACATGATACCAGTATATCAAAGAAAAAAAGAAAAAGTTTTGAATAAATCAATAAAAAATCTTTGTCGACTATTTTTAGTCGGTTTAAGAAGCCGACGGTTTGAATAAAATTCTTGTGTTCAAAATCTGAAAAGCCCACTCAGTTGGCCCAATAATAACCCAGAGCCCGTGAGGAAGAACAAACCAGTTGGGGCCGGTTTAAACCACGAGGGTTTTGCTTATCTCTTTCAGTCATTTTTTTTTTTTGTTTTTTAATAACCCCTAATTTTAGACTTCAATTCTTCTTCGCGCGTATTATTTAGTTGCGGGTCTTTAAAAGGGTTTCCCGGCAGTCGCATCCTCTACCTCTCTCCCTCCCTTGGCAGCTTGGCTTATCCGATGGATAGAATTTTAAACAAAATTTCTTCTTGTAGGAGTGTGGAATTGGCATTCAAGACCTGGAAGAAGGATATGTCTTCCGGTCCCTCTGCTGCCAGCGCGAATCAACATCATCTGCCCGATGATGTTATCTTTGAAATCCTTCTCCTGCTGTCACCAAAAGCTTTGGCAATCTCCATGTGTGTTTCAAAGAAATGGCGATCTTTGATTTCAGACCCCAATTTCATCAAATCCCACCCCAATATAGCTTCTTGTTCTGAGGAGAGGCAGAGCTTGATTATTACTTTGCGGGATCCATACTCTAATCCCACAACTTCGATCCTATGCAGGCCACTCAACTCTACTTGGCAGGCCGATCCCGGTGTTTCCCAGATCCCGGTATCCACAATCGACAACAGAGTACTCCAGAATAAAACATTTCAGTTCTGGGGAAGTTGCAATGGTTTGGTATGTGTTGAGACTAGGAATCAAGAAGACCTCTACCTTTGGAATCCCGTATCAAACAGGTTTCGGGCATTGCCTTCTATAGGAATTAAAACGACGAAGAGCGACAACAATTCAGCATCAATTCTGTATGGTATAGGATACGATGAATCAGAGGATGATCACAAGGTATTGTGCTTGATCTGCACACTTAATCCAGCTCCGAAGATAATTGATGCTCTAAATTTATTCTTCACTGCATGATTCTTAGGCTGCTTGTGGTTGTTTTGTTGGCTTAATCCCACTGTTGCCCCAAAGAGGTGTTTTTGCAAGAGGCAAATCGCATTGGATTGCCAAGGAGGAGGAAGAAGGGAATAGTGGGTGGAAACTGGAAAGTGGTAGACATGGATTTGAATGACAACAACCATGTAGGTGAATTGGCAATTCCTACACCAAGAGAAACTTAGTATTGGACTGGGAAAGATGCTGTCTCTTTGACTCTTTTGAAAGGCTCCATATCGCTTGTCTACACCAAAGAGGCAGAAATCTGGATCTTAGACAAGGATGACGAGTGGGTGAAGTTATTGACAATAGAATCCTTAAAAGATCGCGGTTGTTTTCAGCCGATTTGCATTTTTGGGAATGGGGAAGTGCTCCTCGAGTACAGTTCTGATATCATGCTGTATAATCCAATGCTGAATGGTATGAAATGCGCTTACTTTTCCCTGGGGCGTTGACGAGATTTTGATGATTTCAAACACCCTGGTTTCTCCTTTTGGCCGCCTCAGGTCATCTACTTAGATTTTCTTGGAGGCAGATGGTCTCTGCAATCAACTTTTTGCTCGTTTAGTCCTGCAATCATTTTCTTCCTTCTCTCGCATCTTACTAGAACGCATGGAGTTTATATATTAGTATTACTTATTAGAGTTTCATACGGACATTTTGAAAGCATATATATAAACTTATTTGTGTTCAAATGTCCACTTGTTTAGAGATGGATATTAATTTTGGAAGATATTTCTTCTGTCTCAAAAAAAAAAACAAAAAACATTAGTTTATTTAGCTTTTGAAATTTGTACTAAAAATAATAAAAATCTCAAAATTTTATGTGAACTATTTTTTTGGGGACAGAGGTAATATTATGTTTGGATTTACCATTGTACATCTCACAATAGCATTATCCCAAATCCCACAAGTTAACCAACCAATTATTTTGTTGGACACAACTCACAAAATTAAACACGATCCACCAATTCTATGCCAATAACATACTACTTCATTCGTCCTCAAATTATTATTCAGTTATACTAAAAGAGAAACTTCACACTGGACAATAATTACAGGACAGAGAAAGTAATATCAATATGCCTTATGTAACATCACTGATCACTCTCTCTGATGTTGAATTTAAGAGACAAGGATATAAACCCCCAACTAAGTCCAAGACATTATTTCTCCCTGGATGTTTTTTTCCCCTTAAATTCTGTACAGAATGGTAACTTATTAAAATTGTGAAATTCCATAATTTTAGTAAGTTTGAATTGTTCATAAGTTTTCACAAGATACCGTTATATTAACGGATATTAAAATTGATAGCGTTTTTAACAATCAATAAAGATACGTGACATTAAAAAATTATTAGTAACATTAAAGATACCGTCAACTATTTTTAGTCGGGTTAAGAAGCCGACGGCTAAGTAAAATATATAAAATTAATATATCCTACTATATTAGAAACACAAACCTACCTTTCAAACTCCTCATATGATTGCCACGTGGTATGTAGAAAATACTAAATTGCCATTTTGTCTAACTATAACTAAATTACTAAATCTCTCTTTGCACTTTACGTGACACGTTTTTTTTTTTAAATTTTTTCTTTATCTTTCATTCAACTAGAGTGGTTTTTTAAATTGAATTGATTAATTAGGTTTTTTGTTACAAAGTGTCAATTTTGTTTTAAGCGTATACCCTTTGGATGAAACTTATTACAAAGCTATTAAAAATGTCCAAAACTAAGTATTGATTTGGCACGACCAATGGAGAACATCAATAAATCATCTTACTAATATTTAAATTTATTAGGATGCTTTTATATTTTATCTAATATTTACTTCAACACATATATTCGATTAAGCTATTTATATTTAATAAGTAACACTTATAAAACATTTCTAAAACATACATGGCGAAATACAATTTATTTATTTTTTTGCGAAATACAAATATTTCTATGATCACACTTATAAAACATTTCTAAATCCTTCAAACATTTCTAAAATATATCGCTCCAAATACAAAATTTTATTTTTTTCAAATATAAATATTTCTAAGATCTATAGATAGACTGGGCCAGGGTCGCGTATTCCATACAAAATATTACTTTGGGTAATTGGGTGGGAGAATTATTATCGTTCATTTGCTTGACCGCTTGCAGGGAATCTAACTGTAGCTGGACTTTTTGAAGCTCAAATTCCAGGCATATAAAATTAACATGAACAAAATTCATGTGTTCAAAATCAGAAAAGCCCACTTGGTTGGCCCAACAATAACCCAGAGCCCGCGAGGAAGAACAAAAGCCAATCAGGAATAGAAGCCTTTTATTGGCGGTTTTAAATCGGCGAGGCTCTTATTCTCTCTTTCGGTCGCGTTTTTTTATTTGTTCTTTCTAATTATTAGTATTAACCCCTAAATTTAGACTTCAATCAATTATTATTATTATTATTATTTTTTTTTGCTTATAACCTTATTTTAGTTGCAGAGTAAAGAGGGTTTTTAGGGTTTTTTTAAAGCTTTCTTTTATATTCGTTCGTCCCTTCTTCTCCCTCCAATCTCCATTGTTGTTACCTTCTGAAAAAACCTCCGAGTTGTGGAAACCGCTACCCCGCTGCGATGGATAGGTACCAAAAGGTGGAGAAACCTCGGCCGGAGTTGCCCATTAACGAGAATGAGATTCGTATTACTTCCCAAGGTTTGGTCCGCAACTACATCAGCTATGCCACCAGTCTTCTTCAGGTTTCTTTTCGCTTTCTTCTCCGTTTTTTTCCCCGCCTCAATTTTCGTTTCATGTGTATTTTAATTGGTTTTTATTTTGTATTAGTGACTGAGAATGCTCTGTTTTTTTGGTTTGATATTTGCCTGGTTTCTGAGTTGTACCACTCGTTTAATTTATATGTATACTTGTGTGAGTTTTGATTGAGTTTGTTTCAGGTTTTTAAGCACGCTGTAGTACTTCCTGATTATTTTTATTTTTTTAGGGTTCTTATTTTCCCATCCTAATTTCTGCTATTCTCGTGGCAAAAGATGTGCTTAGGTCTTAATTTAGTGCTAAGAGTAGTGGGACGAAGCTCTTCCTTGTCTTGGTCATGAATGTAGGAATTAGTGTGGCTTCGCACTCTTGATTGTTTGAGATCAGAGATCAGTTTGTTACTAGACACCATTATTCTATGTTGTGTGGGGTGCATGCATACTTTCTTACTATTCGAATCGCCAGTTAGCCAGTCAAAGTTGATTAGTTGAAGATTGGGGCTTATAGGAAATTCATTGTTGGATGTTTCAGTTGGGCCTTGATTAGAGCTTTATAAAAACTTTTATGTCCTTGTTCCGTTCTTATTTGATGATCATAGGCTTTTTATGAATAATTTTTTATTCATATTGCTTTGCTGCAAGTAGCAATGGTCATTTGACAGAGTTTGTGGTCAATTTTGTAGGATAGACGTGGAAAAGAGATTGTCCTGAAGGCAATGGGGCAGGCAATCAGTAAGACTGTGGCAATTGCTGAGATCATCAAGGTTATTGTTGATTTGAATTTGTCACTTTCTTATTTTGCTGTTTTCTGCCATTTGTTTTTCTGATTTGAAGTTTGCTGATTGTTGCAGAGAAGAAATCCTAGATTGCACCAAGACACTGCCATCAGTTCTGTGAGCATCACTGATACATGGGAACCTATTGAAGAAGGTCTTTTGCCGTAAGTATTAGCTCCTTCGTTGTACTTATTTTTATTGAGGAGTGTCTCTTCATGGCACACTTCCGACCAAATCTAAATTTAATACCAATAATGTGTGATGCAGTGTTGAACAGACTCGACATGTCTCCATGATCTCAATCACCTTATCAATTAAAGAGCTGAACACAAATTCCCCTGGGTAAGTTTTGTCAATCTGTGAGTGTCACTTTACTGATTTGTAACCAATTTAAACGTAGGGGCTTACCGTTCCTTCTGCATTTGCCCTCTACTAACTGTTTGTTTACCTTGTAGTTAATATATAAGATCCCAAAAGTTAATGTGATTTTATGTGCTATTTCACTTCACGCGGTTTGTAATGTTGATTTTATGTAACTCGGTGCTACATGTAGTTGATGTGAAGTTTATGTCCATGATTGCTGACCTTTCGTGTTTAATTATGATTTGAATATCTGCTCACAGTTACCAAGCTCCAGCTGCTGAGCAATCAAAGCCCCATTATAATAACAATCAGCAGCATCAGCAGCAGCAACAGCAGCAACAGCAGCCACAACAGCAGCCACCCAGACAGCAACGGGCGGTGTATTCTGTTAATAATGAAGGTAATGCCAAGATAATAGAATCAATAATTGGACTTCTGTTTAAGCCCCGTTTACTAATCGGGAGATGACAACTTTTGTACAGATTCATATGTGCGAGGGCGTGGCCGTGGGAGAGGCAGGGGACGAGGTTGGAGCAGGGGTGGATATGTAAATTATCAAGGTATGAGTGACAATATCTATATGTGTAAAATGCCAAGTAATGGCTGTATCTATGAAATGCTAAGCAAGTTTACTTTTAAATCATGGTCGTATAAGTCATTTACATTGGATTTGACAGAAAACGGTGGCTATTCAAACTGGGGAGGCCGTGGTGGTGGCCGTGGTGGCAATTATGGTGGCAATTATGGTGACAATTATGGTTATCGAGGTTCGTAGATTCTTTGTGATGTACTCGTTGTTGTGGTTGGTATCACCCTGGTTTTCTTGTATCATTAATTTAAACTTAAATCAATACTCAAACTTGTGAATAGATAACTTTTTGTTCAAACAATATATGCTTGGTTCTTTAGTTTAAATACATTTTGCCTTTTTACAGGTGGATATGCTAGAGGACGAGGAAGAGGAGGTGGCAGAGGCTATGGTCGTGGGCGTGGTCGGATGGGTCCTCGTCCTAGTCGGGAAGATGGAGGGGACCAGGCATAGAGTTACACACTGGTGTGGTGCTCTGGCTTGGATGCTTGCCTGGGTTTTGGTTGTAGTGTGCAAAGTCTTTACAAAAGCATGAAATTGTGGGTTATTTTAATCTTTGCTGCTTTAGTGAATGAGTTTATTACATGTTTTGTATGGAAACAAGAGGGCAAGCATTGTTCCAAATATTGGTGTTTTTTAATAGCCAGTAGCCTATTTTGAGATTGAGTTAATTCATTTTGAAACCACCAGGTATATCTTCATGTATCTAGCCCATATTCTACATTTTTTTGCCTTAGTTTTCTTCGCTTCGGGAAGAATTTGTTGCCCACTGTCTTGGTTTTTCTCATGCTTTGAGAACTTTATTACTATAATCTTGGATAGAAACGTTACCTCTGGGGTTAGCCTAAGGTAACTGGTTAGATAGATAGTGAGACTGGTGGATGATGATGGATTAGTCGTCTGAGGTTATGGAGCATATATGATTTCATCTATGGGCCTAAACTCTTGAGCCTGTAAAGTTTTTACTGTGCTGAGTTTGGTTTGGGTTCGATCTCCCACGGAATAGAACATTTGGGTTCAAATCATCCTCAAATGACGATAACCATCTGGCTATCTTATTTTGAGATTCGAGTGTAATCCGGAAGAAGGATATTCCATCCAAATGTAGTTGTTCAAGTGCAACAAGAAGTTTTGAGAGGCCAGGAGATAAGTTTGATTTAGAAGACTAGTCTCGATTGGATAAAAGGAAAAAGTGGAAGAAAGAAGGGATATATTTACTATTTTGTTATTTTGGATATGTGAAATCAGATTAGGAATAGTGATAGAAAAGTTAGTATTGGTGTATTCTTAACCGAACTGATACTTTTGTTTTTGGAAAATTAGGCAGCAAAATTGTAATTTCGTAATCTTAGGCTTTTTAGCCTCCTCAATATATATAAGAACATTTGTCCGGTTTCACAGAACTTTCTTCCAGGTCAGAGGGAGATAAAGCTACAGAACCTGTTAATTAAAAGAAAATGTTATTCGTATCACTTTAATTGTCTATTTTGTAATGTGGTTTTTATAGAAGTAAAATTTTTAAATTTACTAATAAATCGTTGAACTAAAGAAAGGTGACACATGACTTAGGGCTATCAATAAACTTTTTTCGATTTAAAACAGAAAGATGAACCCAAAGTGATGGAAGATTACAACAAGTCCTAAATGTGCTTTATGATATGCTGAAAAAATAATCTCTCCGTTCTACAAAAATAGTTCATATTGAATTTTGAGTTTTATATTGTTTTTAGTACAAATTTGAAAACTCAGCGTAGAGTATTTTTTGTGGTACATATATAGGAGTTGGGAAAAAAGAATGGTGGAGGAGGAAATTGAAGCTAGGATGACATCCATGATTTTTTTTATTTTTATTTATTTATTTTTTGTTAAAACCAGGAAAAAAAAAATCGTAAGCGTGACAAGTCTGGTCCATAAACTATAGTGGTGATTGAGATGTAATGTCACAAAGTTTCTCATATGCTGTCAAAGAATTTTTAGTTGTAAACAATCTCTCGTTTAACATAAGAATTATTATTTCTCAAAGAATTATTCTTTACAGGGTGTTCACCGTGAGGAAGAGATATTTTTGCAACATCTTCCCAGATAATGCTACACAAAAATATCAAAATGAAAAACTCTAAGGGGGCAACTTTTCTCTGAAAGGCCAGACCTAGTATATTACTCTTGGCTAGACTTGAATAGCTCTCTCAGCTTCACAGAACTTATAAAGAATTGACAAGTGGTCAATCCAAGATGGTGACAGCAAGTCACCCAGGGAAGAAGCAATAATAAGAAGCGAAGGAGCACCAACTCACGCCTTCTATTTTATGAACATTTGCGCTTTAAGCGTCCAGGTTCATCCTAACAAGAGTACTTACGCTAAGGAGTAGTAGTAAGTAGTAGTACTATTACAAAAAAAATATGCTACCATTCATAATAAAGCATCAGCTTAATTAGTTCGTCGTCGCCTAAGAAAGAAATTTTGTTGCAAGATAATACTAATCAAATTTCTATTTTATTTTTGTTCTTTTTTTTGGGTTGCCTTTGCCTACATATTAATTAAAGTTTATCATGTGGCAGGTTATTCTTTCTCTCTCTCTTTTTTTTTTTTTTGGTTTTCATTGAAAAAATGACATAAGAGAATCTAATCAACAGTAGTACTCGCCAGATAATTGGGTACAAAAACAATATCTATTTTAATCAGCTCATTGATGTTAAGTGTTTCAGGTGAATATTCATTTGGGGTGTAGATTGTTCATTCTGTTCACCCAAAAAAAAAAAAAAAAGATTGTTCATTCTAACAAATTAATGACGCTGGTCTAAACAAATCACTTATTAAATTCCATTTCTTCTCAATGTTGTACTGGGGAGTCGCTTGCCGTTGATCGGCCCTGTGTTCATCTTATTTCGTTGCCGATTGTATGCGCTAGATACGGATTCATGTCCTTGGATTCTTCTTGAAGCTATTTATTATTGAATCACGTACAGCCAAAAAAAAAAAAAAAAGAAAATACAAACTTTCAATGTATAAAAACAATTATGTTAACGTCACTCTTTCATTTATAGTCGGTTATAATATGTCATTGACCAAGTTCATCATACTGATGAAGAACTCAGCCTGTTTAATCATCTAGGTTCAACTTCCTTGCTAAGCCATTGATAATTAGTTCCTAATAAATAAACTAAAATTATTTACTCATTCCTTGACATTTTTTTTTTTTTGTTAAGCTGTCCCATGATTTCGATTTTGATCCTGATATGGTACATTATAGAATTCCTGACTTCTTGTTAATTACAACTCATACTCTTACAGTTATCCACTCTTACGTTTTTTTATTTTATTTTTTTCACCATTATGTTGTCATCCATGTCTAAATACGCTAATGGGAACCTTCTTGAAGTTATAATAATACTCCCTCCGGTCAGACATTTTGAGTTTGTCCTAGATTTAATCTAAGATGTTTTTTTAATTGGAAAAATTTTTTAAAAATATATTTCACATTCGTTATATTCTCTTAATTATTATGAATAAAATAACTTATAATACAGACGGGAGGGAGTAAAAATGTTCAATATTAACTGGACAAAAAACGTACTCATCTTCAGCTTAGAATTCTTGGGAGTGTGTAACACAGACCTGTAATTAACTCGGGATTTTTATTTATCATTATAATACTTCTTGTTAGTGATGAAATAATCATGTTGACAATGTTGTTTATCCAGGTACGCAAAATATAACAAGTCTTCGACCAAGTACATTACTCGTGAACATAGCCGTCCTCTCGTCCAGGTTCATTCATTCGTAACCCCGTTGTTTTTTTTTTTTTTTTTCTTGTTTCGTCTCTGCTAATAAACTACGTTCCTTCATATATGCACACAGATGTACTATTATAAACTATATATCTGTCACCTGTCTTTCTCCATAAAAATATATGACCCCTCATTTCCTCCTTTTCAATTCACATTACACCATCTTTAACTTTTCATTTCCCAATGCCAAATTCTTATCCCTTAAATTTCTACAAGCCTTCGTCGTCATCGTGATATAGAATCTTGTAGATCTTCATCAGTCTTCTTAATAAGCCTTCATTTTGTTGTTTTTTTGTTTAAAGAAAAAAAAAAACTTTTTCCCTCGGGTTTTTGGTTTGGAAGTGTAGGAGAAGATGATGAGTACGATGAGTTCTCCGACAAGTAGTCCAAGGAAAGAGATGAAGGACAAGGAAACAATGTTTCATGTGATTCACAAGGTTCCTTCTGGTGATGGTCCTTATGTTCGAGCTAAACATGCTCAGGTTTGGTTTCTGTTTTTCCATTTTCATCTACTAGATGATTTCTTTCCTTTACTATCTAGTACTCTTCAATGATGACTCCAAATTATTGTTTTTAATGGCAAACCCAACGCTGATTTTTTTTCAGATGTAGCTAGATTTACTTGTGTATCGTAAATTTCAGAAAATAATTTTTATCAAGAAATTAATATAAGATGAAAAGAAGATTTAAAGTGACGTTATAGTTTAACAGAATTATAGGGGTTTCATTTCTTTTTTACTTCGCACTTTTCAAAAGACCAATCAGTATGTGATAGAGAGAATATTTTCCAACCATGAAACCTTTGGAAAGCCCGATTACTTGTCTTTTGAGGGGACGGGGGAAAAAGAATTTTTTTTTGAAAAAAGAAGCGGAATTATCCTTTTTTTTAATCAAAAAATTGTCAAAAGTTATGGAGTTTTTAGATCCCAGATATTGCATGAGCGAATTTTTCTAGTTGGTTGAACAATTAATATGTCCGTCTAACACAAATTAAAACATTAGTTGTTATTGTCGACCGAGGAAGATTAGTCACCGACAGTGCCATATGCAAGAAGCTTGGTCTCTCTTTTTTTCTTTTAGACCTTTAATTGCAAGTTTATTATGATAAAAGAAAATGAGCTAATTGTTAATACATCAGTTCAAATTCATTTCTAAGTTTGATTAACTTATTGTTAACGTTTTACTATTTTCAGTTGGTGGAAAAGGATCCAGAAGCAGCAATCGTGTGGTTTTGGAAGTCTATAAATGCAGGAGATAGAGTGGAAAGCGCCCTAAAGGACATGGCAGTGGTGATGAAGCAGCTGGATCGAGCTGAAGAAGCCATTGAAGCTATCAAGTCTTTTAGGGGACTTTGCCCTAAACAAGCCCAAGAATCACTAGACAATGTTCTTATTGACCTCTACAAGGTACACAGACCACTCCCAATAAAAAATAAAATCGTCTTTGTTGAACTAAAACACTTCACAACAATACTACAAAAATTAATCTAAATAAATGTTACTTGTGTGTAGAAATGTGGAAGAGTGGACGAACAAATAATGTTGCTAAAGCAGAAGCTGCGGATGATTTACATTGGAGAGGCATTCAATGGAAAACCCACAAAGACAGCGCGCTCTCATGGCAAGAAATTTCAAGTATCTGTTCAACAAGAAACTTCAAGAATATTGGTATGTTACCTGTGTACAAGAACACGAGTGTTTATTATGTCTCATCACTGAAACAACTAAAAAATACTACCTCTATCCCAAAAAAATGGTCCACATTGAGTTTAGAGATTTGTACTTTAGTACAAATTTAAAAACTTAATGTGGACTATTTTTTTGGGACGGAGAGAGTAGAATAATTATATCTCGTATATGATTATTTTTAAAGAAAGTTTCTAAAAAAGAAGTGGGGGGAAAAATAGTTATAAGGTAACTGATGGGATTGTATTAAAGAGAAACTTGCGCTACATAAATAGCGATACAGATGATTTTATTCGTTTACAGTAAAAAAAATAGCGATACAGAAGATTTTATTCGTTAACAATTTTGTTTGATGTCAAATAATGCATAGGGAAACTTGGCGTGGGCGTACATGCAAAAATCGAATTTCATTTCAGCAGAAGTGGTGTATCGCAAAGCGCAAATGATCGACCCGGATGCAAACAAAGCATGTAACTTGTGCCATTGCTTAATCAAACAAGCCCGATACGACGAGGCCCGATTGATTCTAGAGGATGTGTTGCGAGGGAAGCATCCGGGCTCTTCAGACTTGAGAACTCGGGCTCGGGCCGAAGAGTTGTTGTCGGAAATTGAATCGAAGCAGCCTCCGGTGTTGGTTCAACCGGGGTTGGAACCGGAAGAGTATGATTTTGCGGTTGAGCTTGAGCGGTTATTGAGTGCTTGGGCTCCTCCAAGAACAAGAAGGCTTCCAATCTTTGAAGAGATCACCCCTTTTCGAGATCAAATGGCTTGCTAGCCCTTTTCCTCTTTTTTTTTTCCAAAAAAAAAAAAAAATCATTTGTGTTTATGTTGTAGATTGTGTGAGTGGGTGGGGTTCATGATATGTGAAATTGATGAAATGAGCTCCAAAATCCAGATTCCATCTGTAAAGAATAATGTGAATGAATGTCCGATAGCTTAATATTGATATTTTTTCATGATATTTTTGAGCACCATTTGAGCACCATCTTTCTTTGATTTGTGACCAAAAAATACTCCCTCCATTCCAAAATTGTCATCCTACACTTTGCATATAGTTTAAGAAACTCTTAAATAGGGTAATAAAATTACTTGAATATTCTCAACCAACCCCATTAATAAAATATCCACCAATAGTACTAATTCTTTTAAGGGTAATTTTGAAAACTTTAGATAAAAAGTGCATTGAAATGTGAGAACGACACTTATTTTGAAATTTTTTCATTTTGCTAAAATAATACTTATTTTGAAAATTTTCTATTTTGCTAAAATGATACTTATTTTGAAATGGAGTACTTCTCAGTAATCTTAGTAATGGTTTCATTCCTTGGGGATAGAACAAACGGCTAGCTACTCCTTTGATCTTAATTATAAGGCACAAACTTCAATTAGTTTAAAGTCATAATTCGTGTTTTATAATTAGAATCACAGAAAAAAAAAAATCACCTTATTTTTTCCACAAATTCCCCCTACTTTCTTCTCCTCTTTTCCTCTTTTCTCTCGACCAAAAGTAAGTATGATTTTCGCATTGAACAAAACCATGCATGACCAACACCAATACTTTCCAAGAGGGTGCCCAACATATTACAAACGGTAAACAAACCACGAAAGAAACGCACGCAAAGGAGCTTCATGTGAAATTAACACAATTTAATCCATGAACTGAAAGGATGTGTTAATGCATCAAATTCATCTGAAGATATAGGTTTAAGCTAAATTTACCGGTTAAACGAAATCTTACATTGAATTAATACTTCCTTCGGTCCTTAATATAAGACATTTTGATTTGTCCTAGGTTTAACTTGGTACTCATTTTTAATTGACGAAAAAACCTTAAACATATATCATAACAATCAAGAGAACACAACGAATGTGAAAATATATTTTTAAAGTTTTTTCGTCAATGAAATATATATATTAGGTGAAATCTATGAAAAGTCACGATACCTTATAATAAGAGTCGGAGGGAGTACGAAAGAAATACACAGCTAAAGATTGTTTCGCACTAAGTGGATGCCAAACGCCATCGTCACATCTTCCTCTGGACCTCTGCTGCCACAACCACTTCCATCTTGCAAGAAACTGATTTTAATTTAATAAGGCATAGATCGGATGAGGTAAGCTCTTACATCAGACTTATGTAATCTATGCGGAAGAGCAGTGGAGACAACACTTCACGCCTTGCGGGATTGCGAGCTGGCCAAAAATGTTTGGAACAGGATCCTACCAGGCAGCTTACGAACCCAGTTCTTCCAACAGGAAATCGAGGAATGGCTACGAAGTAATCTAGAAGATGATGACAGAAACTGGAGGACTAAATTTGGCACAACATGTTGGTCGATCTGGAGTTGACGTAACGATCGAGTATTTAATGGAAACCAACTCACAGCAACAGAAGCAGAGAGAATTGCTGGCCACAGAGCTGAGGAAATCAGAAGAAGCAGCAGACTAATTACCAGGAGGCAGAGAGGAAGGAGTCGACAGGAAGAAGGTTCTAAATGGGAAAAACCTCCGGCGTCCTGGATAAAAGCAAATTGTGATGGAGCAGTGTGCAGCCACACAAGAAAGGCAGCTTGTGGAGCTCTTCTTAGGAATAATCAGGGAAGATTTATAAGTGCAGCCAGCATGCACTTGGGGCAATGTTCTGTAGAAACCTCATAAATTAAGGCTATCCAGCTGGCCATGAAAATTGCCAGGAACCACGGTTTCCAGAAAGTGATAGTAGAAACCGACTCAACTGGAGGTTTACAGCTCACACGGAGTATTCGTGAAAGCTCCGAAATTATGCTGGAACCTGACTTAAGGGGAATCCCGGATCTTTTGGCAATGAACTGGGAGGTCTGCTTCGAGCACACTTTCCGGGAGAATAATTTATGCGCAAATACGATAGCTAAATCTGCGTTAGATGTAGTTAATGGGCAATATTTTTTTGATGTTGCCCTGAGATTTATCTCCTTACTGTTAGAAAATGACTCTAGAGATTAGTTTTCTGTTATCAGTTTAGGCGTAGGCCTAGACCCTGTTGTTAACCAAAAAAAGAAAAAAAAAGAGATTCTAAGCCTTTTAATGTGTGTGCGGAGATGGGGAGATAGATAGATTTCGAGCATGCATCTGTTTGAACTTTGAACCCAGACAAGAGCTATCTCCTTTCCCAATTAATCCCATATATATACAACCAACAAAATGCTTTTACAACACACTATAATTCCAATTATTTTTTTATATATATATATTGGGGAGCGAAAACTCGGATTTAATAGTTAAGTACGCCTCAAGAAAGAGGCGATTGATCAAAAGCTAAAGCCTCTAAAACTACGATATGGAGGTTTACCAAAATATGTAACCTTGAATCTAAAGATAGTCCAAATAATTCCAATTATTATTTGATAACGATGGAAACCAGAAGCCATTTAAGCTATTTAAACACGATCTTTCTCCCATAAGAGCCTCCCAGTAGTATTAATTTGTTGCACCTCAAATTATTAATTTGTTATTTTGCGACCTATTACAGTGTTATCATTATTTTTTTTTTTACCAATTTATAAAAGAACCAATTAGATTGGTGCAAATGCAAATGCAAATTGGAAAGCTTAATTTGGCGCCAATGTTAAAGTAGGGTGTTTATTTTTCCAGCCACCATTTTTACTACTTACAGCCACCTTTTTGCATTTATTCCTATTTTGTCCCTCCCATTTGAAACTTTCACCACAGGAAATAGAGAGAAACCTCCCATCCCTTAATCTTCCAAACCCCAAATTGAAGTTTATTTGGAGCTAAAATCGATGGCAACACGGAAGAAACCAAGCGGGAAAGAGCTGATCTCATCAAATGTAAGTTTTTTTTTTTATATAAAAATTGAGTTTTTTTGGGGAAAAAAGGGGAAAAACCCCGACTGCCGGTCGGACGCGCAAGGAATGCGTCCGGCGGCTGGGACCGGACGCGCAAGAAACGCGTCCCGGTTCAAACCGGAACGTGCAAGCCGGGACGCATTTCTTGCGCGTCCGGTTCAAGCCGTCGGACGCATTCCTTGCACGTCTGGTCGGTGCCCCTAGACGGTGGGCCCGCGCGTCCCAGTCCGGACCGGTCCGGTCGGAGAACCGGACCGATCAGTAATTTTTTTTTGATTTAATTTATTTATTTTTTTATTATTAGCTTTTTAATTATGTTTAATATATTTAATTTAGTTTATATTGTTATGTAATTAGGTTATGAATTAATGTAAATATTTTATAATCTATTTTATGATTTAGATTAATTGATTATTAGTTTGTTATTCCTTAGTTAAATTTTGTAATTTAATTTAGTTAATTGGATTAATTTAATTAATAGTAGAATTGAATCTAATTTGTTTGTAATGTAGTTTAATTAATTAAATAAATTAATTTAAATAGTTTGTAAATTAGTTTAGCTAATTGGATTAATTTAATTAATATTAGAAGTTAATCTAATTTGTTTGTAATGTAGTTTAATTGATTAAATAAATTAATTTAGTTTTTAAATTATTTTAGCTTATTAGATTAACTTAATTAATAGTAGAAGTTAATTTAATTTGTTTGTAATATAGTTTAATTGACTAAATAAATTAATTTAAATAGTTTGTAAATTAGTTTAGCTAATTGGATTAATTTAATTAATATTAGAAGTTAATCTAATTTGTTCGTAATGTAGTTTAACTGATTAAATAAATTAATTTAGTTTGTAAATTATTTTAGCTTATTAGATTAACTTAATTAATAGTAGAAGTTAATTTAATTTGTTTGTAATATAGTTTAATTGATTAAATAAATTAATTTAAATAGTTTGTAAATTAGTTTAGCTAATTGGATTAATTTAATTAATATTAGAAGTTAATCTAATTTGTTTGTAATTTAGTTTAATTGATTAAATAAATTAATTTAGTTTGTAAATTATTTTAGCTTATTAGATTAACTTAATTAATAGTAGAAGTTAATTTAATTTGTTTATAATATAGTTTAATTGATTAAAACGTTTAGACTAGGAAAATATAATGATGATGACTAAAATTTTGTTTATAGGTTTATTGTGATGATGTTGATGAGAGTGGTAGTAGTAGTAGTGATACTGAAGATAGTAGTAAGCGTAAAGCCTGTTTGCGTAATTGCACTATGAGTCGTCGGAAGAAGAACCAAGAAAAAGAGGAGAAGAAGCGAAGGAAAATGACTCAGGTAAATACGGGTGGTGTACCGTTTGAGTCTCGGTCCAGTCAGCCGATTTATGTACCCGAGTATTCTGAGGACAAAATGGAAGAGGATAATGAGGATGATGGGCAGGACCATATTAGGATGGGTGCGCATCACAGAGATCTCCCTATGTACAATCCTGGTTGTCCACGGCCTGGTCCTGGAGGTTTACCCTCTCCCCCTAGCCTTATCTCTTCTCCTATTAGTGGTGATTGGCACAGTCGTAGTCCCTCTATCCCTGGTGCTGTTCAATTACCACTGGGTGTATCCATAGGTAGTCGGCCTCGTCCCTCCCGCGCTAGTCAGGCATCTCTTTCTCTCATTGATCCTGTGGGCCCTCACGGAGGTCCTATTTCCAGTGGAGTATATACACGTCCTCCTCCTCCTCTCATTGATCCTGTGGGCCCTCGCGGAGGTCCTTCTCCACTGCAGTATCTACACGCCCTCCTCCTCTCATTTATCCTGAGGGCCCTCGCGGAGGTCCTGTCTTCACTGGAGTATCTACACGTCCTCCTCCTCCTCTCACACGTCCTGTTACCACGACTGCATCAGCAGGTACCAATTAGTTATATTATATTTTTGTAATTATTTATAATTATCTCATTACATTTAATTATATTTATTGAATTATAGTATGTATATAAAATTGAATAAATAATATTTGGTTTACTTATTCATGGTACAGACGGCAACAGCCAGTCGAGAGTTTCTGATGAAATTGATCCGACTATATGGCTAGTGACAGATGAAGTACCTAGTGGGCCGAAAGATGGTAGTGTGATTCCTAGCTTTTTTGGGCATTTTGCTTATCATTTTTGGAATGGGTATAATAGACCCATCATGAAGATATTTAAAGGTGAAAAGATTCTTGGTAAGCTAAGGGATTGGTATAGGAATATGGATGATGTAGTGAGAGGCAAGATTCAGGGGACTGGATTGGCTCACCTTCTTCATACCTCTTATGATGAGATTGATCTTGGGCTAATAACTGCATTTGTTGAGAGGTGGCAGCCGGACACAAACTCATTTCATTTGCCGTTCGGGGAGATGACCATCATGCTGCGTGATGTTTATCATATTTTGGGCATTGATGTTGAGGGAGAGTTGGTGTCAGGTACGGCTGAGACAGAGGTGTTGAGGGGACATGTAGAACGGATACTTGGAATTGGTCCCAATGCTTACAAATGGAGTCATGGGTGTGTCTCTGATAAGTTCATCCTTGAGCGATGCCAGCGAGGGGACGATTCTCAGGCCTTAGGTTTCTTGTGGGTATTGTTAGCCTCGGCATTGTTCATGGGCAAGAGTGGTGGGAGGGTCAGTGTTTCACTTGTGTTTGAGCTTATCGGTGGGATCGACAAGATGAGTTCATACTCGTGGGACTCTACTACGCTGGCGTACCTATACCATCAGTTAGAGATGGCTAGTAGGGCACAGGCGCATCAGTTAGGTGGTTACTTGACCCTACTACAGGCTTGGATTTACGAGTATTTCCCGTGCTTCCGTCCTCAGGGAGGGCGAGTTACCCATACAAGTAACAACAGGCCTAGAGTACATGACTGGGTACCACCATCTTATGCGGGGTCGACATCTGTGCCAGATCGTCTTCGGCAGGTTAGGGAGCGTCTCGACAGGATGACCGAGTTAGAGGTACATAATATTTTAAAAATGTTATGTCATTTTTTTTCTAAGTTTATATTTATTTGTGACATTATTTTATTTTGTAGGTAATATGGCATCCATTTGGACCGGCCCAAAGAGGAATAGTTCCGAGGACTATCTACAGTGGGTGGATATGCTTTAAGAACATCCAGAAGCCATACATGCCGGACAGAGTTATACGTCAGCTTGGCTACGTACAGAACATTCCTCGTTCGCCCATGTCCCCTGATGATGTATTCCGAGGGCCCAAACCAACTACAGGGTACATTGTACAGCATTCACCTATTGACACTGTCAGTACTTGGAGGAGATTCCCGGAGTCAGGGTGCATTAATTTGGAGTTGAGGCGCATCTCCCTTGGTGAGACCATAGGAGAGTGTGAGGAGGGGTACCTTGAATGGTACAGGCAGTATTCACATCCCTTTCTTCTGCCAACAACTGACACATCTTCAGACTCCACACCAGCCCAGAGCAGTCAAGATTATGTAAGTTGTTGTTTCTAATTACTAATTTTTGTAAGTTGTTTTTTCTAATTACTAATTTATGTATGTTATATAGTTTAACCCTTTTTTTTCAGTGGATAAATGAATTGAGGAAGATCACTAGGGACCGGATCAGGAGAGTGAAAGTGACTGATCGCAATCTTGCTGATGAATTTGATTATAGGTTGCAGGATACGATGATCCGTTATTACAAGGCCCCATGAGCATTTGTGTTTTATGGTCTTTTCCTTGAACTATAATGTTATTTTTTTCTTGGACTGGATTTGTTTTTTTTTTTTTTTGTCTTGGACTGGATTTGTTTAATTTTTTTTTATTAACCACACATAAAAAAAATAACAAAAGTATTAGATAATAGACAACACCATCATACTACATAATATATAACACCATTATCATCATCACAACAATTAAACCATCACTGATCTAATCTAAGAAAGTAAGATCAATGTAATCATTAAAATCCACGGGGCGTCGAGGATTCGAGGGGACCAACTTATACCAATCTTGAATTGTAGGATGAAGTGGTAAGTCCCAACCATCAACGCTAGCATCATGTTCCCTAATCCATCTATCATCGATCGGTGGAACTGGAAAGTCCCAATCCAAATTAATCCGAATGAAGTGCTTGTAAATACCATGGTGACATATCCCTATCTCATATGCCGGAAATGTTGCCCCACTAACTGCAGCCACAGGTAGTACAGTCCAACATGTGTTGTTTAGCGACTCCTCCCCTCTCGGTGCACCGTAATAGTACACAATTGCATTGTTCATAGTCGCAACCACGAATAAGTCCGTCGTACACATCCAATGGGTAGCAGGTGGCATATCTTCTCCAAACTATCGTATACGATTGACTTCTTCCTCCACGGTGGTCCTGTATTTACATGTATACTTATTTGTCCAGTAATAATACAGTCAATGAAACTCAATAATATAGAAAATGAAAAAAAGTTATACCCGTAAATTCTGCTGTACAGATGCCAATTCTCTTCTAGCTCGGTCGCTATTGCCTCTCTCGCCCTCGGCCAATGGTCCTAGCACAGGAACATATAACTCGCTACGACGCGAAATCCACAATGGCCATCAACAACAACATCAAGGTAACTGGTAATATATGGTCGAATGGGCTAGGGAATGAGGTCATAGGAGTGATACTGTGAAATATCAGTCGCAAAAATTTCTGTAAATTACACGGGACAAATGTTAATTGGGGGGCTCTCAAATCATTCAACAAATAAATGATGGACGCAAAAAAAAAGTTCTTAATTTGTACCTGTGTATGCATCTGTACGATCACCTGAAGACGAGGGGCGCTTCTTACTTGAATCACTGGTAAATGTGGTCGACTTTCCTTGGGAGTCGTCGCTGTAACCCTACACATTAGGTGTTGATTTTGCATGTGTACAACCACCTGAAGACGAGGGGCGCTTCATACTTGAATCGGTCGTGGCCGTGGTCGACTTTCCTTGGGTGCCATCCCTGTAATTGCTTTTTTCTTTGATTTAGCCCCCTTCGGCCCCACCTTCCCTCTCTTGCCCTTATCGGGTTGTTTAGACCCAGACTGGTCTGGATATAAAATATCGTGGAGAGCCCTATTTGCCGAGCGTCGTACTGCCGGAGGGTGCTTGTCCAGCTCTTCCATCAACTGTCTGGTATAAAGGACATCGCCATCCACATCTTTCGAACCACCAGTATCTGCCTGTTCATCGATATTAAGGGTCGCCCAGAATGGGTGAATATGCTTAAGAGTAATCGATGAGCCGGCGTCTGCTGCTTTTTTCAGGGCGCACGCACACGGAATACGCCAAGTCCAATAAACCACATGGTCACATCTATCATGTGTTTCTTCTTTCCAATCAAGCACCTTCGACCATTGTTCGCTCAGTTTTTTCAAACATTTATGTGAAACTTTACACTTCAAGCGTCCAGTGGAAAATCTTGATAAAGGGTGCCAATTTTCTGTCTCGAGTATTCCAGTTTGAACCTGAATGTAGGATTATATTTTTTGTAACAATTAATTAATATAAAAAAATTTTAAAAATGCCAAGAATACTAAAAAAATACTAAATATATAATAAATAGAACTTAAGGGAGTAGAAGTTATCGTATTTGAGTTAGCTGAGTCTCAATCGACAAGTGCACCTTAGCCCAAAGTGTATCTAGCGCCGCAGTGGATGTTTCCAGCCAAGTCTTTAACTGTTTGTGCGCACTCTCCACTCTACCTGTAGTAGTGTTGCCCATATGAAACACAACATTCATCCAGTACTTGACGAATTTGTAGTCAACCACTAACCATGTGTTATGGATATACCTAAGAACTAGGGGAGAATGATGCCACTGACGGTCCATTTCGGCAACAGATTTCTTGTAGTCATCTTGATTCTGAGCTTCCACCACGTCTTTCCACAACCCATATGCAAAACCACCCTGCAACCTTGCCGTCAAACTTCAATTCCTGGGTGAAATGTTTTTTTACATTCTCATAAGCATGCCAAACACACAACAAGTGGTGTGAATCTGGAAAAATCACACTCAAAGGCGCCATCAACCCCGGTTCCCGGTCAGTAACAATAACACTCGGACACAGATGACCAGGAAGCAAATCCCTAACTGTCTCAAAGCCCAATAATAACTATCACCAATCTCGTCACTCAATAGGGCGTATGCAATCAAAAAGTTCTGGTTGCACGGTGTCATCCCAATAAACTCAACCAACGGCATCTTGTACTTGTTCGTCTTGTATGTAGAGTCTATCCCGACAACCCAATAATAAGTGCAAAGTAAATTGGCAGAATCAGGATGTGCAAAAAAAACACGAGTCAGCGCACCTGTCTCCTGATTGCAATATGTCATAATGATGTACTGATGATTCTTCGCCACAGATAGTGTCTTCATCGCGACATCCATGTAACTCGAGTCACCCAAGACCGGGAACTCCTCAGTACGCAATTTGTGCCTGTAATTGTAGACCTGTCGTATGTTTACATTTTCATCTTCAAATTGCCTCTGAATAGCTGCCAGTATTTTACACGGTTTGCATCCATCTTTAGACATATCATGTATTACCTTTTTCATTCCAACGCTAAGGCCCCTCGTCGGATGATCTTCGTCAAACAGGGGATGGTTATGCATTCCAAACTCACCATGATACACTCTAATGCACCAGATTCTACCAAATGGGTGCACATATATCTTAAATTTATACCCAGTGATTTGTGTCTTCGAATCCCTTGAGACACATTCTTCACTAATCTTTCCAGCTTTACTACATCTCATCAAAACATCATCATTTTTCTTTTTTGAAACTTTATTTATTATCATACCATTGGCTAAACCCATGCCTTTCACCCAGTCAACAGCATCATCTTTATTTGCAAATCCCTCATCTGTATCAAATAATACACTGTAATCTTAACCATCGCCACCAAAATCTTAAACATAAAATTACAAAAAAAAAAAAAAGAAAACCAAAAAACACTAAACCCATATATAAAAATTATATAAAATTTTAAATAAAAAATTAAGAAACATAAAATTACATTAAACAAAAATATTATAAAAAAACAAATATTCAACTAATCAAAAAACTCATTAAATTATTTTTTCCCCTAACTACACTTAAATTACTATAATTATTTAAATTCCCGTATACTATACTAAAGTAATACAATTTCTAATTAATTAATTAAACAAAACTAAATAAATTAATTAACATAACTAATCAAATTAAAAACTAAACTATATTAACTTCAAAAGAAACATACAATTATTAAACAAAAACAAATATTCAACAAATCAAAAAATTCATTAAATTATTTTTCCACCTAACTACACTTAAATAACTATAATTATTTAAATTCGCATATACTAAAATAATATAATTCCTAATTACATAATTAAATCAAACTAAATCAATTAATTAACATAACTAATCAAATTAAAAACTAAACTATATTAACTTCAAAAGAAACATACAATTATTAAACAAAAACAAATATTCAACAAATCAAAAAATTCATTAAATTATTTTTCCACCTAACTACACTTAAATTACTATAATTATTTAAATTCGCATATACTAAAATAATATAATTCCTAATTACATAATTAAACCAAACTAAATAAATTCATTAACATATCTAATCTATTTAAAAACTAAACCATATTAACTTCAAAAGAAACATACAATTATTAAACAAAAACAAATATTCAACAAATCAAAAAATTCATTAAATTATTTTTCCACCTAACTAAATTTAAATTACTATAATTATTTAAATTCGCATATACTAAAATAATATAATTCCTAATTACATAATTAAACCAAACTAAATAAATTAATTAACATAACTAATCTATTTAAAAACTAAACCATATTAACTTCAAAAGAAACATACAATCATTAAACAAAAACAAATATTCAACAAATCAAAAAATTCATTAAATTATTTTTCCACCTAACTACACTTAAATTACTATAATTATTTAAATTCGAATATACTAAAATAATATAATTCCTAATTACATAATTAAACCAAACTAAATAAATTAATTAACATAACTAATCTATTTAAAAACTAAACCATATTAACTTCAAAAGAAACATACAATTATTAAACAAAAACAAATATTCAACTAATCAAAAAAATTATTAAATTAATTTTCCCTCTAACTAAACTTAAATTACTATAATTAATTTAAGAATTCACATATATTAAAATAAAATAATATAAATTCCTAATTAAATAATTAAACCAAACTAAACTAAATAAATTAATTAACATAACTATAATAATTACAATCTAAACTATATAAAATTATTATCACGACAAAATAATAAAAAAAGGTTAACAGTTAATTAAAAAAATAGAAAGAAAAATTCATTAAAAAAAATTAAATGAAAATCGGACCGAACCGGGCAAGAAACGCGTCGCAGTTCAACCCAGGATGGGCAAGAAACTCGTTTGGGCTTTGAACCGAACGCTTGGCTCGCTCGTTCGGGCAGCAAGGTGGGCGAGTTTCTTGCTCGTCCTCGGTTCAACCGGGACGCGTTTCTTGCGCGTCCTTGGTTGAACCAGAACGTCTGGGCCGCGCGTTCCTGGTTGAACCGGGACGCGTTTGTTGCTCGTCCTTGGTTCAACCGGGACGCGTTTATTGCCCGTTCGGTCCGATTTTTTGATTTTTTAGAATTACCTCTGAGTGAATTATCTCTTTCTCTCTCTACCTTGAAAAAAATGGCAGGGGCAAAATGGTTAGACTCGGAAAAAGGTGGCTGTAAACAGTAAAAAGGTTGGCTGGAAAAAACCATCCCTTAAAGTACTTAGAAGCCATAGTTGGTCAAAATTTAAATTAACATACTTCTTTGTCGTACTACACTAATTACTTTTTTTTCTTTTTTTTTTTTCGAAACAATACAATTTGAGTCCTTTGGTGAATCAAACAGTTCGGCCATTGATAGCCACACTTAGATAATGTAATTCAAAGAGAAAATCTATTATGCAGCCATTGTATTACATAAGATTGTATAATTGTAAACAAAAAATGGACAAAGGTATAATTTTATCGTAAAAATTATCAAGAATTTAGGGGACACAATATATTTTTTTTCCCCAAACTAGATACTACTTCCGTTTCAAAATTATTGTCCAGTTTGTATTTTCAGTTTTAGTATAAATTGAACTAAAAATGAACATCCAAACTGGACAATAATTATGGGACGGAGGGAATACATACTATTGCAAAATTTCATCGACTCAAGATACATCGAGTTCAATCCGCTAAGTTTTTGCAACAAATTTCTTTTAGCACGTTGACCAACTCTGAGTTGCTGAATCATATGAACGATATTTGTGTTGCCTAGCTCTTCAGCCCTTTACCCTTTCTACTGTAAAAAGATTGCCATGAAATAAATTTCAAATTTCGACTCCAACAATTGAGCATTAAGCATTTCATTAAAAAAAAAAATTTAATATTCATAATAAAAACTGAAAAATAATATACCTAGTGAAAAGAAATAGTGAAAAAAGATAGTGAGTGATGTGGAGTATTCTTGGCCCCTAATTTTTGCTACTTTCTCATTAAAATTTTATCTTTCCCTAAAAATTATATTTTCACTCTTAATTAATAAGTATACATATTTAGTGAGAATGGTATATTTTTCTTTTCATTAGTCACTATACTTTTTTACAATAATTAATCACTATCTCTATTATTGCTCATAAAAACTACCTAGTTAAATTCCTAGCTCATATCTGATCATCACGTACGATGTGTCTACTTTTATACTACAAACAATGGATATGGATATGTCAAGAAGGAAAGATGGTTCCAAAAATTAAGGTGGGACAAATACAATTTTATTTTCTTTGGAATAAAACACGGCAAATTATCCAGTATACCCGGAGGCACCGTGTACCCCTCCTATTTTTTGTATTTTTAGCCCTTGTTATACTTTTTATCAATCTTTCTATATTTTACAAGTATAGTTCCTGTCATTTTTTCTCTCTCTTCCAAAAAAAACATCTCTAATCTTTCCACGAGCATATCTCATAATCCGTAAAGAATTAGAGAACGTGTTATGCATGAAAATTACAGTACTCGTTGAGATCTATTCAACAAGATCCATTTCGAATATTTTTTTTGAGTTTAAAAATGACTAAATTTTGATGGGCAGAATAAGTTGGATATCCAGTATGTTGGATAACCAGTATGCACGAGTTGGATAACCAGTATGAACAAAGTGGATAACCAGTTCAAACAATTTGGATAACCATGTAAATCCATTGGATAACCAGCGTTAGCTCATTGGATAATCCAATACAAACCAATGATTGGATAACCAATACAAACGAGTTGGATAACCAACTTAGTTTATTATTTTTTAAAAAAATAATAAAAACAAAAACCAGGTTGGATAAATAATACTAATTAGTTGGATAATCCGTCCATCAGAATTAAGTCATTTTTAAGCCCGAAAAAATGTTCACTGTGGATTTCGTTGGATAGATCTCGACGAGTACTATAAATTTTTATATATAATTCGTTCACAAATTCTTCACGGATTGGGAGATATGCTCGTTGAAAGATTAGAGTTGGATATGCATACAAACCAAATGGATGGATATTCAGTACAAATAAGTTGGATAACCAGTATGAACACAGTGGATAATCAGTACAAACAATTTGGATAACCAACTTATTTTACATTCATATTATTCTTTTCCTTGTATCTAATGATTCGTAAAGAATTATAACATGAATTATATATGAAATTTATAGTGCTCGACGAGATCTATCCGATAAGATCCATGTTGAATATTTTTTTTGAACTTTAAATGCATTTAAATTTTACGAGCAAAAATGAAGAAATGCGTTTTTTGTTTTTCTTTGAAAAATAGTTATCCAATCGGTTTGGACTGATTATCCATTATGTTCGTACTTGTTATCCAATCATATGTTTGACATTCACTCTTAAAAAAAAAAAAAAAAGATGGATATCCACCTCTATTCTATTCTGCCCGTCAGAATTAAGTCATTTTTAAGCCCGAAAAAATGTTCACTGTGGATTTCGTTGGGTAGATCTCGACGAGTACTATAAATTTCATATATAATTTGTTCACAAATTCTTCACGGATTGGGAGATATGCTCGTTGAAAGATTAGAGTTGGATATGCATACAAACCAAATGGATGGATATCCAATACAAATAAGTTGGATAACCAGCATGAACACAGTGGATAACCAGTATTAGCGCATTGGATAATCAATATGAACACATTGGATAACCAGTTCAAACAATTTGGATAACCATGTAAATCCATTGAATAATTAGTATTAGTGCATTGGATAATCAACATGAACATAGTGGATATCCAGTTTGAGAAAATGGATAACCAACTTATTTTACATTCATATTGTTGTGTTCCTTGTATCTTTTGATCCGTAAAGAATTATAACACGAATTATTTATGAAATTTATAGTGCTCGACGAGATCTATCCGATAAGATCAATGTTGAATATTTTTTTAAACTTTAAATGCATTTAAATTTTACGGGCAGAAAATGAAGAAACGTGTTTTTCGTTTTTCTTTGAAAAATGGTTATCCGTTGTGTTCATGCTGATTATCCAACCGGTTTGGAGTGATTATCCATTCGGTTCGTACTTGTTATCCAATCATATGTTTGACATTCACTCTTCAAAAAAAAAAAAAAAGATGGATAACCACCTCTATTCTGCCCGTCAGAATTAAGTTATTTTTAAGCCCGAAAAAATGTGCACTGTGGATTTCGTTGGATAGATCTCGACGAGCACTATAAATTTCATATATAATTCGTTCACAAATTCTTTACGGATTGGGAGATATGCTCGTTGAAAGATTAGAGTTGTTTTTTTTGGAAGAGAAGGAAAAAAGTCACAGGGACTAAAATTGCAACATATTGAAAGATTGATAAAAAGATACAATAAGGACTACTCGCAAAAAATAGGAGGGAGGCACGGTGCCCCCGGGTATACTGGATACATCCTCTAAAACACACCATATTTTTCTGAAAGGAATAAAAAACACACCATATATTAAGAAAAGGTGAATTTTCTTTTTTGGTACATAGAAGAATAAAGTTACAAAATGTCATTTTAATAGTAGAAAATGTCAAAGTCAACACCGTACCTCGGTCAAAGAAAAGGTGAATTTGTAGAAAATACGTAAGGTTTAATCCAATTTTATTTTTTTTTAAAAAAAAAGGTTTAATCCAACGGCCGCCGTCTTTCTGTTTCTGGGTGCGGAAAGAGTTGCAGGATTCATAGGACAAATTATCTGAGACTCGGCATTAAGTACGGGAACTTCAGCAAAGAAGAAGCGGGTTCTAAACTTACCTGCATTAAGATCGATTTATACTGCACAATCTACAGTTTCATCTGAATGATGTCCATGCTGAAAAAATTCAATACCAATGCATGGTTTCTGCCTGTTATGGCTTATTTATTTATTTATTTTTTGGGAGTAAGATGTTGATTTTAAAGGAAGCAAGAATCTGAACTTAAGAATTTCTCTCAAACGGGTAGTTCGATATTGGCACAGTACAATAGCAATTTCAATGATCCATTTTATAGAGGAAACAATAGCAACTTCAACTTCTAAGATTTTCACAATGTTTTCTTTTAAACAGATTTGACAAATTAAACTTCTCATTAGAAATCTTTAGCCGAAGAATCAGTGACAACTGCAGTACATTGCATGTTCTAAGAGCATGTTTAGTACTCCCTCCATTCTGAAATATAAGTCGCTAGGAAATTTGCACATAGTTTAAGAATCTATTAATTAGGGTGTTTAATTTACATAATTACCCTTAACCTTCTCCTAATCTAATACAAAGTCTTTATCTTAAATACACTCCTTTTATCGATGGAACCATATCAGTTTCTCCATCGCCGCTTCATCCTCTTCCAATGCCTCCTCCATCGATTTTTATCAGAATCACATAACAAAATTCAGTTTCAACCCCATGTTTTTTTTTACAAAATCAAAACCCAAAATTTTCTTTAGCAAACATAGCTGCCGACCATAATCAAACAAATCCTGTGATAACCCATCGTTACAGACTTCTCAATCTTATTTTTTACAATTCGATATTGCCTGATGAGTTAACGAAAATAAAGTAAATAATTGGTGGTTGATTCTCTTATCATCTAGATTCTTTTTTAACCTTTCTTGATTGTTTTTCTCCGGCATGAATTGGATAGGAGATGGTGTAAAGGTACAATCTTGATTTAATGTGAAACATTTTTGGCTCTTTATTTTTTCCGGTATGAATTGGGTGGGAGATGGTGTAAAGGTACAATCTTGTGTTTGCTTGGATTGTTTCGCCGCCATTGCTTGTGACTGTTGTTCGGATAACTGTGTTCGGATTGGTGAGCGAAGAAGAATAATAGGCATTGGATTTATCATAATCAATGGACTGTTCATTAATGTCTTCTCCTCTTCTCCTTCAAAGGGAGGGTATTTTTGGTAATAAGAGTCAAATTTGCATAGATATGTGAGAACTATTTATATTTTAGAAAATCCTATTTTTTCTCCAAGGACTTATATTTTAGAATTGAAGGAGTATAACCATCATCGAAGTTTGTGCAATCTTGCTACTAAATCAATCCCATAAATTAGCCTCTTAAATTAAATTACCAGCAACTCTCTCTCTACAGTTTTGGTTTAGTAAAATGTAAAGTTTGTACCGTCTAGGATATGAAACATTAGCATATTATAGCCCATTGCGGGATGTTGAGAAGGTATTTTATCACAAGTTGATGGTAGAAAGCGCATACAACTGATTTCTATAAGCTTGCGTTTTCCAAAGGATGGAGTGTTTCCAATGAATCTCTTACGATTGCAATTTCTCGTCCAACAAAGGCGTCAACCCTTTCCAAAACATTGTCATACCAAAGCCTGGGCCAGGAAAATCAACATAAATTTCAATAAATCCGCATTTCACTCGCATTGAAAACGCAAGTCTGGAGTTCACTGAACTATAATCAAAACACAAATATGGTCTTATAGATACAGCAACCGAAAAGTAATAAAACCACCAAGGGAGACAGAGAAGTGACAATCTAGAAATCCCTCTCTTCCACAAAAAGAGGCATAAGACCACTAGAACCGCTTGGAAATTCAATGAGTGCGGGCGTCGCGCTCTTTCCATTCTACGAGCCCGAGTTTCGTTGAAGCTATCCAATTCTTCCCCACAAGGCTCGGGGCCGGTTGTGGCAATTCAATGCTGCCCAATTAAAAGCCTGAGCTTCGTTTTCCCTACGCATGTCCTCCCACTTTCGCCCAACTTCCCTCAAGTACCGCTTTTGTAATTTCACAATATTCTCATTCCGGACCACCAGCTTAACCCCAGTACTTCCAACATGATAGGCTTGCATACAGGAAAATAGAACACAATCATCAGCAGGGGTGGGGGTGGCATGGAATAACCTCTTCGTCCCACTCTAATAGTCCACTTTGTTCAACAAAATTGGAACAACAAAGTGAACTATTAAAAATTGGATGTAGAGAGATAAGAAACCAAAATGGACCATCTGACGACTCTCCATGTATATACATAAAAGTGCAACAATAAAAGAGGCCAGAGGGAATCAGGTACTTGGAAACTTACCACTGACACATTCACGACATTCGTGCGCGTGATATACAGCCATACTAAGTGTCCTTTTGGCCAACTCAGCAGATTTCTCCACAGTTATATCCTTGATCCTATAGAAAAACCAGCAAAAAGTTCTCAAGGAGTCCAGCACAAAGCAGAAAAACTGATCTGGATTCTTTTAATTTTTTTAATTATTTTTTAAAAAATAACAGTATTCAAAGCAACTTAAATGTAGCATCTGATGCATCCAGAAAGGCCAAGCATCAATTCCTAAATATTCAAGGCAACGAAGGCCACGAACATGTTTATGCGTTACAATTCAAAGTAGGGAGAAGAGACCTACGTGCGATCAGTGCTATCAATTATAACAGCGAGATTTGCAGCACATCCAGTTCCAGCCCATGAGTCTGTTACTTTAAGACGTTTTCCGTTGCCTTTAACTTTATACAGGCCAGGTCCCTACAGAAAGACAACCCATGATCAATTCAGTTAGAGTAATAGGGAAAACCAAAGAGACAAGAGAATTCTGAAGTTTACCGATTCGTTGCCCCACCCGGCAATCAGTATCCCGAGTGAAAAACTGCAATCGCTGTCGGGATGAAGGGACAGAAACTCCGCCAGCCACTCGGATGCTTCTGCAGCAGAAGCTTTTCTTCCCTCCTTGAGTTCTAGTTTGCGGCACTAAAACACATACAACGTCCACATGAATTACTACAACAGCCAAATCAATGTTTTTTCTTTCCTAAGATGGCATGGTAAACCGTTTCTAACATATAGTGTTCACAGCAACAATTAAGTACCTTGTCCGGCAGATGATCTAGCAAGTATCCGCGCGAAGCTTCGCTCCCGCCAGAAAAAGAACAAAGCAGGTGAGAGTTGAGTTCCATAACATTCGCTGGAGGTACTTCCCCGCTTGAATGATCAAGCGCTACCATAACCCATTCATTGTTGAAAATGAAACCGTGGGTTGTGGTTCCCTCTTCATACCCACCACGGTAAAAGACCTCATTCTTACATACACACCACCAACAAAAAAATAAATAAATAAATAAACAAATAAAACCAAACAGAGAAGAACACCCAAAATGTAGGTAACTATAGTCATCCCTATACTTATAAACGTCCCACTGAATCTGAATGTTATTGGGCGAAAAATTCAAAGTAGGGAAAAAAGAACTCACCTCGCGGAGTATACGTAAACGTCGTCGCAAGGTCCGTACTTCCTCCTTTAATACAAGGAAAACAAACAAAGTAATCAGCCGAAAACTTATGAAAAGGAAATTCAAAAAGGAAACTAAAACAGCAAAACGAGATCTAGTTTGGAGAAGAGGAGAGAATAGAACACCCCAAATGAACGCAATTTCCGAAGATTAAGCATTGGAGTATAGTCATAATTATATGAACGGGAGGAAGAAAAAAAAACTCACAAGGGAGAGAGGATCTTCAGGAGTCGGTCGTTTCGCCTTTAATACAAGCAAAAGAAACAAAGTAATCAGACGAACATGTATACAACGGAAATTCAAAAAGGAAATTAAAACAGCAAAACGAGATCTAGTTCGGAGATAGAAGAGAATACGCAGAGATATTCACCTTTGTGGGCATAGTTGATAACGGTTAAGGTCGATCCACGGGAGATTGTATCAGTCGTTCTCGGCACCTTCAATCCAAGCAAAACAAACAAAATCAGACCGAAAACCAAACAGAGTTGATTTAATTGATGTATGTGGATTCTTGCCCTAATTTTTCCGAATAGTTCGCGATTTACACCTTAGCTAATAATAATAAAATATACTCCCTCCGTCCCATAATTATTGTCTAATTTTACTAAAATGAAAGATTTTATTTTTAGTCAAACTTAACTTATATTTTATCTTGAACAACCGGATATACCCTACATAAGTAATTGTTTAACCACAAAGATTTTAATGGATAATGCTTTTACTAAGGACAAATGTGTAACTTGATCCATAAAAAGTCAAATTGGACAATAATTTTAGGACAAAATTTTTTGGGCAAAGTGGACAATAATTATGGGACGGAGGGAGTATAAATCTGCAAGAGATGGAACCAAAATACAAACAGCCAAAGAACCCTAATTCGATGAAGAAAACGATTTACCTTCTTCGCCGACTTCGAGAGTCCAGTGCTTCGCCCTCGTTGTTGATTTATCTATTATGTTCGTGAACTTCATCTGGATTAGATAAGCTCTATGAAGTACTGTTGTACAAATGTTACTTCACAGCCAAAAAATTTGAAATATATATTGGCCCATTGTGAATTTGGACTTGGGAGGTGGCTACCTGTTAATAGCCCAACAGTTATATATAATAAATAAGAGTAATATACTCTTAACATAAAATTTCAACAATATTTCACGAAAACCGACATGACATTTACAGTTGGCTGCCTCAACCCCATTTTTTTTATTTTCTCTCTCTTCTTTTCCTTTCGTTTTTTTCTTCAATTCAATGGAGTTTCTTTCACTCATCCGCGTCCTTCCTCTTTGTCATCCACGCCCATAATTTCCATCCTCAATTCAGAATTCTCACTCTCACTATCTCTTAAAACTTTATCAAAATTGGAGAGGTCTTTAAAACCTTACTTCTCTCATCGAAAATCTTCCTCATCTCCGTTTACTTTTGGTTACTGTTTGTCAATTCAAAGTGTTTGAGATCTATGTTCTCACCGTTGAATTACATGTTCGGGAAAAATTGTTTTGAGAAAAATGGTTTGGTTCGAGATCGATTGACAGCTGGGTTTGATCATTTTTATGGTCGCAGTATGGAAGATGGAATATTATGGTACTTTTTAAGAAGACGACAAGTCTGCTTCCACGCCGGCTTAGAATTGTTCAATTGAGTTTGTCTTTCCTTCTTCTTTTTTTTTTCCTTCCTTTTTTGTCAAAAGATCTTCTTCTACTTCTAGAATGTAGTTTTCTATTTTGATCTTGGTTGCTTAGATTTGATTTGATGTTAGTTTTCCTGTTGAAATAAATCCATCCATATTGGCACGGTTGGATTCAAGAATAAATCTATCGATCCATATGCGTTGAGGGAGACGCTTAAATGCTACAAGGGATTTAGGAGCATTTTCTTAATACAAAAAAAAAAAAAATTCACTCCAGTGGACCCACTTAAATGTGGATAAAACCCTCCTTACAACTCCTGGTGGGAATCGAACCCTGGTCTATTACCAGAAAAGGTAGCAACCTAACCACTAGACTGTCATTCAATTCCTAGATTTAAGAGCTATCTGACTTCAATGAAATTTATTTGGCATAAAAGCTTTTGTGTGATGATATTTTGAAGGTTATTAAACTCAACTTCAGAGTGTTCAGTCTTTCATAGTGAATTTGATCGAGATCTTACTCGTCTCGAATAAATTGTTGTTAAGGATCATCATTGTGTGATGGATAATGGAGAGAAACATGTTAGATAAGCAACAGGGATTCAATGTTTAACAATGAATATATGATAGATCAGAAGTAAAAAGTTAAATTAATAAAGAATTTTTAGACTTGGAAGACAATCAAAACTGCTTCAACAATCTACATGGTAATTATAATAATAAGCACCTAAGTACACCTTACAAAGTGTACCTAGGTTGAAACATACGCGCCCACAATCTCAAAAATTCTGAAACTACCATTTATTATCCTTTTTTTATGGGATTTTTTATTTTCAAATTTTCATAACTGCTGATTCATCCTAATTATCCGTCATTTATCATACCATTCTATCCATTCTATCTGCAACCATAATCTCAGAGTTTTTTTATTTTGCATAATTTTGATAGACCAAATTCTCTCGTCGGCTGTACTCTTGAAGACGAAATCAATTTCGTGCAGCCAAAACTTGGATTTTACATCATTTCGATGATGATTACGGTAAGAAATCATGTTATTTATCTCTTTTGTCTGGTTGTTTCCCAAATCTATCTCTTAAAAAAATAAATTTGTCCGCTAAATCTTGTTTGAAATTCTCAAAATCTTTGTTTCGATATTCAGATTTGCCAGTTCGAGCTCGTTCGATGAATCGTTGAAGGTTATAGATTCAGATTTGTTGTGAAAAAGAATATAATTCAGATTTGGTGAATCGCCAGAGGCTTATGGATTCAGATCTGTTGTGTAAAGAAGAAAAAATTAATAGATCTAGGTGTTGTTCATCAATTTAATATCATTATTCATCTTTAAAACATGTTAGTTCATCGGTGTTCTAGTCTTGGACATCGATTTGTGGTTGATTTCAGAAAATATTAATAGATCTGGAATTATTCATCATCACGGCATCATTATTCATCATCAATGTGTGGTTGTTTTAGTCATGTTTTCTTCTTTTGTGAAATGTTTATTCATCATTCATCATCGATTAATGATGTTAGTTCATTAATTTCTTAGTTTTGTTCATCGATCTGTGGTTGATTTTCGGAAAAGATTAATAGATATAGGCTTTGTTTTTTAGTTTAATATCATAATTCATGTTTAAAACATGTTAGTTCATCGATATTCTAGTCTTGTTCATCGATTTGTGGTTGATTTTGGAAATCAGATTTTTAAATCATTATCTATTTCTGGTGGTTATTCATCATCTTAATATCATTATTCATCATCAATTTTGGGTTGTTTTAGTCATGTTTTCTTCTTCTAGTGAAACTTTTATTCATCATCTATTCTAGTTATTCATTATTTTCGCTTAGTTATTCATTCTAATTGTTTTACAAACTACAAGTGATGTTGTTTATCATGTAACATGTATTATGCATCCGTTAATTTTCTTCATCAGATTGGCATTTGGTATTCATTATATTGTGTTTTTGTGCTATTCATCCGTGGAGGGATGGTATTCATTGGATCGGTAATGATTATTAATTTTCAAATTTCATAATCCGAAAAAAGTACATGGTATTTTGTCATTGTCAAAATGTGTATCCATCATCTATGTACAGTTATTTATTAATTCACAAAAAAGTTGTTCATTAATTTTATGATACATCTGATACGTTGATATTAATAAACACAATTAAAAAATTGTCCAGTAATGATTATTCATCTTCAATGGTATTGTTATTGATGATTTACAGAGTTTTGATTGAATGTGAAATCTCACTTATTATAATTTTTTTCGTTTGATCAACAACAAAGAAATGCTCATCAAGATGAAGTCGATCGGTCGAGAGTTAAATATTTTGCCAGAGTTGCTGAAATCAAACAATCAACATAAACGTGTATCGAACATCGGCAAATCCTTCAAAACTAGAAAGGGGATAAGATCAAGGAGTTAAATGCCAAAAAAAAAAGATAACATTAGAGGGATTAAATGCCAAAAAAAAGGGGATAAAATTAGGTGATTAAATGCGTGTGTGGTGACTATAAATCTGGACTAAAATGGTCAGTTTTTTTTCCTAAGTTTGTGATACACGCACTGCTTGAGTATACCTTGCAAGGTATACCTAGGAGTTTAATATTATTTGCCATGTATATGGTCTACATTAAGGTCTTAAATTACAAGAATTGAAAGCGCAGACAATCCCAAATTCTCATAAAAATCGTTCTAACACCTAAATAACAATTCAACTCCAGCTTGCAAACTATTGCCTCCTTCTATCTTCAATTGACCCATGATTTTGGGACGTTGCACTTAGCCAATGAGGAAAAAAATGTCAAAAAAGTTTCAAAATGTAATAGGTTAATAAAGAAAGATGACGAATCATTAGGTCACTGGATGCAATACTCAATCCACCCATAGCACAGACAACGAAAAGAAGTAGCACCACGATGACTACAACGAATGAGTATAAAAAAGATTAAAGTGCAAACTTCTTCACATTCTTCTTTGAAAAATTCCAGTAGATCCTTCCTTGCAACAATGTCCAGATCAACAGTAACCTCATCCAACAAAAGAACCTGGTACATCAAAGTACATCAAATTAGTATAAGAATATAATCATTTTACTTCAAATCAACGATAACAGAAATATAATGTGGCCGTAAATGCCATTAACAGGTCACCATTAGGAGAACATAGTTGCATTCTCTTAATGAAGAGCGCGGCTTAAAGTGAATCAAATCTCCATTTGCATCAAAGTGAATACAAGTTACTGACTGCCACATCTAGTAAATTTGAAGTGCTCAAAAATATTTAGCCAGCTCATATCACAGTTTTATTCTATACAACATATCCTAGTCGCATCAGTTTAGAAGTTATCATGCCAGTTTATAAGGTACTAATCCCAACATACAACTAAGGAGATCACTTGAAGACTATATAAAAACAATCTGTAATGCTAGAAAAAATTCTCCTCACCTCCAAAAATCATATACTTCGTAGAAAAATCACCCTGAAGTGAAATCTTCCCCTGAATTCACATGAATAGAATGAGATTTCACAAGCTAAAAATTGTTTTTTTGGATGCAAAAAATTGTTTTGGCATAATCATAAGCTTTTTATTTTAGTTTTATTTGGTTCATTCTTGTTTGCTTTTTCAGATGAATGCCTTCATAAGCCCCTTTATCTAATGTTCATTCAGATATGGTGATGCATTCTGGGACAAGAAACATTTTGAATACACAAAGCAACATTTGTTACTTGTTTTTGGATTGTACGAAAAGATTTGAGTGTTCCCTCTTTGTGATTTTCTGGAGTATGTTATGCAATTAAGTCAGACACTATTACATGATTTGGCTGTAATTGTCTTCTTTACAAGTTTTCAAGGAGCAGTCATCAAATTATTGGACTTGAATGTAACTTAAAATTTGCTTTGCTTTCAATGGAGTTGCCTTGCAAAATCGTGGAGTTGTGTCCATTTTAGTCTCGCCCTGCAGTTTATGACATTTAGCCTTATTTTTTATTATTGTTTCAGAGACTTCACTTCTCCTTAGAGAACTCTTCTGGTTTTAGTATTTACTTAATACTACTAGAGTATTTAGTTTCTGAACAGTATCAGAGATAACACTCTCCTTATCTGGAGAAGTCTTCTGGTTTTAGTATTTTCTTTATGATACTATAGGAGTTTAGTTTCTGAACAGGATATTTTTGAGTAGTCCTGAAATATTATAGGAGATGGTTGTAATAGAGCAATATATTTACATGTTTACCAAAATAAAATGTTACTGATGATTTTACTTCTTTGTGGCAGTGCCCGGTTGACAAATGTCGAGGCTGGCGCCCATGCCTTGGCCGCTGTTTGTCAAGGTGCGGCTTCCGACGATTACTTAGGTGGGTACGTGAGGTGCGTCCGTCTTGGGCCAACAACCGGGGGGATGATTCAGAATGCAAGAGAGTTGATACCAGTGTACACCGCTCAACACCTGGGTTGACCCAGCTCGGTTTGGCATATCCAGAGGCTCACAGTGGCACCTCCTCCGAGAGTGACGCAGACCTAGATGCCCCTGGGTCTTCATCTTCTAGTGGCACTGCACATATATGATTTCTTGGAGAAATCAATTCTTGTTAAATCATCGGGCAAATTATCCAGTATACCCGGGGACACCGTGCCCCCCCTCATATTTTTTATATTTTTAGTCCTTATAGTACTTTTTTTCTCAATCTTTCTATATTTTACACGTTTAGTCCCTGTGAGTTTTTTTCTCTCTCTTCCAAAAAAAAATCCCTAATCTTTAAACGAGCAAATCTCCCCATCCGTGAAGAATTTGTGAATGAATTATATATGAAATTTATAGTACTCGTCGAGATCTATCCAATGAAATCCATAGTGAATATTTTTTCGGGCTTAAAAATAACTTAATTCTGATGGACAGATTAGGGGTGGATATCCAGTTTTACAAGATTGATAACCAACTTGTTCTAAATTGGTTATCCATCGTGTTCATGCTGATTATCCAATCCGTTTAAACTGGTTATCCATTTTGTTTCTACTGTTTATCCATTTGGTTATCCAACTTCTTAATTCAAAATAAGTTAGTTATCCATCTTCTTAAACTGGATATCCAATGTGTTCATATTGATTATCCAATGCGTTAATACTAGTTATCCAATGGATTTACATGCTTATCCAAATTATTTGTACTGGTTATCCACTGTGTACATGCTGGTTATCCAACTTATTTGTACTAGATATCCATCCATTTGGTTTGTATGCATATCCAACTCTAATCTTTCAACGAGTATATCTCCCAATCCGTGAAGAATTTGTGAACGAATTATATATGAAATTTATAGTACTCGTCGAGATCTATCCAACGAAATCCATAGTGAATATTTTTTCAGGCTTAAAAATGACTTAATTTTGACGGACAGAATAGAATAGAGGTGGATATCCATTTTTTTTTTTTGAAGAGTGAATGTCAAACATATGATTGGATAACAAGTACGAACAGAATGGATAATCACTCCAAACCGATTGGATAACCATTTTTCAAAGAGAAACGAAAAACACATTTCTTTATTTTCTGCCCGTAAAGTTTAAATGCATTTAAAGTTCCAAAACATATTCAACATGGATCTTATCGGATAGATCTCGTCGAGCACTATAAATTTCATATAATAATTCGTGTTATAATTCTTTACGGATCAAAAGATACAAGGAACACAACAATATGAATGTAAAATAAGTTAGTTATCCATTTACTTAAACTGGATATCCATTGTGTTCATGCTGGTTATCCAACTTATTTGTACTGGATATCCATCCATTTGGTTTATATGCATATCCAACTCTAATCTTTCAACGAGCATATCTCCCAATCCGTGAAGAATTTGTGAACGAATTATATATGAAATTTATAGTACTCGTCGAGATCTATCCAACAAAATCCATAGTGAACACTTTTTCGGGATTAAAAATGACTTAATTCTGACAGGCAGAATAGAATAGAGGTGGATATCCATCTTCTTTTTTTTTTTGAAGAGTGAATGTCAAACATATGATTGGATAACAAGTACGAACCGAATGGATAATCACTCCAAACCCGTTAGATAATCAGCATGAACACAACGGATAACCATTTTTCAAAGAAAAAAGAAAAACGAAAAACACATTTCTTTATTTTCTGCCCATAAAATTTAAATGCATTTAAAGTTCAAAAAAAATATTCAACATGGATCTTATCGGATAAATCTCGTCGAGCACTATAAATTTCATACATAATTCGTGTTATAATTCTTTACGGATCAAAAGATACAAGGAACACAACAATATGAATGTAAAATAAGTTGGTTATCCATCTTTTTAAACTCGATATCCAATCTGTTCATGCTGGTTATCCAACTTATTTGTACTGGATATCCATCCATTTGGTTTGTATGCATATCTAACTCTAATCTTTCAACGAGCATATCTCCCAATCCGTAAAGAATTTGTGAACGAATTATATATGAAATTTATAGTACTCGTTGAGATCTATCCAACAAAATCCATAGTGAACACTTTTTCGGGATTAAAAATGACTTAATTCTGACGGGCAGAATAGAATAGAGGTGGATATCCATCTTCTTTTTTTTTTTGAAGAGTGAATGTCAAACATATGATTGGATAACAAATACGAACCGAATGGATAATCACTCCAAACCCGTTGGATAATCAGCATGAACACAACGGATAACCATTTTTCAAAGAAAAAAGAAAAACGAAAAACACATTTCTTTATTTTCTGCCCATAAAATTTAAATGCATTTAAAGTTCAAAAAAAATATTCAACATGGATCTTATCGGATAAATCTCGTCGAGCACTATAAATTTTATATATAATTTGTGTTATAATTCTTTACGGATCAAAAGATACAAGGAACACAACAATATGGATGTAAAATAAGTTGGTTATCCATCTTTTTAAACTGGATATCCAATCTGTTCATGCTGGTTATCCAACTTATTTGTACTGGATATCCATCCATTTGGTTTGTATGCATATCCAACTCTAATCTTTCAACGAGCATATCTCCCAATCCGTGAAGAATTTGTGAACGAATTATATATGAAATTGATAGTACTCGTCGAGATCTATCCAACGAAATCTATAGTGAACATTTTTTCGGGCTTAAAAATGACTTAATTCTGATGGAAAGATTATCCAACTAATTAGTATTATTTATCCAACCTGGTTTTTATTTTTATTATTTTTTTAAAAAATAATAAACTAAGTTGGTTATCCAACTCGTTTGTATTGGTTATCCAATCATTGGTTTGTACTGGATTATCCAATGCACTAATGCTGGTTATCCAATGGATTTACATGGTTATCCAAATTGTTTGAACTAGTTATCCACTTTGTTCATACTGGCTATCCAACTCGTGCATACTGGTTATCCAACTTACTGGATATCCAACTTATTCTGCCCATCAAAATTTAGTCATTTTTAAACTCAAAAAAAATATTCGAAATGGATTTCGTTGGATAGATCTCGACGAGTACTATAAATTTCATGTATAATTCGTTCACAAATTCTTCACGGATTGGGAGATATGCTCGTTGAAAGATTAGAGCTGTTTTTTTTGGAAGAGAAGGAAAAAAGTCACAGGGACTAAAATTATAAAATATTGAAAGATTGATAAAAATGTACGGACTACTCGTGCAAAAATAGGAGGGGGGCACGGTACCCCGGGTATACTGGATACAGCCTCAATCATCGCACACCGGCAATAGAAGAATTTTTGAACTAGTGAAATTATGTGTAGTCTCTTGAACTTTGATGTCTAAAGAGCGCTTATAATAAGCTGCTGTACTCAACTTAAGGTTTAATTCTGCACCCCTTGAACTTGATCTTTAATTTTTAATCATTAGTGTACCTTGCACAAATTTAGTTCTCTTCTGCCAGTGAATTGATATCTGATAATATTACATCTCGTTTTTATGATACAAGAGAGAGATGTGTTATTCATTCTACTGCATATTTTGTGATGGGAATTACTGAATGCGAAGGCATTCAGTTTCTCGAGGGAGATTTTCAATTATAATCGTCTAGATAGTGCTTCCCTTCTCTTAGCAATTCAGCAATTCTCTTAGAAAGGCAATAAGCAGTAGATTGGATGGTAATCATGGGATTAACACCAATGGCGGTAGGAATGACTCTTCCATCACATACAAACAAGCCTTCTGCTTCCCAGCATTCACCATTCTCATCAACTGCACCGTCCTCTTCATTAGCTCCCATTCCACAGCTACTCATTTGATGAGCAGAACAATACATTCCCCATTCCTCTGACTTGGATTTCGGCCCGGGAAGTGCCGTAACATTGACCAGAAACTCTTCCAAATCCATATCCTTAATCCCTTTACAGCATAGTTTCTGTCCATCACTTCTGAAAGTTTCTACCTCAACTGCTCCCGCAGCAACTAGAATCCTTAAAGCCTGTCTTAGCCCAACTTTGATGTTTTCCTTGTCAACTCCATCCAAACGATACTTGATCCGACTCTCCTCCATCACTTCTCCAGAACCTTGATCTGTAACCAGCGCAAATGTAGATGCTGTTCGCGAATATTTTCGCATTCTCTCTTTCATGTCGCTTCCGGATGTCCATGGCACCAAAGATGCATAGGATGATGGGCCCATTGCTGCGCATTCAATGATACAATCGGCATTGGAATCGCCAGCGTTCACTTTGTGCACGCGAGTGATGATTCCTCCCTCGAAACATTTTCCCTTAACTTCTGAGCCAGATTCTGGAAAATATCCCCAGGCCATGAGAACAGGATGGAGATGGAGATTACGACCAATGTTTTTGTTCCTTAGTCCACAATTCAATAACAATGGCGGCGTCAAAATAGCGCCACAGGCCGAAAACGTGACCCTTACCTCGATTTCCAGCATCCTGTTTGTGCTGTTTTTGCTTTCCACAGCCGCAATCACTCCCCTGCATCTCTTCCTCACAGCTCCATCCTGATTTTCGAGTATAAATTTCTCAGCCTTACAACCTGTTAAGATCACTGCACCATTGTTAACTGCATCAACTAGCCAAGTTGAGTCTGTACATTTCCTGTCTCCTGTTTTACAACCATAACTACAAGAACCACAATAATGCTCCTCTGAAGATTTCCGGGCAACTGGTAATGCTTCCAGGCCGAGATTTTCGCACCCTTTCTTCATTACTTCGTTCTGGAAACTTTCGCGAGTGCAATTTGAGGTTACTCCAAGCCTCTTAAACACAGCATCCATGGCTGAAAGATAAGCAGAACTTCCATAGAGTGGAATCTTTTGCTTGGTGGACCATTCTTTAAGAACGTGATCAGGAGTCTTAATTGAAGCTGACCAATTCACAGCACTTCCTCCACCAACAGTTGATCCAGCCAAGATGAAGACTTTTCCATCAAGGGTTGTTAGTTTCCCTCCTACTTGGTACATTTCATTAAATGCAGGTCCTTCTAGGCCAGAATAATCTTCCGGCACAAAATAATGGCCTTTCTCAAGGACCACCACTTTTTGACCGGAGGCGGCGAGGATTGCCGCCGCAACTCCGCCACCACAGCCAGAACCAACTATCACAACATCACATCTGAATTCTTTCTTTCAAGGTAAGTTCGCTTTTCCCTCCATGAATTCTTTCTTACATGTAATGATTAAGAATTGGATTATAGGTATGGAAAGGAAGAAAGGTGATTATTCTATCTACTCATATTTCCAATCAAGTTCTTTCCAATCCCCTTTCATTTCGTTTTCCCAATCTGTAAATTCTTTTTTTTTTCTCATTTTTTTTGGGTAGCAGTTTTTTCCTTCCCTCGAGAGTTAGTAGCCATTTATATAGTAGTAATATATTTTTCATTTATGTTCTTTAATTGATTAAATAGTCTGGATAGCTTTCATGTGTTGATAATGATTGTTGGTTATTAATCTGAATGTTTCAGGGATTTTCTTTTCTGCTTCTGATTTTGATTGGGCCTTTTAGATTTCTATGTGATGCTACTATGATTCCTCAAATTAGATTATAACTTATCCCGTTGATGAAGGTATTAATGGGATGAATTTTTTGTCAAACCTATAAGTTGGACGTCATCTTGGTTAAGGTTTCTAATACTTAAAAGAGATATGAACAAGTAGAGTGGGTTGCAGACTTCGACCTCATGCATATCGACAAAGACAGGGTAAATTAGTTTGCCTCTTCTTCTATTTCTTTTCTGAAATTTTATTATGTTTTGTTCATATTTGGTTCCATAAATCTATATTTGTAATTGTAACTGTCCTAATTAAATTGCTCATAGACCTCCCAAAACTCCACTATTGTTCAAACAATTGTATAGGTTCTGTAATGGACAATAGTGATAGAAGTGTGTTTTAAGGATGAATTAAGCTTAAAATATCACATTCTTCCTTGGGACTTTTATTCCTTTTTTTGGATTAGGGAATTGTTAAAGAACTTCAAGTTTCAGGTAGCTTTGTGCCAAGTTGATGTGGTAACTGGCAAACATAGGAATCTCTATTTTTATCATACGCTTTCTTTCTTTTTGAGTTTATTATGTAAAAGTAGCAGATCAAGGTTATTATTTCACAAAGTGTTCGTTTTTAAGTTTTGATTCAATTAAGTTTGTTATAAAGATGGCCAAATTCTAAGATTGTGAGTTTGTATGATTCCCTGCTTTCCTCAACTTAATTCTATAATATTTCTGAATAGGGTTTTGTTTGATTGCTTTAGACTGACTGTATTAAGTCAACGCCATTGTTGCTTCAGTTCGTTAATGTCCACTGTTTAATAAAAGTTGTGTTACGTTTCTCTGCAAACAAATGTAGAAAGTTTCAATAGCAGAAAGTTTAAGAGTTGCTGGAAAATCAACAACCATGAGATGTATCAATAACAACTGAAAGTTACAGGTAATTCCATGCATGTTAGACCTGTTACATTTTTTTTCTTTTGTTTTATGCCTTCAGGACTCAGCTAGGCAATCATACAAGATTAATTCAACCTCATATTAGCTAAGTACTTGCTATTTAATGCCTAATGATTAGTACCAATTTGCAACTATAGAACGAGCAATTTTGCAAGGGAGCCTGCTGTTCTTGGTCAGTATTATAGGGGTGTTTCTCAGCTTATGGTGAAGTTGTGGAGTACTAGATTAGATATTTGTTGAAGATGCTGTGGAAGAGATATTTGTTGATGGTCAAATGCACGTGCATGATTGTAGCGAGTGTTTTAATGTGTTTGATTTAAAAATTTTATCTAACTATCTGATTCAGATAGAAAGAGCTAAGTTTCTGATGGAAAAACAATCTTTCAGGGGAAAACTCAAATGACAGTCGAATGCGCTGCAGTGGCAGTAACTCCAGCTCATTTGGAGGATTAAAAGCAAACTAAATCAAATATCATAGGGATAATTTAAATGAACCTGACGTTTAAATGGCTATAATCATGGTTCTCAGTTTGTTGTTTTGTTTGGTTGTTTTTGTCTTCATTTAAGGAGAGCTTTAGGTGTACAGGGCTCTTACAATTTTTATATGTGTCTTTGTGAAGAAAACTAGAAGATTTTGTTGCTGAGCCTTCAGTTTTACCACAAAGGACTCTAATAGATTGAGCCTTCAGTAAAACCATTTACATCCATCTCATTTGGGAGGTTGTTCATGCAGATTTTGTTGCTGAGCTTAGCAGCGAACTTGGTCACCAGTTAGACGATAAAATTCAGGAAATAAAGTTGAGGTTTGCCACTACTTGATTCTCATTTATGCTTTCCATATTATCAGTTTATCATACCGAATATCCTTATGATGCATTTGTTTGAATCCTACAATCTGTTGTCACATTAGTAACTTCGAGACATTGGAGTTTGGACAAATTAGATTCAAATGGTACCCTATGTATCAAAATTGTATAGACCTTGCAAAATAAAGTGTTAAGAAATTTTCTGTGATGACTCCATTGCTCTTATTTAGATAGCATTTAACATTAATTTTGTAGTTACATTCATTATTCAGTACTTTTTGCTGCTTCAAATTGGTAAGTTGGAGCAACACTAAACTTTAGCAAATTTTTCAGTAACCTTTTCTGGACCTGGTAGTATCATGGCTTCTGTTATAAAAACATTTCAGTAGTTATAGTACTGTTTCAATGTTTTTGTTTCTTTTTCACTTTGGACCAAAACTACTGAACTTTCATAGTATTGCCGTTACTTTTTGTGCAATTGATTTCTTTGATTGAAATGATTATTTCTGTTGAATATTGTCCACTAAGGGAATAGGAGCTGTTGTATACAAGGTGCCAGAGCTTGATAAGGATCAATTACTGAAATAAGAAGCCTCAGAAATACTTAGAATTAAGACACTACGGTTAAAGCTTTCTCTTTTTGTTTAGTCATAAAAATTTTTCGAGTAGTGAAGTGTATATGTATTTGTAATTAGATCTGATGCATCATACGTTGACATGAAAAAGTCTGGTGGTGGAGGTCATCGAAATGGCTTATATATGCTATCCTCTGCTGAGTTTGAGAAGTGGAGGAATCTTGGTGTTGTTTGACACTGGTGGGAGTTTACTTTTATGGAGTTTTGGTGTGCAATTCGATAGTTTGATTGGATGAAGTGCTATTCGTATTTATCAATAAAAACGGCTATTGTAATACATATACTATAATAAAAAATATTACTATTTTTTTTAGATGATTTGTCTTTTTCATTTAAACAGTTTATAATACAGGTGGTCGCCCGGGCATCCGCCTGGGCCAAGCATCTAGTTCCTATTTGAAATGAAAGCTCCTTGTTCCTCCCCCTACAATGCCTTTAGTTTTGACTTTTGACTTTTGACTTAATTGGTGGAGTTAAAACGTAGTAACAAAAGTTTATGGCTGAATTTAATTGATATGGAAATTATGGAGCCAGATAGATTTTTCAACTGAGTAGAAGAAATACTCAATTTGTCATGAAATTCTTCTCACTTAATATATAAGGCGTATTCCAAGATCTGTGTACCAAAACAATAAGTGTATATATATATATATATATATATATATACTTTTCTTCGTCGAGAAAAAAGATTCATGTTCTTTTAAAAATATATCAATTCAACATATAATATGTTATATGTGAATTTCATACAACACTAGTGCATCATCAATGCCTAGACTAAATAAATAATCGATTTAATTAAAATTTATAAGTTACAGGAGTAACTAATAACACAAAACATGTAACACTCTGAGTATAGATGATTTCAAATTTAGAGAAAACTATCACTCTATATAGGGGTAACTGTGTCGACATTGAAATTGTGTCAAGACAATGGAATTGTTCTTAGAATTTGGAGAAAAGGTGTAGGCAAATTTTATTCACCCTTCTAGCATTTAAAATAAAAACGAGAGCAATTGTACTAGAAAATGGTTTTAATCAGAGAGATGAGGAAGATGAAAACTACTTGATAATTTAAGGTGGATAATTATATCTTTTTACTTTAAATTTGTTTTGGATGCTGAAATTTGTTTCGGTAGAATCACATCCTTTATCAAATTTACCAAAACGATGTGAAATTTAAGAAAATGCCTAAAAAAATTATATACGATCGAATAAGTGATATCAATTCAATACTATTTCCTTTGGAAATGCAAAGAAGGGGAAAGAAATATGTTTAAGATTATCTTATTTTATTTTTGTGTTTTGTTATTTGCGTAATTAGTAATTAAACAAAACCCCCCAAAAAATTTTCAAAATCTAGTAAAATGATTGTTTGGGTCCGAAATACATCCTTCACGAACAATATTCCAAGTATAAATATTTTGTTTTGGGTTAAATATTCCACGTATTTTTTCCAGGGCATATATTTTCTTTTGATGTAGCATTCCACGTATGTTAATTAATTGGACACGAATCTAACGAGTCAAGAAGAAGTGAAAAGTACTAGTTCAACATGTAGAATTAAAATGGCATTCTCCATTTCTCCTTTCATCAAAAACCAAAAGTGTATATGGGTTTTGAGCATAATAATAACATAAAAAACATACTCATTTATGGTTCATGGGATTAATAATTAACCATGGTTGATGGAAAGTTGATTACAGATATATAATATTGCTTTTGCATTCGGGGGGAGGAACTGGGTGTATCTTCGTATCATTGCAATAATCATAAGTAATAAGGTGCCTCATTGCTTCGTACCAATCAATTAAGCCAATTGGCAAGTCCCGAATTTTGTCCCACCCTCCTTTTCTCGTGGATCCGCAATCTCCTCTTTCTTCCTTGTGTTTTGTTGTTGTTGTCGAATTACTAATACATCCCTGATCCACGTTATAATCGAAGCTCTTGAATTGCGCGGCGAATGGCGCGTCCCGCCAATCGATCTTTTTTCGACTCCGGCCGCCGCCAGTTCTGATCAGATCATCGCTACCGTTGGATACGCTGGTGAATATCTTCATCGGCTTTGATGGATATCCGCACTCCGATTGCACTGTTGTTCTTGAAAATTCGGAACGCAATGTCGTCAACATACGTCCTGTGTGAGTCGGCCGGTGTTGAGTTTCAATTCTTAAGAAAAGATTCATAGTGATAACGTATCAAAATTATTGTCTAATTTTAGATTTTAATTTTTAATTCAATTCCTGCTAAAAATAAAATCTAAAGTGGATAATAATTTTCGGACAAATGAGAATATATTTTATATTTGCTGATATTAATTAAGCTTACAATATCAAATGTGAGTTCCAGAGAATGCTGTATTCATGAAATTCCTCCGACGCATCAAAGGGTAGAGCTATTTCATGTTTTTTATTTCCAACCCCGTTGACGAATACATTAGTCTGAATCGAAAAGTTTTGACCTATATTGCTGCCCAAAATCTCCAAGTTGATCCCGTCGAATTCTTTGTCTTCAGAAAGCAGCTGTAAAATGAAATTATTAGTACATATCAACACAAATAAATAAGGTTTTACATTTAAAATAAAAATTTTACTCCCTCCGTCCCATAATTATTGTCCACTTTGCCCAAAAAATTTTGTCCCAAAATTATTGTCCAATTTGACTTTTTATGGATCAAGTTACACATTTGTCCTTAGTAAAAAACATTATGCATAAAATCTTAGTTGTTAAACAATTACTTATGTAGGGGTATATCCGGTTGTTTAAGGTAAAATATAGTTAAGTTTGACCAAAAATAAAATCTTTCATTTTAGTAAAACTGGACAATAATTATGGGACGGAGGGAGTATTTAATTGCGACCCGGATCTGTTCATGTTGTCACGCTTGTATATGAAAAGCTTACGTTGAAAGACGTAACAACTCCAGCAGAATTGCCGGGCGGGAACTTGATCCAGATCCCGAATAAGCCCGATTCATATTTCACCTTGGAACTGAATCTCGCTCCTACGTAAAATACATATATCTTGTGATTAATTAATTAATTATTGGTTATATAATCAAACGGTGAAGCATTTCGAGAAAGACGACACACTAATTAAGGAGACGAGATTAAGGATAACTAATTAATTACCAGAATCACTATCCACTGAGAGTTGAACTAGGGTTCTTTGTGAATCAAGGAACTGGACATGATCCTGGCCATAATCAACGGTGTAGTGGCTGTCAAATGGGACGCGTGTTTCTCCGGTTGCCGGAGAATTAAGTAAGCTGATGGTCAGGTACAGGACTAATGCAAAGATCATCAATATTTCATTATAGAAAAACATACTGAAACGGAACCAAAATTAATTAACCTCGGCCGACTTGGGCTATAATATGTTTTCCGAGGACTTTTTTTATTTGTAAGAAAAGATTAGGGTGTTGTTCACCTTTTTATACAAAGTAATAATTGTTGGAGTGCTCATTCCTCCGATCAGAAATTTATTAATTTCTGCCGGTACAAACTAATCTTACTGTGCATAGCAAAACGCATGCATATAGTGTGTATTCTGTTTGTTATTTCTGGTTTAGTTGAGTTACCGTTTCAACTTGAAATTAGTTCGAGTGATAAGGCCAGGTACATAAGATGGTCAAAGTGCTCCTGCAAGTTTCGTTTCTATATTTTTGTTTACTGTACATTTTTCTTTTTACGGAAAAGGGCAAAAATTATTCCTAAAAATGGTATCCAGTTTAATTTGGTATCAATGAAAAAAGAAACTATAGACATCACAAAGTTCACAGTTACGTGTCCAAGTCTTATCTGAAATTAGATTTTCTATGTCGTTTATAATTATGTATCAATCATATACTTCATTAATAAAATTAAAAGCAACCTAATATAAATTATTGTGTTGTAATAGCGTAACTACATATGTATCCAGATCACATTGATCATCTTAGGCATTTCACACAATTGACATTGAGTCTTATGATCTTATCTCCAATTCCAAATTTTCACATCGAACAAGGCCATATATGTATATATTTTCTTGTAAACCACACGTAAATGAAGCCATGGAGGAGTGAGAGCCATGAAGGCATGAAGTAGTGGGATACCCAGTTCATTAAGCCGCGCAAATGAGAGCCCAATAAATTTGTTGATCTCCCACGTTAGTGCTGTAGCTTTTCTTCCGTTTCTGAAGTCATATTTGTTGAATTATAATCGTCCGGAGTTTAAATTTGCCATGCACAGTTGGCTTTGCAAGTTGCCTCTGTTTTCAAATTCTTGAATACTTGAAAGTATTAGTTTGCCTGTTTGAGGGTCTTACATCTAAAATGGATTATTTTTACCCAACTCAAACATATATAGAAATAAACTAAAGATAGGAAGGATGTTCCATTTCGTCTCTTAATTTACTGATCGTGTTTTGATTTCTTTTTTTAAAAATTATTATTTCTCTATGAATATGCTTATTCATATATTTAGTGATGAAACGAGAATTTTTCAATCGCAGGGTCGAAAATAAGATTATTCAATTATCACCAGAGAGTCAAACTGAAAAAATTTCAGCTAACGGACACCCTGCTAATGGAAAATCCGACCAAATTTGGCCGTCCGGGGATTCGATCTACCCCCCTGACCCCCCTGGATTCGTCATTGCATATATTCATTCTGTTTCATAGACATTTTTTCAAATTCATTTTTTCCCTAAAAATGCGCTTTTGATTTCATAGTAATTTTGTTGAAAACATGTTTTCTCTTAGTCACCACCATCACCAAATTTCACTATTACATGTAGAACAAGTTATCATCTAGCTATTCGTTGGTAGCACATTCAGGAGGAGGAACAGGATATCTGCTTTTGTCAGTGCAATAATTGTAATTAATATGCTTTTTGATCTCACGGTAGTTTTTCTCTTGAACTTTATTCAACTTCCAGAATTTCCTTTGGTTCCACCAATATTTTGTGGAGGAACATCCCTCAACATGATTTGTTGAGCCACAACCATAAACATTGAATCCTTTGTAATGGGTTGTGAAGGGTGCGTGAAACCAATTGACTTTAGTTTTGCCACCATCCGTAGCCCAATCATCTCCGTTCCATATGCTTGCTAATACTTGCATTGATTGGGATGGGTAACCTACCCCAATGGCTTCGTTGTTCTTATAAATTCTAATGGGGATGTGATCAACAAAGAACCTGTAAAATGAAAATGACACATACAAAAAGTAATTAGTAAGAATAATTAGGGGGACATGTTATTTGAGAGAATACAAATCAAAATACTTTATGATAAGAAGTAGAGAGAAAACTACAGAAAAAAAATGTTATTAGTTTTTGTTATACAATTAAATTTGAACTAATAAACCTGTCTATTTTATGTTATATTTTGGGACGAAAGGATAATCTGTTTGGTGAAAGGGTAGTATTAGTGCACACTAAACTATGATCAGACACACTAACTGTCCCAAAAACTAGTTACTCTCTCTCATGCAAAAAAAATTGGTCTTACACAATCTGATGGGGGTTCCAGAGGATTTTGTTGGTATGATAATCTGTCGAGGGGTCGAACCAAAGAATCATTCTTTGTTCTCTGTTTCCAACTCCGTTGGCGAACACATTCGTCTGTAATGTGATAGGTTTACCTTCTCTATTGCCCAGAAACTCGAAGTCTAACTCATCATGCGCTGCCGTTCCTGAATGTAACTGCAAAATTTGTCCCAGAAAATTAACACACACATACACCAAAACAAAAGAAATTCACTATATACGTATTTAACATTGATCCAATTCATTTTGGTTAATGTTTGTAAGATTGAGTGAGTACATAGAAAGTGGTAACGACGCCTGCAGAATCATGGGGTGGGAGCTTTAGGCTCATCTCAAAGAACCCAGATCCATACTTCGCCTTGGAACCAAAGCCAGCACCTAGAAACAATAAAAATAAAAAAATCAGCCAAATCTTTCAAATGTTTCATTAATTCTTCTACATGGAACCAAAAACCAAAAACTAATAATTATTATAATAATAATATATCTCCCTCCGTTGCCTTTTTTTTTATAAGAGAAGAGTCTAATAATAATAATATATCCCCCTCCGTTGCGGAATTATCCTTTTAATTAACTTGTCAAAAGTTATGGATGACAAGTTATGGAGTTTGTAGATCCCAGATATTGCATGAGAGTCAAAATGTTTTCGACTTTTGGCTTACCTCGGCCGCAAATAAACAAAAATATTAAAAGATTAGTTATTATTATCCACGGAGGAAGATTAGTGACCGACAGTGTGCAAGAAGCTTGATCTCTCCTTTTTCTTTTGGACTTTTAATTGAAAGTTTATTATGATAAAAGAAAATTTGCTAATTGTTAATACATCATTTCAAATTCATTTATAAGTCGATTCACTAATTGTTAAGTTTTTTACTATTTTCAGTTAGTGGAAAAGGATCCAGAAGCAGCAATAGTATGGTTCTGGAAGTCTATAAATGCAGGAGATAGAGTAGAAAGCGCCCTAAAGGACATGGCAGTGGTGATGAAGCAGCTGGATCGAGCTGAAGAAGCCATTGAAGCTATCAAGTCGTTTAGGGGACTTTGCCCTAAACAAGCCCAAGAATCACTAGACAATGTTCTTATTGATCTTTACAAGGTACACAGACCACTCCCAACAAAAATAGTTCCGTCTTTGTTGAACTAAAACACTTCATAATCGGTACTAATAGACTATACTACAAAAATTAATCTAAATAAATGTTACTTGTGTGTAGAAATGTGGAAGAGTGGACGAACAAATAATGTTGCTGAAGCAAAAGCTCCGGATGATTTACATTGGAGAGGCATTCAATGGAAAACCCACAAAGACAGCTCGCTCTCATGGCAAGAAATTTCAAGTTTCTGTTCAACAAGAAACTTCAAGAATATTGGTATGTTAATGTTGTCCTCGCTCCTCATTAATCACTATTTTATTATTATTATTATTATTATTATTTAAAATGGATGGCTCCAGCGAGAATCGAACCTTCAACGTACCGATAATAACCATCCCCATTCTAATCCACTAACCACCCCACCCAACCCTCTCACCCCCTCCTCATTAGTCACTAATAATGTCTACGAGAGTGTTTATTATGTCTCACTATTGAAACAACTAAAAATAGAATAATTATATATCTTATATATGATTATTTTAAAGAAAGTTTCTAAAAAAAAAAGGAAGTGGGGAAAAAATAGTTATAAGGTAACTGATGGAATTATATTAAAGAGAAATTCGCAGTACATAAATAGCGACACAGACGATTTTATTCGTATACAGTACATAAATAGCGACGCAAAAGATTTTATTCGTTAACAATTTTTTTTAAAATTAATAATAAATTTTTTAATGGTTTTGTATGATGTTATATATGTATCGGGAAACTTGGCATGGGCGTACATGCAAAAATCGAATTTCATTTCAGCAGAAGAAGTGTATCGCAAAGCGCAAATGATCGACCCGGATGCAAACAAAGCATGTAACTTAGTGCCATTGCTTAATCAAACAAGCCCGATACGACGAGGCCCGATAGATTCTAGAGGATGTGTTGCGAGGGAAGCATCCGGGCTCTTCAGACTTGAGAACTCGGGCTCGGGCCGAAGAGTTTTTGTCGGAAATTGAATCAAAGCAGCCTCCGGCGTTGGTTCAACCGGGATTGGAACCGGAAGAGTATGATTTTGCGGTTGAGCTTGAGCGGTTATTGAGTGCTTGGGCTCCTCCAAGAACAAGAAGGCTTCCAATCTTTGAAGAGATCACCCCCTTTAGAGATCAAATGGCTTGCTAGCGCCGTTCCTCATTTTTATTTTTATTTTTAAAAAATCCATTTGTGTTTATGTTGTAGATAGGTGGGTGGTGTTCATGATATTTGAAATTGATGAAATGAGCTCCAAAATCCAGATTCCATCTGTAAAGAATAATGTGAATGCAATAGTTTATTTTTCACATCATTTGAGCACCATCTTTCTTTGAGTTGTGACCACAAAATACATCTTAGTAAGGGTTACATCACTTCCTTGGGGATAGAACAAACGTCTTGCTAAAAAATGTACTGCAAATGACAGGCTACATCGATTGGTTTTAATTATAAAACACGAATTTCAATTAATTTAGTTTTAATTATAAGACACAAATTTCAATTAATTTTAATTTACAATTTGTATCTTATAATTAGGATCATAGAAATGTTTTCGAAAATTCACTTCATTTTTCCGACAAGCTCCCCCAACTTTCTTCTCCCGACCAAAGGCAAAATCACATTGAACAAAACCATACATGACCAGCACTGATACTTTTCAACAGGGTGCCCAACATATTACAAACGCCAAACTAACCATGAAAGGAACCGACACAAAGGAGCTTCAAGTAAAATTAACAAAATCGATCCATGAACTGAAAGGATGCGTTTTAACGCATCAAATTCACATGAAGATATCAGTTTAAGCTAAAGATACCAATTTAACGAAATCATACATTGAATTAATACGAAAGAAATACAGAGCCTAAGATTGCTTCTCGCTAATTAATCAGATGTCAATTCTTTTCCAATTTACAAAAAGCACCTAATTAGATTCGCGCATATACAACCACCAAATACTACTTTTCTTGACTATTCACTAATATTAACGAAGATACAACTAACCTCAGGAATGATTTTCTATAATTTATTTGGAGTATCACTGTAACTCCAACGCCAAATAGTTTCGCCTTTTGTTGTTTTGTTGCTCCCACTATAGCTCTTTTTCAGCAAAACTAACATCAAATTGTTGTTTTGCTACCGCGCTGCAGATGCTCTAAGGGAATATATATCAGCAGAAGATTCAATCTACAGATGCTCCCCAATCTGGCATCAAATTATCCATCTCTCCATGAATTAAAGTTTGAAGATCAATTCACACAAACAAAATGGTTTTGTTACAATAGTACGCTAATTATAAAGAAATCAATTGGTAATAAGGGAATTGAATGATACTCTAAATGCTTTGGTTGTATTGAGTATAAATAATATAGGAAATCTTGTTACTTTAGTTTGAATTGAACATCTTTGAAATATGAACTCATATAATAAGGAAAAAAAAAAGTTTACGGCAAGGTTACTTGGATGGATTCGAGAGAGAGAGAGGAACTTCTTGGTTGAGAAAAACGGGGTAAATCAGAAATTTTGCAGACCAAAAGAATAATAAAAGCTATTTAAAACCAATGATAATGAATTAATAAAATCAATACTCTTTTTAATAAGGAGAAATTTGGTTTAAAGACAGTAGAACAAATCAAATTAATAAAACGAATACGATCTTAAAATATTTTGTTTGTAAAGGGTGATAGTTTATTTGTCAAAAATTCCAAAATCAATATAATTTTATAATAATAATAATAATATAATTATCCTTATTTTTTAATTACCATTTTATAAAATCATAAAATACATGAAATGAAAGTTATTTTCTGTAAATCTCTGAGAGCAACCCGTCGCAGAGGGAAGGAAAAAGAAAGGGAAAAAAAATCAATAAGGACGATTTAGACTTTTTTTTTGAAGTTGGACGATTTAGACTTGGGGAGGAGGAGGAGTTGAAAGGTTTCCATTGATTTAAAGAATCAGTAGTATGATCTGTTTGTTTACTTTTTCTGATGTTTTTTTTTCTTCTCAAAATTAACTTATTAATAATTGTTTAATCCTAGCATATATAGTTTACATTATCAATACACTTTTTTTAATATTTTCAAAACACACACCAAAAAAATAATGCAACAATAGTTAAATGATTATGACAAAAGTAGAAACGAAATGACAAAGTCAACATCATTCTTCGGTCAAAGAGGTAGAAAGGAATTTGAAGAAAATAAGGTTTAAATCCAACGGCCGCCGCCTTTGTGACCTATACAGATAAGAGTGTCTGGTCACCGTCATCCAAGCTACTCGAGCCTTTATCCGTTTCCTCACATTTTTTTTTTCCCCAAAAGGCCAAAACTCGAATTGAAAAATTAAATGCACATTTTGAGGCGCCTCTTCCCACTTGCCGCTCGACGTCGTTCTGTTCCATACTTCCATTGACTCTTAACAAATTCTTTCGCAGCCGCCGGCGGGCGGAAACCACCCTATCTCCGGGAACCTACACGAATTCCATATTCGGGGTTCGATTCTTCCACAAATGGCGCCCGGTAAAGACCCGTTGATAATCTCAGAAAAGGATGAGATGAGAAATTGGTCACGAAGAATGAGGGCTCAAGGCAAGTCGATTGGATTGGTCCCAACAATGGGTTACCTCCATCAAGGCCATCTTTCCCTGATTAAGGAAGCTCAACAGCACGCTGAATCAATTGTGGTCTCAATTTATGTTAACCCCGGTCAGTTCTCCCCAAATGAAGACCTATCCACCTACCCTCGTGATTTTCTCGGTGATATTGAGAAGCTCAAGTCTGTTCCTGGAGGTGTTGATGTTGTTTTTCACCCTTATAATTTGTATGATTATGGTGGCAACGATTTCAGCAGGGATGCGGAAAGGGGTACAAAGAAAGAGGGAAAGGTTGTGTCTTGTGTGGATGATGGTGCTGGAGTGGGGCATGAAACGTGGGTTCGAGTGGAAAGCTTGGAAAAAGGTTTGTGTGGGAAGAGTAGGCCTGTTTTTTTCAGAGGAGTTGCTACCATAGTTACCAAGCTGTTTAACATAGTTGATCCTGATGTTGCTGTCTTTGGCAAGAAAGATTATCAGCAATGGCGGATTATAAAACGAATGGTTAGTTTGTTCTTTCCCTTCTTTTCTAGTATTAGTTTCGAGGGGTAAAGACAAGGAGGGAGGGACCCAGGGTGTTGGTCTGTAATGAGCCTGCATGATTTGATTTGTGCTTAGGCTTGTGTACCAATTTAGAATATTTCCCCTGAGAGATGAAATGTGCATTCATTTCTCTTGTTAGGATTATTTGGCCAGAAGTAATTTCTTTATCATTTTCGGGAGCCACTAAGAATAGGCTTCTTGTAGCTTCAATCTAGTTTGTAACTTTTGTAATGCTCTCAGGTTCGGGATCTTGATTTTGGAATAAAAGTGATTGGATCCGACTTGGTACGCGAAGATGACGGCCTTGCAATGAGTTCTCGCAATGTGCACCTTTCACCTGCTGAAAGGGAGAAGGTCCTCTTGCTGATTTTATTTCATCTTCATAATTTCAAAAATGCATATTAGTTTATTACTGTAACTCAGTTGCTTCTAAACTTATGTTCAACTTGTAGCTCTCTGCTTGATTTTTTTCTGAGAGTGCAATGCTTAAAAAGATGTTTTCTGATTTACGTCATGTCCTGATATACAGGCATTGTCTATAAGTCGTTCATTGGCTGAAGCTAGAATAGCAGCAGGCAACGGAAACGTTAACTGCAAAGAATTGAAAAAATCAGCCATCCAAGCAGTGCAAGAAGCTGGTGGAGTTATCGATTATGCAGAGGTCAGCAAGTTTCCTCATCATACATGAACTTTTGAACTGTGTCTTCATACTTGGGATTCCTTCTCATCTGTGCAGTACCTTTTATCCCCAAATTTTAGTCTTTTCTAGTTCAATCCAATCAACAGTGTTTACAGCAAGCCAAAGCACTACAAAGTGAATATAGAATGAAAGAAAGCACGTCGTTGGGTTGTCTCTTTAGCTAATAAGACTAATATTCAAGCAAGACATGAATTTGATCATATATATTGAAATTTGGCCTGAGTTCTGAAGACTGTTGAACTCTGTTAGGTGTTGAAACTATAGATGTTGTTTTTTACTAGACTTTTCTGGTGAAACAGATAGTAGACCAAGAGAGTCTGGATGCAGTGGAAGAGATCATACGGCCTGTTGTGTTCTGCATTGCTGCATGGTTCGGAAATGTGAGATTGATTGACAACATGGAGATCCAAGTGTAATTCAAAGTGCGAATACCTTCAGTAGCTCATAAGCTGGCAGAAATCAGAACGATACCATGACTAATTCTTATAGGGTTTTCAGTTTTTTTATTGTTTTTTCTGTAACCAAGTACAACCTGAACATTTTTAGCTCACAATTATGTCGATCTGACCAAAAAATAAGTCATACATTTTCAAAAGGCTAAAACTGATCCAACTACAATAACAACTATTAGGTCCTCCAATTGCAAAATATTTGAACGTCCTAATCTGAAAATGACAGAAAACAAATCAGACCGGGACAAACAGTAGGAGGGTAATTTGAAGCGCACTGACCAAAGGGAATCACACCAATAGGTATCAACTTCCCATTCTCCTTTGAAATAATCTAAGACGTAATTTCAGTAACACTAAAAATAATCATAAAGAGAATTGCCTAATGGATAGCAAACAAAATGCGGATCTCCTGCTCATCGAGGGAACATTTGAGATTCCAGACTTTCTAATATATTCAAAGAATCCAAGATACAGACTATACAAGCATTGTCTTGAATAACGAGCTATATAGCAAAAGGGGGATCGCGCCAATAAAAGATTTATATAGGCAAACAAACATACAGCTATCAAAAATCATGAAAGCAGTACGGGTTTCCATAAATCGCCAGAGCCTAACAAAACCGATATCACAACCATGTCAATGACACTTGACACCGCCACAAACCGATAGCACTATTATAAGAATCAAGGCAATGATGATGCCGAGAACGATGAGCTTGATCTTCATGTTCTGTAGCCACATTTTTCTCCTCATCTTGGTTCCTTGAGTCCTGAAATCTTGTGCCTGCAACACATTTACATATTGCTCTAACTTATCCAATGAATGAGTGACAAAAGTATACTCAAAGAGCCTCCAAATGATTTATTAAACCAAAATCAAAGACAACTTCCCAACACTGACCTGAGATCGCAGATTCTCAGTTTTATCCACCAGAAGCTCAATCTTCTCTCCACGATCAAGAACCTGACAAAATAACAATGTTAAAGCCCAAGTCCTACCTTCTCAACTATAACTTTAACAAGAAGGATATTCTACTTCAAGCTACCTTCTCAATGTTTTCCATCATCACTCCTTTGACTTCTGAAACCTGAGCTTTCACTTTTGCAAGCTTACTAATCTCCTCTGGATGATCCACACAATATTGCATCTGTTCCTTCAGTTTAGGCCTACAAAGATGTATACATTAACTTCATTTCCAAAAGGTAGTACTCTATTATCAACTTCAAAACGACAATCCAAAAATAAAAGATTGAAGACATAGATCACGAGGTGCGAGAAGGCTACCCAAATTCCCTGTTAAGACTATTAGCAGCAGCAGTAGCAGCTTTTCCTCCTCCATATTTCTTGGTAAATTCTTCTTTAATTCGCTCAAGAAAAGCTATTGGCAGCTGTCTCCCAACAGATTCCACAGCAACGACACAATATGCTGCCAAGCGAAGAATTGAGAACTGATTTAGCATTACAGATTTCAAAGGATAATTAAATAACAAGTTCCTAGCAGTTTAAAAGTATGGATCACAGCCGACTGCACGTGCAATCAACGAACAGAAATATTTTGACTGTTGTTCGAACAACAGTCACTAATCACAAATACTATTTCAAGAGAGATTTCAGCAGAGCACAAAGAAGTTCATAGCATATCTTAAACAAAAACAGAAGTAATTGTCAATACAAATGGCTACAAATCATATTAGCTAAAGATAAACATACTTGTCCAAGTAAATAGCTCCAAAAATCATATCAGTTAAATCATTAAACACATGATAAGAGCAGTCATGATTGCGAGCAAACAACTCAATTTACAGTCACAGAGTAAACTTCCAAGAAGTTGGGTGATGAATATCATTCGGTGCCTATGAAATAATCATAAATGAACAAGGGTGCTTGAAAAAGTCAAATAGTATAATTAAAGACACAGTCAAGTCAAACAACCTAAAAGTTCAAACAGTTTGAATCCTGCTCCATATTCTCACCAATTGAATAATTGGTGATTCGGCATTAACTTTCCAGCATTCTAGAACACATCATTTAGACCATACAACAGATTGCCAAGTAAACAAGCTGATTTCCTTCTCCAAATAAAGTCAATAAAACTGCAACCTCAAAGTCGTTACAACCAGAAGAAACTTCTGCGCTTTTCTTTATCATGATTCATCTGACTTTCATATTCTTTAATGAACTAGGCAAAATTGTGCAGATAAAATGACAAGTGGAAGGGGGGGAAAGTTAAAATCTATCAGGAACCAGAAGGAAAAATAGAGCCATTTGTCAGTAGTAAATTGATTATCCATCCACTAAGGACGATTTAGCATCATAAACTTAATCGGAATTCTATAAGAGCATCTAACAGAAACATCTTTTGAACCATAAAGAACAGGAAAGTAGATTCCACAAAACTAACAGCGAGCCAAAATAAATCAAATCGCGTCCACCGCCAATTGTATCAATTCAATCACATAATCTGCGAACTAAACTGCAAACATAACGTTCCACGCAAAGGACAAATCATAGGAATAAAACAATCAGACTCCAAACTCGACAAAAAAAAAACCGCTAAATATCAAAATTACAACAAGATCTGAATCAAAGGAGCGAAAACGTTACATAGATAAAGACAAACTAGACACCAAAACATTTAAAGTTGACCTGAAGTTATATAAACTAGTTTACTTAATCACCGATCTATGACCGGATCAAGCAAAAAAACAACTAACAAAACGAAGCCGGAGAATAGATCAGAAGAATCAACAAAAGAAAAGAAAAGGAAGCAGAAAAACTCACTGAAGCCGTCTTCGACGAGGTAATTGAAAGTGTGACCATCGCAGTTGTAGGTGAACTTGTTGTTGGTAGCGGGAAGCTTCTGAAGGCACTGAGAAGCTATGCTGGTGAAATTGCCGGTGAATTCAGTGAACTCCGCTAGGATCACGGTTCCACGAGCAACGAAGCTGTAGATCAACGATTGCTGCCCCATTTCTTCACTCTCAATATCTCTCCACAATCCCCCGCAAAAACCCTAGCAGCCTCCTGATTCACACACTCTAGAGAGAGAGAGAGACAAAGAATAGAGAAGTTCAAAAATAGAAACCGATGGATTTAAGAGAGAGAAGGAGAGAGATAATGAGAATTTCGAGTTAGAAGAAGCGTGACGATGCGGGGATAGAGGATTATATTTCATTTTTTTTGTACCGCTCGATATTTTCACATTCAGGAAATTTCCGTTCTTTTCTTAATTCTTACTTTTACTTTTTAAGTTTTTCAATTATTTTCAACAAAATCGACGGCATTTTTTTTTTTTCAAGAAGAGATTTATTTTAGTGACGCTGAGTTTGTTAAACCACCCTTGGGCTTCATCAGCAATGATGGTTAACCCACTGTCATTGTCCCACTATTTTTATTGCTATTTTTAATCATCTATAAATGCTATAATTTTGTAGTTTTTCTTTGAATAAATTATATTAAAAGAAAGATAATGATTTTTGTATTATAACTGAATAAACACGACTTGATCCGGATTCTTACTCACAAAATATAATAATTTAAGTTCTTAATTCTCGATTTTCTTATAGTTAATAAAGAAAAAAAAACTAATATCAATCACTCATGACTGGGTACTATGATTTTGTGTATCATTTTTTTTTTAATTATGGTTTTGTACCATTAAAATCATTATTAAAAAGAAGAAACCTCAGTCTTCTGAGAATTTATTGAGGTGGTGGTACTATACACTATGGGCAAAAAATTGAAGTTGATTTTATTATTAGTCCTTTTATTTTTCATTACATGTTTTGGCTACATCTAGTTTAGGTAGGTTTATTTCATTCCTACCTTAATTTACTCCTAAAAAAAATTCACATAGCATTTTGAAATTCCTAATAGTTTTTAGTATAATTTAAAAACTTAGGCTACTTTTCTGGGACAGAAATAGTACTAAACATGAGTAATTGAGTTGTATCGTGTCCCTTGTCAATGGCTTTAAACCACTTGGGAGGATCGATTTGTTAGCCAACCTCAATGAAGAAATGTGCTTCTCCTCCAGGTCTCTTATAACGTTTTTTATTTTCTATCAAAATGCTTTTAAAGGGTTGTCTTTTTCCTGACTAATCCAATAATTAATAGATGCACAGAACATATGCAGTTTTTGGGTTCATTTTCAGCGTGATATATACATTGTCTTAAAAGAACAAAGAACTTCGAACGTATACGCACATTTTATAATTTGAAATGCCATAAAATCTCCCTGATTTTGGCTTTGTTTGTTTTTTACGCGTAAAGGGACGGATCAAACTCGTGACAGCTTTCACAAATAAGCAATAGTATTTAGCAAAATCTTGGTACAACGTTAACAACGAAGAAAGCTGTTCGCAAACTAAGATTCTGGTCGTAAGTTCATATTTCAAATAGAGTAAGACACACAAATCTCATCTTTAGAGAATTTAGATATGCTGGTAGCCGCAAGCAAACTGCTTGTCTTTTTGTCCTTTTGCATCTTGTTCAGAAAAATTCAAGAAAATTTGTTTCACGTCAACATTGGCAGTTCACCTGTCCAATAGCAATATGTTATGAATACGAAGTAATGCAGAAAGCGAAAATAGAGATGATTGATGTAACATCCCAACTTTAGTAGTACGCCAGAATTTTATAACAGTGACGAGATTAAAATTCATCTGGGCTTTAGGGATAGTTGGTAAACACTAGCTAGATGCTTTAAAATTTTGATTCAATAATAACTTATATCATCGCAAAAATACAATGGTGATAAATATTAGTGTTAATATTCAAAGAAAAAAGACAGAATAAATGGTCAAAATTTCTTTCCAAGAAAAACTCATTCATTTAAATCAAATCCAGCTGGAAGCTCAAATCTGTTTGCTGACTTGCTGCCCTCCGGTTCAGCTTCCTCGCCGGTGTCCATGGCAGATCCCTTATTGACATAATCTACCTTGAAGTCGTAATCATCGTCATCTTTGGTATCATCCTCCATGGGAGTCGACTTGTTCTCTTTCTTCCTCCTTTTCTTCTCTGCTTTTTTCAACTTGGTGTTGAGCATGCCTTCTTCAGCATATAGCTTCTCGTTTTGCCTGCTATTGGCCGTCTTGGCTTTTGATGGCCCAGTGTCATCTTCTGAATCCATGCTCTGGTCTTCATCATCTTTATTGTCTTCCATATCTTTACTTTGCTGTGTCGGGAGTGTTTTATCCTAAAATGTCAGGTAGGCCATAAATAAATGATAAACGCAAATTATCAGTAATCCCATATTTCACAAAAACACATCTCATGTCTACTCTCAAATCAGGCACTCAGACCTAAGTTTATGACAGCAGGCTAACCAGAACAAGATGACTATGCATAGTAGTTGGCTCATTTTAATCATAACAATGAGGGTAGAGTTTTTAACTTTTCCCCAAAGGACAAACACTCTCAAGCTTATTAGTTCCTTCTCCATCAATAACTCAAAATGTAGCTTGCCATTCTCAAACAATAAATGTTTCCAAAATCAGAGCTGACATGCAAAAGCAATTAACTACGTGAAGGCTAAAATAATAGACACATGTAAAATGTAGAGAATACTTATGGAGACCACAAACCTCAAGCATTTGATCACCCAAATTGAAAGGAGAATTTCCTGGAACTTCAACAGGGTTAAAGTCGTCAACGGATTTCAAGCTACCAATAATTGAGGACTCATTGCCATATACTTCATCTACATTAAATTCTTTTCCAAACTCTGAAACAATCTTTGCCTCCGAATTCCCTTCATCACTTCTTGTTGGAGGCATTGTGTAGTACGGAATTTTACCTAGAATAATAATGAAATGCGAGACTTAGATACATGTTTCACCAGTAACAATGTAAAACACAATTTTACGATTTTTTCTATCACTGGGGAAAGAACAATTTAAGTAGCACTTACCCTCGTTCCAATCATGCAATACTATCCTTGCTGCAGCATTAATATCTACGATGCCACCTTTTTTCAGCTTACCCCGAACAGTTGCAACCTTTTGCAGGAAGTCATCAACTGAATCAAAGCTGGGAATTTTGTACAGGGACACCAACAGTTTCTCTGGACAAAGCCTGAGAATTTCCTTTACTGCAATATCCAGGAACAAAAATATAACTCGAAAATCATTAAATGTCAACAAGCTACAGAAGACATCAAATACAGCATAAACAGAAGAAATTTATTTACCAGGACTAACTGGGTCATCCAGCTTCTCTATTCTCTTGCAGTTCCGAAGTGCTATTGATGCATCATCATCTCCGGAAGATCTAAGCATTACCACACCAGGACAATCCAACAATTTCACATTCTTGTCTAGCTGTACTTCTTGCATTGACCGTGTTAAGCCAGGGGTGGCACCAACATTGACAACATGCGACCTCTTCAAACTATTAATCAAGCTACTTTTCCCAACATTTGGCAGCCCAATAACCCCAACAGTTATAGATTTCTTAATCTGCAATCAAAACTTGCTTTATCATTACCAAGCACCAAGACTTATCCAGAAAAACACACCATGACAAGCAGATTTTTAATTTTTAAAGTGAACGGCAATAGAGAAACCTTCTGGAAGATGATCAAATACTATCACAATTACAATGGAAATTACACACGCAGAAGTATGAATCGAGCGAATAACAGATAAACATGATTAAAATAGGGAGTGGAATGCTTATAGGGTCACAAGTACGAATCTAGATGTACTGAAACATAATTCAGGTACTACTACAAAACTACAAAGGAAGCCATAAATAAGCAGAAAGTATTCAGAATTGTAAGTTTACAACCTTTAACTTCTTTTTTCTCATTCTACATCCTTTTCTTGTTATTTGTTGAAACATGTACCATTGCTTCCCAAATCAATGACAATATAATACATAGGGGGGATTCTATATAGAGTTTATTAATACCTCGTGGCTTCTTGAGTAGTTCTTTAACAACTTTAAAAGCGTTTCAGCTCCAAGACAATCACTAGTCTGCAGTAAATTGCTAGTTTTCCCTGCTTTCGAGGAAGATTTCCACCCAAGGTTTGACTTCTGTTCCTGCGTGCTACACTTAAAAGCCACAGTAGGCAACTCCTCTCTGAGGTATTTAAGCCACTTTTCAGCAGCTTCCTTTGGGACGAGATCTGAAAAGAAAGTTCACCAAAAACAAATGATTCCCTGGATCCAAATATATTAATGTGCTTTCAAGAATGAGCCATTATCCAGATGTATGGAAGATGTTCAATTATAGGCCAAACAAAAAAAAAAAAAAATCCGACGTAAAAAATTAATAACTGCTGCATAATCATAAATCCCAAAAACAGAAAAATTGAATTTACTGCTTATCTTGTATCCAAAAAGCAGAAAGGGGGGAAGGCATACCTATTTTATTAAGCAACAAAACAAGATGCTTCTCAGGACCTGACTTCATAACCATCTTTTCCATATCCACGCACCGGGAACCAATGGGATCTCGGGCATCAAGTACTTCTAAAATAACATCAGAAGCTTCAATGACTTTGACTAACTCCTTGTAAAAAGCTCTCTCTGAGTGATCTGTATCAATATAAGTCGCGTGCGACCATAAGAATGGGAAGAAAAGCGAGAAGCCCCAACTAAATCATACATTAATTAGATTAATAAAAGTTCCAGTAAACTTGTAACCTACCTCGGTTTTTGCCAAGTGAAGTTGAGGCATCACCCTCTCCGACGTCCTGCCTCTTGCTAGCAACATTTTCATTCATAGTGTCATCATCATCCAGAATTCCCAACTTTCTCTTTCTTGCCTAAAAACAAATGAAGTCCCACAAAGGGTTCAAAACTTAGGAAGGCGAAAAGGAAAACTTAACAAGAACAGAGTGAAAGAGTACCACAATAAAAACAATAACGGAATGTAAAACTAGGATTATTAATGTTGACTATAAACTCTGAAACCCTTTTGCACCATCAACAAAAGTGGTATGATGTAACTAAACAAAGCCTCAAAAAATATCCACCAAAAAGTCATAAAATTTTAAACATGTCTAAGTGCATTCAATCGCACCCAAAACCCAACAGAAACACAATCAGGGAGGATGATTATTATAATAAAAAAAGACTCCCTTTTAAAAATATTCGCATAAAAATGCCTCTTAGTTTGGGTCCTAATTAGGCTCTAACTCATTCACATTCAACATCATCTGAGCTCTAACATCAACCCCCTTTCAACATAAACGTAAAAAAAGCAAATTAAATTAAATGGAAAAGCATAACAATCAATACCCTTTCTTTGCGAGCAGCTTTCTTCTGCTCGAGTTCTTCAAGTGCACGAGCACGGCGTTCCTCGAGGGTCTTGAGCTCCTGTTCCTTGAAAGGCCAGTCATTGGGGATGCCTGGATCCTTCTCCTTCTTGGGTTTTTTACTGAGTCCAAGTTTTTTGGCTTCTTTCGCCTTCTTCTTGTGATGCTCTTTAACCTTCTTTATAATCTTGTACTTCTGTTTCAACGTGACCCTCTTACTCTTACTTTCTGAAACAAAGAATTACGGCCACAGAAAATAAAAAATAAATTAATAAATCCAGCTTTAAACGAAACGTAATTATCTCAATTATTAAGGCTACGTTCAGAAAGCATACTCTTGCTTCTCTTCACCATGGCGGACCAATCGCAGGAGTGGCTAGCCTCGCGATTTTTTCAGAAGAAAAACACCGGCGGGTTTAGGGTTTATGAGGTTTCTCTTATCGATGGTAGTTAATTATTGGATTTAGCCTTCTCCTTACAGAAACTTCAGAAATGGAAAAGCCTGAGGACACAGGTTTCGTATTTTTGTTTAGACAGCATGAGCCTCGGCTGTAAGCCCAGCGCATAAGTTGGCCAAATTCCAAAGTTATAAAAGATGTAAGCCCGATTCCAAAGGCAAAATGGGCAGGAAATTAGGTTAAGCCGCAGCCCAAAAGCAAAAAGCAAAATTGAAAAAAAAAATATTGGGGTGAGAGAGGCTCGAACTCTCGACCTCAGGATAACTCAGAAGCTATGAGACCTACGCGCTAGCCAACTGCGCCACCACCCCACTTCTTTTCCAAAAGTTCGATTTATCGCTAAGAATATTTTTAAATTCGAAATTCAGGTTCCGACAATCAAAATTTGTCTCGAAAACAAAAACTGATTTTTTTTTTGCAGTTTAGAAAATTACTCACCTGCAATTCATTTAAACATTTTTACCCATAAAACGTAATTTTCAAACTTTGAAACTTTCAACTCTCAAAAAACTCAGATCTACATATAAGTAATTAAAAAAACTTGGAAACTTCCAACTCTCAAAAAACTCATATCTACATATGAGTAATTAAAAATTTTAGCTGAAAACAATTCCGGAAAGTTAGTTTTGACCAAAATTAACTTGAAAAATAAATTTTTCACAAAAAAAAAGTGCAAAAATGAGTAGCCGACCGACCTCTAGGACGAAGCTGGAAGCAAACCGGCTTCCAGGGGGAAGTAGCCACTTGACCGCCGACTTCATGAAGGGGAGCCTACGGTCAAGTGGTTATTTCCCCCTTAAAAGTTGGTTTGCTTCCGACTTCCTCCTAAGGGTAGTCGATCACTTATTTTTTTCATTTTTTTTTTTAGAAAAACTTATTTTTCAAGACAATTTTGGCCAAAATTGATTTTTTGGAGTTGTTTTCGGTCAATATTTTCAATTATTAATATGTAGATCCGAGTTTTTTGAGAGTTAGAAGTTTTAAAGTTTAAAAATTATGTTTGAAAGGCAAAAATGTATGAACTGCAAGTTAGTAATTTTGTGAACGGCAAAAGTAATGCCAACACAATCTAATCATTCCAACCCCGTTACAGAGGAACTCTTTTCTTGTCACACACTCTAATCTCAGAGTCAAAGATCTGATTCGCAGTGATAGCCAATGGAAGCTGCAATTTATACGAACGATATTCCCGGACCATATCATTCCTCATATCACAAGGATATTTATTGATCCAAACAAGCATTTGGAAAATGATAAGTTGCAATGAATAAAGACTGATCATGGATACTATACAATGCGCTCAAGTTATCATACAACTATCAACCTGCTACCCTCCAACGATGTCCACATCCAATCTCCAACTGATACAGAAGTCAGAGCCTGAAACACTTGTGGAATGCTGAAGTTCAACCAAATATGAAACTGTTGTTAGGGAGAGTAGTGTTGAATACTCTTCCTACGAAGTTGGGATTATAAGAAGAGGTATTGAGCTTGATATCACATGCCCTCGCTGTGGAAATCAGGATGAGGATAATCCGCACCTCTTTATAACATGTCCAACTTCTCAATCTATTTGGAGTTTTACTTATCCCTCATTCCAATCCATTCACAAATGTACTAGCTACTCCCTACTGGAGTGATATATAGATTGGATTCGGTCTAGGCCTACAGCAAAGGAATTGGATTGTTTTTCTAATTATCTTTTAGAGTATTTGGGCTAAAGGAATCACAAAGTTTGACGTAACCATGTACATAGTCCGGTCATCTCTTGGCGACTGATTCAAAGTGACTTACAGCAGCATAATCAAATGATCAAAAACCAAATAGCCTCTAAGAACTCTATTGTAGAGATTGTGACTCCGGCAGAACAAGGTCCAATTTTAGATGCCTCAATTCACTTTGATAGCTCCTTTTTTACTTTGATGACTCCTTCCACCTGCGTACAATGACGGCAGCAGGAGCATAGAAGATTACCTCACTTCAGGGTGCTATTATGCGAATCAAGGCGATCCCTCTCAAGGTGTTATCACTATTCCAAACAGAAGCCATGACCTGTCTCATTGCGCTTCGTGAAACTTCACATCTTGGACTGAATCGTGTGAAAGTTCACACCGATTGTGCGGACTGAAGCGCAAGAAATTATTACTTTATTATTAGTTTTTATTTAATCTTTTGAGTCCTGTCAACTAATAAAAGTTAGCAGATCTGATGTTAGTGACCTATATAATATGGCTTATAATTCATATCGATGTAATAATATATGTACTTCAGATTAATATTTACCATTTTCAAAAGGAAAAAAAAATATATCAGGTACCATTTTCAAAAAAATAAAATAAAAAGAATAGCTCCCTTGTATTTCAAAAAAAAAAAAGAAAGAAAAAAAGAAAAGAAAATAATAAATAAAATATAAAAAAAGGGCCATAGTTAGCTGTAGTATTTTGTTTCCCTCTATTTTGGCATCTGCCTTTGGCAAAGCGAAATTAGAGACATTCCAAAGTTACGCTGGAAAAAAACAAGGTACGCACAGATTCAATCCTCAAAATCTTCATCCGCCTTTCTTAACCACCAGCTCTTTCCGCGAACTAGCTGAACTTCCTACTTGATTACATTAGAATTGGCTCACATATGATTTAGGGTTTCTATTTTAATCTTCACTACTATTGCAGTCAGAGTATTGTGATGAAAGGTATTCTCTAGTTCTTTACATTGAGTAATTGCCCAGATAGCCCATGTCTTTGAATGAGCTAGTACTGATTGTGAATAAGAACATAGCCTTCTCATTTTGCTGTTTGTTTTAATTAATTCATCGGAGTTTTCAAATGTGATGTTAATGATGGATGATGTCTGCCGCTGTGGTTTAGAAAAGAAAAGCCGCCCAAGTGCCCAATCCTTGTGGTATTCTCTTTCACGTTATAGGATTTTCGCATTTGTTCGTTTGAATTTCTTAGTTTTTGTTCTCTTTTTGTGGTCTTTCTTTTATTGGCATTTGTTAATGTATTGAACTGGGCTAGTTTGAACATATTTCAGCAGGATCACGGTCAACAATGTGTCTTAATCAGTAGGCGTGCATTACCTCTATGGCGGAACATGCACTTGTTCCACCAACTGTGCAGCTACATCTGCATAGAAATTCTATACAAAAGCGGTCTTTTTTCCCAACATATGCACTAACTCGAACACGAAGGTTTGATTCTGTCTCTGAGCTAAGCAATTATACTTCTTATCTGATTGTTGGGTCGGCATTGTAGTCAAATTTAACATTTTGGATCCTTCAAATGTTGGCTTCTTGATTTGCTGGTTTGCTCGTGAAGCTTATCTTTTGTTCTTTTGGAAACAGTTGCATCAGTCGTCTTCTGTAGATCTAACTCTTAAACTCCAGTCATTTAAATGAGATGACGATTCATTTTTGTTTCTTTCTTCTATATTGTTTAGGGAGTACTCCTCTAGAAGCTGCAAACTGATTCAGTCCCAACCATTGAACTTTTGGAAACCTACTTCCAGCTATACAAATCTAAAACTCCATCATCAGCGGGATAATTTAGCAAAGTGCAAATGTTTGGGTGCTCTGGTCAATGAACTCAATTCAGATGCTGCTATGAGTGCTGAATGGGTTCCTTATGCTGACCAAGTACTTCTTATGGCTAGCATATTTCTCACCTACATCGCCGGTGTAGCTCCTGCTGGAGTGCCGCTTACAGATGCTCGTAAAAGCACCTTGAGTGATTCTACCGTGCCCAAAAACTCATCCATCTATGGTAGGTAAGAGAGTTTATTACGTTTCATATTCAGATTTTGTTCAAGTTTGTTAACTATGATTTTTATATAGGAAGTTAATCTTTAATTGTTATTGTTGTTTATTGCAGTGCTGAAGAAAATGATAATGAAGATAACATTCAGTTTGCTTGGGATATAGTTAAAATCAAACTATTGGATTCCTTATATGCTGTGAAACAGGCTGTTAAAGATGGCTATAGAGTCTCTGGAATGGATAAAGATGTTGCATTGCAACGTTCTAGTTTATTTGCTCTTGCAGAACTTCCCAGGTTACGTTGCTTGTGGGCATCCTTTGAGTGGCTGAGGAAAGAGGCAGGCATTGTCCCTATTTTCACCTGCTTTTGAATTTTACATTGCATAGCTCAATGACTTCATGACTGTTGTTAATGTAGCTTGGAGATTGCTGAATTTATTTGTTTGTTTTGGCTGAATTTCCTGCATTTTTAGCTAACTGAACGTAATCGAAACTCGGAAATAGGACTCTCCTCTCCAGAAACTGTAGGACGGGCAATATGTGTTGTGTCTGTGATGTTTTACTGAAGCCTAGTGTGTCGTGCCTTTCATGTTTTCAAGTATTTTACTAATTCTCCCTCCTATTAATGTGTATCTGCTACTAGTCTGAAATGGATATGAATGATAATGACGGAAAAGAAAATACTCATATTATCTCATCGAAACACAGTATTTTCATTTCCTTGGACATAAAAATAAAATGAACTATGTAGCTATCATCTGTGAGTTTGGGATCTCAATACTTGGTGTGAGACATGAATAAAAAATAATTTTACTTTATTTTTTTAAAAAAATTGGATGTCATTTTCTTTTTCATTGTTTTGTTTCTGCATTCCAGTCTGTGTAGTAATGGCGTATATTTGTTGCACTTGGTTGCAGGTTGATAGTATCTCTGGAAGTACTAGTGTTGATATGTCAACGGTTTTTGCACGTATCATTCAGAACTCCGGCAAGGATCTGTGTCTGGCGTGGCTGGAAGAGGAGCTTTGCCTAAAAGACAACCCACCTAAAAAGGTATCTCGGGCAACTTCACCCATACTAGTTACTCATGTTTTTGCTGAGCCAATGTGCAACTCTGATATTAAAAAAAAAAAAAAAAAAATTGCTGAAATTTTGTACCAGGCACTTCTTTCTGCAGGGATTGAGAAATTGAAAGGATATGACAATATTTTGGAATACATAAGAAAGTCAGGAAAGGAAGACTTATACACAGAGCTGATAGGTACCCTTAGATTTGGATCTGCAGGGTATGGAAGATTTTTTTTTTCCTATATTCCTTTTGTTTAGTTTGCTTTGCTGAACAAAAACCTTGTGATTGCTCAACCTGATCTCTAAAAAATGATGCCTATATATTTCAATGGAATCTCTAAAAAATTTGATTTTATAATAAGTGTTTATGACATTGCATCCCTTTCCTTTACTGAGTATATACTGTACCAGGCTGAGTGGCTGTTATGATCCTAACTTGTTCACCAAACATGGAGTCTCAATTCTAGAGGATTTGGTAATTACTTTGGCTGATGGAATAGCAACCATGTATGTGGAGCTCATATCTGTAGACAGTAGCGTGACCGCTGAGATGAACTGTCTTGGTTCAAACTTGTGTTCTTTGTCAACCCGGGCACTTCAGAAACTACGGAATGAGGTATCTTTTTCCTTCTGATGTGTTAAGTTTGCAGGATTTATTATTCACTTAGATGTCCTTTTCTGTCACTCATTGTGTGGAGAACTTCCACATTTTTGTTTGTGGGTTGGAGACGGAGAGTATATTATGTATCAGATGCAGGCAGAGCAAATCCCTATGAGCAAGTTATGAGAAATGGTATTATGATTGTTGACCCCTTGTACCGAGGAGTGCCTTTTCTTCTAACTTTGAATGTTGGAGACTCCCGTAACTATTGTTTATTCCTGGGCTTCCAAATGGCATAATTTCCACAAATCTACATTTTGCTTCTGTTGTAATTCTGCATGGCTCAATGTCTATCTAGATCTATCTTGCAATACTTCAGAAGTGTTTCCCACCACTGTATAGAAAACATGTATGCCAAGTCTGTTTGGGGATCCCAGCATAAATTGAAGTTGTAGATTCGAGCATGAAGTAGTTAAGTTCTTGTTTTAGCTCCACCACTGGTAATTTAAATATTCTTGCAAGTTTTCTTGAAGTTTTACCTTGGGAAATTTACTTTCATCTGACAGGTGGCATTGCACCAGTGGTTACATCAGAACATGGAATCTGTAGTTTCAATGTACGAAGATTGCTTTGAACTACGTACTTTTCAAACCCAACTTGTTGAGAGTAATAGCAAGGCTGAAGCGGAGGATTTTGGTTGGTGGAAAAAGCTTGGCTTGAGTAGATCTGGACCTTTGACACCCACTTTGTCTTTTGTTGTTATTTCTCAAAAATCGATGTCTGTCAAGCGGACCAAGGAACTAAGGGCTTTAACGGGATGGTGAGATGTACTCTCATAGTATCTCTTTTTCCTCCATACATGTTGTCTACCCTTTCATACATTATTTCTCTCATACATGTTTCTTCTGATATATTTTAAATGTAGTGTTACTTTAAGTGGGGGCCTGTAATGAGGTTTATACTAGAAATTAAGAAAATATGGGAATATGTTCATTCATGCTATATGTAGTTATTATCCCTTTTAACCAACTGAATGATCAGGACTCTACAACCTGGAAATATTCCTTGTCAAGAATACTTTTAGTGCTTGGTTCTTTGTATAATTTTGCGCATATATATATAAGATTTTTGCTTCCCAAGTTATGCTTCTCATTTTTCCTATTTGTTGATCTTTATTTGCTTTCCTCATGTTTATATTTCCGGTAGGAGGTGAAAATTGTGTACTGACTATATGTTTTACACATTGCAGGAAGTATTACTTCAGTCTATTTCTTGAGCTGTCTGATATTGCAATGCCAATGATAAGAACTGTTATCAGTAAAGTCAGCGACGCCATCTCCTTCTTTCTAGTTTGCTTGATAGGGAGATCATTGGGGCTAATTTACACTGGAATAAGGCAGTCTTTGAGATGGAAGTGAGTCATTCCCTGTGCTTCATATTTTTGGTTTTCATCCTCACTCCTTCTCACCTTTTCTGTCCCTTCGTTATGCATGATTGACAAGGATTATCTTGACGTAGAGAATTTTATTTGGATGAGGGTTTTTGGAGGCATTGTCATTTTAGTAGAGTATGACCAATGCATGCTTTTTTGAATAGTGTAGGATTTTGGACATTTTCAACTGTATATGAAATAGATGCCTCTTCAATTTGCCATTTTCAAGCCAGTAGCGAGCAGGTTATTCTTTCTAGGTCATTATGGTACTGATGCTGTTGTTTCTTTGATGTCCAACTACAACTTTGAGAGCTTTTTCCCACTCATAATTCCGTACGGTTGATTTTTCGGTTCAGGAAAAAAGTTTTCATACTGGATTGTTGTAAACTCATGTTAATGTCTGCTTATTGTCATGTTCATGAGGAATTCTTTTCATTTTGTTGAGAATTGGAGTGGGGAACTTGTTTATAGATTTCATACAAGAGCGTCAGGCTTTGAGATAGTTTCAACAACTCTTCAGTTTGCTATCGGTTTGATGGGTGCAAGTATCCGATTAATAGCATTCAAGGCACCTGAAAAGGCAATTTACACTCGGTTACTGGCCAAAATCATTCAAGTCTTTTACTGGTCATAATAGATTCATTAATACGGAAATCATCTTTTATGACCAACCATCATACGGATGCATTGAGTTTTGCTTTGTTTAAAATTTTTTCAGGAAAAACTAGCAAATATTAGGACACTTGGTTGATGAGGAAGCAGGTTTTGTTTAAAAATATAGGTTCTTTAATTCCTGGACTAAACGAGGAAATCCAAATCCTAGTCTCCTTTTGACCTAAAAAGCTGAACTTGGACTGTAAAGAGAGTTCCAGTAAAGATAAAATCTGGTGTGTATGTGACGCCTTGTGTGAATAATGCAGGTCTGCTAGTAAAGTGGACTATTAAATTATCCATGCATGAGCCCCTTTGGTGGTTTTTTGTTTTCTTTAAAAAAATTTTGTTTTCATGTCTACTACTTTTGGAAGTTGAGTAGTCAACACAAATGACTAAATGCCGTTCTCTGTTATCAATAACTTTTTGATGCATTTTTAATCGTCTTGAGTTGGAGATTTGTGTACTATATATGTTGATTGATCCCTTAATTATTCAGGAAGCAAGGCGGAAATAGGGAAAATGACAGGCACATTAGTGAAATTTACTTTTTCTTCCAAAAGATCCAAAAGTTAGAAATTTGAGAAGATAATCCTTGTGCCCTACCATCTTTACACCATGTTCATCTTTTTACTAAGAAACTTCTGATTATGAACTAATCAAATCATGGTGTCCAAACTTTACAGAAAGTTTGGTTTTCCACTTGTAACTTTTTCCCATTTTTACCGGATTTATATGTAAAACAGGAATGAAATTCGATGGACAGAAATAGTAATTTAGTTGGTCAATTTAGGTCATTCGTGGTTTGAATTGAAGATATATAGCTATAAAAGACATGTAGAAACGCTTCTTTTTGGTATTAGTTTTAAGCAATATTTGGATAGAATTGTGATCTTTGATGAATGTGGCAGTAAATCTTGAACGCCGGTTATATATTTAAGCTAGTCTATTGCACTAACATGGACAATGTTAAATGATGGAGAAAATGTAGTCTAAGTTACCAAAATTGTAAAGAGTTTTTGTTGGAGCTAAGACAATAACGTTGGGATCCTTCTATCATTGTACAATCATCATCAATGGAGAAGATTTGGGGGATGAGCCGTGAGCATTCTTGGACCATATATATATATATATATATATATATATACACACACACTATCAGTGGGTCCAAACCACATCTCGATGCCAGCTAGGTTTGAAAATGAAATGAAACAAAGCGTGAAAACATTGGTTGATTTTGTTTCTGATTGTGATTTGCTGATGTGTACTACAAACCTCGATAGCTTCTTGGTCGCATCTAGAAATTTTAAAGTGAAGAAATTGCTAGTAAAGGATCGCCGATGTTTGTGGTTCCCGCGTGAAATGAGCGCAATGTTTGGAAATTGATCAAACATGAAATCTTGGCTTAATTTTAACAATAAGAAAGGGTTTGGTACTAGGATACGCTAATTGTATGTATCTCAGATGTGTAGTTCAGACGGGTAAGAATGTAGCATTCTCATTGTATAGATTACAATATTGATAGATCTAGCATTCTCGGCAATATATAGAACTGCCAATTTATTAGTACGTACAATACAGTTTTACACAAGTGTTGCAATAATTGGTGCTGTTAAAAGAAATTAATGTCTGACCAAAAACTATATGAATACACAACTAAATACACTGCTGATAAACAGAGTTCATCAGGAAAGGAACGGACCGATTGGACTGTTGCAAAACAAGTAAACACACTATAAACAGAGTTGCAGAAACTCCTCAGCTACCAAACTTAATGGTACCTAGCAATCAGTCAATAGTCATATTAATTAATTATTAGTGCATATATTTTTTTTTTTATATATATATATATATATAAAAAAGAAATATTACGGTATGTAACATCTACCTACGAAATTATCAACTTCCGATGCACAATGTCGAATGTTGATCCATCAGAATACATGAGGCCTTTCGACTTATTAGACATTTAAGGAATCGATGAGTGAGTATTGCGTTATCTAATATTCACTAACAACGGAAAAAGCTTTCCTATGTATGCGACAATCACGATATACTCTGTACTACATGGTATATCACTGCCAAATTACCATTACTTACTCTTCTATAAGTAATACACATATTTTTATATCTACAATATCCCTTTAGAGACCTATTAATTGCCTAATTGGTATTATAAAAGTGCCATTTCTCTTTTGGAATGGAGGAGGGAGCATGATCAGACAACTATTGTTGAGGTTGCTTGATGTCTGTGCTACATGAGAGTCGTGCATGGCCTGAATTATTTCAGCAAACAACGTCGACGTTGCCTTATTATTTCTAAACAAATTTTTAGGTTTTGTCCTAGAGTTTGCTGTGGCAATTGTTGTATGAAATTTTCAACAACAGCTGATGAGTGATGACACATGGTTGGGTTCCTGCCATAACGACATGTATGTATAAGTATAGTTGAAATTGTATATGATTATGCATGACTACTACTCTAAAGTAAGACGCAATCAGAGTGGGCATAAAAGTACTTAATTACACAATTTATGGCCTAACAAAAGGAAAAATAAATTACTCCTATAAAAATGGTGCAATTTTATATCTTGCTATTACAACAGTAATCATGAAATGTTCGTACATAATATACATTCAAATTAACTCACAAAGTGTTCGAATTTGCAAGGTATGTATAAATGTAAAGACGAACAAGTTTTTTACCACTTAGTTTCAATGAAAGTGGCAATCAATAATCATACTTTGTCTGATTGCTTTGACAACCCCCACTATGCTTCCCATATATAATTAATCATATTTGTGTCAACACGTGTGCGTTGTCTTATTTATGCAATTAGGGGCGGGAGAATACGGGCGAGACCGAAGATGAAAAGATGGGTATATGGAGATTAACTATGCCATCGGATTAACTACATATAGAGGCACAGAAAAATCTTTTATGACGTTTTGTTGATGTTATTACACTTACTATTAGGCTCATACTAATGATCATTTCAAAATGTAAGTTACTTTAGGATTTGTACGTAAATTAAGGAGACAATATATGTTTTATCCGTTATTAATTACATTGGAACTATAAATAAGACTTAAAAATATATTGGTATCGTTTATTGAGGGTAAATTTGAGAAAATAGTCATTAATTTGCCTAAAATTTGTAAAACGACCTACATTTTGAAAAATCTATCGAAACCTAAAATGACTAGCAAATTGAAATGGAGGGATTATCCAAAAACCAATGTGTTTATAAGATGTTCATCTATCATTTAGCCGGTAATCAAGATACATGTATCAATCAAATTATGTAAAGTGTAATATAAATGTTACATCAAAACTATTAATTCAAAATTCGACTTGCTGTCAGGAGAGTTTGCTAAATAGAAGTAACGGTAGGTTAATATATACTGACTCGCAAGTAACTTGAATTGACGAAATCTGAAGTTTTAAACACGCAATATCGTAAAAGTTTCATGTGTATATATATAACTTTAAGGTAAGGAATAAAAAAGCGAACGTTAGCCAATGTGAGAAGGGGCAATTTTCGAACAACATTCACTTTACAAAGCATTTGACAATTTGGGCCCAAATTAAGAGCCTTAAATTTCACGAATATATATTTATGGCTTGTTTGTCTGCAACACCTAAAACCAAAGGTATGAAGATAGGCTGTCTGCTGTCTTGTCGTCAAAAGTTTGGAAATCAGCAAAACCAAAAGATGCCCCATTCTTTTGGGGGTGGTTAAACAAAGAACAGTAATCCATTTCCCATCATTATATTACATCAAATAATTGTAACAATATGTGATTTATCAGTCCACTCCATTGACTTTTATCACACCAAATTGGCAAATATCACGGAAATTTTGGGGAGGCTCACGTAATAGATTGTTTTCGCAACAACTGCAAGTCATACTATATGGGTAGGCAACTACAAGTAATTAATAATCGACCTACTTAAGACTTTTTCGATGGGTTTTTATTCGCAATTTTTGTTAGAAAATACAGTATAAAAATTGATGTTCTCGAGAAGTCTAAGAAAATAAAAATACTCTTATTATTTCGAAATGATTGTCCAATTATAATTTTTATTTCTAAATTCAAATTGTACTGAAAAAAAAAAGTAAATTAGACAGTTATTTTGAAACAACATAAAGTACTACAGAAAAAAAATCCTATAAAATACCCCAAAATGAAACACCGGATATCCTAATAGTGTGGATTGTTGTTGCCATTTGTTTTCTACGTTTTCCCATTCAGTTCATGCACATGCAGATATACATACGTATGCAGTCCACTGCTTTTTGTTTGGTGATTTTTCAAATGAAATCTTTATGAATAAATTATTTGCATTTGTGTGTTAATATGAACGCTACTTTAGTGGAGGAGGACTCATCATCGTTAATTAATATGGTTAATGCAGCAACCGTAAGTTCGAATCTATTTATGAGGTTTATAATAAATTAATTAGTCATCGGAGTAAATGTTAAGCCTTTCTTGCAATAGATAATGTAAAATAACAAAAACCATGATGAAACAATAATGAAAAGGTAAGGGGAGGAAAAGGTTTGATGTCCATGATTGATCAATAAAGAGCGAGCTAGCTAGCCACGGTTTCATAATATATGGAAAATGAAGGTTTTGTTTATGTGACAATAATTTTAAAAGGAACAAAGTGTAATCAAACTAGCAGCATATTAACTTTCGTTCAAATGAGTACCGTGTTATTTTATGACGAAAATTGAAATTTGATGTTAATTATAATTATGCATTTGAATGGACAAAATTACTTAACACTCGACACGTGTGATTATTTTTGGTTTCGAAAATAATTACAATGTGATTAATCAGATATAAATCACACTCAAATTCATCTCCATTTGGTTCAAACTCCGTAATTGTTTGAGAGGAATGTATAAACCAAATAAACCCTAAAAATTGTTGGTTACTGATCACTTGCACACTTTCAAATCGATCTAAACTTGCAGATCACAAAAAAGAATGGATGATGAGAGCGGGGCACGTCAATGACCCCACCAGGGAGACAAGGCCACCTTTGGCCTTGTAATAAGTCATAAACTCAAAACAGCCTTAACACAGGGAAAAAGCTTTGAGTTGTGGAACCATGGAGATCGTAGAATACGAATGAGATACTTTTGCTTTATAAGTTTATCAATAAATCTTCCAGAGCGAGCATCCTAAAGAAAAGAAAATATATATGTTTATATTCAAAAAACCAAATACCAAGAGCAACCAACTTCGCATATTTTCAAAGCTGAATGTCCGTTAAAGTCAAAGTAGAATTTTTTGAGCAACCGGCCAAGCAAGGAAAAAAGCCATCCCTATTACGCCATTTTTTTTTTTTTATATCTCCTCTCGCACCATCCATCCCATCTTTTTTTCTTTTTCTTTCTCTCTTTCCGGTGCCATCTAATTCAATACCCTCTTTTTCAAACTTTTCCTTTTCTACACAAGACTAATTCCTTTGATTAGTATCACATTTTCGATCAACATATTCGTCAGCCAGTAAAATATTTTGAAGATTGTAAGAAATGTTAAAAGACTCGACGATTCATTTAGGAATATTAATTTGAAGAACTTAGTTTGTTTGATTGTCTTCTTGTTTCAACTGTATAACTGTTGTGATTCTGATTGCAGCCTTTGTTGGTAATTGTTGATTTTAACTATATATACTTCACAACTATTAGAACGTACTTAGTCTATAATGAATACAATGTCATCAATAATTGGAGTGCATTGCAGATGATAGCAACCAATAAAAAAAAAAAAAAAAAACTTTGACACAGAAAAAGGTAAAGTGGATGAATAGACCAAAATAGTCTTTAACTGCTTAATACATTTTTAACACGATTCATTTCAAACTTGTCAGACTTTGACTTTTATACGTATACATATATGTGCATAGACACAAATCACGCATATATAAAATATATTTAGGGTGTCACTTTTGTCAAGTTCAGCAACAAAAATATTCTTGGATTCTCAGATATATATCTTCTCAGATCTACTACTTTCTTCCCAAGCTATTATATTCTTTCTTTGGTTCCTGATCAACCACAATATAGTAGTGCCTCCATTTTCTTCGAAACCTTCCCTTTTCAATATTCACTCTTTTTCCAAACCCTTCTTACTTCTTTCCTATATATCTTTCTCTCTTTACATTTTCTTTTATTTTTTTCTTTTCCATTCTCAGTCTTCACCTAGAAGAAGTTCTCGGGTTGTTTTAATCGGTTAATGGATATTGATCTCTTGTGGGATCTTTGGGGGGTGGTTCCATTTTCTATTTCCTAGATTTGCATGGCAACATTGAGATCCTCAGTTTCTGAAACCTCTTCTTCTTCTTCTTCTTCCTCAAATCCTCAAAACCCTTTCCTCTTATTTCTTGCCCTTTTCTTCATCTTCATTGTTCTGGTCTACTCCTCGGATTCGAGCTCGAGTTTTGATCCATCCTCCATGGCTTCTTCTTCTTCAAGGGTTTCCACTCAAACCCTTGTCCCTCATTCTTCATCATCCAGCATGAACTTCCATCCTACCGGAAAAAGCCGCAGATCATCATCTTCTTCTTCTTCTCCTTCTTCATCTTCAAGGGAGTTTGAAGCTGGCGAACATGAAGTTCCAAGTGGGCCCAACCCTATATCCAATTGATGAACTGGTGAGTTTATGGAGTTGAATCATCAACTTTGCGGTCATCGATCATGTGTCTCAAGCGGTCATTAGTACTGTTTTTCTTTTTGTTCTTTTTTTATTTAGAATTATTCGTATGTATAGCAAAAGAGAACGCATTTTCCACATATTCTTGTATGTAATGTGTTAAATATAAATATATATATATATATAAATTTTGGAGATAGTCGATCAAAAGCCTTTTGCGTGATGAAGATGTTTGTGTCTTTATATTGTTTTGTTACATTGATAGTTTTTTTAGAGCAAGAGAGAATAAGTTTTTATCTAGGCTCTCGAATATTGTTAATTCTGGTGTAATTTGTTGATTGGTTGGGGTATCTTTGTGAAATTTTATTTATTACTATCCCTTTGCTTTAGTAATCTTGGAATTATGCTTCACATAGTGTGCACCATTCAAACTCTATTTGTATATCATCGATCATGCTGTTTTCTTTTCCACTCCCTTTCATTTGTTGATTCCTTAAGTAAAATACAGAATCTTAAGCACCGTGGATTATGATAATGGAAGATTTATATATATATATAGTCATGACTCATAGTTTAATTAGTTCAAATTTACGACTTATGAATATATAGGATCGTTGAGTTTTTTTTTTTCTTTTTTCTAACATTGAGAGAATAGATTAATTTGACCCGTTTTTTTGTAGTTTCATTAATTAGGGTTTTGTTCAATCTTCAAGGAGAAGAAAGAATTTTTAGAGGAAGAAAGGAAATAATGTTAAGTACTACTTAGGTAGTAGAGACAGAATTAGTGAAAAACTTTAGACAAAGTGGTGTCAGATCTGTAGTGGATGGAGCTTTTTTTTCTTTGTGTGTTCTTTCCCACAAAATTATTTTCAATATGTTCTGGTTCTGGGGGAGGACGTCTTTACTTTTGTGTCCTCTCTCAAAAAAAATGCACAAAATCCAATAAAGCTGATTCCACACAGACATGATGAGCCCATGATTTGATAATCATAGTAACTGTTTGTACATTAACTGTAATGACAGCAATCATATCTCCTTAGTGACTGTGCTACCTATCTACTTAATTCCCCAAATAATGTAGCGAAAAGATTTTTTTTAGTACTTCCTCCGTCTTGAAATGATTGTCCAATTTGAGATTTCATTTTTAGTACAATTTAAACTAAAATAAAAATACAATCTGGACAATAATTTTGGGATATAGGGAGAATTACATTCAATGTCATATTATATATGGATAATAATATTTTGTGACCTGTATTTGAGCGATAAAGGATTATATATATATATGTACTTTTAAATAAGTTGTTGTACATTAAATTAACAGTATATATTTGTAATTTTATTATAAAAACAATGCAGCATGAAATGATTGAATATAATGATAAAGGTAAAAGATAGTTTATGAGATAAAAATTGTGAACCACAACAAAAATCATTGCAATAATCAATCAGTGTAATTCTCAATGCCCACACTCAATAAGTTACTCCATCATTCAACAACCCATACTGTCCTTCTTGTTGAATGGTTGACAAAGAGATCAGACCTATGCTGCAATATTCTAGCTCCTTAGTTGTAGATTACTTAGTTATATATACGTACCTTTTTAAAGTAATTAGGCTTGTCTGCAGTTGCACAGTTGCTTGTGCATGGTGGACAGATAAAATCTACTATTTCAAGTTAGCTAGATTTGTTCATTGTATTAGTAAGGATGGACTAATTGAATTAATTAATGTATGCCATCAATAATCCGGCTGAAGAAAGTCATTTGGAGTTAAGGTACGTAGCCATGAATTATTGAAGAACGAACTAAAAAGACGCATTTGCATTCGTATTCAAGGCACTGACATTTGGCAAAAAGAGTTGACACTACAGAGAGAGGTAGAGATTTTTCGTCCCTGTATGGAAATCAATCGTGCATCTCTTATACGTACTATGCGGATTTTTTTTTTAAAATAAAATTAGAGTGTGTAAGATAAATACATATTTGAGCAAATATTTTAAAGACACCAGCTGTAATTCATGCTCATTGGTCCAGTCAAGAGGATATCATCCACATAAACTAAAAGAATTAGCTAGGAGCAAATCCTTTTTGGTATAAACAGACAATATGGTATACCGCCTGTTCCTCTACATATCCATGCAGGAAGGGGTTGTTCCATTAGTTTGTTTGACATAAAGGCCATTAATTAGAAGCAGCAGTAGCAAGAAATAATCCTCCATTTCAAGCTGGTTATAAACATTGGGCTACCTAGGTTACCTCATACTCTTTTCGTCCAATATAATAGTTCATATTATAATTTGTAATTAAATTGTATTGAAAACAACACAATTCATAAATTATAATATAGACTAATTTATTGGTACGAGAGAATATTTATAGTCATCGAGTTTACATTTATCTTGTAAACATGTTTCAAACCAGTAACTTTTTTTAAAAAAAAAATAATAAAAAATGAAAGAAATAAATTTGAAATATTAAATTAATACATTTTGAGAATATAAAACCTAAATAATATCATGATTTAGTCATAACCGAATATCTCATGAGGTCAAATAATCTCTCATGCGTCACTTTTTTTTACCGACCATGCACTACGTAATAAATCACTGATGACACGAATATAGCTTTTTCCCCTCAAGGTGGAGTAAGTAGTCAAATCTCAAGTTGCATTAATTTCCAATGCTTTTAGCTCTTCTTCCATGGCTTCAAACCATTTATGATTAGTCATTGCCTGATTATAAATTTATTATTCTTGGAAACTAGACAAGTTAGCAAGAAATTTGATGATGACAATTGTACAAGTTGAGGAGACAAGTTTCTGATTATAAGTTTCTTCATTTATGAAATTAAATTGTCACAGATGGAAATGCTTGGAATAAGGAATATCCATGAAATTAATTTCATTGTGAACTTTCCTTCCCGCTTCTGTCAACTATAAGTCGTCCTTGGCCTGGTGAATCCATCAAAGGTCATCTTTTGCAACCTTAGTTTAAATCTGCATATTTTGTAAGAACTCTTAATTATGTGGGCTTGGAAAAACCGACAAATTAATATCAAAAGAATATTCGTCCTGTCAAGACGAGCGTACCAGAAACTTGTATGGTTTGGAGGGATTATGTTACAATATGGATTTCAATTTCATCACTCTAATACGATCGATGATGATGCACGTTAGCCCTCCACACTTTTGAGTCTCGGAGGCGCCAATAGTTTGCAGGAACATGCGATTTTCAGTCATTTTGAGCAGCGCCTCTCAAGGGATTCACAATTTTATTTCAGTCATTTCAGTCAGAATTTTATTTTTTCCCCGAAGCCTACTAATCTCTTTTTTTTTTTTTTTCTTTTTCTTTTTTTGAAAATGCATGCGAAGCCTGTTAATTGATTCTGGAGGAGATGAAATCGTGAGATGCTATCAGATATATAGATTTTGCGCTTTTTGCTTTGCTTCAGGCGTCTGGTGAAAAAGCGGAAAAAAAGTGATTATTTTGGGACGCCGATGAAGCCATTCGTAAGAAATTGGAGGGTCCAGTAAAGTGTTTGGCATGCTCCCGCAACTCTGCAAATTCTGTGTTCTTTTTACCATGCAATTTCATTATTTCAAGCCCATCCCCATAATCTTAACCTTTTTTTTTCCTTTTCAAAAATTATAAAGAGATAAAGTAATTTTCTTTTTGGCGCGTCTTCCTTTTGATCATTTCCTTTTTCAGACTCATGTAACCGGCAGTTAAATTGTTCTTCTTAATTAATTTTAGCAATTTGATTATGTAATTAGGGCTTTTCAATTTGAATTTGTACTATGAAATGAGTCTTTAGCCATTGAGATTAAGTTGTTTAGGACCATACCCTTAATTTCTGGAGACAAAACTCTTTCAACGTCGTAAGGAACAACGTTAATAATAATACCATTATTATAATAAATAAAGTACACAGTATAAGGTAGAAAATTCTTGAAGGAAAAATAAAAAAGTTTCCCTTGCCAAAAAGTAAAACTGGGGTGGAAAACAAGCTGCGTCAGAAAAAGTGAAAAAGCAAAGAAGAGGAAAGCCCAATTAGATAATGTTTGATTTGGGTTTGTTCTGACTGAGAGCCCAATTAGATTTCGGATCCAGCCCAAGACTCCGAAAAGTGCACCTGTGTGTACTCGTCCACAACCTCTCTCTTAGGAGGAATACGGACACTCTGCTTTTCATTCCGCCGTCGTCGCCACTCGCCGGATCACAGGGCCGGCGAAGCACTGCGAAAACTGTCTTCGTTGATTATAATGGCTCTCAGACTAAGGAATTTCAGAGAAATTTCAAGACTCCTCCCAAAAATTGGCACTGGTTGAGACTTCCTCACTAATTTAAACTTGTCAGTTTCCAATGTGCGTTTTCTTTTCCCCTTCCCGTTTTTGAACTTCTTTGTTTGATTTCGGTAGGTTTTAATGGACGAAGTGGATTCCGCTACTTGCGTTCGCCTCCGTCTCGTCACGTTTGCTGTATTTACAACTACAGGGGACTCGAATGGAGAAGCTTTCACACGCAGAGGTACTAATGAATACGATTATGGGGACTTTGTTCTGTATTTTCAGTTAACAATTCCGGTTTTCTTTCTTGTTGTTTGGTTGAGTGAATACTTTTTCAGTTTATGTTATTGCTTTTGACTCCATTCTTGCTGCCAATTACGAGCACAAGGTTCCTCTCTATACTGCGTTCTGCTAGTTTTCCTGCTGCATTTTAATTGTTTTAGCTGTAGCTTTTAAACTTTTTGCTGGAAATGTTTGATCAAGATAAATTTTAAGTGGAATATTAAGGTGGCCCTTACATGCGTATCAGAAATTTAAGCTAATTTCATTAGCCCATTTCCCCATATTGATAATTGTATCTCCTTGCCGCGCTAGTGAGAGTTCTTTTAAAGATTGTGTCGGAACCATGCCTGTCCAGTTCAGCAAGTCCTTACTTGTCAATGACAGTTTTTTCCAGGTACTCTACCGTGCCTGAGAGTTTACATGAACCTCTCCAGGATGCCGAGTTCTTGTCCTTTTTACAATCTACTCTGGATGAGGAAAAAGGTTGTCAGATTTCTTTTGAAACATTCTTTTTTTGGGCTAGCGCTGCCAAATCTGCTTTATATTTGGTGGGGACTCGTTTGGATGTATTGATAACTGCCTCTGCTCCCATTCTGAAAGCTTGTTTTGAACTACAGGGTGTTCACACCATTGGATAAACAGATCTGGGAATCTCAATAGTTCCTTTAAGAAGGACGGAATCTTCTTAATTGTTGCTGGTAAATTCTTTGAAGACTCCCATTATTCTGGAACCAACAACTTAATCAGTCTACAAAAAGTTAAATTACTTCAGCAGAGGTAGGATAAATTTGTGACTCTAAGCTTCTTAAACCTGATCCGTGTAACTCAGGAGTTTAATTTACATTGTTTTCATTGCTGGTACTGCAGATATCCCTCTCTCCAAATTATTGGTTTCCAGCCTAGTTCCTCAATATCTACGAATGCTGCTGATAAACACTTACTCTGGAGAATAATGGCTGACTTTATCACATTTCCAGTTTTACTGTCCAACAAGTATCACCATGAGGTTTGTTCATATTCCTTTTCTCATTGGACAAGGTTTTGAAGGAATTTTTATCTATGGTTTGTAGAGTTACTTCTCTTCTTCTAATTGCTTTCAAGTCGTTGAATGTATTTCTAACTTGGGAGCCCACTGTGCATCATGCTGCTAGAATTGAGAAATTTTCCCTTTTATTTATAGCTTGCTGGTATCTATCTGCAAGGAATGATCTGAATGATCTTTAAATGATCTCCATTGTCTCACCATTTAGTGGAAATAACATGTCTTCTAATAATGTTGTAACACACTCACACACAACTATTTTCTTGGTGGACCTCTAACGTAGCATATTGTCTGGAATCTATTAACTTCGGTAGTGATGGGGTTTTCTTGACCTATTCGAGCTCATTAGTGTTATCAATCAACTGTATATCCATTCTGTTTCATTTGTATCTTCTAAGTGGTTGCATCAATAGGGGAATTATAATCTTATTTTTTTGACTATGATTATTTTGTTGTTCATTTGAGAGCTAAAATTATCTTCTCCATTACTTCCAGAATTTTGGTTGTAAGTAATTAGCTTAGGTTATCAACCCTTTGGGATCTCTTACTGAACTGCAACATGTGATATTTTTGGCATTTTTGTGCTATCATAATTTTTTCCAATGGTGTCCAATTCACTTCATCTAAATGTTGAATCCTTTTTTCTTTATTTTTATGTAACTAGATGGAAGATAGTGCCTGCTACTTACTCTTTAAAGGTTTTGGGAGTCCTTCAATCTATCATGAAAAGGATATCAATGCAGGAAATCTTGAAGAAGGTACTAAGTCTGATTATGTTTATTTCATTTGCAACTTAGTTCCTTTGAAAATGTTGTTTGGGATCATCTAGAGCTAAAGATTAAGAACATCGTGGGGATTAACAAATCCTGAAATGTTTCAGCAGTAACTCTCTGGAGTGCGTTAATGCAGTTTTTAAGCTGACTATTTTGTATCATATGGCAGCTGTCAAAAGCATTACCTCAAGCCACGTTGAGAGCTCTAGGGCTGGAAACAAATTGGATAGCCCATGGGCTAATCCTATTCAGATCATGAAGGAGCCATATTATACTTCTTCCTTGCGGAATTTGTTTCTTTGCTTCCCAGGTAAAGGTTTCAGTATATTTTTGTAATAAATCTCATCTTATGCTGCAACAGAAGTTGTTCTTTTCTGTTACCCATTTTATTTATGTATGATACTAAAGAATACAGGGCAAATATTTTAAGGAGCTTATGGTCTCATGTACAGTTATGTGTCCTTGGTTGGATTGTGTTTGTGTTAGCTCAAGTCATAATGGAAATCATCACTTATCATTGTTGTCCTTGTCCTTTCTTTTTTCCTTTGCAGCTTGTATTTCTGTTGATGAAGATGGGAAGCGCTTGTTCCTTTCTGATTCTAATCATCATCGGATCTTCATCTTGGATGCCGATGCTAGAATTTTGGACGTGGTATGCAGTTATTTGTAATTTGGTCAGAACTATTGGCACTCTATGCCTCTACGGTTAAATCTTTTTCATTCATGTAAACTAGGAAGCTTTGTGACCTAAAGCATCTGAAAATCTCATTGTTGGAGAGATAGCTGAGGTGTATGAATTTTTGCTGCCTTTTGATTTCAGATAGGTTCTTCTCCTGGTTTTGAGGATTCAGAGTTCGAGAATTCTAAGTTAATGCGCCCTGCTGCTTCTTTTTATCATCCTTCTGAGGATTGTTTGTATTTTGTAGACTCAGAGGTATGCATTGCAGACTGTACATTTCGAGATATAGTGCAGTTTTGCTTTCTCTTGTTAATAGTTGATTTTTTGTAGTTCGATATTGGATTCCCTATAACTTATTCCTCTTTTGGACTTTTTAGTTCCTTCTCTTTTTCAATCCTTGTAGACATCTATATAAGGTATAGTTTGTGCTTGCTTTTAAGGCATGTTGGACCTGAAACTGAAAAGAAAATCAATTAGAGTTTATTCATGAAATAATTCATTTCTTGAGTCCTTTAGTAGACTATCATTTAACCTCCGTGTGCATTTGTCTCGTTTCTTGCTCTAAAGTTGTCTGTTCAAAAATCAAAGCCCTCACTTTACTGTTTCCTTCCATTTGGTTGTTGAAGAACCATGCCATAAGAAGAGCTGATTTGGAGAGGAGGGTTGTGGAGACAATATATCCAACAAATACTTCCAACAAAGATGCTAGCTTATGGAGCTGGGTCCTGGAAAAATTTGGGAAGAAAAGTGCTGTTGATGCTAAGTCTGTAGAATCTCATTCAGATTTGTTATTTCCTTGGCATCTGCTGAAGTCATCAAGTAATGATCTATTCATCCTCAATCAGAGGTAGCAAGTTATATTTGGTCTGTTTTTCATCTGTACTTGTTTCAATTTATAGTGGCATAGGCCTATAGATACTTTGTAAGACAAGAAAACTTTTATATTTTTTATAATTGAAGATAGCTAAAAAGGCATTTAACTGCAAATTTCACACAGTGGCTGTTACTTTGTGTCAGTTCCCCACCCACATTAACTTCAAGTATTGATATTGCGGATAATCTCGTGTCTATTCTTGCTTGCTCCTATGTCTGCTGTCCAAATGTTTTTATGTTTCTTATTTTCTTTGAACCAGTAAATTGGTGAATTATTTACTAGGCTCAGCCATTTATAGACAAGGAGATAATCTCAAATTAGAAATCAACATTTTTTTTACTTATATTATGCCATTGAGGTGCCAAATTTCTCATTCATTTTTCGTATTCAGCTTCAACACTCTATGGGTGGTGGATATGACTTCTGGGGACATGAAGCAAGTGGTAAAAGGTCAGTAATTTATCAAGTATCTTTCTATTTCACATGTGAGCTGCTGCTTATTGATTTATTTATGTTTCAAAGGATTTCAGAGCATCTTGGAGACATGTGGACAGATAATTATGGAGAAATCATCTGTTATGAAGCACATACCTGATGATTGGTTGCAGCAAATGAGTGCAAATCGCTTTTTGGATGGAGTTCCTCATGGTGATCTGATTTGTTCAATAGCCAAACTCAACGGTGATGTCATCTTCTGCGACGCAGGTACCGGATTGTCTCTTTCATGAATTAAAGGTGGCATATTTGTGTGATTAGTTTCATGATGTTTTACATTTGAAGCGGGTCAGATGGTATACAAGCTTAATGGGGATTCTGGGGCAGTATCAAGCTTTCAATTCTCAAATTTTGGCATCCTGGGACTTCCTTATTGGTTCTCATTTCCTCTGGAGAAAGTTTGTGCAGAGTAAGTAGGTGGGTTGCTAGTGAAAATACCTGTCTTCTCTGTGCTTACTGATTTTTGTTTCTTGTCGTGTAGTGATAATGTATTGGCAGATATGCACATTGATCACGTTGAAGGTTTCTCCTTGTTGCCAGGTATTAATTGTTCACTGCAAAAAATAGAATGAATGCCTTCTGCCAAAAATTTGCACTGTTGTTCCCATGTTTGGTTTATCTAGCACTTTGGTTTGTTAATAGCATTTTGGTTTGTTAATAGCATTCAAAATTTGCACCGTTGTTCCTCATGTTTGGTTTATCTAGCACTTTGGTTTGTTAATAGCTTTCAGAAGATCTTTGAAAGAAAGGTCTTTGAACGTGCTTTGTGTTCGTATTTGGATTTCATGTAATTGACATCGTAATTAAATTATGTGATAGGTAGAGTCAGCATATCGGTGAAGGTAGCGATTCCTGTAGACATGGATCTCGTGGAACCACTAAGTCGAAGTTCCGTCTGGTGCCAGGCAAGGGGGACCGCTATGGAAATTTCAGGAGTTGAGAGCAAAGCTGAATTTTCGGAAAAGGTGTCAGATTTACTGGAGCTTTGATACTGTCTTTTTTGTTTAATTTCATTTGGCTTTGCATGCTTTTGAGTCAACCACTAGTTTGAAATGCAGGCAATTTTGTAAAATTTTAAGTTTTGGTTTAATGAACAATTCTTAGGGAAAATTGAAATCATTCTTCTGTGATGTATGTAGGTTGGTGTTGCCCAACAGTGGTATGATGAAATTGATCACCTTCCCTTTACCACCTCAGAGAAAGAATCTAACGCACTTGTAGAGACTTCAGTTAACAGAGAACTGCAGGATGGGAGAGGGTGCTTTGACTGTGCTATTGCTACAAGTCCAGGAACTAGTGAGGTATCCTTCTCATACCATATAGGTTGTATTCTCACTTAAGAATGAGTTTGTCACCTAACCTTATTTTGTTGCATTTTTCACTTGGTTTCATCCTTTACCAGATCATCATCATTGCACCACTATATTTAAGACTGAAAAGGAATTCAAGTTTGCAGAATCAAGCCGAAAAAGCCTCCAGGATACTAGATATCCTGGATCCACTTCGGAAGTCAACAAGAAATTCAGTTATTCAGTTTTTGTTGAGCTCTAAAAGGGATCTGGAAGAACTAATATTTGTTAAGTGTTTGCACTTGAGACTCAAGTTCGATTCTAGCGGCCATCCAAAAGCTGACAATTCGAAGGGTGTTGTTTTGACAGACTCATCTGTAGAGGTCAAGGTAGCCTTTTGAGGACATAGGAATCATAGCCAATGGTTTTGGATTTTATTGATTAGGGAAATGTGCATTACCTCTATAGCTAGTTGCTGTTGTAACAATACATATCTTGTTCCTTGCTGTTTCAAAATGCAAGGAATGTGACTCTTGGTGCCACTGCCAAAACAATGTTCAAGTGATTTTGAGAGAAAGCCTACTTCGGTGATATAAGGTTTTTGAGATTCCGGAACTCTGTGTCTACTCAGCTCTTCCTCTTAATTGGTGTTCTTTTCCTACCTTTCAACAGTGCATTATGATATTTCCTCTGCACCATAAGAGTCATGTTTGTTAAACTGATTTAGGGCGGAGTGTAATGTGGAGTGAGGATCTTCACAGCAAAATATTATACTAGTACTTTCCAGAGAGCAATAATAATACGGTACATTATGCTAGAAAAACTAATGCGCATCAGTGTATGCCAAATGAGGATTAAAAATAATGCTGGGTTATTTAGCAGGGAAATGTGAATAAGAACTGAGAGAAATCAAGAGGTTACTGGGTTCATTCGGCCCATTGGATTTAAAGGCCTAATAAATAGAATGGGCTTGCTCAATCTGATGCTTTCTGGAAAACATTACTCTCTTCCTTGACTACATTAATCCCAGTCGTCGCCGTCACCATTTCCCGGCATAGATTCAGACAAGTGATCGGATTTTGAGAGTGCAGAAATCCCATGAATGAACAGACATGCCCGGCTTATCAAACTCGGCCTTCAAACCAATCCATGTTATGCTTCCAAACTCATCGCAGAGTATGCCTTTTTCCCAACAAGCCACTCACTTAATCATGCTCACCGTATCTTCAAGGAAGTCCCTTCCGATCTCAGAGACACGGCTCTCTGGGCCTCTCTCATCTCCGCATATTCACGTTCTGAACAACCAAATAACGCCCTCCATCTCTTTTCTCATTTGCTTGGCCAACCGCAAGCTTCGCGGAATGCCGAGCCTAATGCGTACGTCTTCACCTCCGTAGCCAGGGCGATTGCTTCAGCCCCTGAGCATCTTCCTTTTGGTCAATCCGTTCATGGGATGATCATTAAGCGTGGTTATACGCCCCGGGATGTCTTTGTTGAGACAGCTTTGGTGGACATGTATGTGAAATGCGGCATGATGGAATGTGCGCTAAAACTGTTTGATGAAATGCCTTATAGAAATTCAGTATCCTGGAATGTGATGATTTTTGGTTATATTCAGAATGCGGAGGAGTCAAAGGGGTTTGGACTGTTTTTAAAGATGAGATATTTGGAGTTTTGTGCGCCTGATCAGTTTACTGTGGCCACTCTGCTATCTGGTTGTGCTGGTGTGCAGGATTTAGCTTGGGGAATGCAACTACACGCTGTTGCAATTGTTAGCGGATTCGAGATCAATTGTGGGGATGCTATAGCCACTATGTATTTCAATTGTGGCCTAGTATGTTCTGGTGAGAAAATTTTGGAGGGAAGAAGATCAGATGACTCAGTTGCGAAGCTTATAAAGATTAGAGGCTTTATATCTAATCTTCGGTATCAGGATGCCTTAAACTGTATTTCTTCTGCTAGAAACAGTTTTCTGATTTTGTGTCGGGATCATACGGTGATTGTTCCTATTCTGGCTGCTTGTGCGAAGCTTTCTTTGCTGAAAGTTGGAAAGCAACTGCACGGACTTCTCATCACTTCCCTTCAATCATTGTTGGAAACTTCCCCTTCTGAAGATGGTGATATCATTGGATGTGCTTTAATTGATATGTACAGCAAGTGTGGTGTCGTTGGGGATGCTCGGAAAGTTTTTGATGATGTTCTGCCTCGAAGTGTTTCACATGGGAATTCAATGATATCTTGTTATGTTTGTAATGGTTTGTTAGAGGATGCTCGGAACTTGTTGGAGAAAATGCCAGAGAAAAATGTGGTTTCTTGGACCACCATGATGACAGGTTATGTGCGGAGTGGTAAGCCACGTGAATGCTTAAATATGATGGCAAAGATGTATTGTAGCAAAGTTGATGGGAACTGCGTGACCTTTGCAGTGGGTCTTGAGGCATGTAGTGACTTGCCAGACTTGGAGTTGGGAAAGTTATTGCATGCTAAAATTGTTCGAACATTGATCAATGCTGATGCTACTAATGTGGTTATCGGAACATCTTTGGTGGATATGTATTGCAAGTCGGGTAAATTGAACTATGCACAAACAGTTTTTGATTTGATGGAGGATAAAAACATAGTTGCTTGGACATCTGTTATAATGGGTTATGCAGTTCATGGTTTTGGTTCCCGTTCCCTAGAACTTTTCCAGGAGCTCATTGAAACTGGTACTAAACCAAATGAAGTGACATTCATTGCTGTTCTAACTGCTTGTAGTCATTGTGGTTTGGTGGATGAGGGATTGGAATACTTCAGAATGATTAAAAAGTATGGTTTGATTCCAAATGAAGATCATCAAACTTGTTTAATTGATATGCTGGGACGTTCTGGCAGGCTAGAAGATGCATTTCATATGCTGGAGGAGCACGAAGATACAGAAACAAATGGTGAGTCTTGTTGCCCTGCTGCCTGGGGTGCATTACTTGGTGCATGTCACTTGCATGGCAATGTGAAATTGAGCGAAAGGGTAGCTGAGAAGATGCTGGTTCACACAGACCAGATGTCTACAACCCACATTGCACTTTCTAATGTTTATGCAGCCGCTGGATTGTGGAATGAAGCTTATAAGATAAGGGAGAACTGGAGAAGAGGAGCTTTAAAAGGAGACCCTGGTCTTAGTAGCATCAGCATGCACCTTTCCAATCCTTGACATGAATATGTTAATCGGAGAGAGGCTTTTGCTTGTGGAGAACAGTTATGCTGCATTTTGCAGCTGGTGCTGCCAAAACTGAGAACCAGCTTACTAACCCCTGACACATGTATCCCTGGGTTTAAGGTGCATTCGCGGGTTCTTTGTTAAATGAAAGGGGATCAACGATGCTGAACTAATATTGAAAAGGGTTAGTTGAAAATGTTTTTTTATGATCACTAAGCCCACAGTGAAGGGCACAAATTTGTTGACTTTTGAGGTCCATGTTGTTTGAGAATTTTGTTATTTACTTACCTTTGGTGAATAGTGAAAACATATCACGTTCGATTTTCTTCCCATCAGGTATCAAAAGCCAAATTTGCTGATTCACTGATGGTAGTGCATGGGCCAATAGAGCAAGTTGGACAAGCACTTCAACAACCAACTAACTCCATGACGTATATTCCGTCAGACTAATGGAGACCTTTGTTGACAAACAGTACAAAAAGTTTCAACCCACTTGCCAATTTTGTATAAATAAACTTGTTTCTTGTAGATTCTTACCAAGAAAGAGTTTAACATCATTTATCCCAGAAAAGGTAAGGCTTGCAGAATGTATAGCCAGGGAAGAAGCAGTGCAATGAGAACTGCAGTTTCTGCAATTCTGATTGTATTCTTACTATCGGTTCAAGCTCAGGCTGCAAGGTATGACGTTGGGGGTTCTTCCGGCTGGGGTTTCAGCACGGGGAATTGGGCAAGCGGGAAGAACTTCAAGGCTGGAGACATTCTGAGTAACTTTCTCTTTAACTGTGTATAAGTTACTAGAGTACACCATCTTTCCAGTGTTTTCAGCTCTGTTTTCTTTTTCTTGTTGTCTTGCAGTTTTTAACTATGACCCTTCACTTCACAATGTGGTGGAGGTTGACGCGAATGGATACAAGGGATGCAGCTCCTCTGCAAAAGCAAAAACCTACAGCAGTGGAAAAGATCGTATCAAGCTAGTAAAGGGAAAGCACTACTTCATTTGCAGCTTTGCAGGCCATTGTGGTGGTGGTGTCAAAATTGAAGTCAACGCTCTCTAGAATGCATATGTTTCCCCTCTTTCCCTAATAGTGCCATGCACTTCACTAATAATGTTGTTTGCAGTTTTGACTTGTGTCTTGATGCTAGATCATCATATTAAGGGCTTAATTTAAGCCCTTGGGTGGTCTTTGTATTTGTTTGTAACTGTGCGCTTCTGCTGTTGTTTTTGTTTGATGTTGTGCGCCTGTTTGATTACCTCCATCATGGGGGAACAATGGTTAAGACTTAAGACCGGTTCATGACTTCATGTTGCTCTAAAATCCAATGTGTTGCCAATTATATTAGTTAAACGCTACACTACCGAATTAGAGTACCGTAATATTCAAATCGTTCAACTCACTATCAATCTTAAATTGAAACAATTTCGTATATCTGAATCTTTATCAGGTGATATGTGTGATTCGATATCGTGTTAATCATTGCATATGAATCGTCGATATCATCTGATTTTTTCTTCAAAAAAATTTAAATAAAAGAAATAAAAAGGCCATGCAATTTGTTGGAATGGTTTGTGACCCAAGACTGCCTATAGGCTGTATAACTTCATGAAATGGCACCAAGAATGAGCATATTAGTGGTGCCAGCTTCCCCGCCAAGTTCTCTCTTCCTTTCCTTTTTTAACATTTCCTACGCGGAAACTGAGAATTAAGTCAAAAAAAATGCCCATTATCTGTTAATTTCTCCTTTTCCTTTGTCACCTTCAAAATATGAGATTCTGAACCTGTTTTTCATCTATATGTTGTTGATCTTAGAACCTAAATTACTTGTCTACATCTATAGACCCTTTCCCATTTGGAAACATTAGTACATTGGTTGCAAACCTCTGTAGATTTGTCCAATCTCGAATATCCCCCCAAGTGGATTTACATTTTACAAAGGACCATACCCTCTAAGAAAATCTTAAAATTCGTAGTTTTCTTGAAGAAAGATAACCATTCTCTCCATCATTTTTTTTCTAATCACAAACAATTTTGATCGTAAAAAGTTCAGCAAAATCATTGTTGAACCTAAAGTTTTGGTTTTTCTGGGATTGCTCTGTTCTGAATTAGGATTTTGAGATATGAATTGTTTCTCATGTTTCTCATCCCATGAAAAAAAAGCATCAAAGAAATATGAGAATATACCGAATCACGCCTCTCGTCCTCCTACGCAACCACAAACCAATCATCATCATCAACAACCTCGGCCTGGTAATGTTCTGATTCATCGTGAATCAATGCAGCATTTCGCAAGATTGAATCTTTATTCTGTTCATAAAAAAATTTACTCAAGATTTTGTGTTGTTGGGCATGCAGAGAATGCAGGGAAACCTCAGATTGAAGCCACAAACAATAAGCCAGATAATAAAGAAGGAGCCAACAATATTGCAGCACAAACATTCACTTTCCGGGAGCTGGCGACCGCAACTAAGAATTTCAGGCAGGAATGTTTATTAGGTGAAGGCGGATTCGGAAGAGTTTATAAGGGTCGCCTTGATAAAACTGGCCAGGTGATTCAATAAGGCTTCTTTGGAAATGATTTCGCGCTGTTTGTTTTTGTTTTTGCTTTTTTGGGGGCTAGAATTAGGCTTATGTTATGGGTTTTGTTTAATTTGTTAATTTAGACAGTGGCAGTGAAGCAACTAGACCGAAATGGATTACAAGGAAACAGAGAATTCCTTGTTGAGGTTTTGATGCTGAGCCTTCTTCACCACCAAAATCTGGTCAATTTAATTGGATACTGTGCTGATGGAGATCAGAGGCTTTTAGTCTACGAATACATGTCCTTGGGATCATTGGAAGACCATCTTTTAGGTTCGATTTACATTCAATTTCACTGAGAAATTGGCCTCTGTCAGCTATCCATCTAAATAGAGACCTGACTGATTTAGTGATTTTATGTTTTTCTTTTCTCTCTCCCTCAGAACTTCCACCTGGTCAACCTCCACTGGATTGGTTCTCAAGGATGAAGATTGCATTACAAGCAGCCAAAGGTTTAGAGTATCTACACGATAAGGCCAACCCCCCAGTCATTTATCGCGATTTAAAGTCGTCGAATATCTTGTTGGACAGTGAATACAATGCAAAACTCTCTGATTTCGGATTAGCTAAGTTGGGACCTGTTGGAGATAGATCACATGTCTCCTCCAGGGTAATGGGGACATATGGTTATTGCGCGCCGGAGTACCAAAAAACAGGTCAGCTAACAGTAAAATCCGATGTTTACAGCTTTGGAGTTGTGTTCTTGGAGTTAATCACAGGAAGAAGAGCCATTGATACCACCAGGGTTCCCCAGGAGCAAAATCTAGTTACTTGGGTAAGTCCATCCATTTTTTTCCCCTTTCTGCAGTAACGATACAGTTAACGAAAAATACTAATGTCTGGTTTGTCATTTATTCATTAGCTATGTTTTAAGAGGAAAAAAAAATAGTCTTCATATTATATAACTGATAATTGTTGCATATTATATATAGCTGGTGAAAATCAAACTCGCGACCTCTGAGATACGAGTATAAGGCACAATCGTCATACCTGTTATATTATTGTAGCCAAATTTATGTTCAATTGGTTGTTACTCCCTCTGTCTCAAAATTATTGTCCAATTTGAAATTTCATTTTTAGTACAATTTGAACGAGAAATGAAAATCCAAACAGGACAATAATTATGGAACGGATGGAGTAATTTTTTTTTTTTTCTATCTTTAAAGCTAAGATTCTGAGCCATCTAATTCTAAAACAAATTGGTTGCTTGTATGTCTTCCACTTATGAATGGCAGGCAGATCCAATGTTCAGGGAACCGAATAGATTCGCAGAACTAGCTGATCCACTTCTCCAGGGGAACTACCCAAAGAAAAGCTTGAACCAAGCAGTAGCAGTAGCTGCAATGTGCCTAAATGAAGATGCATCAGTTAGGCCATTCATCAGTGATGTGGTCACTGCCCTGAGCTACTTAGGAGTAGGGCCTGATGATAATGCATCAGAAACGGCCTGCTCCACGCCGGCGCTGTCTCGTAAAACATCACTGAAAAAGGGGGAAAAGAAACGCCCGGATTCGAGTGATTCAACGTATGCAGATGAACGCCAGAAAGCAGTGGCAGAAGCCATTGAATGGGGTTCAAATTCCAGAAACTGTAACACAACCTCGCATATGTACCAAGGTCCTTCAGTGTGACATTTTATTCATCCATTAATGGACTTGGTGTTGTACTATAAATAGTTGTTTCATTCTTTTGCGGCTTTTGCATTGATGTATATATACCCCCAATAATGTAGTACTTTTTTTACCCTACATTAAAGAGGTGTATTTCTTTTTTGGAGAGAGGGATCTTGCTGTTTTGCATTCCCCTAAATAAAGATTGTATTGAAAATGAAGATAAATTTAATATATCGAATGTTATCCTTCCATTCGAAAATGAAGTAAAATTGACACGACAATCATTTTAAGACCGTCCTATAAATTGTGAATGAATTTTAGTAAGTTTAGTGATCTGATGTCTATCATCATTTAATAAGATTCGGAAGACACTTATAAGATTCCACAAGAAAATCATTACAAAAGTTCGAAAAGAAGAACCATAAAAGATGAAAACAAAGGCCTTAAAAACACTAGAAGATCATATTCACTAAGTGTGGCTTTTAGGATTATTACTTGTGTCTTTCATATTCGTCATATTTTTTACCTTTAAAAAAAAAAAATTCTTTACCAACCAAAAAGAATATAAAAACATTGGGAAAAATTTGTTGAAATAATAATAAAAATAAAAATTTTCTGAAAAAAATTGTGTCGCAATTCTGGTTGGACGCGGAAAAAGAAAAAAAACCCAGGTGAGGAAGTTGCGTGTTCATACTTCACCAGAAGGCCAAGATCCCTATTGAAAGATTTCCCCAGCTCCGACCAAAGCTCATTCATGACCGTCCAGCCGTCCACTCACCAGTAAAAACATCCCCGATCAGCTTCACTTGACATTTGCCTTCTGGTACGCCTGCTTTTCCTAATTATTTTCTTCCTTGTTGATGCGTGTTCTGTTCTTTTTCTTTTTTCCCTTTTCTCATACCACAATATTTTTTAAGACGCTGTTGTTTTTATTTTGGTATTCATTTAGGTTTCATTGTTTTGTCATTTATAATTGTAATGGGTTGATGACATTAGGCTTTTATGGGTCAGATTGGTTTTCTTCGTTGAATTGTAATTGCCAGCGACTTTATGAACCTTGTGCTGAATTGGGTTTTTTTTTTTTTTTTTTTTTTTTTTTTTTTTTTCTCTTACTCCATCGCAATGCAGATAACTAGTGGCTACTTTCGATTTCCAGAATCTGCTTTTGGCGCTTAAATCATCTGTGGATACACTGAGGCAAGAAACCAACGTTCTTTCTGAGAAACTGATGTAGGATTGGAGGATTGGTTTTGATCATATGTTGGAACCGTGATCTGGATTGAATATAGAGCGAATGAAAGATCAGTTCTGGAGATGGGTCTTAGGATTAGTGTATATATTCGCTGTTGCAGCTATTTGGATTGCTGCTAGTTTTGTAGTTCAATCAGTAGTTGATGCTGGCGTTTCTCCCTTCTTGATAACTTATATTTGTAATTCATTGTTTATTATCTACATACCCCTCGTTGAACTCGGTCGGTTTTTGGAAGATAAGTATGGAAGTATTTTTTCTTGGTGGAGTCGGGAAGAACCTAGTTTGCGACAGTTGGGAGAAGAGACCATTCTTCTTAGAAATAATGATGCTGCTGTTGAAGCCGAGAATTTGAGTTTAGATGTGGTTCCTGTAGGAGAAAATGTAAATTACCGTGGAGGGGAAGGCATTACAGTGCATGAAGCTTTGGTTGGCGATGCTAATGTTGGATTAGATGCAAAGGGACGATGGACGCGTGCTAGAGTAGCGAAAGTTAGCTTACTTATATGCCCATTTTGGTTTCTTGCCCAACTTACATTTAACCTCTCTCTGAAGTATACGACAGTCACGGTAAATATATTTCCATGGCATACCTTCTCGCTTTTACTTTGTCCCAAAATTGTGGTTACACATGTTCCATAAGTATTTGTGTTTGTGGAGAAATTGTAATTTGCATTTTCCTTGTGTGCAGTCAAATACCATTTTGAGCAGCTCTTCCAGCTTGTTTACCTTTTTGGTTGCTCTTGTGTTTCTGGGTGAGAATTTTACTTGGCTGAAACTATTTAGTGTCCTGCTTTGCATGGGAGGCACAATAATAGTCAGCTTGGGTGATTCAGAAGCTGCATCCAGCTCTGTTGCGCCAAATCCTGTTCTTGGAGATATTTTGTCTCTTCTTTCTGCTGCCTTCTATGCCGCCTATATTACTCTTATACGCAAAAAGTTACCAGATGAAGATGATAAGAAACAGGGTGAGGCTAGTATGGCACAGTTTCTTGGATTTCTGGGTTTGTTTAACCTGCTGATATTTCTACCAATTGCTCTTGTACTCAACTTTGCCAAGCTGGAACCTTTTAAGATGCTGAGCTGGAAGCAAATTGGCCTAATTGTTGGTAAAGGTACGATTCGATGATCTCAAAGGTTTTCTTATCATAAGGCATACATGGAACCTAATTGGTCGCTTTTCTCTCGCATTTCCTTATTTGCTTGTAAGGAGTTTTCTGCATAATTATAATTATAAACCATAATTTGCTAGCAAGTGCCCAAGTGACCAGCATTGAAATTTCCTTCAAACGAGTACTGTTATTGAGGTTGTACTTTGGCCTAAGCAGCAATCATAGAGTGCAAACTGTGAGAAATTCATGCTGATGTTCTTTCTTTCCGGTGAGAACTAATCAGAAGTCAGCAGAAAAACAAAATAAAATCCTCTGAATTATTTTTCCTCCCTAGGAGCTTTTTAGCATTAAGAGTAAGATCCTGGTGTTGAAGTCCGGTTTACCAAGATAATTGTTTTGGAGTTTGTGAACATTTTGTGATACAGGTAGTACTGATGGATGAAGTCTTTGTAAAATTGAAATTCTTGCTAATTGAGTTCCCATTCTATATTTAAAGGAATTATTTGGAAATCTGTGCAATTGATTAGTCATTGATAAGTTTCTGTTACTGGGGGCTGGATAATGTAAGAGGAGGTTTCTTTTTCAATGCTAACTTCCAGTTGACTCCTGCCAGTACAGAGTGCCGTTTAGTTGTGGCTTTTGGACCATTTATTTTCTTGATTAAGAAATAGGACTAATCTAGATTCAAAAGTTGGCTTTATTATGCTGCAAGCGCATGTCCTCTTTATGTGGGTAGATTTTTGTGAAATAGACGTCTCTGACAGTTATCTGGTGCAAAGGAGGACATTAGTTTTATTACTTAGATTGCCTTCTTCGAATTTTGGTCATTGTTTCTGATCATTTTCTATTTGCAAATCTAGGTCTGCTGGATAATGTCTTGAGTGATTACTTATGGGCCAAAGCAGTTCTGCTGACTTCCACCACGGTTGCAACAGCCGGACTTTCTATACAAGTCCCATTGGCTGCTGTTGTGGATACAATAACAGGAAACACTCCCCACCTATTAGATTATGCCGGTGCAGCTGCCGTTATGGTTGGTTTTGCTGGCATCAATATTCCATCAGAAGTCTGTTCGAGGCCTGATCAAGCATCTCTAGAACTTGGGGAAGGAAATCTTAGGCCAACAGGCCAGGAGGAACACCAATGATGAATCTGGTGTTTTGCCAATTTTTCCCCATTTCTTCATCTTGTTGCTGGAGGCGGCCAAATGTTACAGCCCAAGGCAAGAGTATACTTGGGATCTGATTTGGTCCCTTGAAGATGATTTTGACCTATAAATGACTCCATCCTTGTTAAAAATAGTTGCTGATAGTGGGTAGCTTACCTTGAAATGTTGAGGAGGGAAAAATGCATTGCAGAAACTTTTTCTTTATCAAACTTGTAAATCAAGATAACTATTTCAATATACCACCACAATTAGATCTTGACAGCAGGTCTTATGGAGAAAGTATCTGCTCAATTCTTGGCATGATCTTTTACCCCTTTTTTTAATTTATTTCCTTACAGCAAAATGTCTACTACAGTATGTGATAATTGATTGAAATATCAACTGAAGAAGCAAATAATTTTTAAGAGGCTCACTCTAAAACATGGATCGAGTTCAGGACTTCAGGTACATGACAATTAAGAATACATTGGCAGCTGCCCTAGAAGATAGCAGTACTCAAGACAGCCACCCCAATGCGGCAATGTCGATCAATAATTATAATGGACCTAAAAAATGGTACAGTGCTCAATTTGTCTTTCCTAATATCCGAACTGGAAGTTTCTTACATTTATGATAAAAACCAGTTCTAACTCTGGGCAGCATTCATGTGTCCATATCTTTGCATAACCTTCTTTGTCGCTAGCGCTGCAGCCTCACTTGCTCTAAAAGTTCCAGTCGCCATTATAGCAGCAAACTCACGGGCAATCTCCTCTTGTACCTTGCTCCGAGCATCAACCAGGGGGTCTGCTGTCGCACCCTTGGCAGGTGATTTTGCTTCACTTGATGTAGCTTTGTCTGCAGCGAGCACAGTTCCATTACTTGAAGTATTCTGCGGTCCAGAAGTGGCTGGTTTTGATTCCGACACTTGTTCATTACCAGCACTGCTCGCCTTTGGAGCAGCAGGAGTTGCGGTAGCAGGATTGAATTGGGGAGCTTGCGGTACAGCACCTGCTCTTAATGTTGTCTCCAGCTGCTGTATCATGGGCACTGCATAGAGAATACAACATGAGCGGGCAATCACCATGAATAGAAAAAGAAAAAAAAAAATAAAAATTCCCAGAATCTTAAGACACATGCGACCATAAATGTCCAGACTAATTTTCCAAACTACAAACATCTATTGCCAATGCGTTCTCAAATACAGTAGCAAATCATCAATAGGTTCAAGGACAAATAGGACTTACGAAACATGGCACCCATTGGACTGTTGATTACTTCATTTGGCAAGTTTAATATATATTCTGGAATGGTCGCTCCCACCAAAAACTGTGCAACCTCATTGCTGAAATTGTTGCAATTATGTGTCAGAAGACTGTACGTCTGTTGGGTATAACGGGGGCTGATTTCTTGCAAGTACATTTCAAATACATCCTGAGGCACGTGAGTGACGCCAAGGTCAATAACTCGAATAGGAGTCCCATAAGGAGTCTTTCCAACCGGAGTATTCTGTATGCCACCTCCAAAGTAGTATTCATTACCATAAACCCCTATTCCTGTGTGCCTGCGTCAAAGGATAGAAAGAACAACAAGCTGATCAAAATGCAATTTTGCAACAATGCCAAAACCACAGTAGTTCCCGAAGGCAACAGAAAAGCAGAAGTCACAAGAACTACATCTATTCTTTGTATACTTGTGATGAAATGTTGATCTATATCTCGTTAATTCATCCAATCACCTTTACTTGATTCAAAGTCTCAAAATATTAAAAACATAGATCCTCTCACTAAATCACTAGCTTACCTCACCAACCAAGCTAAAGTAAAGTGCAGCAGAACAGAAATCATATAATAATCAATTTACAGTTACGACTGTAATTTTAAAGCACAAAAACATGTTAAAACTACACACGCAAATAATGAAAACTACAAAACTACAGCTACTGAGCTACTAAACTTACCATATGCCTTCAATGGCCTTTCCCAAAAATGTCATTGACAACTGTCGAGCTAGTCCTTGGCTCAAGTCATAAACATTCAAAGAGACTTTGTGACCCTCCTGCAATCACCGGTAGCCAAATATAAATGTTTCATCTTCTAGTGCAAAAATAAAACAAAGCCAGGGTAGGTACTCTTTTATACAAGCAAACAGAAAAACTGAAAATGCAAGCATACCTCAGCCATCTCAGGGAGCTTAAAGTACTTGGTGGACAAAAGAATGGACAACAAGGCGATAGAATTGAGACAGCCTGCAAAAGCAAGAAAGAGAAACACATTATTATGCAGGGAAAAAAAAGAAAGAAAAAACTCTCTCCCAAACATGTAAAGGGATTAGAAAGATAAAAACTAACAGGAGACTGAAATTTTTGAGACTAAACATATTTGCAATTACGATTCTCACAGGGTTCATCAAAGTCTCGAAATCAACAACATCAATAACACTTTCTTTCCATGCCATGGAAAGTAGTTCTACTTAAAGAAACCAAAGATCAGACCGACCGTACACAAGAATGCAAACCGATTTGTAAAAGGCCCCAGAAGAAGGTTAGGCTAAAGCATTACACGAAACAGATATGAATGATCAAACAAGGTAATAAGTAGCACCTGAACAACCACATCCGGGGAAAAAGAAACCAAAACCAATCAACAATACATCCTTGATATTCAAAAGTCAATAAATGTCTTCCAAAATCAAATCTATATCACTGCTGGCGGTAGTTAAATAAAACCCAACAAAATTCACATTTAGATATAACAAGGTAAATTTCCATCTCCCATTGACAAATAACACCACAAAAAAGGTCACAGTAAATGCTGCGGATCAAAGAAACAGATCTAATTCCCCCCAAAAAGAACTCATTCATCAAAACATACCCCAATCCCAATTCGGTAATTCTCGGCACCAAACTATATATATACGGAAATACTAACTAAAGATTTCAAACAAAACGAACAGAAAAAGATCAGACGAGGAAAATCTGGTACCTGAGAAGAAGGAAACAAACAAGGTAAGCAGCGTACGGGCGATCGGGAGAAAATTGTACCTTATGGAGATATATGGAGACGGGGAACAATTGAACGCGGGGATTTATTTATATCAAATACTTATTTTCGGAGGAAAAAAAAAAATGTTGGATTCCTATAAGTACTTGGGATTGGAAGGTCCAAGATTCTTTTCCACGACCCTGGAGTCCAGTTGAGGTTCTTGTTCTCCCGCTTTCTAGAATGTACCGACCAATCCTTTTCTTCCACGTGTTCCCGCATGTTTATTGTTTTTTCTTTTTTCTTTTTTTCCCCCGGTCCAGTACGCGCGTATCTTCTGACTTGGTTTTATTCCCCTGCATTTTCCTCCCTTCTTCTCCTTTCTTATATTTTGATAGCATTGTCAACGTGAAAAAAATATATATAAAAGGAATCCACAAAATATGAAAACCATAACTACGGGGAACTGCTCCTTTCTTCATTTTTTTTTTTCTGTTTCGTGTGAACAATGCGAGTATTAAATAACACAGTAAATTGACGTAATTGATTATACAATGCTAGGACGGAATCGCAGGATTAATACTGTGGAAAATAATATTACCTCTGCCCAAAAAAAAAAAATAATAATCTATTTATCTTATAAATTTCAAAACTCAATTTGAACTATTCATTAGGTCCCAAAATATAACATTAGCCTAACAATAGTATCTAATATTAGTTATTACTATCTCATTTCACTAAAATATTTTTTTTGGTACAATAAAGAAGGCAGAATGCCTAGAGTAGCTATACTATTACAGCACGTTGTTATCAAGTACCAACAATATCATGGTATAGCTAAGGTTTTAAAGATGAAAGAGAATCTTCAAACCAAAGAACACTCACCGGAGTTGAAATAGCCAAAGTTGCTAGTGAATCTGCAGCAAAATTTCGCTCCCGATGAATATGACTAAAATATTTTTACAACGTACATGTATCATTATCCTTTTCAAAATATCAAAATTTCTGTACTGGCAAAACTTCGGTGAGTGGTGACCTAATTTATAAAAATTAATACAGTATGTTCTAAGAAATCATGTCCAATATATCACACTACTTTTTTACCGTGGTCCACGAATTGCACTCTTAAATTCCGGTTGTTGACCATGCATTCAGAGCCCGATATACGGCCAGTCTAATTAAAGTGGATAGCTGTAAATTTATGCAAAATTGGAAATTTCCAGCCATTTGATGCATCTGGTTATTTATTGAGAGTAGTCCCATTAATAGAACTGTGCCCAGAACGCACCATCACTAGAAGTGTGTGGTAAAAGCGCGCAGTAAACATGACACTGAAACACTAATAGAGGAGATTATAGTGGTCCCTTTGGCAATTGTGGAGTGGGAGAGGTATCTTATGCTCTACATTTCTTTCTCTCGCGTGAGTTTCACTATTTTATTTTCCCTAAAAAAATTTTGTAGTTTCTAGATCAGTGCCAAAATTTTATAGCACTCATATACAAAGGAAACGATTAAACATGTTTATCTTGCCAAAATTCTATTGGCATAATATTGAAGAAAATATGATAATTAGGTTTATCTTGCCACTAAAAAAAATGTGGTACGAAAATACGATATGCAATGGAAAACGGAAAGGGAAAAAAACAAAGAGAGAAGGTTATCGTGGCACAAAAATATGACTTGAAATGAAAAAAAAAATTAAAAAAGAAAAAGAAAAGAAGAGAGAGAGACCAGTGATCTTCTTAGTTGCAAAGTTATCAGCTCTAGTCGTTTCTTATCAATAAACTAGGATTATGATGCCCACGCGACAATGCTTGGGGTTTGTTCATTATGTATCTCTATAATTTTAAAACTAGAGGCTTGTTCCGGGCAAATGCTCGGGGGCGTTCACCCACCTAATAAATTGACATGTAAATAATCAAACTTGATTAGGAATGAATTTAGTTTTTGATGAAGATAATTGATTGACCGAAAATTAATTTTTTCGAAAGTCCTAAATAAGTGGAGAAGGAAAGTTCCATTCACTGTCAAATTCAAAATTTGAAGGAACATGGCCATCTGATCTCTTCGTTAATATTGTAAATATACTTTTTGTTTTTAAAAGGGTGACACGTGGCAGAATGGTTTATGCAATATGGTGCATTTGGAGCCAAAATATTTTAATAAGAAATTGCCACATCAGCATCCTGTTTTCTAATTTAATAGGGTAAAAGGGATTTGGGATAAAATTTGTTTGATCCTAACTCAAGAATATTTAAAAAAAAGGAAAGAAAATATTATTAGCACTTTACAACCTGAAGTAGAATGCAAAAAACAAACGGACTAATTAGTAAAAAGAGATACTTTCAATGTTTTTTTTTTAGAAAAAAACAAAAGTCTGAGAGTTTAATTTAGTGGATAGGTAATCAAATCAATCCTTGAAATTTAATTACTCCTCTGGCTCAAAACTATGGCTCGATTTAATTTTTTACTTTTAGTCCAATCTATGCTAAAGATAAAAATTCATACTAAACAATAATTTTGGGACGAATGTAGTTAGCAAGAAAAAAAAAACTCTGGAATTTGTACACCTACAATGCCCTTCCTTAGTGTGGACAGTAACTTCTTTTTAAAAAAATTTTCATAGGAAATGTGAGTATGTGACGAAAATTTAAAATTTAAAATTAAAAAAAAAAGAAAAAAACCATGATGCGTATTGTTCTTCTTTTCTTTAAACCATGATGCATATTTAAATTGTTCAGAAGGAAGGTAATAAATTTGATTAGTAGTGTCTCTTATTCTGGACTTTTTCTGGAAGTCTAAAAATTTTCATGAAAAAAGATTGTTGATTAGGCTTTACGCTAAAATGACACAAATAGCCCCACTATGTGGTAGTTCTAACGACGAAACTACTATTCATTTAGGGTCTCTTGCTTTATAATAAGGTATATAAGATATAAGATATTAATTTTCTTTAAAAAACTAAAAAATATATATATATTTATCATCGACCTATTTACTATAAATAGCAAAGACAAAGTTGATGAAGAATAAATCCATTATCGGCCCAAAACAATTATAAAAAGGCATCAAATAGACCAGTTCGGATTGCTGGCCAATGAATATTATATCTTACTATATTAGAAACAAAAACAACACTTAAGAGAAAGCAACACCATTTGCCATGTGTCATTTCCACATCATATTTTTAAAATAAATATTTATTTACACATTAGTTTTCTAAACTTAAAAGACAAATGCAGTCCAAATTCACCTCCACCTCCTATTTTCGCCAAAAAAAAAATTACGGATTTATAAAAACCCCAAATCTTCATCCCCATCTCCACAATAATCGACTCCCTAATCAACCTTTTCTCCATAATAAAAAAAAAATTTCTCATCAATCATCAACTGAGAATATGTGGTGAAATATACTCCTTTTCTATTAGCATGTTCAATCTTTTCAATAGTGATAATCAACTACATTCTAATGGAATAAAATATTGACTTCAAGAAATATTCTTTTTACCTCTCTATATAAACACAAAGAAAAAAAAAATTCTCATTGATCTTGCTTCGGCCGTTGTGATGATGCCATTTACAGGTATTAAAATTTAAATGATTTTATTTCCACAGATAATTTGTTTGGCTTTTTTTATATTTTATTTTTCCCGTTCAAGAATAGTGTTATTACTATTATTTTTATACGACCACCCGTTACAGCTACCGTAGCCGTTGCCAGGTAATATGATGTGATTTCTTATATGGTTAGTTAGCCTAGAATTTTTGTATGATTTTAGTTTTATTTGGATTGAATTGATCAATTGGGTTTTTGTTACAAAGTGTGGTTTTTTTAATTTCTTTTTTATGTTTCATTCCATTAGAGTGATTTTTTTTTTAATCAGTTTTTTTTTCCGTATGTGTTTTTTCTTTGTTTAATTTCTTTTGATTTTGTTTCATACTTCCAGTTGACCAATTATTATTATTAATTTTTTGGCAAATGAAGTGCATTTTTTTTTTGTTCGGGCTTTCAAGAATATACTTTTTGGATTTGATTTTTGAATTTTTTTGAGTTCCTCATCATATAAATAGTTCAGGTTCCTTCTCCTAACTAATTCATGGGGAAGTCTTTTATAAATTTGAGGTGGAGAGGGAAAGAATGATATTTCTACGTTTATTTGTGTTTTGATATATTATTTTTACCTACAGAAAAACAATAATTTCTCAATTTTTAATGGGCTCTTTTACTTTTTTTTATTATTTTATTTGCCATGGTGAAGTGAATTCTTTTTTGCTATAATTTGAAACCTATGCAAATTTACATTAATTTTCATTCTCATATTTGTGATCAACCTGTTTAAACAATTAACCAGTTTCAAAACCATATTTTTGATATTTTACTACCTTTAAACCTTTGGAAGAAACAGTTCCAACAATTAAGCGTATACCCTTCGGAGGAAGCTTACTACTAAGCTATTATAAATCTCCTTTACTAAGTATTGATTTAGCACGACCAATGGAAAACATTAATAAATCATCTTGGTAATATTTAAATTTATTAAGATACTTTTATATTTTGTCTAACATTTACTTCAAGACATATATTTGATCAAGTTTATTTATATTTAATAAGTAACACTTAGAAATCATTTATAAGATCTTCAAACATTTTTAAAACGTAACAGGCCAAATACAATTTCTTTTTTTGCCAAACACAAACATTTCTATGATCACACTTATAAAATATTTCTAAATTCTTCGAACGTTTTTAAAATATATCGAGCCAAATATAAATTTTTTTTTTTTCAAATAAAAATATTTCTAATATCTAGAAATATACTGGACCAGGGTCGCGCATTGAGCGACCAGACATCACTAGTTATACAAGGAATAATTACATATATATAGGCATTTTTAATTTCCCGCTCTCAAGTCTCAACATCTCTAATAATTGTATTAATTATTTTGGCTAAAATTATTAACTAATTTATCATTATTGAAAAAAAATGATAATACATAATTTGTGTTGACGCCGATTTCGTCATTGGCGTCGGCCCAATAAGTAATATGATCCGGCTCGCAAAAGTGTCGGAAGTCGGAAGTCGTCCAAGTCGGAATCGGAGGAATCCGGGAGTGTGAACAAAATCAACCGCCGACATGGGTAATTATGGGATGTTTCCTATAATTGTGGAGTTTGATTTGAAGGCTAATTCCATTTACAGTCGGATTTAGTTTAATATGGGAAGGTGACAAGAAGTCTATTCCGGGTTGAAGTCTTTTCCTCCAAGGAATCAAGAAGCGGCTGACCTACCTTTCTCTCCAAGAAAGCTGCGACCTAATCCTCTCTATATAAGAACGTAGCCGCGCAATATCACAATCATCCCACGATCACATCAACAACAACACAAGGCCTCCGACGCCTCTTTTATCTTTTTTTATCTTTTCTTTCTTTTCAGTTCTGTTCCTTTCATTATGTCTTTTTTGATATAGCTTCTTTATTATTTCAGTCCTTTTCATTCAAGTCTTTTATTATGTCTTTTCCGATGTAAGCCCTAGCGCACTATAGGTGTTTTTCTATTTTTCCTTCATAGAAATAGGTGGTCGTTCATAGATTCTATTTCAGTGAATTCCATATCTCTGTAATAGCGTGCCATCGATACGGACTTCCGTGTCGGTGCTAGTGTCCCTGGTCCGTGCCATAACGTGTCATCGGCTACGTCTAGTTGGCGTTAATATCCGAGTCTTTGTAATAGCGTGTCATTGACTTGGGAGTTTCCTGTCAGCGCTATGTCATTTTTTCACTTTTTATATAACTTGAACGCCACTTGGCTTGTTCCAATATATGTTTCTTTTTATTATTTTACAAACCAAAGTAAACCGTAAGTCCTCAATTCCGAGTCCGAGACTTGTTTTCGAACTCATCCACAATCGTCTGAGTATTTTATGTTTGTGAGACTTTTACCTTTATTTTTCTTTCCCATAGTTGAAGGTAATTTTTTCGGCACAAACATATTTGCACGCCCAGTGGGACGAGCTTTGGTTTGATTTTTACATCGTGGGAGTCTTTTACTTTTTTCGAAAAATATTAAAAAAAAGAATCTACTTTTTTCTCGAGTCTCGGGGGGCTAGCCACAGCAGGTGTTCCAGCCGACAGAGTTCCAACAGTCATACCTTCGACACAGCAGTTATCCTCCAACAGAGCATCATCAGGTATTACTACCAACGGGCCGATCATTGTTGACCCCACTTCTGGTATTAAAGGCACAAAGCATTTGTTCCAAATACATTGTGCCTCGGAGGGCTTTATGTTGACGCCAATTTTGTCATTGGTGTCGGCCCAACAAGTGATATGCATCGGCCCGCAAATAAGAAGTTTTGGAAGTTAGAAGTCGTCCAAGTCGGAAATCGGAGGAACCCAGAAGTGTGAACATAATCAACCGCTGACATGGATAATTATGAGATGTTTCCTATAATTATGGAGTTTGATTTGAAGGCTAATTCCATTCACAGTCGGATTTGGTTTAATATGGGAAGGTGACAAGAAGTCTACTCAGGTTGAAGTCTTTTCCTCAAAGGAATCAAGAAGCAGCCGACCTACCTTTCTCTCCAAGAAAGCTGCGACCTAATCCTCTCTATATAAGAAGGCAGCCGCGCAACATCACAATCATCCCACGATCACATCAACAACAACACAAGGCCTCCGACGCCTCTTTTATCTTTTTATCTTTTCTTTCTTTTAAATTATGTTCCTTTCATTATATCTTTTTCGATATAACTTCTTTATCTTTTTAGCCCTTTTCATTCAAGTCATTTATTGTGTCTTTTCCGATGTAAGCCCAAGCGCACTATAGGCATTTTCCTGTTTTTCCTTCATAGAAATAGGTAGTCGTTCATGGATTCTACTTTAGTGAATTCCATATCTCTATAATAGCGTGCCATCGATATGGACTTTGGTGTCGGCGCTAGTGTCTCTGGTACGTGTCATAGCGTGTCATCGGCTACGTCTAGTCGATGCTAATATCCGAGTCTTTGTAATAGCGTGTCATCGACTTGGGAGTTCCCTGTCGGTGCTAGGTCTTTTTTTCACTTTTTTATATAACTTGAATGTCACTTGGCTTGTTCCACTATCTATTTCTTTTTATTATTTTACAAATCAAAGTAAATCGTAAGTTCTCAATTCCGAGTCCGAGACTTGTTTTCGAACTCATCCAAGATCGTCTGAGTATTTTACGTTTGAGAGATTTTTACCCTTTTTTTTTTCTTTTCCACGATTGAAGGCGATTTTTTCAGCACAAACAATTTGGTTGGTCACATTCGCACATTGCGCACATGCAACTATAAGTAATATACATCATTCAACTAGAAAGAGAAATACTCTTTATATTTAAAAAATGATTAATTTTTTTGTATTTTTTAGTTTAATAACGTGAACTATTTTGTCGGAACGAAAAAAATATATAGTAAATTTTGGGATATTAACAAACGTAAAGTTATGGTAATTTCGTAATAAGCTATATATGTTTTTTTTCTATAAAAATGGAAACAAAGTTATATTTAATAGTTAAAAGTAATACCGGATACGGTTGAATTAAATTAATGTCATATGATTGACCGAATATATTCATTATTATAGGCGTGATTTAGATTGTTATTTGTAATAAATCACTAGATATATATATATTAACTATTTCATTATTGTTTTGTCTTTCCTGTAGCACAATAATATGTTTGATTTACACTCTATTTTGTCAGAGAAAAAGAAAAATACTAAGCATAAGAATTTAATAAAAAAAGTCTTTTGGAAAAGGGTTGTGAGAAAAAAAAAAAACAATCCACACAATAAGAAATGAAACAACTTACCGTAGACGATATTTGCCCATCTTAAGTTAAACCCGTTTAAGCCAAACACCAGGGTTATATAATGATGGGCGCGTCACTTCAGAGCACCGCTTCGCTGACGTAACCCAGGTTCGGCACTTAACGGAACCTCAATATGGAATCGCCGAACCAGAGCGAAACTTTCCCAAACCGAGTCATCTTACGCCAAACCTATGTCCTAAGCAAACGTTACTATAAATAAACCTGAAGGTTCCCCTTACCGAGCCTTAGGCTCAAATCCCCACGAAACAGTCTCCAGCTAGTTTTGGCTTTCTCCTCCGATATTTACTCTCTTCTTTTTCTTCTCTCCGGGGAAGCTCAGTCATCAAGTTGACAGCTCTACTCAAACCAATTTTTTTTTTTCGTCATTTTTGCTTTGTATTTTTTTTCCCCTTAATTTTGTTTGGGAATTCGAACGGAATTATCACTTTGTGAAGTATTTTCGTGTTAACTCCATCCAATTGAGTGTGAATTGATTTGTTAGTCGCGATCGTTAGAGGAATTGCAAGAGCTCACTTCAATTGGAATCATCTCCACTTTCCTCTTTTTTTTTTTGAAAAAAAAGTTGCCAGATTTTTTTGGTCTTCACTGCTTTTTGATACCGATAAGATTGAATTTCGCACTGGAGTACAGGCGAGTACGGTTCCGATAACTGAATTTGAGATCCTTTTTCTTGAATTGTCCGAATTGACTGGAATTGGTGCTGATTCAGTTTGGTTTAGGGTTTCTGTCCCGGAGATCTTGGTTGGATCGGCAATGCTGGTTGTGATCCATAAACTTGGTATGGTTTTGACTTCCTGTTGCGAGCAATTCGGTTCTTTGTAGCTCTGCTGCCAGTAATTTACTTGTTGCTGTGCAAATTTTAATTAATTTTTGTGGTTTCTGGATTTTTAGGGCTTGATTATCGGTGAACACGTTGATTAAGTGCTCCGTTGTAATTGAAGTGATCTTTTTAAAAGCTTCAAACCATGACGCAGAGTAATTGGGAAGCAGATAAGATGTATGTACTTCTATCCCCACTTTGTTAAACTTCCTCTTTGTTTTCTTTACTATTTTATTCATCTTATGCAGAATTGTTCTTAAAAGAAAATTTAGTTAGTTTTGAGACTCAGGAAATAAAATATTGACTTACAAGAAGTATTGCAAAAGAAATTTTTTTAAAAAAAGGTTAAAAGCTTGATTTTCCAAAGGAATCTTGGTCTCCTGTTCATTTCGGCGTTGGAAATTGATTATGGTTTTCTGAACTAATATGTTTGCATGCGCTGGAATTTGAGTCTCCTCTTATCATTCTATATATTCCCTTATTACTGTTGCAGCATTTATAACTTGTGTGTTCTTCTCTGGGACTGAATTTGTTCCCCAGGCTTGATGTCTATATACACGATTACTTATTGAAGAGGAAGTTGCACAACTCAGCGAAAGCTTTCATGACAGAAGGGAAGGTTGCCACAGACCCTGTTGGTAATTACCATGTCTGAAACGTTTAACATACTTGCGTATTGTAGCCTCTTGCGTATTTTAGCCTTATCCAACTCCGGAATATAAGCGTTCTAGTTGATTTCCCTGCTTTATACCTAGTTTCCTTTAAGTTAATTTCCTTTCATATGGTTAATCAATGAAGAATGAATTTATTGTTCTACTTGCAGCCATTGATGCACCGGGAGGATTTCTGTTTGAATGGTGGTCTGTCTTTTGGGATATTTTTATTGCTAGGACAAATGAGAAACATTCAGAGGCAGCTGCAGCTTACATAGAGGTATGCCAGCATTTGTGTAAGGATGTATTTTGCTAGGAATGTTTTTATCCAGTGGTGGTCTTTTCTTGTCTTGGTTTATTATTCTAAAACCTCTTATTTGCATTGGTTCTTTTTAGACTCAACAACTGAAAGCTAGGGAACACCAACAGCAAATGCAAATGCAGCAGCTGCAGCTCATGCAACAGCGCAATGCCCAGTTGCAGAGAAGAGATCCGAATCAGCCCCCACTTGGTGGCCCTATGAATGCTATGAACTCTGAAGGGATTATGGGACAGCCATCTGCCAGTGTCTTGGCTATGAAATTATATGAAGAACGCATGAAGCACCCTCATTCCATGGACTCTGATGCATCTCCAGGTATTATTGATGCTAACAGAATGGCCATGATCAAATCAGCCGCAAATCATCCAGGGTAAGATTGCTAAATATCTTTGCAACTGCCATAGCATTTTATGCTCTTTATTGGAGGTCCGTACTAGTTTAATTTTTGTTCATTCTTGTGGTTGATTCAGCCAGTTGGTACAAGGAAATTCTGGGGGCATGTCAACGTTGCAGCACATGCAAGGAAGGCCTCAACTGACTACTGTAATTACTTTGGAACCATGTCTCATAGTTAGTGGCCAATTGGACATACACTTTTTTTCAGCAATTGTGAAGCTTTTGCCTTTGAAATTTCACAGGACATAAAATCTGAAGTGGGCATGGGTGCCACTCAGAAATCTTTGCCCATGGATCCAGCATCAATTTATGGGCAAGCCATTCTCCAGCCGAAAACTGGATTGGGTGGTGCAGGTAATGTTATTCTGAAAAGACATTAAACTGATTATATGAGTTTGTCTGGCATGTTACTTGCACAAAAATGACAACACCCTGCATCGACTGGTTCTCAAAGGACCCTTCATTTATTGTTTTAAAAGCGGGATTTTGCTCGTTGCTTGATGTTTTTATTGCTACTTAAGCCTATCGGAATTTCCTGTACTTAGATATGTAGAGCTTCTTGTTATTCAGTTTATTACTCCTTACTTGGAATTTGTTGAATAAAATAACAAAGAAATTCTTTCTGATATTGTTTATCCTTCTTCAGGATTAAATCAAGGGGTGACAGGGCTTCCACTTAAGGGCTGGCCTTTAACTGTAAGTTATGAAGGATTTGTTGAATTCTGCTTGTTATGAAGATTTATTTATAAATTCATATTATCAGTGTTTAATTTTCATGGGTGTCGTCCTGCTCAGGGGATCGATCAGTTGCGACCAAGTTTGGGGTTACAAGTTCAGAAGCCTAATATGCAGAGCCAAAACCAGTTCCTTCTGGCATCCCAACAGCAACAAGCCCTTGCCCAGGCTCAGGCACAAGGCAACCTTGCAGGCTCCCCTAATTACGGGTTTGGGGGGTTACCAAGGGGAGGAAGCTTTAATTCGAAGGATGGGCAACCGCCTAGAAATGATGGATCAATATGTTCACCCATACAGTCAAATTCACCTAAGGTCAGCTTTTATGACTTTGTAGAATGATTACATTTTGCTTCTTTGACTTGCTTCAGTATGCATTTGGTGGGTGGAATTTTAATTGGTTCGAATATAGAATATGATGTGATTTCCTATCTTTGTTTGGGCTTCTACATCTATTAAGTTCTTATTTTACAAACTGTTTCTCACTGTTGCTGATTGATTCGTTTGATTTATCGATTATCTTGCCTTCTATAAGTGGTTAAAATTTACATTCCCTAGACAAGGTTTAAAGCATTGCTTCATACTGCATGACGAAGGCACAAGTTTGCTTTGCTGCTTTCATGACTACACCTGCTTGGTTTTTCGGGATTCTCAGTTTTTCGTGATTTAAGTATTGTTCCTTCTTGCTGTATGAATGCTCCATTGCTGCTTTTCAGCTTCTGTTATGTTTTGTTAATTAGACTTTTAGAGAGCACATTTTTTAGCTGTGTGTCTAGCACCGACGGTAATTTGACTCATTTACTTGGGTTAAACAGATGAAGATGACCCAGATGCAGCAATCTTCCTCTCAACAACAGGATCAGCTGCAGCAGCAGCAGCAGCAGCCACAACAGCAACAGCAATTACAACAGGTTGGCCTGGCTTCTCATTAGGACAACTTTTTGCAATATTGCCTACCTACGGATTTCTTGCCAACGAGATTTTTCTTCTATTTCTGTATTTAACTGCATTTGTTTATTCGACTTCCTTTCTTTGTGGAATAAAATGCTGAGATTCGTTGCTTGCTACTTTAATGTAGAATAACAGGAAAAGGAAACAACATTCTTCATCTGGACCTGCCAACAGCACAGGCACTGGAAATACTGTGGGTCCATCCCCCAGTTCTCCTCCTTCAACCCATACTCCTGGTGATGGAATGAATTCTAGCAATCTGCAGCATGTCAGTAGTGTGTCAAAATCTTTCATGTATGGTGCAGAAGGAGGTGGTATTGCATCGTCTGCAAATCAGCTGGTATGTTAGATTTGCTTATTGTAGATTACTAGTGTCATGTCTGTGACAAATGGTCATTTGACAATTTAGTAACTTAGAGTTTATGAAGTATATTTGAAGACGTGTACCCTAGATGCAAAAATTAAAGGTGTTACATGCCATAATTTGTTTCTTTATAATCTCTTTTTATAGGACGATTTAGAGAATTTTGGAGATGTTGGTTCCCTGGAAGATAATGTAGAATCTTTCTTAACACATGATGGTGGAGATGGAAATATTTATGGCACATTGAAGACTCTTACTGAGCAAAAAACTGAGTCTTCTAAAGGTAATGGTATGTGACTGATTGCTCTGAAAATAATTTTATGTTGTGTATAGTTCTTTGTTAGTGAAAGTTCATTTAAGTGATCTTTGTTTCAGGTTTTTCCTTTGGTGAAGTTGGTTGTATACGAACAAGAAATAAAGTGCTCTGCTGTCACTTCTCGTCTGATGGGAAATTGTTGGCTAGTGCTGGACACGATAAGAAGGTAGGATGCAGTGTCAGTAGAATATCATTTTCGCATATAGATCGTTAGACAAACCTAAGCTAAAAAAAGAGAAGTGGTATGCTCATCTGCTGGTTGGAATGGCTTGGGCCTATTATTTTCAATAGTCGGTGAATCGTTTGTTTTACATTTATCAGGCTGTACTCTGGAACATGGATACCTTGCAAACAGAGACCACTCCTGAAGAACACCAGTATGTGATTACAGATGTCAGGTTCAGACCTAACTCGACTCATCTTGCAACAGCTTCATTTGACCAGTCAGTGAGACTATGGGATGCAGCAAATGTGAGTCTTTGTTCCTTTGTAAAGTTTCGATGTTGCAGTAATAACAAATGTCTTCTACCTTGCAGTACAGGGATTAATATATGCGTATAACTGACTGAATTGCAAGAATCTTAATGAATCACTTATACTTGTTTTGCAGCCTGGTTATTGTTTGCATGCATACACGGGACACCCTTCACACATTATGTCGTTGGATTTCAATCCCAAGAAGAACGATCTGTTCTGTTTTTGTGATAGTAGCAATGAAATTCGTTACTGGAACATTAATCCGTTTTCTTGTGCTCGGGTTTCCAAGGTTGTATTTATTCTCTCTCTCTCTCGCCAACACCCACCCCGCGTGTGTTTTGTGTGTGTCTGGGTTTGCTCACTATTTATGAAACCATGAAAACTGAACAACAAATGTTTTTTTTTTTTTTTCTTTGGTGGTTGTAGCAAGGAGGCAGTGCACAAGTTAGATTTCAACCAGTTACTGGTCAGCTACTTGCAGCAGCTTCAGAAAAAGTAGTGACGATCTATGATGTCGAAAATGACAGGCAAACCCATTCCTTCCAGGTGTGGATATTATGCATCTTTGTGATTCTGTGGGACAGTTAACTTGTATTATTTTGTTTCCCCCATGATTGAGGAGGTGTCTCATTCTTTTTATCCTTGTTATGTAACTTCTTACCAGGGACATTCTAGTGTGGTTAATTACTTGTGCTGGGATCTTAATGGTGATTATTTAGCATCTGTAAGTGAAGATTCTGTTAAAGTCTGGTCTCTAGCCTCAGGGGAGTGCATCCACGAGCTCAGCTCCAATGGGAGCCAGTTCCATTCTTGTGTTTTCCATCCTAACTATTCTGCCCTTTTGGTGATTGGAGGACTGCGGGTGAGATATATTTAAGATATTTTACTTGTTATCATGCATAGCATTTGAACATTCTGCACCTGTTTCGGTTTAAATAATCCCCCTTTGACATTTGGTCTTTTAAATTAGGAAGAAAGTTGTGGTTTCATCCTTAGCTGATAGGAAGGAGAGATGCTATATGGCGTATGAATAACCTCTGAATAATGGTTTCTTTGATATTGATGTTGCAGTCCTTGGAGCTGTGGAATATGGTTGAGAATAAAAGCATGACTGTACCAGCTCACGAGAACATCATTGCTGCTTTGGCGCAGTCACCTGTAACAGGAATGGTTGCTTCTGCAAGTCATGACAGCTCTGTTAAGTTGTGGAAATAAATGGACTTTCTCATTGGTAAAAAGATCAGTGGGAGATGGGGTAGTCAACATTTCCTCCGTGCAGGTCCAGAGTATAATACCAGGGGGCATCAGGGAGCTACTTTTACATGTCTAATTGTAAGAAATGGCATAGTATGTAGTCTTGAATTATGATGGAGTGATAAGGTTTACTGGCGAGAGTTTGACGAGTATATTAGTGTAGATTGTTTGTTCCATAGTTAGTCCTCAGGTGGGTGCTATTTGCAACTGCTTATTACGACTTGTTACTAGTAACATGTGAATAATTTTAACTGAATGTAGACGAACCTACTGTTCAGTCAGATTGCACAGTTTTGCTTGCGGTTTCAATTAACATGTTTGATTTGCTTAACCCTATATTGGATGGGAGATTTGATTGCAATCTCAACAATTTTACAATTTGGTTCCGTCACTATTACAATCAAATGCCCCTTTCCGTTTCCAAGTTCTTGGCAGTATATTCATGTGTTTGAACAATGAGAAACGTTGATTAGCCAGCACATGAAGAAAGTAAACTTTATTTTCATTTTATGTCATGTACTCGGATCATTTCGGCTAAACATTATTCTATAGGCGGTGAGAATGAATTGTAATTATCGAATGGTATATTCATTATCAATTGAATCCCACGTCGTGTTCAATTCGACAAGAAGAAGGTACAGAGACCTTTTTGCAAGGGTTAATTTCCCCAATAAAGAAACCTTCAAGCGGTAAAAACTAGAAAATGTGTAACATGGAACATCCGGTTGGCTCTTTTAAGGCCGTCAGTTTTCAACTAGATACGAATTGTGGGATCCATTCTGTCCACATTTCTGTTGCAGAAATAATTAGCTTGGTTCTTGATTACGATTCGAAGAGAGATCAAGCCGGTCTTTGCCCTTTGGCATTTTCACAATCAGTTGAACTTCTTTTGGACTAATTGGATTGACGTTACAACTGTCACAAACATGAAAGACAAATTCCTGATCAATAAATCACAACCAACTACAGTCTAGTCCCGTAAATTGGAAGGTAAAACACAAATATTCTTGACTAGAGATGGGTCGAAAATAGCAAAAATCAGAACTTTTTTATGACTAGTTTTTGTACAATTCAATAACCCAATCACCATAGACAGGGCACACCAGTTTCAGGGCAGAGAATCCAGCATCTGAGGCCAGAGCTTGAAATTCTGTCTGAGTTCTCTCCTTTCCTCCAGGGTTTATAGTCATCATGTTCATGTCGGACATAAACCCGGTTTTGGATAAGAACTCAGAATCAGGAGTCTCTGGCAGTACTGCTTCAACCAGGATCACTTTCCCTGCATTTGGTAAGGCATTGTAACAGTTCCTCAATAGCTTCCGGCAATGATCGTCACTCCAATCATGAAGAATCCACTGCATATAAAATGAGTTGAAAAATAAATAATATTCGCATTATATACATCTTAACAATCAAAGCTTATGAAGGCATTCAAGAACTGTATATAAAGTACATACCTTCATGAGAATAACTTCTCCATTTGGAACACTTTCAAACATGTCTCCACCAACATGATCCACACCTATTAAAATCAAGATCTGTCGATCACAATTCGGAAACTGGGTTTCGAAATTTACAACTACAAAGCCTGAATTTTTACCTGGACGAGGAGGAGCATCCTGGATGACATGAGGAAGATCAAAGTTAACTCCCCGGATGTTTGGGTGGTGGGAAATGATACAGTCAAGCGTTGCACCGAGTCCGCCACCGACATCCACCACTTCTTTGACCCCATCAAATCCTTTGTAGACTTGAAGAAGTCTCTTCATCGCAATTCGGGTGTAGTTATACATTCCCCTGTTGAAAACCTCATTGAATCTCTGATCCTTGGCTGGATATTCAAATGCATTCATCCCATGGGCTCTATCAAATGGAACTCCACCTTCCAGAATCGCATCCTTCAAATGAAACCTACCAAAAAACAGAATCAATTGAAAATCCAGAAATTTCAGTTTTATTATGCACAGTAAAAATTGATCAAATCGACATACCATGACTCAATCATTACTTTATCCACTGGTAGCCTTAACAATGGTGCAAGAGAAACCCCATCATCATTCCGGACGAAATTCTGGCTAATGGGTGCTAAACTGTAGAATCTCGTGGGATCTTTCCCATCTTCATCTGGGACAGAATTGCATTTCAGATAGGAGAAACTGGCAAGAAAGCGCAGCATTCTATCAAGCATAACAGGGGCATTCGGATTTGTTGAAGGAAGATACGATGCGATTTCTGCTGCGGATAATTGACCATCCGGGCCGCTTTTTTGTGCCATGAGTTCAAATAAATCGAGCTCCATAGCAGTTTTCAAGACCATCGGAAGGACGAATCCGCTTGGGAGTTGCATCACCTTCAAGATATCTATCTCTTCATTGGACAAAGTAGTAGTACTGACTGAACCGACACTGATTTGAGAACCGTTTTCGACAGAATCCATGTTGGGATTTTGATTTCTGAATTGTCCTTGTTGGATAATGAAGGGATGTTTATATCATTTTATGGACCAAAAAAAAAAAATTCAATGGGTTCTTATAGGGACGTAAGAACACTGGAGTTTGGTGGCAACTGGCCATCGTCGTTAATAGCGAAGAATAATCCAAAACGTAAACTATCTTTTTCTTTCTTTTTTTTTTTTTGGGGAAAAGATTTATTCTTGATTCTCCAATATTTCACAGTTTAATTAACTTAAATAAAGGTTCCATTTATAATATCCTCCCAATTCCTCACGCAGTATAATTTCATCATATTTCCGTCACATTCAGCGTAACGAATCATGGTATTTATAATTTATTCACCTCCCTCCAGTATATAAATCTTATTGAAAATATTCCTCAATCCCAGAATGAAATAATAATATAACAAATATATCAATCATGTTGAAAGTATTAGAATATCAAATTTATGAAATCCAACAAAATGGATTCGTATTTAATTCCATATCATATCGGATGGCAAACTTATAGCTTCAGCATGTTTTTCCTTTTATATATATATATATATATATATATATATATATATATATATATATATATATATATACTAGTGATGTCTGGTCGCGCACCCATTATATCTGTAGATCTTAGAAATGTTTGTATCTGGAAAAAAAATATTTTGTATATGGCCCGATATATTTTAGAAATATTTGAAGAATTTAGAAATGTTTTATAAGTGTGATCACAGAAATGTTTGTATTTGGCATAAAAAGAAATTGTATTTGGCCCGGTACGTTTTAGAAATGTTTGAAGATTTTAAAAATATTTTATAAGTGTTACTTCTTAAATATAAATAAACTTGATCAAATATATATCTTGAAGTAAATGCTAGACAAAATATAAAAACATCCTAATAAGTTTAAATATTAGTAAGATAATTTATTGATGTCCTCCATTGGTTGTGCCAAATCTACACTTAGTTTTGGAGATTTATAATAGCTTTGTAGTTAGCTTCCTCCAACGGGTATACGCTTAATTGTTGGAACTATTTCTTCCAAAAGTTTATAGGTAGTAAAATATCAAAATATGATTTTGAAACTGGTTAATTGTTGAAACTGGTTGATCACAAATATGAGAATGAAAATAATGTAAATTTGCATAGGTTTCAAGAAATATCAAAAAGAACTCACCTCACCATGGCAAATAAAAAAAAAAAGAAAGTAAAAGATAGCCCATTAAAATTTGAGATTTTTTTTTTCTGTAGGTAAAAATGATGTATAAAAATACAAATAAACGTAGAAACATCATTCCTTTCCTCTCCACCTCAAATTTATAAAAAGCTTCCTCATAAATTAGTTAGAACAAGCGGCCTGAACTATTTATATGATGAGAAACTAAAAAAAAGTCCAAAAATCAAATCCAAAAAAGTATATTCTTGAAACCCCGAACAAAAAAAAAAGGCGCTTCATTTGCAAATAAAATAATAATAATAATAATAATAATAATAATAATAATAATAATAATAATAATAATAATTGGTAAACTGGGAGTATGAAACAAAATCAAAAGCAATTAAACAAAGAAAAAATACACCTCATAACTGGCCATATACGAAAAAAAACATGAGACTCCATAATTAAAAAAAGAAAACCACTCTAATTGAATGAAACATAAAAAAGAAATTTAAAAAACCACACTTTGTAATAAAAACCCAATTAATGAATTCAATCCAAACATAACTAAAATCATACAAAAATCCTAAGCTAACTAACCAAATAAGAAATCATATTATATTACATGACAACGGCTACGGTAGCTGTAACGGATGGACGCATAAAAATAATAGTAATAACACTATTCCTGAACGAAAAAAATATAAAATAATAAAAGCCAAACCAATGATCTGTGGAAATAAAATCATTTAAATTTTAATACCTGTAACACCACCATCATAACGGCTGAAGCAAGATCAATGAGAATTTTTTTTTTCCTTTGTGTTTATGTAAAGGGGTAAAGAGAATATTTTTTCAAGTTGAAATTTTATCCGATTAGGATGTAGTTCATCATCATTAATGAAAATATTGAACATGCTAATAGGAAAGGAATATATTTCACCACATACTCCCAATTGATAATTGCTGAGGAATTTATTTTTTTTAATTATGGAGAAAGGATTGATTAGGGAGTCGATTTTCGTGGAGATGGAGATACGGATTTGGATTTTTTATGAACTCGTGGTTTTTTTTTTTGGCGAAAATAGGAGGTAGAGGTGAATTTGGACTGCATTTGCCTTTTAAGTCTAGGAGATGTGTAATAAAAATTTATTTTAAAAATATGATGTGAAAGTGCCACATGGCAAATGGTGGTGCTTTCTCTGAAGTGTGGTTTTTGTTTCTAATATAGTAAGATATATATATATATATATATATATATATATATCTCCTAGACTCCTAGGCTTAAAAGGCAAATGCAGTCCAAATCCACCTTCATCTCCTATTTTCGCCAAAAAAAAAAAAACCACGTGTTCATAAAAAATCCAAATCCTCATCCTCATCTCCACGAAAATCGACTCCCTAATCAGTCCCTTCTCCACAATAAAAAAAAAAAAAAATTCTCATCAATCATCAGCTGAGAATATGTGGTGAAATATACTCCTTTCCTATTAGCATGTTAAATTTTTTCATTGGTGATGATCAACTACGTCCTAATCTGATAAAATTTCGAGTACAAAAAATATTCTCTTTACCTCACTATATAAAACAAAGGAAAAAAAATTCTCATTGATCTTGCTTCGGCCATTATGGTAGTGCCATTACAGGTATTAAAATTTAAATGATTTTATTTCAGCAGATCATTTGTTTGGCTTTTATTATTTTTTATTTTTCCCATTCAAGATTAGTATTATTACTATTATTTTTATGCGTTCATCCGTTACAGCTACCGTATTCGCTGTTAGGTAATATGATGTGATTTCTTATATGGTTAGTTAGCCTAGAATTTTTGTATGATTTTAGTTCTATTTGTATTGAATTGATTAATTGAGTTTTTATTACAAATTGTGGTTTTTTAAATTTGTTTTTTATGTTTCATTCAATTAGACTGGTTTTTTTTTTTAATTATGGAGTCTCAGGTTTTTTTTCCGTATATGGTCAGTTATGAAGTGTGTTTTTTCTTTGTTTAATTGCTTTTGATTTTGTTTCATACTCCCAGTTGACAAATTATTATTATTTTATTTTATTTACAAATGAAGCGCTTTTTTTTTTGTGTTCGGTCTTTCAAGAATATACTTTTTCTTGGATTTGGTTTTTGAACTTTTTTAGTTCCTCATCATATAAATAGTTCAGGTCGCTTCTTCTAACTAATTTATGGAAAAGCTTTTTATGAATTTGAGATGGAGAGGGAAGGAATGATTTTTCTACGTTTATTTGTGTTTTTATATATTATTTTTACCTAAGAAAAAAATAAATTTCTGAATTTTTAATGAGCTATCTTTTACTCTTTTTCTTTTTATAATTTGCCATGGTGAGGTGAGTTGTTTTTTGCTATAACTTGAAACCTATGTAAATTTACATTATTTTTATTCTCATATTTGTGATCAACCAGTTTCAACAATTAACCAGTTTCAAAATCATATTTTTGATATTTTACTACTTATAAACTTTTGGAAGAAATAATTTCAACAATTAAGCGTATACCCTTTGGAGGAAGCTTACTACAAAGCTATTATAAATCTCCAAAACTAAGTATTGATTTGGCACAACCAATGGAGAACATTAATAAATTATCTTACTAATATTTAAACTTATGAGGATGCTTTTATATTTTGTCTTGCATTTACTTCAAGACATATATTTGATCAAGTTTATTTATATTTAAGAAGTAACACTTATAAAATATTTTTAAAATCTTCAAATATTTCTAAAACGTACCGGGCCAAATACAATTTCTTTTTATGCCAAATTCGAACATTTCTGTAATCACACTTATAAAACATTTCTAAATTCTTCAAACATTTCTAAAATATATCGACCCAAATACAAAATAGATTTTTTTTCAGATACAAATATTTCTAAAATCTACAGATATATTGGGCCAGGGTCACACATTACGCGACCAGACATCACTAGTATATATATAATCAGCTCTGGATTTTGCATTTTCGCTGTAATGCTTTTCATAGTTTTAGTTTATAAATAGGTGGCCAATAAGCAGCTACCAAATGATTATTTTATTACTTCATGGTTTTAAAAAAGCCTTTTGAATGTAATATAACCGTATATTGAAAATAAGAACTAAATTTAATTTCCCCTTTTTAGTGACATAAGGGAAAATTGACATTTTAGGTTCATAATATTTGGAGCATCATTATCATCGCCGTTGATCTTTGAATTCTCTCATCATTTTTGTGGTATTCTTTAGAAACACAAATTCATTTGATTAATTATATTACTCCCAATAACGCACTTATGATCTACACACAAACTAGATGCCAAAGGATCTTTTGGTGATGTTTAAACCTTGAAGTCATTTGAATTTCTTTTGGAACCTTTTATACTACAACATTGGAACATTTATCCTTGACCGATTAAAATCATTTAAATAAGGATTGGTTTGAGTATGTATGAATATGCAAAAACAATGCTTCTTATGTCTCAAAAAAAAAAAAAAAAATTTGTCCAATTTGATTTTCATTTTTAAGTATGATTTGTACTAAAATAGAAATCTAAAAATGGACAAATATATAGATTGGAGGGAGCAATAAACTATTCTTTATTTCAAAAATAACTTTTCGACCTATGAATAATTGACTCATTTCACCAAGCCCATGTCATAGGCATTAAAGAAGACAAATCTTCATTGTCAAGAGGAGAGATTACAAAGCACTTTTTATTATCAATACTCTTACTTATGGTCAGTGTGGATATTATTTATTGAAAAAGACTAAAAGACTGCTTCTCTATTAATTTCATAAATTCTTGTCTTCTTTTCCTTTTTTTTTTTTAATTTGGTTTTTGTTTTTAGCCTTTGTCCCAAGTGAGGCATTTCGGTTTAACCTGGGCCAGAAAGCACCAAAAAAGACAAAGTTGGCGAGTCAAAATTTTCCAAATGGAAGCTGGGAAGCCTGGAACTATTTGGTATGGTGGGGAAAAAAAAAGCAGGCCTGAAAAGTCAGGAAACGGAGCTCATCACCGCCGTTGGGAAGCGAAAACTCGTAAATGTCTTTCCAAACTTCAGATAGGAGAAACTCGTAAATGCCTGGCTCATCAAGCCTATACGTGTATCCCCTCACCGTTGATTTGAGCCCTCTTTGTTTCTCATTCTAAAACAAATTATCTTTTATTTCATTTTACCTTGTGATGAGTACCCCCTCACCCTTGTTGTTTTAAGGGTACTACGTCGGAAGGAGCTGTTGGGTGGAAAGAGGGTCTTTCATATATGATCCTGTACAAAATATATGAAGATGTATTTGGAAGAGGTTGTCCTTTAGATCATACTAATTTTGTGCATTGCTGATGTAGTTTTTGGCTGCAAATTATATCTCTTGGTCTCCTGTTACTTACGGGGGGCTTTCTAGACCGTACCAATAACTGCATGTTGTTTGTGTGGATGATTTCTTTCAGTTGGGAGTTTGCTCCAAGCCATTACTTTTAATCAGTTGATTAGTCATTGTTATTTACCTATAATACTAATAGTTAAAATTTAGAAACATATGCTTGAGCTGCCAAACATTTATAGTGATGGACTGATGGTTATCTCTTTCATGGTTGGAGCATTATTTTTGAGTCAATATTTTGATATAGGGATTTTATCGATGGAGTGACCCGCGGGGAATTCTTTCCACTCTTTCAAGTGTACTACACATGAAATGATAAAAATTGGATTCTCTCATCATTCATACTCTGTCCATGGGATGTTCTGTCCACATGCACAAGCATAATCCTCTATCGAGAGTTCTCGCTACCGTATTTCAGCCTAATTAATGTACTCAATATCTCGGAGCTGCGGCCTTGGCATAGGCATGATTCCTTGTGGCTTTCGTATCCTCGAAATGTAATTGTTTGTAACTAGGCTATTTGCCTCATCTTTTATAACCAAAAACAAAGAAAAAAAAAGAAGTAAATATCCTCCGGTTTGAAGGACTTGACAAAATGTGCAGACCCAAGGAGAAAGATTGCCCCGAATGGTTTAAAACGAATCATATAACAATCATATCAACGTAATTATTGTACTTCCTCCGTTCCGAATTAAGTGTCGTTTTAGCAAAATGAAAAAATTTCAAAATAAGTGTCGTTCTCACATTTCAATGCACTTTTTGTCTAAAATTTTCAAAATTACCCTTGAAAGAATTAATATTATTGGTGGATATTATTTTAATAAGGTTGGTTGATGATATTCAAGTAATTTTATTATCCTATTTAAGAGTTTCTTAAATTATGTGCAAAATATAGAATGATACTTATTTTGGAATGGAGAGAGTACATGGTTTAAACATACTTTGTTTGCAATCTTATATGGGAGATTCATTGTGCATACTTTGTTTTGTTTTGAAGGTTAGATACCTTGAAATTAGATGTATTGGGAAAGATATACAGCATGCACCTTTTTAGAAAAATAACTATTCCCTCCATTCCAAAATAAGTGTCGTCCTACACTTTGTACATGGTTTAAGAAACTCTTAAATAGGATAATAAAATTACTTGAATATCCTCAACCGACCCCATTTTAAAATTGTCCACCAATAGTATCAACTCTTTTAAGGATAATTTTAGAAACTTTTGACAAAAAGTGTATTGAGATGTGAGAACGACACTTATTTTGGAATTTCTCCATTTTGCTAAAACGAGACTTATTTTGGAATGGAGGGAGTACCAATATTCTTTGTCTCGTTATGAGGGTGTACAAACTGACGTGCTACATTTATTACATTCGTTTGATTTTCTCATATCTTTGGATTTCTAGATTTTCTCAATTGTATACTAGATCTTCTCATATTAATCACTGGAGTTTCTCAATTATATACCTATATCTTATCATATTTATCACATTCACTGATTCAGATACATTTTTGGGTAATTAGTTAATTGTAATAATTACCCAGATTCATTGGATTGATGTAGTATAAAACAAACATATTTGCTGAGATGAATGAGCGAAAATATTCATGATTGCATTTTGTATATATTATATTATGGTAAAATATCGATGTGCAAATTAATATCCAAGATTATTTGTTCTTAACCAGACTTTACTCGAGACACTCTAAAATATATAAGGCTGGCGATATCGCCAACGCAAATTTTAACCTCCAGAGCAAAATTTACTATGTTTCCAAAATTGCCCTTTTTCAGGTCAAAGAATAATCCTCTCCCACAATCCCTCTTCATGCGTTGTTATTGCAATATATGGAGGAAAAAAAAGGACAAACGATTAATTACGGGACTAGAGTGACGCCTTTGTCCCAATTTTCTCCAAAGCATTTTCATTAATTTTTCATTCCAATGTTAGAGTTAAATTCAAGACTTCAATTAAGCTACAAAAGCTTTTTCAAAAAAAGAACGAAAAAAATGATAAAAGATTTCAGCTCCAATTAGAATTAGTTTTCTATCAGAACTAGTTTTATTCAATTTATTACTTCTTTTAAAGTTCTTAATCAACTCGAACAGACGGAATCCGATTCGTCTATTTCTGAAAGGGGGCTTTCCTCGAAGTATAGGGCATATAAGAAGTTTAATTACAAAGCAAAGGTGGGTTTTGGAGTACAAAACCATCAGGAATGTGAATCACAATACTGTTATCCAAGAATTTTGCCTTGAAATCCACATAGCTATCATAAGATCGTAATTACTTCTCCATTCAATGGAGAAAAGATTGAAATTGAAGTAAAGAAGGTTTTTCTACACAACACAAATTGATTTTTTATCCCAGTTAGACATAAGAGATGCCAAGCAACAGTTTAATCTTGATCACATACTACATAAATTTTCCAAACCCAACTATAATGCCACCAGTTAGGAAAACAAAGAGTTCCGATCATAAATTGATAACACCCTTTTCAAAAAAACATAAATAAATTGATAACACAGGAGGGAGGGAAAGCTGACGAAGGGGGACCAAAGGGAAAGGTGTGACAGATAATTTTTGATAACCACGATTAAGGAGTAATAATTAAAAGGAGAGATAAAAGGGGGGAAAAAATCTTTGACTTTTACTAAGGGCAATCATGGAAACAAAAGCTAAATTTGCTCTGGAAGCTAAAAATTGCGTTGGCAATATCGCCAGCCAATATATAAATAGAGAGACCTCCTATTGGTTTTCACCATCTTTGAGTAAAAATATCTACAATGTCGGAAAGGCGAGGAACGACAGCATCGGCGTTGATGATTCTGTTCATCCTTGCTTTCGTGTCGCTAGGCGAGAGTTACCAGGAGAAACCATGGAACAAAGCGTCAATATCTACATCCTCCAAATTGCGGAGGAAGAATCTTTTGGTGGTTGGTGGTGATGACAAGGAGAATGAGAGCACAGGATTAAAGTGTAACATATCTGATATTTCCATAACCCAGAACCAGTTACCATCAGCCCCCGGAGCGACGGCGAAGACATTCTTGGTGATAATCACCGCCAAATGTCCCGACGGGTGTAGCATTTCCGGCATTCATCTGGGCATCAACAACTTTATTTCTAACATTCCCTTTGACCCCCATGTCCTTAAATCACTAGGTAACAACGACTGGCTCGTCAATGATGGGAAGCCAGTAGATCGCGTCAGTTTTGAGTATGCTTTCGATTCTTCTTACCGGTTTCACATCTCTGCTTTCAGAAGTTCATCCCGCTGGGCGCTTAACATCTAAGTATTTCATGACCATTAGTTGGTAGAAATAATTGACAAAGAAAGTTGCAATGTACTCGGACCCAGGTTATCTTGCCCCTATCACTCGGACCGAACTGGACAAGTCATTCGGTCCGATTCATGTGAGAACGGACAAATTATTAATTTTTATTTTAATGTTAGTTTATTCGTAGTATCGTACATGTTGAATACCTCGTACTTTAAATATTATTAACAATATTTATACTTTAGTGCTTAAACTCTCGATTTTATATTTTACTTGAAAATAAACAAGTAATTAATTTTTACTTGAAAACGAATTTAAGATTATTTGTTAAGTTAATTTATTTGAATTGATATTAAAATATAAATTTTTCTTTAATCATTATTTTAAAGATAATTTTTAGTTAAAATAATAATTATACATTTATAATGAAAAATAATAATTGTACTACAAAGATTATGACAAATATGTGCAAATAGATTAACTATTTTTTGTACTACAATGATTGGTGATACTTAATGTAACTCAAATAATAAATTATTAATAAATTTAATGACCTAAAAACTAGATTAACTAATTACAACAAAAAATCTAAAAATTAAAAAAAAATAGCAATGACTCCGATTAATATTTTTTAATTTTTAGACTTTTTTAAATAAAAAATATTGTTATTTTTTAATTACAAAAAAAAATTTAAAAATTAAAAAAAACGGCCTGATCGGTCCGGTTCACCATATCGGACCGAACCGGGACCAGCCGAGCAATGAACCCGTCCGGGTTAACCCGGGACGGGCATGGAACTCGTCCACTTGTTCGCCCGAACGGGTTCATTGCCCGTCCAATGAACCCCTTCGGGCGAACAAGTGGACGAGTTATTTGCCGCCCGGTCGGTCAATTTTTTTTTTTAATTTTCAATTTTTTTATTTTCTCTCTAATCAAATTATTTGATTTGAAAAAATAATAAGGGATAAAATGGTCTAATTTTAAAATATGTGACTTCAAGTAGTAAAGGTGGTAGCTTTGAAAATAAACACCTATAAATCATTTTTTTTTCCAAACTGTCCTGCGGTTTTCGATTTTATTCGGATCTGAACAAACTTGAGAATTCGCACATTGTACTCAAAAGGTAGCACCCTAATTTACCAACAAAAAAAAAAGTAGCACCCTGGTAATAATTAAGAATTCATATTATTAAACAGCACACCAAAAATGATACTCGTATATGTATATTATAAATAAAATAAAATAAAAATCAAAGACAATACAAAAGGAAACAATTTGATTATAATTACACTGCCTGATAATCTAACATTTCTAATTAATGATTGCTCCCAAAATCCCAACCAGAAATTCAGTTTTTCTTTACAGCAAAATCCATCCGTTGTAGACTTGATCAAATCCACATACCAATATATGGCTCAGTCATTACTTTATCCACTGGCAGCCTTAACAACGGAGCAAGTGAAACCCAATCATCATTCCCGATGGAATTTTGGCCAAGGGATGCTAAACTGTAGAATCTCATGGGATTTTTCCCCATCTTAATCCGGGACACAAGTACATTTCAGATAGGAGAAACTCGCGAGAAAGCGCAGCATACGATCAAGCATTACACAGGGGCATTTGGATTTGTTGAAGGAAAGATATGATACGATTTCTGATGCGGATAAATGACCATTCGGGCCTTTTTTTTGTGCCACGAGTTCAAATTGAGCTCCATAGTAGTTTTAAAGACCATGGGAAGGATGAATCCACTTGGGAGTTGCATCACTTTCAAGATATCAACCTCTTCATTGGACAAGATACCGACTAAAGTGACCGTACGTTTTACAGAAAGACAAACCATGATCATCACTTTCAAGATATCAACCGCTTCAAAGTCCTCGTTCAGATGTCCCTGTGGATTATATAAGGAAAAACCCCGATGGAGAAATGCTACGGCGCCCCGTGCAGCACCAATAGCGATTTTGAGACGTTTTATCCAATCAAGAGACCTGTCACTGTTTCTCAGCCACCTCTGCAAACTCCCATTAATCATATACTCATAAACCATGATCTTTTCACCTTCATAAGAGTTGTAGCCTTGTAAAGGAATAAGATTATGATGTTTGACTTTATCCAGGGTCTTCATCTCAACTGAGAACTCCTAAAAACCCTGGGATTTATTCTCCTCAAGTCTCTTAATCGCCACAGTCTTCCGAGAGCTTAACATCCCCCGATAAACCATTCCAAAGGCTCCAACACCGATTTTGTTTGGGTCGAAGAAGTTGCCGATGGATTCAATGACATCTTTCTTAGTCAGTCTGAGGAGGTGCTGCTGAAACAGTAGTGCGAGGTTGATGCTGAGAGATTCTTCCGAAGGAGGAGTATCTGTGGGATCATTCGGCCTGATTTCCTTCGGGTTTCTGCTTACAAAAGCCTGTCTGAAAGTAGCCAAAATAATAACAACAAAGATAATCGCCCCAGGACCCCCAAGACAGCAGATAGAAGCACCCGTTTGTTTTTTTCTCCCCAACCCCTCACGGTGCCTTTGTATTTGCACTTGACATTTAGGATTTCACCACACAGATCCTCATTCCCCTCAACTGATAATCTCGATCGATTAAGACATACTCCGGTAGCAGGGATAGATCCACTGAGAGTATTATCGGCGAAATTTTTTTAAAAAAAAACGAGGTTCTCACAGGCCACAGATGCTATTGGGAATGGGCCCCGAAAAAAATTCATTCTTGGGGAGGTCTAATGACTCCAGTTGAGCTAAAATTCCAAGCTCCCCCGGGTTTTCTCCAATAAAACGGATGGCATGGAGATGTAAAGATGTCAAATATGAAGCGTTGCCCAATGTTTGTGGCAACGAGCAATCTAGATTATTGTAGCTTAAGTTCAGAACTCTAATCCTCCATACTGTAAAGTTGGAGAAGAGACCCTCCAAATGACCTGGAAGTATATTTTGCTGAGCGAAGTACAGTTCCCAATTTCTGCGAGTATCTGCCCTCTAAACGAATTTTTATTGACCTTAATGGCAACCACATTAGTGCACCTACCAAGCCAGGAAGTTAAATTACTAGAAAGCCGATTGTTAGCTGCCGCAAATACATTCAAACTCAGGTCTGCAAGCTCTTCGGGCAAGGGACTGGAAAGAGAGTTGTTTGAAGATAAGGGCGGGTTTCCAATGTGGGCACCGGGGGCATGTGCCCCCATTAAATTTCATGAATTTTAAAAAATAGTACATAGTTTTTTAAAGTCTTAGAAATATTATTCGTATTTTTTTTTTATCAAATCTTTTTAGATATGTTATATTTTGTTAATCACATAAATATTTATTATGTCATTATGTATTATTTATTGTTTTTTTCTCATTGCTAACAAATATATTTATTCATTTAATCATGACATGTAATCTTAATTTAATTTATTCCTAAATGTATATGTGTAACTGGTACTCCCTCCGTCCCATAATTATTGTCCAATTTTACTAAAATTTAAGATTTTATTTTTAGTCAAACTTAATTATATTTTACCTTAAACAACCGGATATACCCCTACATAAGTAATTGTTTAACCACTCAGATTTTATGGGTAATGTTTTTTACTAAGGACAAATGTGTAACTTGATCCATAAAAAGTCAAATTGGACAATAATTTTGGGACAAAATTTTTTGGGCAAAGTGGACAATAATTATGGGACGGAGGGAGTACTAGTTATTCATTCACATACAAAATATGTACAAGTCATGTGTATATTTATATAGACATACGGGTTTTCAGTTCCCCAATGGTGGAGTGGGTGGCGGTGATGGGCTCCGATTCCCTGTCTATTCAGGCCTGCTTTCGTGAATGATACCAAATAGTTCCAGGCTTCTCAGCCTCCATCTGGAAAATTTTGGACTTTGCCAGCTTTTCTTTTTTGGCGCTTTCTGGCCCAGGTCAAACCGCAATGCCTCACTTGGGCCGAAGACTAAAAGTAAACAAAAAATAAAATAAAATAAAAACAATTATGAAATATCTAGAGAAGCAGTTTTTTTTAGTCTTTTTCATCAAATAATATATCCTCACTAATTAAAGGAGGACCATAAGCTAGGGTATTGATAGTAAAAATTGCTTTGTAATCCCTCCTCTTGACAATGAAGATTGTCTTTTTTTATTTAATGCCCATCACATGACCTTGGTAAAACGCGTCATTATTTGTAGTACAAATAATGGTTTATGAAATAAAAAATAATTTAGTCTTCACTCTAATCCAAAATGATTGTCCATTTAAATTGTCATTTTCCTAACCTAAAGTCAGAATCACAAATCTATAATCACCAGCTTGTTCAGTGACTCAAGTTAGCTGAACATATGCAAACCAAAAATAAAATCTTGTATCTTAGGAAAATTGGATAATAATTTTGAGATGGAGGGAGTATTTACTTTTAAGATTAGTGTTTTTTAGTTAGTGGTTCATTTCATTTATTCTACTGATGTAGTATGCTTGTTCGGGGCATTCCCTTGTTTTTTTTATAGTTGGGTATCTAAATCTGGTAGGTGAATTTGCATATGTTCAGCTAACTTGAGTCACTGAACAAGTTGGTGATTATAAATTTGTGATTCTGACTTTAGGTTAGAAAAATGACATTTTAAATGGACAATCATTTTGGATTGGAGTGAAGACTAAATTATTTTTTATTTCACAAACCATTATTTGTACTACGAATAATTGACGCATTTTACCAAGGTCATGTGATGGGCATTAAATAAAAAAAGACAATCTTCATTGTCAAGAGGAGGGATTACAAAGCTATTTTTACTATCAATACTCTAGCTTATGGTCCTCCTTTAATTAGTGAGGATATATTATTTGATGAAAAAGACTAATAAAAACTGCTTCTCTAGATATTTCATAATTGTTTTTATTTTATTTTATTTTTTGTTTATTTTTAGTCTTCAGCCCAAGTGAGGCATTGCGGTTTGACCTGGGCCAGAAAGCGCCAAAAGAAAAGTTGGCAAAGTCCAAAATTTTTCAGATGGAAGCTGAGAAGCCTGGAACTATTTGGTATCATTCACGAAAGCAGGCCTGAATAGACAGGAATCGGAGCCCATCACCGCCACCCACTCCACCGTTGGGAAATGAAAACCCGTATGTCTGTCCAAACTCCTCATCATCGTCTGGCGTCTGCCTGGCTCATCAAGCCTCCTCACCACCATCTGTCATTCTCTTTGAACATCGGAATAGCCATCGGATTTTTCCTCTTCGACCGGCGAAAATGGAAATTTCGGAAAAGGTGAAGAAATTGATCGATGACGAATTGAAGGATCTCGATGACTCGTCGGAAAAAATTTCCGAAGCTTTCACCTGCTGCGTTTGCCTGTAAATTTTTTCTTCTACACTTGCATATGGATTTTTTTTATTTTTATTTTTTTTAATTGTGAACTGCTTCGCCTTCCGTATATATGTTTGCAATAATTGTTATCTTTCTATATATATTTTTTCTGCAAAAGAATATTCTAGCGACTAGAAGCTGCTTATTCAGAATTCTGGAAGATATGATTTCACCGATCCTTGCACGCAAAGTATAATGTTTAGCTTGGCGTCGCCTTTTTTGTTACTTACGAATTAAATGTCTGTTTCCTTCTTTTACCGCTAAGAAATTCATTACGGATTAACGAAAAGATTGTAATCTGAACGACGATTGAAAAACCGTTGATTGTTTTTCCTGTTTTAAGCGAATAATTCAGATTATACACGGAAATTATCTAGTTGTTCTTTCCATGATTTCTGGAGCTTGTTATTGTCTAATGTTTAAGAAGAAAACAATGTGGCCTTTTTGTGTTAGTGATTTAGAATTGCTGTAAACCTTAATGGAAAATGGCTCGGGATTCAGAAGCTGGGAAGGGTTTAGTATGGGAGATTTTTATTTTCCCCCATCCGACCCTGCTGTTACTAAAGAACATGATGGATTGTTTGTGGAATATTAACTGCATGCTGTTCTGGATTGTTTGCGACATCCACTGAAATTATGCAAGGTGATGCAGGAGAAATACGGATTAGAGTGTAAGAAGTATTAGGGAATTTTAATTTAGGGAGGGTTTAGTCTTTAAGTCTTTTTAGATAATTTCCCTTTTTTTAAGTTTAGGGTTTCACTATAAATAGGGTGGTTGTACGTTTACAGAGAGTTAGTTTTTGATAATTGATTTAGAACTGCGAGTTCTCTTTCACGGCTGAGTGCCTGTGTTCTGGTTTTTATTGGTTTTTTTCTAAAAACCATTGCCTTTGTCATGGTGATCATGAATCAAAGTGGTGTTCCTTCTTTTCATGCTTCGGCCCGCATCACAACGACTGGTCAATTACTTGTTGCTGTTTCCAGTGTTTCATTATGTGTTTTCCATAGCTGATATGTACAAAATATTTGACTTGGATTTGTTCTTGCAGGGATCTTCTTTACAAGCCTATAGTGCTGGGTAATGTACTGCTCTCAAGTTGGACAGTTTTTCCTTTTTTTCCTTCCTCTTGGGCTTCTTCTCTAATGTTTGTTTGCAACATTGCAGCTTGCGGTCATGTTTCCTGTTTTTGGTGCGTGCACAAATCCATGAGTGGTTTGCGCGAGTCTCATTGTCCTATCTGTAGGAATCCCTACCATCACTTTCCGACTATTTGTCAGATGCTTCACTTCATTCTCCTCAAGATGTATCCTATTTCGTATAAGAGAAGAGAAATCCAAATCTCAGGTAAAGTTTGTTTTGTCTAGCTTGGAGTTCATTCAAGCAATTGTATTTTTAGCTGATATCTAGTCTTGATAAGGGAGGATAGTTACATTAGTTTGGCATTCGACATAAAATTGTCACATTTCGCCTATATTTTTTTCTCCCTAACAAAATTAATGTTGTTCTATCTCAGAATTTGAAAGAGAAGCCGACTGCTTCTCTCCACAATTGGAGGATCGTGTATGCAAAGGACAAACTGAGCAAGAAGCATGTCATGCCAATAATTCTCAAATGCGAGTGGATGATACTGAAGCAAGCAGTTTTGTTGTTGATCATGGTGATTTCCACCCGACAGTTGCTAATGGAACCTGCCAAACAATTACAGTTGATGATGCATTATGCACGTTTTGTAACCAACTCGTCTACCATCCAGTTGTACTCAATTGCGGACATGGTATGGATCATCATGATTACACCCTGCGAACTTGGTGGTTTTTAATGTTTGTCTTGATTTTGCAGTTGATATATGTATGTCTGACATTTAGTTTTATCTTACCTCACTGTCACTCCATTTCTCTTCGTGATATTGAACAGTTTTCTGTGAAAGCTGCACTCTAGTCCAGAAAAATGAGATGATCAAATGTGCGAAGTGTGAAATCGCACACCCTGGACGAATCCCAAAAGTCTGTTTGGAACTCGATAATTTTCTGGAGGAGCAATTTCCAACCGAGTATGCTCTAAGAAAAAGCTCTGTTCAGCTCAAACAGTCATGCGGCCAGCAAGAAAGTCCTAGCACATGTATGTTGATGTACTTCTTTCTATTTAAGTTTTCCCTTAAATTATTGTTGCCAGAAGTTCCTCTAGAACGCATATGTTGTTTTTATTTGACCCTAAATGCAAGATAGTAAGATGATGCTACAACCTTTAATGAAGGTGTTATCTAGTGCCCCCAAAAACTTCGATCAAATTGTCCATCTTGAGGAAGTATGAACATCCTTGTCTAATTGCAATTGGACATTATAGTTCAATAGGGCATAACTTTATTGAAGTCATGGAAAGTATTTACAGGTCCTCAGCCTCGCCACTGTTTTTTTTTTTTTTTCTTCTTTGTTTTTTTTTTTTTTTTTTTTTTTCCAACCTTCAGTCAGTCACCTACGTCAGCTTTGTTTCTTCCTGTCGATAATTAGAAATCTGAAGTCAAGATTACCGAAATTTTTTATTTTTATTTTTTTTCAAATCTGAAGTCAAGAAAGTAGCATGTAGCAGCTAGTTTTAATTTGTTTAGAGTATTGTTTAGTGCTTCTAGATCAACCAAATTGCTTTTGTCCTAATCAGCTTGTGTACATCCAATCATTGTTCTTTTTCTCTGTTTAACTTTCTTACTGTTAATTGGATATAGTGATTGTTAAGTTAGTTGGCCTATGCTGAGTATTTTGATTTGTGGCCTGATTTTCCATGCAAACACACTTTCAGGTTCAGCAGGCGATGCCAAAGAAAGTTCTCCTGTGTTGACTTCATCTGGAGGGCATCCTCTGTCATGGTGGGGTGATCACAAAGTCCACATCGCAGCAGGTTGTGATTCTTGTGGGGTATGTGTGTTCTTGCCTATTTCCTTGCAATAACGACCCTTTCATTGGTGAAACAATCATCTCTTTATCCCCAAAAATTGCAAACTTTTATTAATTTTGTGCCTCCACTTGATTTTTACAGTTTAGATGTATGGTTTATTCTAACGCGATGGTGAATCCTTTTCAGATGTTCCCAATTATTGGGGATAGATACAAATGCAAGGACTGTGTAGAGGCTATTGGCTTTGACCTGTGCGGAGATTGTTATAACACTCGCTCAAAGCTCCCTGGTCGCTTCAATCAGCAGCACACCCCAGAGCACCAATTCGAGTTAATGAGACCGAATTCTATACGCAACATAATGTGGAGGTTGCTAAGAGATGTTTCTTCAGCTCCTAGTTCAACTCCTGACACTCCAGAAAGTGGAGTAACTGTAGTTCCATCTTTGTCTGATGATGCACGGGAATCTGCAGAAAGTGGTTTTGTTACCCCCAGTGAGACTGGTGACACAGAGGAGGACCAGAGTAACGACCATGAGGAAGATTCCATGTGAAAGTTCAGCTGTTATCATTTTACTTCTCATCCATGCATTTCGCGTCGGCTTTGCCAGCTGATTCCTGGTTCTGCAAAAATGTTCATTCATATTGATATGGCTACTCTTCTCTTGAGTGTATAGTGGATGTTTTAGGTCGCGAGATCTGTTTCCCCACAGCAGCTGCTAAATTTCACAAAGGATAAAGCAGCATAATGCTCTTAGGATGCTTTTATCTGTGTGTTCTTTGCAAGATTACGGCTAATTTATGGGCTGATCATATCTGCAAGAAATGTCCTGTTACCGAGTACTGCACACCACTCTCTGCCCTTAATATGTGTCATGTACAATCTTATTGACCACTTGAGGGGCTCTGTACAGCAACTACATATAATCCTATGGTACTGCCATTTCCCCTACTTTCTTTTTTTCTTTTTTTCTTTTTCCCTGATGTTTAAAAAGAGATGATTTCGCCTATGGAAAAAGGCAAATGGCATTGGAGGAGGAGTAAGCTGCTCCTTTAGTCATTTTTTTTTCCCTGAGTGTTAAAATATCTAGTAATGTTCGTTAATGAGGTCAAGACAAGCTTCTGTTCTCTGTGCTTCATTCCAAATTTTGCAGGCGTAAAAAGAGCCTGAAAGTTGAAAAACAAAAAACTACTCCCTCCGTCCCACGAAAATAGTCCACATTGAGTTTTGAGTTTTGTACTATTTTTAGTACAAATTTAAAAACTCGATGTGGACTATTTGTTTGGGATGGAGGTAGTAGTATATAACTAAATTACCCTCTTTTTGGAAACATCTTACGGTTGTCAGATTTTTACTGATGGCTTTTGTTTTAGTGAAAAATCTGACTGATGGATGCTTTTAATTATGTTGGGGGGGTGGGGGGTAAACGGCGGGAGGACGTGAAAGTATTTTATGAGATGATCTGGTGATTCTGGTTAAATGTGGAAGGGAAAAGTCCGAGGGTACTCGTGGAAATCTGGGCGGGAATCATTGATTGGCTGAGTTTGAGAAACCTGACGTTGCCATCTGTACGGCTTGTGTTTCCTGTGTTTTCCCGTAGCCGAAAACATTAGTATAATAATTTTATTTTACTTTACTTATTTTTATTTTTTTTCGCTGGTAAAAAGTTAGCATATTATATTATTATTATACTTATATAATACAAAAAAGTGTGAAAAGAAAACCTGATTAGGAGCAACAGACGTCATTGTCACTGTCACCAATAATCCCAATTATTGTCCTTAAATTGTTATTTTAAGAAAATTTTGTCATCTACAGGCTACTAAAATATGGTTTTCTGAAGATTCCCCTTTGGTATTTTGCTAAATAATTGAGACGTGTTTCCTTCCTTTTGGTTTTTGGGTTCTAACAAAGCCGTTTGGACCTTTAATAATCCCACTAAGTTCCTAACACCCAGTTGTTGTCAATTGTCATTCCCATCCATGGTTGATTACTGTGGTTCTAGCAATGAATGGTTCAAGAGGACTGGAAACGGGAGGAGGAAGACAATGGCTTGTGAGTTTTGTAGTTGCTGTAATATTTCAGGTTTTGTTTTCCCAAAATATTTTGAACGTTTAATAAAACATCTTTTTGACTTAGAAGATAGTGAATGAGAAAGAATTGTGATCACTGCGTCAAGTTTCGAACGGTTGTGGGAACAATCCCATACATAGATATACAATCTTCTGATTCCAATTTATTTTTGCTCTTCATGAATTGAACGCGAGAGAGAGAGAGAGAGAGAGTAATATACTTTGAATCTGTTAGTTCAACAAAAGTAGCAGCAGGCCCTTTTTAGAAAAATTTTATAGTCATCTAATCAAATTTCAGAGTTGTAATTAACCAAATAATAATGGTTCGTAGCACCGCATATAGACCAAATGCTAGCTAGATAGAAACCTTAAACCAAAGAATGTGGTATATTATAGGTTTGCAGCATAATAGCTAACTACCAATCATGTCGGTGTATTGGCTGGTTTTATTCCAGTTTAGACCAGTGATATTTGTGTAGGGTGTGAAAGTGTAATTTGAGGGAGTAGCAACAGTTGCCCGCCGGGGTGGTATAGCTTTTGGCGGGAATCATTGAGAAAGGAGAAAAAGATTCTTTTTTATTGGGTTCTGAAATTCAGATACTAGCAAAATAACAACAGTACTGTGCCAATGTAGAATTATACTACTACTACTACTACTACATATAGTTTATATTCTACTTCCTCCGTTCCAAAATAAGTGTCGTTTTAGCAAAATAGAGAAATTTCAAAATAAGTGTCGTTCTCACATTTCAATGCACTTTTTGTCCAAAATTTCTAAAATTACCCTCGAATGAATTAATACTATTGGTGGATATTTTTTTAATGGGGTTGGTTGAGGATATTGAAGTAATTTTATTACCTTATTTGAGAGTTTCTTAAACTATGTACAAAGTGTAGAATGACACTTATTTTAGAATGGATGGAGTATATAATAATTTATCGGGGTTACTATTCTCTGCAGGTGGATTTGGGTGATCACTCGTTCATTTATGAATGTGAGCCCTTAAAACTTAGATTAATGTGTAAAAAAAGCCCGAATTTAAGGAACCAAAGTGGGAAAAATTAATAATAATGGACTTAGGAGTTAGGTGTGATTTCTGTAGCAGCCCAATGACTGTGATTATAAAAATGGGAGAAAAGGTTGTAGTAACTTCATCGATAACAAAGAACGAGAATGCAAAAAAAAAAAAAAAAAAAGCCAAGTTAGTTTTAGTTAATTTTTAGATACAATATATAGTATCTGCCTTGGAACTTTGTAACATGTAATTTATCTTCGTTGAAACTAACCAAATTTAAAAGCTCATGAGTTACATATGTATTGTTGAAAGTTGAAACCATCTTTTTCAAGGGAGATATACCAATTGCAAGTTTGAACTACATCCTAAAATCATTAACAAGTTTAATTAACCACTAAACATTTTAGTAATTCACTAAGAGGCTTACTAGTTACTAGTAGTTTGTAGCACTAGTTACTAGATATTGTACATTGTTGTGAAGAATCTATATATTGACTTGTTAAATATAACTATAGGACGAACTTTGAAGAGAACCCTATTAAATAGAGAGTCAAACAGGTCAACTAAAATAATTACTCCTGCTTGATAGACATAAAAGGCCATGCCCAATTGCCCATGATGATGAAGATTGAAGACTTTGTTGTTTAGGAGAAAGGGGATGGATTGAGGAGAAAAGGGGTGTAATTAGTCAAACGATTCTTAAATGAGGAGGAGAAAGGAAAAGGTACTTACTCTATAATAAATTAACACGTTCGGGTTTTTGTGTTTGGATTCAAAAAGGGCACACGAGTGGGGAGGAAATAAGTCCATGATTAATCGATGCCATGGTTGCCTTGAAAAAGTAGTACAAGTAACTTGAAGAGAATCACTCATTCTTCTATGTGTGTGTGGGAAGAAAGAATCCAATGAACAATTTGAAACCCAAAAAAAAACCCTGTTTGGGAGTTATGAATATCATGCACACACACAAAAGTCTTCAGTTTCTCTTTTCACAAGAAATCCCTTCTTCCTTGATTCCTTCTGTATGTACTCTTTCTACTCTGTATGATGTTAGACTAATAGTTACAGAGTTTGTCGCTCAACTATTAGGAGCAAAACATCTCATGACGTTTTTCCATTACAACGAACATTAATTTGTGTTCGTGAAACTAATTTTGCAATTTATTATTTGATGGGATTAATTAAAAGTATCCAGAACGAATTGAGTGACAAGACAAATTGAGCTGCAAGTGAGAAGATTCAAAAAATTATTATAACCAGTACTACTATAATTATATCATGATGTTATTAGAGCGACAAACTCTTAAAATTATAATTATATCATGATGTCATTGAAGTAATTAATTCTCGAAATATAAAAGTTTAATAATTCATCATCTCTACCCAAAAAAAAAAGGAAAATATTTAGTACCCACAATAAAAAAAAAAGTTACGATTCTATTCTCATCAATGGTAAAGTAGTTTTTACCCAATGATATATAGAGTTCCTGAAATTGCTTAAACGAGAAGGTGTGATTTATATATTTGGAAAAAAAAAAAAAGAGGGTGTCATTATCAAAATTCAATAATCAAACCGACAGAAACTTAAAAGAAATTGCTCGTGCGTTTGACTTTTGCCTGCCCAGTTTGTCAGTAAATTTTCTTTTTTTCTTTTTTTTTTTTTAACTTTTTCCTTCCTCTATGCTGACTAGCATTGTCCGTCGCGGTTAAGTTTTGACAGAAGAGGAGTACGATATGAGTTACTGTTTACCTTGGATTCTCCTCATTGAGTTGATTGGAGTCATCATCATTCAATGCCACCCCTTTCTTCAAATATATTAAACAAAAACAAATTTGATAAAGTCTCTCTTAACTTGTGATGATAATTAAGAATCTGATTAGACACCCCGCATTACGCCCCCCCGCCCTTGGGTCCCACTCTTCCATTTTGGCGCCATTTTCTGCTACTACTACTATTTTGTAATGGTGAAAATACCTTTTTCTTTTTTTTTTCTCATCTACAACTCTTTTTATTTTATTTTTTTTAAAGATTAACATAAATTGTTAAAAAGTATGATATAGCCGACTTATCTGAAAGATTTATTTTTGTTTTTTGTTTTATATTTCGTATTCTAATATTTTATACCTTTTTTTAACATTTCAGCCTTCTTTTTTTATGTTATAATGTGAAACTCAAATTAAAACAAAAACTGATGTAATGGACTTTCAAGCATATCTTTTTGATAGAATATTCTATCTAATCTCTACCTTATAGTGGTTGTCTTTTAGCCCTTTAAATATGAGGCAAATAAGAAATACATTTTACTTTTAAAAAGAAAAAGAAAATTATTCAGCTTGTAATTGCGATATTTCTCCCTTTGACAATCATCAAACGGATTCAAACTTACCCATTTGTACACAGTACTCCCTCCGTCCCATAATTATTGTCCACTTTTACTAAAATGAAAAATTTTATTTTTGGTCAAACTTAACTATATTTTACCTTAAACAACCGGATATACCCCTATATAAGTAATTGTTTAACCACTAAGATTTTATAGATAATGTTTTTTACTAAGGACAAATGTGTAACTTGATCCATAAAAAGTCAAATTGGATAATAATTTTGGGACAAAATTTTTTGGGCAAAGTGGACAATAATTATGGGACGGAGGGAGTACTACACTACACGCATTCCTTCATTTCTTTTTGTGCTTTATTTCTTTACTACTACCTCCGTTCCTATTTATAAGAGATTTTGGATATACTTTTTTTTTATTCTTTTTTATAAGAAGTTTTTATATTTTCAAGAAAACATTTAATGACTTTTTTCCTCTCTTTATCCTCATAACTGATTCATTCAAAATTAATTTAACCACTTCATTAATATTATCAAGGACAATTTGAAGCATTTACAATATTTTTTTATACAAAACACTAAATTTTGTTAGTTTTATTAGTTTATGTAAAGTTAGTTAACTCCATCTTATAATTAGGAATGGAGATAGTAATTCTTTTTGGGAAATAAACTTGGAAGATTTATTAGACTTTTGATAGAGCATTTATTGCCCTTAATCTTATTGGTTTAACATTTATTATGTCTATATGGTTTCATTTCAGGCGTGACATATAATACGGTTATATGAAAGTTACAAATTGTAATAGAACTCCATGGAAGGGAACATATTTCACGAGCTTTGACTACTTTTTTTTTTTTTTTTTGCCCTTTCTCTTTTGTTAATCGCAGACTTTAATCACACATAAAAAGTCCACTTCAGCTTCAAAGGAGACGGAAAAAGAATACATTAATACACATACGCGCACAATGAGATTTATTTGGGGGTTCAACGATTTTATGTCATGATTAGCGTTAGCGACTAAAAATTGGAGGCAATAAGGACAAGAATAAAAAAATTGTGTACATTCGAATAATTTCCTTCGTCTCATAAAAATAATTTATCTTATAATTATTTTTTATAATAATTCACAAACTGTAATGTTAGATTATTTTGAGCCGGTGAATAGAGTATTTGATAAAAGAATACTTATAATTTTTAATATGACGACTATAGATGATAGTAAAAGCGTAAATGAAAGTAAATTACTCTTTATTTCATTTAAAACTCCAAGTAAAATCATATTCCTTCGATCTCATAGTCGATTTATAATATCACTTGTACAATTATGAATTAATAAAAATTTATTTAATTTCACAAAATGAACAAATTGCAAAGGGTTGGATGGGAACATTATTAATTCATTTTTGTTGTCCTTGGAAATGATACCAAAAAAAAAAGATACGTTTGGTAATAAGCTCACCAAGAACGGAACGGACCTCAAAGCTTCATTGGGGCACTCACCTTTTTCCAATAGCCAATCCCTAAACTCCATTTTTCCCCAAATTCCCAAGTCCCCAAACACGCCCTTAATTATAACCTGATTTTTTCCCCTTAATAAAAAGGATCTCCTAATTTCCCCCGCCCTTTTTCATTTCTCTCTCCCCTTTCTTTTTACCCCTTCAGCCGTTTCCCCTTTTCCCTTCCCTTCTCCCTCCATGAAACCTGCTTTTTGAATTGGTAGTTTTTTTTTTTTTTTTTTAACAGAAAACAAAAATGGGGAAATACATGAGGAAATCTAAACTCTCAGATGAAGTTGCCGTGATGGAAGTTTCACAGACTCTGGGTGTCCGTACCCGGGCTAAAACTTTAGCCCTCCAACGCCTTCAATCCAATCTCTCTGATTCTGACCCGTCTTGTTACCTTCAACTCCGCTCCCGGCGGCTTGTGAAAGCCTTGAATTTGAAGTCAGAGTGTAATAAATTTAATTTCGGTGGAGGGAATTGTTTGGAAAGTTCCCAAATTAAGGATGATCCCAAAACGAGTTCTGTTGTCAGAGGGACAGATTCTGTGAATTCGGGCCGGAGTTCTTCGGGCCCGATCACCCCGATAGAGAAAGAAAGTGGTTGTTCTGCCGGCCGGGTGGCCGATAAAACCAGGGTTGAGTGTGATTTGGGTGTGGAAGCTTCTTTTGGAGAAAATAATTTGGATTTTGAACCCAGAGAGAGGTAATTTCTCTCTTGATTTTTTTTTTCTTTTTAACCTTTTGTTTTCCTAATAAGTTTACATGTTGATGTTGAATTCAAAAACTGCGTGAATTTCTGGTTTCATTTTCTGTTTTACTTAAAATTGTAAGGTTTTTTGTATGCTTTTGTTTATGGGGCTTGAAGGTCAAAAAGGTGATGATCATTTGACGTTTCGGGAGATTGAGTGGGAAAGGCAAAGGGGATATAGTGAACAAAGGATTTTGTACACCCTATGCATTTCACTTTCTCTTTGTTTTTGTTGTTTTTCCTTTGGTACTTTATTGAGAAAAGGGGAAAATTTTGGGGCTTTAGGATTTGTTCCTTTTGTTTCAATTGAAAGAGGCCTTTGAGAAAACTTTCGCTTTCATTTTGATGGGGAAAAAGGATTTCTTTTTTATGGGACTGGTTCTTTTCATTTGCTACATTTTTATTCTTTTTTTGGGCCTCAGTCTTATTCATTTTCTTTCAATGGCATTGGATTGCATGCGTGAAATATTTTATTCTGGAGTCATTTTCAGCTGAACAAACTGAGCAATATAGTCCGTCAATCTTTCACTAAATTTGGCTGCATCCTTGGAAACATTTGATTTTATCCTCCACTTTTGCAGACACTCCTCTCCATTATTCTCTAAGTTTAAAAATAGTTTATCCCAGAAATTAGGATTTATTGTTTTGAGGGAATTAATATTTCTCATTCAAAATGTCATAAAAGTTCACCTTTTAGTCCTCTCTTCCGTTTTTCCAGTTCTCATTCAGATTGCTTTGTTAGAATGTAACTACCAGTGGGTGTAGGTATAGTTTTTGCTGGTTGTGCATTCACTTTCTCTTTGCAGCAATGCTTGCCCCACATGGTTACAGTGGGACAAGGCTTTAGCCTTCTAGACTCAAGACTCAAGAGCCTTTGTTTTTAAATGTTCTGGGACTCATTTTCTCTAACTGTTCAACTGAAATGTAATGAAAAGAACCAGACAAGATAATGTGGTGGTGGTATAGTATCCCGCAATTTTTTTTTGGGGACATTTTGAAAATGGGGATGTTGTATTGCGACAAATCTGTATGTTGAACCTTGCATTGACAGAGGAAATAGCTTTATAGTTCTTGAAAAGTTTGGTTGAAATTGTTGAATGACTAGATATCAAACTTTGGACTCAAAGCAAACAAACAGGGAAGCTGATGCTTGTAGTTTTGAAGTGATTTAACCTTGTAATTCTGGGACCAAAGAAAGCTATTTTTGCGGTGTCATCAGTTGCAGCACGCATTGTTGTACTAAAATTCATATTGGCATTCATTTTCGTGGGACAGTGGGACAATGTTATAATATCTGATTCTTTTCTTTCGTCCATGAAGAAAGCAACTATCTTGGCAATGATCTCTTGCTTCCATCTTATAGGGAAAGATACTATGAAAGAAGATGATTTAGCTGTGAAGCTGTGACCCGTGTGTATACAATTTTCTGTGCATATATATTACAGGACTACCTGCTAAAGTTTCTTGTACAACTCTAATTGGCAAGAACTGCATGCTATCTCAGTGTATTAAATTGCTAGGTGGTAGTTGGTGGAAGATGTTTCCATTTGTTTGGTGACTTCTTTGAATGTCAATGTACAGCAATGTGCTATAAGTTGTCCGCTGGGCCCATTTTTTCTGCTGTAAGATCTGCTTGTAACCTAAGTTTTTTGCAGTTAATTAGTAATATGAATTGTTTCTTCTCTGCCTTTTCAGGAGCACCAGGGAAAGTACACCTTGTAGCTTGATAAGGGATGCGGATATCACCACCCCAGGGTCTTCTACAAGGCGAACGACCGAAAGTGCCGCGGATGGAACCAGCCGAAGTGCACTTGTCACAAATGCGCCTTCAACAGCTGAGATAGAGGCATTCTTTGCCCGTATAGAGCAGCAACAGCAGCGGCAATTCATTGACAAGTGCTTTACTTGAACTTAACTATGATTCAATACCATTTCTCTTCTCTATAGACCTGAATAGATGTAAAAAAAATCTTAGATAATTTCTACCATCCTTCTAACGATCATCCTTTCTGCTTCTGCAGGTATAACTTTGATATCGCTAACGACGTGCCTTTAACTGGTCGTTATGAATGGGTGCGAGTAAACAACTAATAAAATCAGAAGAACTCCTGTTTTTGATGGAGTAATAGCTAATTGCCTGCAGATTTTCGATTGATACCATGGTGAATGATTTGGATGAAATAGGTTGATTCACTCCCTAGTTTTGACTGGAGTGAGTATAAGTATATTTGTGAGTTAGATACAACATAAAGCATGCTAATGGTTTATGGCTAACCACTAGCAGTGGCTAGTATTTTAGTACTAATAGATTAGAAGTACTGGAAAATCTAATTTGCTTGATCTTCATAGTTCTCCCTTGAATGCAAAAGAGCTTTGGTACTTGTTTTCTCTTTTGAATTTTACTGAATAGCCCTGTGATTTTGTGCGTCCGCTCTATTATTAATTTTGTAAAAGATAAATATATTACGTACTTGGTGTTCGAGATTACGGTCTTAAATAATTTGGATGAATTATGTTTGATAGGAGATTAATTTGGAGTCGTGTGTTTAGGGACAATCTTTTTTTAGCTTTTATCATCAGGTACAGAGGCTTACTGTGATCCGTACGGTTGTAGAGCCTGCAAATTCTCAAGTGTCCAAATCAAATTAGCAGAAGAATAATCAAAGTAGGCAGCTTTTTCCGGAATACAGTCCTTATTAAAATACCAAAAAGTTGAAAGCTATGCTAAAGCTACGTTGATTATTTACTGTTTTAAGTACCTTCATATTAATGTGTTAAAAAGTACTTTTGCCAATGCCATTCCACTTCAAGCAGCATAAATAACTAACTACTCTAACCAACTCCATTCCATTTACAGCAGTAGATAGTAAACTCTGTTGGTAAATAAATTTCACTCAATTTTCCAATTGTTAAAGCAACTGTTCTGCTTTTAATCCCGTTTATGTAGAGTTAGTACGGACTACGGAGTTTGAACATGGTACTAATCTTTGTGTTGGGGAACAAGCAACACAAACAATGATAAGTAAGAATTGTAGTAGAGATTCTAGGATTGGTGAATGGATGATTCTTCAGTGATTATCTAATGACTTATCATCATTTACTCCTTAAGTAGTGAACAAACCGAATTCCCGCCTTACATTAATTCTTCAAAAATGTAATTATCACAATTATTATTAAGCAATAAAATTTGCGTGTATTATTATCCAAAAATGATAGATGGTACTGTACGTCTGTAACACCGTACAAGGACCTTCCCAGATTACGATTAACGTTAACGTGATAAATGATAAACCCCCCAAAAACTGGAGAAAAAGAAATGAAGAAACGGAACGGGAAGGGCCGGAGGCTGTAATTATAAAAATTTGGGGGCACTTAAAAACAGTAATTCCCAATTTTAACCCCAAACGGCCCAACCCTAAAACCCCCATTTATAAACAAATTAAAGCCACCCCCTTTTTGCCTCCCTTTTCATTTTCCCTCCTCTCTTCTCTCTTTCTCTCTCTGTGTCATTTCTTCCTCTGCCTCCATTTCCCTCCCTTCTTCCTCCTCCATCCACCGCCCCTTCCTCCGCCGTCCTCCGCCGTCGATTCTCTCCTCCGAACCTACAATTTCTCATTTCCCGGATGAAACCCCGGTGTTTTCCTTAGTTTTTTTTTTCTTTTTATTTGTCTTTTTAAGGACAAAGTTGGTGAGGTGTATTAGAGGAGTCTGGCTGAAGAAGAATCAAGATGGGGAAATACATGCGGAAGGCGAAAATCTCTGCTGACGTGGCGGTGATGGAGGTTTCTCAAGCCACCCTTGGTGTCCGGACGCGTGCAAGGACTTTAGCTCTGCAACGCCTTCAATCGTCTTCTACTCCTCCTCCACCATCGCCGGCTTCCCTCAACGGTTCTGATTCCTCTTGTTACCTTCAGCTCCGTTCGCGCCGGTTGGAGAAGCCTTCTAATTTAAAGCCGAGAGCCGAGAAACCCCCCTCCTCTCGAAATGATTCTGCCCAATTGGAATCGGGAATAAATTCTAACCCTAGGTCTGATTCCAAGGTCGGGGTGAGTGATTCTTTTGGAAATTCGGGCTCAATTACCCGACCCAACAAGGGAGATGGCTGCTTTGGGAGCAGATTAGTTGATGAAGTAAATCAGGACTATGATTTTGGTGTTGAGGCTTCTTTTGGGGAAAACAGTTTGGGTCTTGATAACAGAGAAAGGTAATCTCGCCCATAAAATTCCCATGACTTCCATTATTTTAATTTTTTTGTTGGTGAAGGAAAATTTTCCCCCTGTTATTGCATGTAAAATTGTTTGATTAAATTTTTGTTCTTTGGTCTCGGAAATCTTTCGGTTTAAAACTTTGGGAGGAGGAGGAAAGGTGGTAATTTTGAGAGGGATTTTGTCTCAGTAAACCTTTTTTTTTGAGTAATTTTTCTTTTGTGCAATTAAAAAGGAATTATTCTTCGTAAATAAAAAGTGTGTTTTTCAGAGAAAGGAGAAGTTTGTCAGGGGTTTCCTTGGTATAAGAAAGGGTTTAAGTATTTCCTGGCGTTATCTGTGTTTTCTTAAGCATTATTTTAAGTGGAGGATGCTTCTTTCTTCAGCATATGCATAAATTTCTCGATTGCAGGCCTTTAATTTGCCTGATTTTCAATTAAAAATCTCAATCCTTTTGAAGTTTAGTAGTGTTTTTTCTGTTTTTTAGTTGGCCTTAAATTTCAAATTTGGGGATGTCTCTTGTTCTTCATTAGTATCTGCAGAAATGTGCTTTCTTTTAGTTGTGTTGATGCTAAATTGTGAATCCTGTTATGAATCTCAATAAATTTAGCTTTCTGTCTATCTGAACAGATGTGTGTAATTAATGGGTCTACAATTTCTGTCTCTAGATGCTTTCAGGGCAAGGTTTGTCGCAAGCAATCCACCAAGTTTATATGTGGTGGGATAAGTTTGAACTTTTTGGTTTGTAGCTTATAACATATTCAAGTTTAATGGTGTTCTATCTTCTGATATGTGGCAAAAGGAACAGTGTGCTCCTAAAATTGTCCATACAGACCAAAATACAAGTTACTTTGGTGATTCAGTGGCTCGGGGCCTGAATTTAATTGGACTCTTATGCTAGAGTAGCCCTTTATATTTTAACCCCTTGTAGGCATCAATGTTAATGGGACCATGGTTGATATAAAGGTGCTTCATTTCAGAAAAGTAGGGACAGGAATTGTTGTATGCTTTCATCGTCGGAGAACAGAAACTAGGATAATTGGATTTATATCATGAATGTTCGTGATCTTATTTCCCATAAACTCGAGAATGGTTTTACATGTTTCTGTGAAAAATGGTATGCTGATGAATGTTGCTACTTTTTGCAGGAGCACCCGTGAAAGTACTCCATGCAGCTTGATAAGGGATGTTGATGTTGCCACTCCTGGATCTTCTACAAGGCCGAAGACAGTCAGGGCGGAGAATAGAAGAAGCCAGAGTGCAATTTTGGAAAATATTCCTTCAACAGCTGAGATTGAGGAATTCTTTGCCCGTGCAGATCAGCAGCAGCAGCGACAGTTCATAGAGAGGTAATATGCTGAAACCTTTTCACAGCCCATAGAAGCTATGTTGTGTACCAGAGTTCACGCGTTATACGTTACTTACAAGTCTAATAATTTTGCAGGTACAACTTTGACATTGTTAATGACGTGCCCCTCCCTGGAAGATATGAGTGGGTGAAAGTTCAACCCTGAGAGCCGGATGCATATGATATTCCCCTGCCTTCAGTTTTAGACGCCAGGAACTAATTTGATATTAGTTTAGAACATTAGTTGTTTCAGAAAGAATAGAGCCTCCGTAGATGTGTAATTTAGTGATCTGTAACATAAGTTAGCTAGTGGATCTCATGACTAACAGTTGGTTTATTCGGGAGAAAGTGTAACTGTTAGCTCTCAGATAGTTTCTTCGAAATGCAAAGATGATTTTACTTCCAAAACCTAATAGGAATGTTTTCCTTTCAGTACCATTCGCGCTTTGTCTAATTGCATTTTGTTGTCTTGTTGGAACGATTAGAAGCCCACTTCCGTCCTAATCCTGCTAAAACCTTAGTTCCATTTGGAATCCGATTTTTGACCACTCTGTTAAGATGACTAGTGACACAAAGCAAAAAGAGGATCTTTTAAGCTTTTGCATATTCCAAGTACATTATCATGACATACTGATGAATCCAAATTAGTGCGTGAGTTTGTACTGAATTTTAAGAAGTCCAGGGCGTCCCCTTTCAAACTTGAAAAGGGCAGAGAAATCATGAGGTGCTGAAGTGAAGTAAATGCCTGCATGATAGTGAGTAGTATAACTGAGTATAAAAACTACTGTTCTTTTCCCCTTCCATTTTTCTATAGTCTCAGCAAAAACCTAAAAGCAGAGACTATTGAGGTGCAGGGCCGCAGAGGGTGGGGGCCGGGGGCTGAGTGAAGGCCGGAATTCCACTGTGCATGTTAAAAGCCAGGGCCGTACATTTTCATCAGTAGTAACTAGTAAGTAGTAATAAGTAGCAATGAAGAAGATTTATTACTGCCTATTACTGGCTGCATTTAAATCAGTGAGGATCGGCAAAGTTACTCTCACGGTTTCTTCTCTTTCTTCTTTGGACTGATCATCTAGTGAAGGGATTAATAATGAATAAGGAAAGAGAGAGGATCCAATTCTCAACAATGCATCGAGGTTAAAAATTAAAAATAGGGGGCTTCAGGTACTGATAGTGTGTCAGAACTTTCAATATGTCAGTTCAGTGGGCAGAGAGGCTAGCCATGGAGTTTGTGACAAAATAAAATAAAAAAAGCAAAAAACTTTACAAATTATTATTATAGATTTGTCCATATTCAATCCTCCTGAGTCATGAGCTTCTTCTTTACTGAAAGCTGCCCCCAGTATACACATTTATGTAGTCTCCTGCATTAAATATGGTTATATTTCGAGGCCACAATTTACATATACTAGTACTATACTGTGGTAAAAAATGAGTTTATTAGTAGTAGTGTATAGTGTAGAGTTCACATGTGACATGATCCAACTGATTCCGACAGTGGGTTTTTTGAGGTCTTACCTTTATCCTGTAAGTTTGTGAATCTGACTAATTTTGACTAATGTGTATGTAATGCCATTGCCATCTCTATCTCTCTATCTTATATGACTGTGATGAGAGCGATCTTACACAACCACAATTGAACTGGATTTCGTGATGTGCACAACTCTCTTTTGGTTTGGCTTTATTTTACTATTTTTGACCTTTTCATCTTTACTCTTTTAGTGGATATGGGATCAGGCCTCACAAATATATATATATATATATATGTTTTGTTGGAGCAATTCCAAAAGTTATTAATTGCACCCCCCGCACTACTATAATATACACATATATAATAATGTCATCATACTGTAATGGAAGAGGAGAGACATTATGTCAACAATACAAATTGATTCCCCCCACTTGACCTTTTTCTTTGGTTGTCAGTCTTTGTTTGTACTAAAACGTGGATCAAAATGCTTCTACATTTTATTATGGCTTATTTCTAATTTGTGTAAGATTTTGATTGGATGAGAAGCAAGCAAGAAGAGAGTCCGGGTGACACAGATGAGTGGTAATTTACCTAAAGTATGGGATTGAAATTATGAAACTACAGTTTACTGTTTCTAAGGAACCCAACACCACCATAACTTGGAGGAAATGTTAATGTGTGGAGTAATTGTTTTCACTTTTCAGGATAGAAAAAGGGCCAAGGAAACTGCCAATTTTGGGTAAATGTTGTTGGCGAATGGTGGAGACAGAAGCAGGGACATCTTATCTTGTTTTCATCTCCCTGTTTTCCATACTTTTTTGACTAATCTGCAACATCCATTTCAAAAGGCCTGTTTTGTATGACCTAATTTAGCTTACTCTCTATGCTCATGCCAATATTCGAACCGCGATCCTAGTTTATGCGTTCGAGTACATTTACCATCCGAACCAAGTGTTTGTAAGTAAAAACTGTGCCTTGTGATGATGCCCTAGAAAGGGATGGGCCGAATGTGCATTTATGGTCTGATCAATGAAATGAGGACCATATTTTGCTTCATCGGTTGAACTTAGTTTTTCTAATGACCTGTGCACAACAGCGAGGAATTGGTCAATCGTGGTATTAAAATATCTGTGATTTGTGAAAGACTTTGAAGTCCAGGTTGCGTGATTGCTTTGTTTGAGACAAAATGGTAGATTTACGAATCAATTGAATCAATGAGGCCGAGGAATCTGGCAATCCTTTCAATTCAAGGCGTGAGATTATAGTGTACGAACCCATCAAGTGAAGTAATCATTCTTCTATTGTCTGAAGGGTTTTCCCAGGTTCCTCTCCACCTGACTTCTCAGCAATTTATTTGACCGTGAACATTGTAGGAATGGCTGATTGTTCGTACTACGTTTGTACTAACATCAACATTACTATCAATCGAAGTCTTTTGTCCCAACTCCTGAATGAACCGCAACCAGTTAGGAAGAAACAAATAGTCGGCAGGTTGCAAACCCGCGGAGCTAGGGGGACAGAGGAGTGCGGTCGCACTTGCTCAATTTTTTTAGTTAGAAGTGATGTACTAAATTTTTAATAGAAAAATATACATTTTATAATTTTCACACCCTCTACATTAATTTCCTAGATCATTAGTATTTTTTTTTTCTAAATTTTGCACCCCTATTTGGATTTCCTGTCCTGCCTCCGCCAACTTACCACGGGTGGAAATCATGTTTTCGCGACACGAAACTAACACGTTTGTATAAGCCCTGAATTTTCAATGAATGATTGCTCATGAAATTAACCACTATTCTTTGTATCATGAGTGTACATTGTTTTGAGTTAAATTCAGGAATGAATAACAAATTCACATCCTAGTTACAGTATCACTGTTCTTAACTTACTCAAGCCTACTCCACGACAGCTATAAACATCTTGATCTGACCATTGTACAATGAGAGGGTAGAGCAGCAGCAAAATTTAGCAACTGGAAATTAAGAGTGAATCAGGGGTGAAAAAGTTAAAAAAAAAAAAAAAAAAACACAAGAATCACCCATAATTTAGCTATGTGAGATGTGACTTGGGTGACTGCAGTTTCAGTGGGCTTCCCATGTGTTTCTGTAAAAACCTGTAACAGCGCTATGGTGTCAAGATTATGATGAGGGAAGAATCTTCTTTACTTTTCTTGACTTGATCTTGGATTCTCACCATCCTATCTTCTGCTCTTCTTGATAACTTTTGGGTGTTGCTAAACTCAGCATGAATTTACTTCGCGTAGTTTCTAAAAAGACTAAAATATCCTATGAAATTGCATAAAGTAAAATTAAGTTGCACGAAATAAAATCAAACTGCACAAAGTAAAATCAAGCTACAGGAAACAAAATCAAGACATATAAATGACATAAAAAAAGCACGATCACTAATTAACCAAAAAAAACACGATCACCAATCAGTAATCATGCCAAATTCATAAAATTTCACGCAAATTATTTCTCCTTGTAAAAAAAATCCGTCAGAAAATAACAATAGTGATCACACCAATAAAAAAAGTAAACTTCACAAAAAAAATTACATGTTGAGAAACCAATGTCTTATTTTATCTTGTTTTTTCGTGTTATTTAATTTTCCGCCATTGCAAACCATCAAGTATCAATAATTTTTTGACAATATAATGAAAGAACTCGTAAGAAGTTATAAAAAAATGATCGTGCAAAAAAATTTAGAAGAGTCTAAGGTTCAGGGGTATTTTAGTCTATTATACAAGTTGCGCGACGCAACCCACTAACTTTTTTACTACTTGTTGTTTGGACTCTTATTGTCCTTCTGCTACTTGTAATTCTCACTGGTCATCAAGCAATGGAGAGAAAGCAAAATTCAGAAACTTTTTCTACCATTGGAATCCTCTGTAATAAACATCCATGGGATATAAAGTTAAATTACAACGAATGATACACCACCGAAAAATCATCTAAGGTCCTACCAGCCTATGAGCCTAGAAAGTACAGTAAGTAATACAGTGAAGACCCAGTATACAGAAGAAATTTGTTGCCTTTTGTGGTGGAAAGGGAGATAATTATACACTCTGGCCAAGATTGCTGGGCAGTTAACTTCTGTCTGCAAAATAAGGCCAATCACAGTTCTCAGAAGCCCGAAAAGCATTTAAACATCAATCTCATTTAATCAGGATGTCTAAGTTTCACATTAGCGCAAAAGCTGAGGAGTTTGTTTTAGAATACAGACATTATCACTCAGATACTGTTGTTAGGTATACTCTCCTAACATGCAATCCTTTAAAATTTACAGACACAATTCTTTCTTAGACATGGGAATCCTTGATATCTCAAATTATACTTCACAACTTCACAACTAAAAGATGTCAATGAGAATGATCATGATTCCCTTCAGGGTTTCACTATTTGCAATGAGATTTTTGGATATTGATGAAACAGAATCCCATCGATCTTTAATTAGGACCTTATCTCAGTGTTCAGTGAATACAAGAGTAAATCTCACCTGTTTCTTGTGTGCTACATTCAGTCAGATTTCAGTTGGCTGTGGTGAAGCTGACCCACCATGAAGAGTAATCGGCTTTGCCTCGGACATTTCTACCTCAACTGCATTTGTTCCGGTTTGAGTTTTATTCTCGGCACTCATTTCCTTGAGTTTAGCTAATCTTACAGCATGCAGCTCATATCTGGTAATAACCATAAAAACTACATAACTTAAGCGGACGGAGAAAAGGATACTAGTGTAAGGAGGTGCTGTAATGGGAACTTGGGAGGAAATTATCGCCTTTACAGGAACCAAAGAGTACTGGGCTTCTCAAGCAAAAAATCAAGTGTTCATGTATATTTCCAGGAAGCTCAAAGGGAGGAGGATCCCAAAAACTCCCCATCCTTAACCGAGCCAAAAAAAAAAGGAGACTAAACATGAATGAGTGCAAGCTTTCTTCTTTTGCAGGTGCCATAATTTCATATTGATTTTATCTTTTAAGCAGGACAGCGACATTCATAGTTGATATAGAATCTCATAATCTTCAGGTAGCTCAGAAAAGGCTAGGTATTAATCAACCAGGTATTTGAGTTCCAAGAAGTTTTACGGTGCACAAGGAGCAAGCCTAGGTTAAAGCTCTGGTCTGGCAGTGGGATGAGAAGAAAATACAAAAGCTACTATAATATAAATAGAAACTAGAGGTTTACACGAATATAGAGAACTTACTCGGCTACATAATTCCAAACTAGTGTGAAATATATTCTCCAAAATTGTTGCTCCTTCAATAAGCGGGGGCATAACCTAAACCTCAGCTGTGACAGTTCCTGAAGTGGACCAATGATACTGTTGATAAATTAGGGGTGATTATAAAACAAAATCATCAGCATGATAATTGCTATTAGTATGGCTAATTTCCCACAAAAGAAAAAAAAAAACCATCTGAGTGATTACTACACTGGCATTACTAAGAATCTAATCAACCACTACATCTTTTCCCACGATAAATTCTAAGCTTCCAAATTCTAAGTTTACGAAGTAGTACGAACTCATTACGTAGCTAATTGAGAGATCAGCAAAGAAAAAACTTAAAAACTAACAACACAAAAATCAAATACAATAATGATAGTAGTGATATTTAACTTTTGCCAACTGTATCCACAAGGATGAAAGCAATAAACTTTACTTATTACCACACATTATATCATGATTGTTGTCTATAGCATACACTAAACAAAATAAAACAAAACAAACAAATTGATTGAAAAAAACAGAACAGAGCAAAGAGTAAAAACCTTGACTTTGGAAAGGATAAGCACAGCGTGTCGTTCTTGCCACTCAGATAGATCATTGTTCACGTTTCCAGATACGCCATCACCTCCCTTTTCTATCCCTCCTTCGACATCTGCATCTGCATCAGCCAACATAAGACAAACCTCAAATTAGTCAATTTCCTTACAACAACCAAGCTTAGCGAAACTGAATTAGAAGTTCAGTAATATCCAATTCCATGATACGAAAGCATCTAAAAAAAAAAAAAACGCAGGTACCTGGAATGGGGAAGTTCTTGAAAGTGTCGACAGTGAAGGACTTGACGAATTCGATCAACTGGTCAGTGATTCCGTAGAACCGTTCCTCTTCTTCCTTACCATTGTTACTATTGGCGGCGGCGGCGGCGGAGGAGATGGGTATCGGTGACTTTCGGTTTCTAGATAGATTGCGTTTAAACCACGAGTACATATCCAGGGCGTGCTCGTCGAGGATTCCGTTCTCTGCTCTTTCCTCCGGCAACGCATCCACTCAACTACAGAAGCTTGTAACTATAAAACCGAGTTAAGAATCCGACTGGGTCGTCTTCCCTTCTTGAAAGGATCAGTTTCGGATAACGGAATCGGATTTTTGCTTCAAAACTCTTCTTGTCAATTTCTTTTTTGAAGGATGCAATCAACCAGTTTCGACTGGGGAATTGGGAATCGTGCGGATAGTGGGCTTTCCGATACAACTTAACATCGTAAACTTTTAGAACGAAAGAGAGTACTTTTGGGCCGAATATAACCCATATTGAGTATTAACATGGGGATTGTTTTTTGACAGAGAGCTAAGCCCAATAAAGCGTTTTTGTTTCGAATTGGGAATAAGAAAAAGTAACGATTATTATGTTAAAGGGTAAAAATTATTTTGAAAAAAAATTACGAAACATTAAGTTTTAAATAAAAATAAAAATAACCAACAATTAAATTTTTTTTTTTGAAAGAAAGAAAACTTCATTACTTTTATTCTAGTCAAGTAATAATGAGTTCTTTCTCAAAATAATTGTTGAAAGAAGACATCAATGTTTGGTTATAATCAAATTCATTCAAGAATGACTAGCATTCGAGAAAGCTAACCGTAAGCGAACTATCAATCATCATTTATAAAATGCGTGACGAAATTGAAAAAAAAAAAAAAATCGACTAATACACAACGAAATAGAAGTAATGCAATTTTGGTTAGAGTCACGCAATAATGCATTTTGGCAAGCACATGCGTGACAGCATCAGGAAAATAATTGTTGAAATAAGACATTAATTTTTGGTTATAATAAGAGTCACCGAAATTTCAACCTTTGAACCTAAATTCATGTACTGTAATTGAGGCTTTAAGACTAGTGCGATACATACAAACTTACGGCAACAAAATTGCGGACCGAGGAAACACCGAAAAAAGAAATCGTAAGATCACAATTCCTATTAAGACAAGACTAGGTGTTAGACCCGTCCGATGGACAGGGAAGACATACACATTTAGACATTTTTACATAAATTTTGTATTCTTATAAAATATGTAATAACTTCAGTTTTAAACATGATTACCTCTGGATTTACAGGAATTTATTTTTTTTAAATAACATTTTAAATTCACTGTTGATAAGGTTTATGCAGATCTCTCTAAAATTTGTTAGGATTTGGTACTCTCTCCAATCAATCTCTGTGTTAGGATTTGGTTCATGAAAATAAGGGTTCGGTTTTTATTATTTTGTTTTTTTTAAATTATTTTAGTTGCTTTTTTGTTTTATTATTTTGTTTTGTGCATTTTTAAGTCTAAGAAATTAAGAAAATGCCACATAGGATTTAATCCTATGTGGCATGTGCTCTATGCCTTTAGTTTTCTCTCTCTGGTTTTTACCTCAGTATAATATATAGAAGATAGATAGATTAATCTCCACGTTATCTTTTAGGAAAAGTGAGCAAAAAGGGGACAAAAAAGATGATCATATTTCAATTCTAACACAATGATTTTATTAGACATTTACTATCTTATTTTTTTACTAGTAGATTTGATGATTAGCCTAGAGTTTTGTTTGTCCAAGCTAATCCAAACCTAGCTAGTGTGGGGGAAAAAAATAAAGAGAAAAGAAAAAAAAATTTCTCTAACAAAACGAAAAACTCATCTAACCAAAGTGTTTGTCAAATTGCCCATTTAGACAAAGGGGAAGAAAAAAAATAATGATGACAGCTCCACAAATAAATGGAATGATGCCCCCGTGACTATTGCATGTCAAAACCATGTTAAAAAAGGCAGGAAGCAAACTCAAAGCCCCTCCGACCACGGGTACTAATTACTTTTCCGCAACTTTTACTAGTGATTTTGCTGAAGTCATGATTTAGATTGTAAATTCATTGGAGATATTTTTCATAATTGATATGTATGGTATAACTAGTAAAGTAAATACCCGATGTATAAACAAACAAGAGTACTTGAAATACGATCACTTACATAGATTTAGTTAGCTGGGATAGCAATGGCAAGATGAGGATTAGCCGGTGACGGAACCACCTGTTTGAATTTGAAAATTATTGAGACATATAATCGAATTTACATGGTGGGAGGTCAAATATGAGAACTCTTAAGGAGCTCTGTGGCCGATTGAGAACTCGGTATTCTCCCGAGCTTCTTAAAAATTTCGTCACTCGGGTTTACTTATAATTAACTAAAGCTTATAATTACTATAATCACAATTCAAACATTTGTATCCGCCTTCGTAACAACTAAAAGAAAGAAAGCATTTGAATCGATCGCTTTAATTTTTTTGCATAGCAGCATTATTCGTTCATTCATTTCACGAGCGTTATTTATTATTATTATTCTTTTTTACGAATATAAATTGCTACACATAGGATACCTTTACCTTCCATCACTAAGAAAAACACACTTACGCGTGCAAATAGATTGATGGAGACATTCACCCCTTTTCATCATCCCATGTACATTATCAGTAGTAGCACATATATAGGAATATTAAGCTAGGAAGAGGGATCCCACATCGGCCCTCTTAGGATTTCAAATCGTGGGTTTTTAAAATAAAATTTAAGACAAGTTGTGAATATATATCCAAAATCCAAATTGCTACTAGTTGCTTAATTTGTGGTGTCAAAGGGAAGTGTTAATGTAGAATAAATGTACGATGTCCCCCTCTGAGAATTGTGTATGCATGATTGAGTGTTAGTTCCAACTTTGTTTTCAGTTTAGACTCCAATAATGCTTGTTTTTATTCTCATGTTCATTTGGATCAACTAAAGACATCATATAGCATTGACATAGACTCATCAAAGGAATTCTTTCTTTGAAAATAACTGACTACCCGAAATGCTGCTGTTTTCCACGCTTAAGTTTTTCAGCCGGTCTTATCATAGTTACTTCTTAATTGAATAGAAAACGAATGAAATCCTCTTTTAATTTTATTTAATTTTTAATAACCGAGTATGTACGTAGTTGAATAAATATATGTACTTAGTCCAAGATCGTAAAAGGAGAAAAACAGAATGTATTGTAATTTAGTTCATTTGACTCCATATGGTGGATTGGTGGATTGGCGGTGGTGATGCTTCATCATGATTATATGGTGGAAAAACATATCATATAATACCATGCATGATGCATGCAACAACATGATGACCATTTTTTGGGGGTTTTTTTTTTTTTTTTGCCAATGTAACTTTCACAATAATAATGGAATTGGAACATGTGGAACCCATTGGAGAATGGTCAGAGAGTTGGATGGGTGAACCATACACACATTTCTTTGCAGTTGTGCATTGTATATACTACTAGCTAGTACCCAATTAAGAACCCTAAAATCCAATTTAGTGAAAGTGCCACACCGCCACACCATGTTTGATATCACACTTTTTTGTTACTTTTTGAAAATTTGTGCGCTTCAATTACGAAAGCCATTTTAAGCAAAAGTGATGTTATAAAGTTAAATTAAAATACAATCTTTCGGTTATGACTAATGACTGGTGATTAAGATATAGACTATAGTAAAATATTTTAAGAAAATTTGATTGAGGATCAAAACAAAAACTTGTACGGTGCTCGTAAAATAATTATTTATATATATTTTATTGTTTTTAGCTAGATTAACAAATATGACTCCCAACTTTATGAAGAGTGAGAAAAGTACACAATGTTACACGAAATTTACTGTTATTTAAATTAATTTAAACACATACATCTGAGAATATCGAGGGGATGTATACAATGCTGATATTTGAAATTAACGAATTGATCAGTAGGGATTGGTCTGTGGGGTTTGGTTCGAAAAACTAATTTTGTAACTGATTATTTAGTTTTGCTAGTATCAGAAGATCATGTAGATCTTCAAACTTACAAATTTGTTAGTACATTAATTACCAAGCTGAGTGTCATATATGTTTGTGATTGGAACATAATATTGTCGGAACGTGACGTTGTAGTTTAATTATATAAGGTTTCTTGCCTCTGCTATTGCAGTAAAGAAACGTTGACGTGTGGTGAAAATTCACATAGTAAGGTTTCTGTACATATCTTTGAGGAAGCTAGCCTAGCTGCATGTGATTAAGGTGGTGCGTGGTGGATTTGATGGAACTTGGAAGTTTGAAAATTCTGGTGATATATCGTGAAACCACCAACTGATTTACGAACCAAGAAAAACAGCTAAGCTAATATTTAATGATGGAAACATGATGCCCTACTCTCAGTAATATCATATATCGTGTCTGGTCTCGTTTGGTATATATATATATATATATATATATATATATATATATATAGATAGATAGATAGTCTCTCCGGACAGGTATTTTGATCCACTGGATCCAGAATTCCTGATGAAATTAATAATACGCAACGCTAGTTTCCATTACTTTTCTCATCTCTTGTTTGCTTCTGCGTATGAAACAACCATAATAATTGTATAATGATACGATTGAATTAATTAATAATTGTCATATACTCCCAAACTCCATATTTAGTGTTTCTTCTTTCACAAACTCCTTCCACATTTATATTACTCATTGTTTTTATTCCTCTTCCTAAATTATCATTTTGACATCATGTTTCCTGGATCGACTCAGAAACGCTTGATTTCTGCTGCTGCATTATCGTGCGTGTATGTATATATAGCTACAATTCAACCAGTTGATCATCAGCTTTCTCAATGAAAACGCATGCATGCAGACAGTCAAAGGTGTGTGTGTGTGTGTTTTTTTATGCTGCTTAATTTGCTCAATTACACTACAACAAAAATGGGCTATTAATACCTTTATAATGGGACACTTTTTCTAAGATTTGTCTCATTATATGTGTATTAGGACATTTGTTAAAAAGTGTCTTATTAAAAATGAAAAAGTGTATGCATATTATGAAACACTATCATAAGTGTACTATGTGTGGTTGTTTGTGAACTATTACCCTACTTAATGGGTCACTTTAAAGTGTCTTAATAAGTGACAATCTAATAATACACTTTCAAATGCTTTATGACTTATTGTGACTCGATTATAGGAGACACTATTTAGTAGTGTCCCACGCAATGTGAATCACATGTGTCCTATTACACCATTTATTGAGACACAAAAAAGTGTCTAAACTAGTATTTTTGTTGTAGTGTTAGTTGAGAGTAATGACACCTTTAATCCCAATTTACACATATTAGTTGATTGTATGAAAAGTCAGTACCCATAAGTTCTTTAATAAAATGATTAGATTCGAATCTCTAATCTTTCCACTAAACATTTGATTGATAAGGTTTGGTCTGGCACTCTATTTAATTAATTTATTGGGATCCAACGGGTGTCATTTATTTAGATCAAACTACAATATTGTACAATGAGAACAATAATTTTGAACACCGGTCGTTTATTATCTAAATTACCGTTTGAAATAATCCCTTGAAAATGAAGATTTAAGGTCATCTATTTAATTAAATTCATCAAAATATACGAGACCTTTTTACCAAAAAAAAAGAAAAGAAAAGCGCTTTAGTTTAGGGACAAACAGACAAAAGGTTAAAATATGTCAAACAGAATAACGGCCTTTCTTCCCGCTTTTTTTTTTTTTTCCCCAACCTTTCCTTTTAGTTTTAGGAGGCAGATTCAGATTGTGTTGATCTTGACTTTTTTTTTTCCTTTTCTTTTCTTTTTCTTCCCTCCATAAAAGAAAACAAAGTTGCAGAATGATAAATCCACCCACCTCCTTTTTTTCTTTGTCTTTTGATCTGCAATCTGCATAGATGCACAAGCTTCTTTTTTTTTACTAATAATTTTAATATTATACCAGTATAAAACAAATCCATAATCTTCATGCTACTCATTGACTGTAGATTTTAATCATTTTTTTTTTAAAGATTTATTCTTAGATTGTAAGGCAAAATTTGAGCTCTTTGGTTTTTTCTTTAATGGTGACATGACCCACATGAGAGGCCCCCATTTTCTTTGGAAGATTGCAAAATCTATTGAATTTTGAGCGCTAACTGTTTGACAAAAATGGCCAAAGAACTTTTACTAACTGCAACAACAATCTCTCTTCTTTGCCATCTGTCTTACATTCTCTCTCTTTTTCAGTTTGTTCATTCATTCTGCTGCAACTCTGCATTTTTCCCACTCTTTCTTGGCAATGGACAAACATATACAGCATCAGCAACTGCCACTGAACAAATGTTCTCGACAGCATCGATGCAGCGAATGGTTTGTGTCTTGTAAAAATTCTTCATTTTTATTAGAACCCATGATTCTGAATATGGCTCTGCTCTAAAAAAAACTACTTTTTTTTTTTTTGGACTTGAAAGATGTTACTTTTCTTTTTGGAGCTTAGTGCTTGGTGTTTCCCTTCTGGAAGTGAGTCTTAAGCTTGAATTCTGAATTCTGACAATGTGCTGCTTTAGAATTGTAGAAATGGTTCAGTGTTTCTCCTCTGCCCTTTGTTTTCAGTATCTCTTTAGTACAATATTTCACATGCACATATGGAAGATGGTTTTATAGTTCGACACTTCGAGTTGTGTTTAAACTGCTCAGTGCTTGGAAAGGTGACTAGCTACCTTCTGTCTCTTGCAGGGTTTTTCGAGATGTTCCAAGCGACATAACAATCGAAGTAGATGGCGGAACCTTTTTGTTGCACAAGGCAGGATTCTGCGTCCTTTGCTATCTGTATTTTGTTCATGTTTGTGAAATATTCCTTCAAAACAAAGTATCCTGTTCACCTTTTTAAAAACAAAGGATATCATCAGTTGAACAGAATGTTTTCAAAGCTTCAGGATCGGCTGTCTCTTTATAGGCAATTGAAGAATGGTTCACATCTTGGAAGTAAATTACGATTTTCTTAGTCGTTACAAAATGAAATTGCCCTGTTCTCAGTATGAAATGTCCTGTCTTTGGTGAAGTGTTTACTTACGTTATGATATCATGTTATATTTGGAAAAAGCTTCACATGGCCAAAAACATGAATGACTCTGTAAAATTCATATGCTTCAACAATTTCTTAAAAGCTATCCATATCAGACAGAAGTTTCTTACTCCTTCAGTTCCTCTTTTTTGCAGTTTCCCCTGGTCTCACGAAGTGGGCGAATCCGGAAGCTGGTCGCAGAACACAGGGATTCTGATTTATCACGGGTTGAGCTTGTCAGCCTTCCAGGCGGTTCGGAGTCATTTGAGCTGGCTGCCAAGTTCTGCTATGGCATCAACTTCGAGATAACTTCAGCTAATGTTGCCCAACTAATTTGTGCTTCTGATTACCTTGAAATGAGTGAGGAATTCTCAAAGAATAATCTTGGCACTAGAGCTGAAGAATATCTTGATAGTATTGTCTGCAAAAACCTTGAAATGTGTGTGGAAGTCCTCCAACAATGTGAAAACTTGCTTCCTTTGGCTGATGAATTGAACATAGCGAATAGATGCATTGATGCAATAGCCTCAAAAGCTTGTGTGGAACAAATTGCTTCAAGTTTCTCACGCCTAGAATACAGTAGCTCAGGAAGACTCCACATGAGCAGGCAGGCTAAGTGTGAAGGAGACTGGTGGATAGAAGATCTTTCTGTGCTTCCAATTGAATTGTACGAGAGAGTCATAACAGCTATGAAATGTCGTGGGGTTAGACCTGAAAGTATCGGGACATCACTCGTACATTATGCCCAGAAGGAACTAACCAAGAAATCTTGCTTGTGGAATCCATCTAACCAGGCGAAAGTTGATCTGGTTTGTGGTTCGAATGGTCATGAAAGACTTGTGGTTGAGACAATTGTTAGCCTTCTTCCTGTTGAGAAATTTGCTGTCCCCATAACCTTCCTATTTGGATTATTGAGAAGTGCTGTGATGCTTGACTGCATGGTAGCTTGCAGGCTTGATCTTGAGAGGCGGATAGGATCTCAGTTAGACATTGCTACTCTAGATGATCTACTAATACCATCCTTCCACCATGCAAGTGATACCTTATTTGATATTGATACAGTGCACAGAATCTTGGTGAATTTTTCCCAGCAAGATGACAGTGAGGAAGATCTGGATGATGCCTCAGTATTCGACTCTGATGGTCCTCCTTCTCCCTCTCAAACTGCATTGTTCAAGGTCTCGAAGTTAGTGGACAATTACCTGGCTGAAATTGCACCTGATGCAAATCTGAAACTCAATAAGTTTATAGCCATTGCGGAGTCTTTACCGGCACATGCTAGGACAAACCATGACAGCCTGTATCGATCAATTGATGTTTTCCTCAAAGTAAGATGAGATTTTCCTTTTCTTTTCCAATTAATCTTTTCATGTGAACTGTGAAGGATGATTATTTATTGACGATGATATCTGATTTGGAAATGAATAAATTGCATGGAATAAATTGCTGCGTCGTGAGTTTATCCATCTATGAGGTTTCCTTATTATTTTCCCTTCAATTCATAGTTCACCTCATGAAACACCTGAAAGTAGCCTACGAAATGGTATTTTAAGTTATATTTGAATGTGATTTTTTGGCTGGATTACATACTATACTGAATAGGTGGTCATAGAACTGATTGGTTATCGCAATCATTTTTTTTTGTCTTACTTCTTATGTTATACAATTCAGGCACACCCAGGATTATCAGATGCAGACAGGAGGAAGCTCTGCAAAATGATTGATTTTCAAAAATTATCGCAAGAAACTGGTGCCCACGCAGCACAAAATGAACGCCTTCCGCTCCAGTCAATTGTACAAGTCCTTTATTTTGAGCAGTTGAGACTTCGCAATGCATTGTTTTGCTCCTACCCTGACGACGACCACAAGCCAACGCACCAATCATGGCGGATTAGCAGTGGAGTTCTGAGTGCTGCAATGTCTCCTCGGGACAACTATGCGTCATTGAGACGAGAGAATAGGGAACTAAAACTTGAACTTGCTCGGATGAGAATGAGATTAAATGAATTGGAGAAAGAGCATGTTTGTATGAAGAGAAATATGGAAAGGTCCAGTTCTCGCAAGTTCATGAATTCATTCTCCAGGAAGATGGGCAAATTGAACTTTTTTGGCCATAGTTCGTCCAAGGGATCGAGTTCTCCATCAAAACATTCACAAAGAACTGACTCTAAGCTAACAGACAGACTTTAGAAAGCACACAGTTTAGGTAATTTCTTATTGTTTCTTTCTACTCCTTTGTCTGCTCTGCTGATGCTCGTTATAAGCCAAGCTTGTTTCTCTGATTTTGTCCTTTCCACTTTTCCTCATTTCCCTTGTTCCAACCTTGTATATGAGCTAGTGGCGCTTGATTTGAACTCATTTGATGAATCATCACATCTCTTGGTCTTCAATTGACTTACTGATGTAAATGCATTTTTCCCTTTGTATTGCTTTCAGACATAATTATCCTAGATCACTGGAAATGTTGATTCTTATTTCACATTTTGCTAGTTTGAGATAAAATATGGGGATGGAAGATAGAGACAATTTGAATCCTTGAGACTTAAAAGCCTTTGTTTATTTATTGTTAGAGTTAGGCAATTTTGAATTACAACTAAGAAGTAAACAAGAAACTGCACTCTCCAACACTTAGTAGTCTCTCAGGAAACATAGTAAAGTAATCTGAGATCTCCAAAATCTTGCACCATGTTCCTGCACTAGCGACATTTTGGTCCTGCAGACGCAAACCAGAAAACAACATTTGGCACTGTCCCAAAATTTTGACCAGAATTTACCTGGAATTTTACTTTGCGCAACTATGGTTCTAAACAGCAGCAGACTCGATAGTGGTGAGGCAAGGCGCAGGCATTTAGAGTCGTAAGCTGACATGAATTAGCTGCCTGAATAGTCTGCTCAATAGTTAGAAGGCCTTTGTGCAGTTCTTGGGGCGACAATTGGCGAGGCAAATCTCACTGTAAGATTGAGAAACTTCCGAGCGCCATCCTTCTTCCTGAGGCAAGATTTTAGTTTCCCTTGATCTCTAGAACTTCTCTTTGGCACATCATCTATCCGAACAATAGCAAGTGATGAACTGAAACTGTCTCCTTTCCTGATCTTGGACACGTTTGAAGTTTTACTCTTTGGATTACTTTGATACCCTTTAGAACAAAAAGATATGGAACTGTTAAAGGATGAATCAGATGGATAGGCTTTGTTGTGCACTTTTCTGTCCTTGAGTCCAATTCCAGTCCACGCATCCATGTAGGATGTGTCACTGTTGTAGTCTTCAGAGTCTTGAACGGAACTACTGCTCCTGTCACCAAGAATGTTCTTCAATCTCCTCCTATAACCTCTATCATGTCCTTGATGCTTAGGAATCATTCCTCCCCAGCATTTGATCGCTGATTGTTGTCTAGCCTGACCACGACGATCATGCTTCTGTGGAAGCTGTTGTTCTTGGTGGAAAGATTGGTTACCCTGTTCTCTGGCCTTCAATAGATTATAAAGTGTGCGAACGGGAAGAAGATAGAAAACTTTCCCGGGAAATAAAACAGATTCCGGCCGAACCACAATGTAAGGATACTTGAAAACATCAGGCCTTGTAATACAGTGCCTGGGATACTTCTTCATGATCTCAGATGCAGTAATAGGTTCCTTATGAGTCTCCACATGTCTACCCGGATGAACCAGTTTCAAAACTCCTTTCTCTCTTGTTGATACTCCCATTGTCTCCTTTTTCCTTGATTTTATCTTTTCAATTTGGGAGAGGGAAAAACTGATAGCAACTTCAACTATTTATAGTACCCTTTGTACGGTTTGATGACAAAATTCAGTGATGAAACCAATGATAGCATTGTTCTAAGATGTTCTTGTGATTGGAGGATATGGTTCAAATCCCATATTTAATTTGGACGTGTGTGATTGTTGGAAAAATTGGCCTCTTCTTGTCTTACAACAGTCTGAAATAATATCCATAGGCCATAGCCAACAGCAAAATGGAATTTTGCCAAACCACTTTGTTCTCATCTCCTTCAGGCCTCAGCCATTTTTCTTGTTTTCAGATTTGGATCAGAGGGTGCATTCAGAAGGAGACAATTAGACAACCTTGATATAATCTAAACTTTATCTCCATTAACCATTTTGACGATTCTTCAACAATGTTAGAGGGTCAACCGCGGAAAACGGTAACAAAAGAATGAACTTACACGTACACAAATCAAAATATACAGATGGTTTTCAAAATGTTCTTTGCTAATAATCTTCTTAGGAATTCAATCATTGAACCTGGACAAAATCTAAACTTGTACGTCATGTTTGCGATGTAGGAAGGTGTTGAGACATACAGTCAACACAAATTCTCTCTGTATATTAGTAACATTTAACAGGTCTTTTCTCCTTCCTAGTGTATAGGTAGTATATGACACTTTTCTTCTTGATATGTTGATCAATATTAGAACTTCTCAATGTACACAAAATTCATGGTAGCTGGCAACTTAAAGCAGCTCTCCTTTTTTGAGAGTATGGGTTAGAAACTAGTATATTTACAGTGGGGTGGGTGGGGTGGTCAGAGGATTAGGGTGAAAGATGGTTATTACCGAAAGATCAGGTTCGACTCTCACTAGGTCATCTATTTAGATTAAAAAAAAAACTAGTGTATTTTTTTTTTATTAGTGTAACGCTTCCTATGATGCTATTCCACAATTGCGTCTGGTGTCTTTTTTTTTTTTTTTTTTGGAAATTGGTACCTTTAGGCTGTATAAATGCGTCTGGTGTCGTATTGACACATTATAATGGATGAATGTTTTGAAGATTCTTATGCAAAAATGCCACCCTCTGATTCAGTTAATGATTTGTTTATTAATAAGGGTTTCCAGGTGTAGTTTGATACTAGCACTAAGTTGTAATCGTTGTTAGGTAAGGATTTGAGGAACTTATTGTAATTTACTTATTCCCAACTTCTCCAGAATCTTCTTGGTACCTTAGCTGAGTACGACAGTATTAGCCAGTTAGGTAAGGATTGATGAGCTTTTACCTCCTCACTCTCAAGTCTCACCAAAACTTCTTGATGAATATAAAGTTAGGTTGTTGAACCCAAAACCACATTAATATTTTCCTACAGGAAGGCGAACATATTACGGACAGAAAATAAATAAAGGAAGGAACACCGCAAGCTTCAGGAGAAATTAACAAAATAAATCCGGAAAATGAAATGATGCAACCCAGGGTAAAAAATAATAATAATTATAAAATCCAAATGGTAACATATAAAAGTAACACCGTAGCGTTGAAACCTCGTACCCTCCCAACTGAAATCTAACAAACTAGACATCCCATAAGCATATATGAAGAAAGACGGTTGAAGATTGGTTTTCTCTCGGGCTTTCACTACCATAATGTTTATTGTTGATGTCCTAAAACAATCACTTTTTCAAGCTGATGCCGATTTGGTATAGAAGCGGATACCAACAGCCACACCCAATATGATCAGAGGAACCAAGAACTGAAGGAGCTTGATAACAAACTCGGATGTCTTATCCTGGTTGTATTGAGGCTGCTTAGGTGGAGTGTACTTGGTTTTGGTAGGGATGGTTGAGGTATCAATGTCGCCAACGTATAACTCATCCATGGTTGCTCTTGCACTGGTGCTGTGGCCAACATCCTCAAAATCATCGGTTGCATCCTTCCCTGCATAGAGGATAGAGTATCATGAAGTGTAAAATGAGCATGCAAAAAGAGGAAGCTCAGGGCAATAGTAGTGAACCATGATGACTAGCACCAAACCTTCATATATAAGGAGGGTGGCCATAATTAATAAGAGCAATGATGGTCAAATTCCATACCTGTTGCAGACAACAAAACCTCATCTCCTCCAGGGTGGTCTTCCAAAAACTTCGTCACATCATACACCTGTTGAAATAGTAAAGCAGGCATGTCATTTACAGCTTTGATCAAGAAAGGACTACAATTATATACAGACAGGACTCCCCTGGAAGTTGTTTCAAGGAACTTCAAGCTATACTATACACATATATTCCAGGAAAACTAACAGGTCAAGTGGTGCACAATGCTGCATAGTTAACCTTTTTTCAAGATACCAAAAAGCTGGAGATGACTCCAAATCTTCGTTCAGCAAACAACAAATATGAGGGAGAACAATGACTACTTTCAACTACTGATGCATTTCACAATAATAAGCGAGGATAGCATTTTACTCAAGATGGATATAAGGTGTTGCCACATGGCCATACTCCAGTTTTATGAATTCTGCTTGCTTTCCTCAGGCAGTGATATAAATTTCTCTATATCACTTATTAGACCTCAACAATATTTCCAATAACATTCTCACAGATTCAACCCTTGACCACAGATGTCCTGACAATTAGCTACATTTTAGTCCACCCTGCAATTGAACTCCTGTTATCTACCACCAGTAGCAAAAAAGTGGATTAACAAAAGAAGTTCAAAAACATATTTGCAGTGGTTTAGTGGACTTGAGTGTGCCAGATTCCAGCAGCAATTAGAAGACACTTTTATCAGTTACAAGCACATCGGGAAGTTAGGTAAACTGCCATTCCCATTTTCTCATTGAGAAACACACCATTGTGTTACCATGCTTACAAGATATGAAGATCAGATTGCATGTCCAGAATTCATGGACATTTACAATGTTATACCCGAGAAGCCCAAGAAACTCACCTACCTAATAAACATCGCCAATCCCGATACTGGAATGGTGTAATCCCAATTCCCTTCTGATGAAAAATAAATATTGACGAGAGGATCTCAACTCGGATCAACTCGGATCAGATCAATCAAGGAGTAACAACTCCACTAGAACATTGCGACCCCTCTAAACTCATCAGGCAAAAAATAAAACAAACAAAACGAAAAACCCTTCTTCAAAATCATGAGAGAAATTGCATCAGTGGTAAACCAGGATCAGTGGATCACCCCCTAAAAAAAATTAAACACCACAGAATTCATAAAAACATCCGAAAGATTCCATCACTAAGTAGTACAGGCAACGTCTTCGAGGTAATCCAAACAAACTAAAATTCAAAAAAAAAAAAGAAAAAAAAAAACTGAGTCTTTGACAGATCTAAAACATTAATAGGCAAAGACCCGCATCATAATTCCAATACTTACGAAGAACCCATGATTTAAAAACTGCTTACCTTGCCGCCGATGATGAGCCAGCAGTCCTTGGAGTGATTGTGCTGGGACACTTCAGCCAAAGTGTAAACTTTTGTTTCACTGCCCATTATTAGTTAAATTATATTGAGGACACTGATGTTTGAGAATAGGGCAAAAGATCAAGTCCACCCCAACTCTTCAAGGCCTGAAAAAGGGTCTTGAAGAAAGGATCAAAAACAGGTGAAGATTGATGAATCAAAGCGGGGACAATGTATAAAAACAAAGAATTTTGAGAGAAAGAGAGGGAGGTTTGGTAGGTGGGTCAAATAAGCAAAGTAGTTTTAAGTGGATGGGGAAGTTGGTGAGAATTAATAATTGTTGAATTTTATATATATATATATATAGAGATATATATATATTTTACAGAGGATGGGCCGTCTGTGCGTTTTGTTGTATTTTCCGTTCGGAAGTCTATTTTTTAGCCACCAATGCCCCTTTCATATATTGGTGGTTCTGGTCGGTTTTATTGCGTTTTCTATGTCATTTTTGGTCCCTTGATTGCTCTCTATTTCTGATTCGAACCGCATTTTTCTATTCTTCAACTTCAAGTGCTACTTCAATAACGTAATAAATTACATATCTTTTAAATCTTGATGATTAGGTTTAGATATGGGCCAAGGTTTTGTTATGATATTTTTGCTGTTTTAGTTTTAGATAGATTGAGTTTTAATTATATGTTTTTTTTAATATTATTGATACTGAAATGAATCCATCTTTTTAAACTGAAAAAAGTCAACGAATTCCAAAAAATATACACCAAAAGAAGTCTACGAATTAAAAAAACGTAGTAACTATTCTCATAGGATTTTCCCAAATGATTGGGATTGATTTACTTTCTTTCTGTGTTTGCCCTAGCAAACATTTGGATAATTTTATTTATTTATTTTTTTACTTCTTATGGGTGAGAAAAATGTTATTGAGGCAAAAAAGGAATCCGAGAAAATAATAAATCGTCAACATGATTTACTGTATATAAGTAAACCGGAACAATACCTTAACTTGCATTTTTCTTAGTTTTTAAACGGGCTAACCTTACTCATATTATTCATTATGAAATATGAAAAACTCTTATTCTTGACACTAAAATTTTACAAGATATAGGGAAAAAAAATTGAGTTAGAAAGTTACTTTAATCGTATATATTTGCGATTCAATAACAACAGTCTATTCATCTTACTGATAATATGTGAGAAAGGGAGTTACTTTCTATCATGTTTGATCACCAGGGAAAGAACTATGGGGTCTATTTCAAAGTTTGGTGATGGCATGAGAGTTTGGCTATAGACAATTGGAAGTCGAAGTTGATAATCATTAGATAATTTCACATGATAAAGGATACATTGGCGGGGTCGAATCCAAAAGGACTTAGGTGACTGGATTCACCTCATCCAAGAATTTGAAGTTGGTAACGCCGCGATATTTTAGAGGTGTATTACCTTTGCGGTTGCTTCGTAGATGCCTGTAATGAAATTCACTGTTAATTAAAGAAAAAGAAGAAAAAAAGAGGGGTGTTATAAATTATTGAGGTGAATGGCAAAATTAATACCCAATAACCCGTGTTATTTTTTCCTCCATTTTTTACTTCTAACCTCTAGCATTAAATTATATCAAAATTTACTAAATTACCATTTTTTTGGGCTATAAATAGAGGAGGAGATGAAATGTATCATATGCACTAAAATATCTATCAAAGGCAAAAGTTTTCATTCCTTCCCGTATTTTTCTTCAAATGAATTTGTTTTAATTTTCTTTTTTTCTTCTTAAATCTTATAAAGTTATATCATAATATCTAAATTATTAGTTAATACTTATATTAAAGTCTCTAGTAGATAAGTTAGAAATATCATCAGTAAAAAAATATTTAATACCTTTGCTTTGGATCATTGTATTTATACCTTAGTTTCATAATACGTTATCAACACTACGTCTCTGCAATCCACAAAGGTATAAATTTTTTTATTTAGTATTTACATTTCATAAGGATGGTTCTATAACACCTCCTAATTTATATTCAAGTCATTTAATTTCTTGTAATTTATTTAAAGACTTGTCATAGCTCAAGTCTTGAGTTTTATTTTTATAGTGGGATGCTTTAATATATCCCTACGTAAATATTTATATAACTTATATTCTTGTGGGATGACTTCATTTATAGTGGGATGCTTTTATATTGTTATGATATTTTATCTAAAAGAACGCAATGATTTTATTTTTCATTTAGGAGTTCTTATAATGTGTATTCTACCACTGTATTTCGTTGCTATTTACTGAATAAATTATTTTATCTAAAATTGTGTTTCTTTTTTGTTTTATTTAGCTGCAAAAATGTCTTCTAATTTGTCAAAGCTCGAATTCGAAGTTCTTAAACACACAGGAACAAACTACCTGCCACGGAAAACAGATGTGGAAAGCCATCTGGAATCAAAAGGGCTTTTGGAAACCACACGTCCTGATAATACTGAATCTCCACAAAACAAAGCAATTGCGATTATATTTATTCGCAAACATATTGATGACGGTGTGAAATCTGATTATATAAACGTCACAGATCCTTTTGTTATTTGGAAGGATCTTAGTGCGAGATTTGATAACATGAAAGAAAATGTTGTTAAATATTGCCGATGAAGAATGGAGAGCACTTAGATTTCAAGACTTTAAAAAAGTTAATGAATATAATTTAGCAATGTTTAAAATTGTTTCACAGTTGAGATATTATGGACGTGATGTAACAGATGTTGAAATGATACATAAAACTTTATCCACATTTCATGCTGCTAATACCACTGTTGCAGCTACACACAGATTGCTGAAATATAAGACTTATTGTGATCTGTCCTATGCACTTCAGTGCAAAGAAAAAGCTCAAGAGCTCTTCGTGAAAAATCATCAGTCCAGACCCACAGGTTCAATGGCATTTCCAGAAGCAAATGCTATAAATACCCATGGACTCAAATCATATAATAACCGTGGGCGAGACCAAGGTCGTGGTTGTGGTCGTGGTCGCGGTCGAGGCCAAGAAAAAAATCAGAATTTTGTTCATTTCAATGAGAATAATACTTAGAGCCAGCAAATCAAAAGGCAAAAAGTGGCTAAACAAGAAAAAACCACAGAAAATGGCTGACGATTCATGCTTCCGTTGTGGTGGCACTAATCACTGGGCACGAATCTGTCGTACGGCACCACATTTGGTTGAATTGTATCAAGCATCAAAAGGAAAGGGAAAGAAAAAGGAAGTTATTCATTGAGCTCTGTGATAACGAGAATGGGGAAACACATCTGAATGCTTCTGATTTCACTGATGATTATGCTGATAATTGAGACATAAGTGGTTATATGTTATTGAGTTCTTGTATTTTTGTTGATAAAATAAATGTATTTGTAATATATGTTTGAAGTTGTATCATCGTATTCAATTGTAATGAATTTATGTAAAATATTCATGTTTGATGTTTTTCCTTATGATTCTTATTGATTATTTATTTTTCTATTTTGAAGCCTTGAAATGGATCATAGTAGAACTTAACCTAAAAGGGGATTTAGTAATTTTTGTATACCTGACAGTGGCACTGCACATACTATCTTGAAAAACAGAAAGTTTTTCACTGAATTTAAACCAACAAAGGCAATCGTGTATACAATATCAGGTCCTGCAGACTTGATTGAAAGAATTAGCAAAGCCAAAATTACATTGCCTCAGGGAAAAAAATTTGTGATCGTTGAAGCTTTATTCTCACCAAATTCCAGAAAAATTTTGTTGAATTTTGATGCTATATACCGAAATGGGCATGATACACAATCTATGACAATCGATGGTGTAAAGTATTTGAAAGTTATTAGATATGAGTCTGGAAAGATTCAAACACTTGAAAGGTTACCGCTTTCTAATGTTTTGCATTATACATACATTGAATCAAACATGACAATGAAATCAAAATCCTTCGATCATTCAATGTTAAATTTATGGCATGAAAGGCTAGGCCATCCGGGTTCGATAATGATGCGAAGGATAGTTGAAAATACACATAGATATCCAATGAAATGACAGAGGATATCTCAAAGTAATGAACTGTCATGTACAACTTGTTCTTTTGAAAAATTGATATTGAGACCTTCACCCCTAAAAGTCCGAAATGAATCACCTATGTTTCTTGAGAGGATTCAAGGTGATATATGTGGACCAATATATCCAGCAAGTGGACCATTTAGATATTTTATGGTTCTAATAGACACATCTACTAAATGATCTCATGTATGTTTATTGTCAACCCGGAATGTTGCATTTGCAAGATTTTTAGCTCAAATCATAAAACTACGAGCTCAATTTCCTGACTATACAATAAAAAGGGTTAGACTTGATAATGCTGGTGAATTTACGTCTCAATCATTTAATGATTATTGTATGACTACTGGAATCATTGTTGAGTATCCTGTTACTCATGTACATACACAAAATGGTTTAGCGGAATAATTGATTAAAAGACTGCAACTTATTACTAGACCATTAATTATAAGAACAAAGCTACCTGTTTCTATTTAGGGCCATGCAATATTACATGTTGCTTCACTAATAAGAATAAGACCTAGTACGGATCATAAATACTCCCCACTTAAATTGGCACTTGGATTTGAACCAAATATTTCACACCTTAGAGTTTTTGGTTGTGTAGTATATGTACCCATTGCGCCACCACAACACACAAAAATGGGTCCCCAAAGAAGATTGAGAATATATGGTGGGTTCGAATCACCCAGTATAATTAAATATATTGAACCTTTAACAGGTGATATCTTTACAACACGTTTTGTTGATTGTCAATTCAATGAGGTTATTTTTCCAAAATTAGGGGGTGAAAGAAAAGAAGTAGTAAATGATATCACATGGAATGAACCATCATTATTGTATCTTGATCCTCGAACAAAGCAATATGAGACAGAAGTACAAAAGATTGTGCACTTGCAAGCAATTGCAAATCAATTGCCAGATACTTTTACTGATACAAAAGGAGTGACTAAATCACATATACCAGCAGTTAATGCTCCTGCTCGTATTGAAATCCCAGAAATAAAATCTGAAGATAAAGTCTCTCAAGAGTCTAAACCACGTTTAAAGCGTGGGAGACCGATTGGTTCAAAGGATAAAAATCCCCGAATAAGAAAGAGATCAGAAAATAATATCAATGAAAATGTTTCTGAAAAACCAAAAGGCAAAGAAGATCCCCCAAATGAAAATATTGAAAAGGGAAATGAAGAAATCTCAATCAATTATAACAGTACAAAGATGTTGTGGAATAGAGATGAAATTGAATATAATGATGAGATTTTCTCTTATGCTGTTGCATATGAAATTATGAATGGAAGTGATGATCTTGAACCAAAATCAGTTCTGGAATATCAAAATAGACATGATTGGTCAAAGTGGGAAGAAGCTATGCAAGCTGAATTAGATTCGCTTAATAAGCGAAAAGTTTTTGGACATATCATTCTCACACCTAAAAGTATAAAGCCTGTTGGATATAATTGAGTTTTTGTACGAAAACGAAATGAGAAAAATGAAGTCACCAGATACAAGGCTAGACTCGTAGCTCAAGGTTTTTCACAAAGACCTGTAATTGACTACGATGAAACGTATTCTCCTGTTATGGATGCAATTACGTTCAGATCCTTAATCAACTTAGCAGTTTCTGAAAAATTATAAATGCGTCTTATGGATGTTGTAACTGCTTATATATATGGATCACTTGATAGTGATATTTATATGAAAATCCCTGAAGGATTTAAGATGCCTAAAGCTTCAAATGCAAAGGCCAAAGAAATGTATTCAATTAAACTACAAAGATCATTATATGGGTTAAAACAGTCTGGACGGATGTGGTATAATCGTTTAAGTGATTATTTGACAAATAAGGGATATACCAATAATTCTATTTGTCCATGCATTTTTATTAAGAAAACATCTGGAGTTGTTATCATAGCTGTCTATGTTGATGACTTGAACATCATTGAAACACATAGAGAAATTGATGAAGTTGTTGTATACTTAAAGGAAGAATTTGAGATGAAAGATCTTAGAAAACTAAGTATTGTCTTGGTTTACAAATTGAACATATGCATAATGGAATATTTGTGCATCAATCGAATTACACAGAAAAGATCTTAAAACGCTTTAACATGGATAAAGCAAATCCTTTAAGTACTCCAATGATTGTCAGGACGCTTGATGACGAAAAGGATCCATTTCGTCCTGTTATAGATGATAAAGAGATTTTTGGTCCTGAAATACCATATATGAGTGCAATTGGAGCTCTTATGTACCTTACTAATTGTACTAGGCCTGATTTTTTTTTCGCAGTCAATTTATTAGCAAGACACAGCTCACCCCCTACGAAAAGACACTGGAACGGAATCAAGCATGTATTTCGTTATCTTCGAGGAAGTATTGATTTGGGTTTATTTTATTCTAACAACTCGAAACAAGAGTTAATTGGCTATGCAGATGCAGGTTACTTATTTGATCCTCATTATGGAAAATCTCAAACTGGCTATGTATTCACCTACAGAGGAACTGCAATTTCTTGGCGTTCCCAGAAACAAGCAATAGTATCTACTTCTTCAAATCATGCAGAAATTATCGTATTACATGAAACAAGTAGAGAATGTGTATGGCTTAGATCAACGACACAACATATCAAGACTTCTTGCGGTCTTTCAGTCAAGAAAAATCCAACTATATTGTATGAAGATAACGCAACTTGTATTCATCAGTTAGAAGAAGGATATATAAAAAATGATCGGACTAAACATATACCTCCGAATTTCTTCGCATATACAAAAGAGCTCATGAAGAATACTGACGTTGATATTCAATATGTCATATCCAGTGAAAACTCAGCTGATCTCTTCACAAAGTCACTTCCTACGGGACTTTTCAGAAACATGTTTATAACATCGGAATGCATCATTTACATAGCATGTGAATAATTATCAATGTTATCATTAGGGGGAGACAATTACGCACTGCATTCTTTTTCCCTTCGCTAAATTTTTTTTTCCCACTGGATTTTTATTTTAGCAAGGTTTTTAACGAGGCAGTATTACTAGCGTAATTTATTTTGCCAATCAAGAGAGAGTGTTATAAATTATTGAGGTGAATGGTAAAATTAATACCCAACAACCCGTTCTATTCTTTCCTTGATTTCTGACTTCTAACCTCTAGGATTAACTTGTGTCAAAATTTACTAAATTACCATTTTTATTGGCTATAAATAGAGGAGGAGATGAAATGTATCAGATGCACCAAAAATATATATCAAAGGCAAAAACTTTTATTCCTTCCCGTATTTTTCTTCAAATGAATTTGTTTTGATTTTTTTTCTTTCTTCTTAAATCTTATAAAGCTATGTCATAATATTTAAATTATTAGTTAATCCTTATATTAAAATCTCGAGTAGAGAAGTTAGAAATATCATCACTAAAAAATTATTTAATACCTTTACTTTTGATTATTGTATTTAGACCATAGTTTTATAATAAAGGGGAGTTACTTTAATTATTCTGGCTCTCTCAATTGGAGAAAAAACAAATTTCTAACAAATAATATGGAGAGATCGTTATGTTTCCGTAATTGGAGGGTCTTTGAAAGAATTAAAAGTCAAAATATAACAACGTTAGTACCTCCGGCTGTCCGGCCACGCATTGTGAACAGAGGGCAAAAGAGGATACCAATTTTAAAAAGGTTCCATGGTTTCCTCGTGGTTACACCGTGCGCATCCCGACAACAGTCGCGGATCCCATTGAGTTGTACTTTTCAGATCCAAGCATCATCAATCTATTTCGATTTGATTTAATTGAAATAAAAAAAAAATAGTCTTCTATTTGTTCAAAGATTATTGCATAATGTATGCATTTGCCAATCTTACACTACTACACTTTTATGGACTCGGTAGTTTAGTCGTATTAGCTCACATAGTGAATAACTGTAATGCTTACTGTTGCCCCCCCTGTTATTGTTCATATCGAAGCATTACAATTTGAGTATAGTATTTTCTTTGATCTGAAATAATTGTCTATGTTGAATTTTTATTTTTAGTTCAAATTATGTTAAAAATAAAAATTTCAAATTGAGCATTTATTTTAAGAAAGAAGAAATACTTTTTAATTTTCACAAAAAAGAAAATTTAAAATTGTGAAAATGATACATTATCGTGTTTATTGTAGATATCTTATTTTTTCGAATCTATGCGATGCTACATAGAGCTTCCATTCACTCGTTTGTTTCTTTTGTCAAGGTTTTTGTTTCTTCGGAGTTTGAAGACCAATTATATAAACGTAACGGTGTCACCCTCAGATTCCTTCAATTACATGGTAGTTGGATGATGTGCTATTAATTTCGCATTCATACCTACCCACCGTAACGGCAATATGCCAAGGCTCTCGTTAAGAGATACCCCGTTAAGAGCTGCAACTGTGGGCTTTAGTGATTATCAATCCACAGGCCCATTTGATTCTTGTTAACTAAAAAGACTCGAGGCAGTCAAATTTAAGAGCCCAAATACAAATTAAAATCTGCCGATAAGAGGCCCGAAAGACCAAAGGCAGATAAAACCCTAGTTATCCCCCGTATATATGCAAACTACACACAAACTCACACAGTCGTTTGGCAGCAGAAGCAGTGGGAGGAGGGATTTTACACAGCAGCGGTGAATAGCCAAAAAAATGGTGTCGGGATCGGGAATCTGTGCGAAACGAGTGGTGGTCGACGCGCGCCACCACATGCTCGGCCGGCTGGCTTCCATCATAGCCAAGGAGCTGCTCAATGGCCAGAAGGTTGTCGTTGTCCGGTGCGAGGAGATCTGTCTCTCCGGCGGCCTCGTCCGTCAGAAGATGAAGTACCTCCGTTTCCTCCGCAAGCGCATGAACACCAAGCCTTCTCATGGACCCATCCATTTCCGCGCCCCTTCTAAGATCCTCTGGCGCACCATCCGAGGGTTTGTCCTTTTTTTTCCTTTTTTGTTTAATCTTTGGGGTTTTTATATCATTTCGATGCTATCTTTGGTAGAATGGATGGAAGTGTGATTGATTAAATGTTGGTTTTGGTTTAGGATGATTCCTCACAAGACCAAGAGAGGAGCTGCCGCGCTGGCCAGGTTGAAGGTGTTTGAAGGTGTTCCTCCTCCTTATGACAAGATCAAGAGAATGGTCATCCCTGATGCTCTTAAGTAAGTCCGATTCTGTCTTATACTTTGTTTTGTATGTCAGACTTTTCAATTAGTAGGGAATTTATGTTAGTATTGTGATATTTCCTTCTCTATTTGTATTTTATTCACTGATAGTTAAATGGAAAAGTTTGATTGATTGAGCTATTGGTTGGTTGCCTTCTTTGTTGTGATGGGCTACAGGGTTTTGAGGCTTCAGGCTGGCCACAAGTACTGCCTGTTGGGTCGTCTATCATCTGAGGTTGGATGGAACCACGCTGAGACCATCAGGGTAAGCAGCATTTCTGTTTATGTTATGGCTGAAATGACTTCATTCTTGAATTTTAATTCCATGATTCACAAGTTTAACGATGATCTGCTCATTGCTTGCCTATTGGAAAGTTATTGTATTTTAAGAGGTTATTGGCTGGGTAACTATGATGGTTTAGACATTTAACTATATCTGCAGCTTAGTGGGTGAAGCATTATTTAATTTCAACTGCATACTTCATTATTTCTTAAGGGTGAATCAGTAGAAGCTAAAGTGGCAGGAATTCCCCCTTTTAAGCATCAACTACATTACTTGTTTTTGGATCCCCATTGAAGCTATTCTGGATCATCACATATATATAGTCATGTATTGACTCCAAGATGGCTAATAAATTTGTTGAGGGAGTGTGAAGTGGACCTAATTATCTATTGATTCTCTGGTTTTGAAGCCTGGTTTACTTTCTTGGAGTAAAATTATAATTTGTGTAGGGGTAACCCTTTTTTCAACAATTAGGCAGCCGAAGTATGATTGTGCTGATTGCCCTGAATTAATAATGGGAAGTGGTTGCTAATCATTATTGTACATTTACAGGAACTGGAAGAGAAGAGAAAGGAGAGGGCCCAGCAAACATATTTGAGGAGGAAGCAGATCACGAAGCTGAGAATCAAGGCCGAGAAGGAGGCTGAAAAGAAGCTCGGTTCGCAATTAGACATTATCTCAGCTGTCAAGTACTAAGTCTGGAAAGTAGGTAGTTCCTAAGCAATTATGTGGATGCAGAGCATTTCATGTGAAACTTGTAACCACCACCTTGAAGACCTTCTGGTCTTTCCAGTTTTTGGAAATTTCATATATGTTTTGATACTAGTCCATCGTTTTGTTATGATTTCTAAGAGGATACTTGGTTTTCCAGAGCTGTAGCATGGTATTTTTTATTGCATTGCATCTTAGACAATTTATTGCTGCTTAATGTTTGATTGGTGTGCGTAGTCATTGCTTTATTGATCTTCTAGTGCATCTGTCTATTTGAACTGACTACAGTTGTTTTGCCTCCGTTAACTTCTCCGCTTTAAAATTTTAGACAACCTCGTCCTGTGTTTAGTGAGTGTAAATCAATGAGGATGGTATGCGTAAAGGGACTGCCCAAAGTCCAGTATGAGAGGAAAGCATATTTTTGCTCATTACTTGTCCAGTAATGTGGCTGAGAGGTAGAGCTAATTATTTTTCCGCCTTTGTACCTTTAAATTACTCCACTCTATTCGAAAGGGGAAGAGATTATTATTCCAGTCATGACAGCTCATTGCTGGAATGGAAAATTGCTGCAAGTGTGTGATTTTTGCCATGATATAGTCAGCATCAAGTTGAAACAATTTGATTTATTTTCCAACTGTGATACAAATTACTACTTCTTCCCTTCCAAAATTAGATGTCTGGTTGTTTGAGTTAGTGGGAAGTGCTAAGATAACAAACAGTTTGTTTTCTCAAGACGGAGGGAAATGGAATAATACTAGAACCAAAAGTATTAAGTTGAAGTCGATTTCGCCTATGCAATATCACGAACATCTGGGGTCGGGGAAAAAACTAAAAAAAAGTAATTTGAAGTTTGAAAAGGCACAAGAAGAAAAGTGTAACAGCCACCCAGACGGGGACCAATCCTTGGTGAGAGTACGGTAAAATTTCTTTCTCCATTAACAGTTTCACCATAGTGGCAATGGGGTTATTATTTTGCCACCTCAAGCATTTGCTAGCAAATAGCACCAGGGGATGCGTAAATAGCAAGCCAATTATTGTAATCACACTGAAATAGCATCATCTTCATGATGACAATGATTAAGCATGGCCAATCTTTCTTTCTTTCTTTTTTTCTTTTTTTTGCCTCTTGTTTAGCCTAATCAAAAATTTTAATCCTTCAACTGGAAGACATAGACACACTAATTATCATAATCTAGCAAGGTAAATGAAAAAGCCAACCCGAAAAGCAGAGACAATAATCTATATTGGACGTTGAGCTAAGAAGTATACCTCAAGGCTCAAGCATCCTATGCATTACCAATTTATCATTCGGTCCCATCATCACTTTTCACTTCTCAAACCCAAGTTCCTAGTCTATTTTCCATACTTAAACATGTCAAGAGTAAAGTGACGTTACACATAATTATCAGCTTAAGCCGTCATTGATCATCTACTGTACAAAGTTTGACAGCATTATTGTTCTGCTCATGTCGGAAATGCCTAGTCAATGTAGAAAGTGAAGTCTTGGGTTTTTCTCATATATCTGCATGGTTTTTTCTTCTTGGTCCGTTTGACACTGTACTTACATTCTTTAATTATGAGTTTTTTTTTCATGTGTACCCAACGGCAAGAATGATGGATCATCATTGTTTTAGTTCCGTCCATCACGACAGCAATGTAGCAAACTATGTTCTCTTTCTCCAAGGACGCCTTTTACTTTATGCAAATTTGTCAATGTCACTCCTTAGACTCTACTCAATTGCTGTTCATTCACTTTGCCACCCCACTAATTACTAACCGTTTCTTGTGTTCCTCCTTTTAGTCCTTCTGTCTTCTTCTTTCTTCTTCAACTTTCCTATGGCTGCATTCTATTTCTCCTGAAGAAATACTCTAGGGTTTCCAAAGGCGTAAAGATCAAAACTTGAATCCTGTTTCTGCTTCCTTGCTGCCCTTTTATGGAGCTGACAAAGAACTGCTGGCTATGGTTCTTAGTTCTTTCTGTAACTGTACAATTTGCTTCCTGTGATCAAGAGGGTATGAGTCTAACATTTTGTCAGCCACATTTTACTTTCATTGCATAATCTAGCTTCTGTAATCATAATGAATGAGTCATGGCACATTGCAGTTATTACCCTTGATGGCTAAAAATTTTGATTATGCTCAACAATGTGGCAGGGTTCTTGAGCTTATCATGTGGTGGAACCACGACCTATGTCGATTCCTCAAATATATCTTGGATACCTGATGCTTCCTACATAAATGTTGGCAACATGACTACGGTGGACTACCTTGATCGGAGCTCTTCATCTCGTCTACCTGTCCGATTCTTCCCTGATTCCCTTAGGAGCAAGTGTTATAGGCTTCCCTTAAGTAATGTATCCTCTGTGGTTCTTGTCAGAGCTCAATTTGTGTACAAGAACTATGATGGACTTGATAAGCCCCCTGAATTCTCTGTATCACTTGGGAGAGCTATGACCACTACTGTGAATCTTGCTAATACAGATCCCTGGATTGAGGAATTTATATGGCCAGTTGATAAGGGCACTCTCAGTTTGTGTTTTCATTCTTTACCTGGGGGAGGAGTTCCAGTAGTTTCTTCCCTCGAACTTCGTCCGCTCCCTCAAGGTGCTTACAGCAATGGCTTGGCAGATTTTCCCTCCAAACTGCTTAAGAAAACTTATAGAATCAACTGTGGTTATGTTGATGGATCACTGAGGTATACAGCAGTAGTCTACTTTGCTTACATTTCTGTTCCTATCTTATTATGTTTTTCATGTCTTGATGAATTTGCACTTGATGTTTCGTATGCAAGGTACCCTATTGACCAGTATGATCGAATTTGGGATGCGGATAAGGATTTTAGTCCATATCATGTGTCTTCTGGTTTCGATATTCAAAACACCTTTAATTTAACAAGTCTCAAAGAAAACCCTCCAGTTGCTGTTTTACAAACTGCAAGAGTCTTGGCAAGGTGGTCTGATTTGACATACAATTTGCCTATTGATGATTTAGGAGACTACTACATTGTCCTCTACTTTGCTGGCATCCTGCCAGTATCCCCGGCATTCGATATATTGATTAACGGGGAAGTTGTTCGGTATAATTACTCCGTACAAAGATGGAATGCAGAAGATCTTTCCTTTACAATGAGGGGAATCAAAAGCTTGAATATCACATTGAAGAGTACCAGCTTCTACCCTCTGATTAATGCACTAGAAGTGTATGAAATTCAAGACATTCCCCGTGAAACCTCTTCCACTACAGGTGATTTTCCCTGCTGGTATTAGTAATATAAATCCGTTTCCTGTCTCCCAAGGAACTAAGTTGTCATCCTAACTCCAGGTGTTTCTGTTTCGATTTTGTAGTATCTGCTCTACAGGTTATTCAGCAGTCTACTGGTATGGACCTTGGATGGCAAGATGATCCATGTTCACCAAAGTCCTGGCAACATATAGAATGCAACGGAAATATGGTTTCCTCTCTGTACGTCAATACTAAGTTTACACTGCATTTTGTAAAGGAAAAGAAAAATCCGGTCATTCCTGTCAGCTTGTATTCAACAATTTTTTGCTTGTTGTGAAGGGACCTCTCCAACGTGAAAATGAGATCAATTAGCCCCACATTTGGTGACCTTTTGGACCTAAAAATATTGTAAGATTATTTCCTTCTTCAAAATGCTAGATTTCGACATTTTGTCACACTTGATAATCTTTTCCTTAGATGGAAGGTGACCTGGTCTTGAAGGTCACCAGGTTTTCATTATACCAGGCAGCACGGTAAATCCAAGATCTAATATGTTAATACTTGGCAGGGATTTGAGTAACACATCGCTTTCTGGAGAAATACAGTACCTGGGAAGCCTGCAGAGTCTTGAGAAATTGTAATATTCACCTTGAGTCTTTTATGCAGCATGTCTTTGTTGTATCAGGTAGCAAAATTTCTGAGCCACTTGCTAATTCATTGTTGCAGGAACCTGAGTTTCAACCAGCTAACATCCTTTGGTTCAGAATTTGAGGACTTGATGAACCTTCAAGTTCTGTAAGTCTTTCACCAGTACCGACATGATTATAACACTGTGATTTCTTCCCTTCTTTCGTATTTGAAGTATTTATAGTAGTGGATGGGATGATGATGTGACGCATTTTCTATGAAGGGATTTGCAAAACAATAGCTTGGTGGGATTAGTTCCTGAAAGCTTGGGAGAGTTAAAGAACCTTCACTTACTGTGAGTGATATATGCTTACCTTCATTAACTCATACAAATTATTGATGCCATGCACCGGACAAGAGAAATTCAACTTCATAAGTATGCATTTCGTGTTGTGAAACACTCAGGAATCTGGAAAATAATAAACTTCAAGGTCCCCTTCCCCAATCGTTGAACCGCAAGAGCCTAAATGTCAGGTACAATGAAATATTGCGGTATCGATGTTGTCTAGTCTTTGAATTAGAAAGGCAGTTGCTTGATCAATGCATCAACATGTGTTTGTTTTCTGCTCGAGCAGGACGTCAGGAAATCTATGCCTGTCTTTCTCCACATTATCCTGCACTGACGTTTCGGGAATCCAGACTCCACAAGTCACTATCTTTTCACCTAGTAAGCCCAAGGACCACAAACATATAGCAGCCATAATTGGTGCTGTTGGAGGTGTAGCAGTTGCTTCTGCACTCATCTCAGTGTGTGTAATTCTGTTCATAAGGAGGAAGAAACCCCAAGAATCATCTGCACAAAGTATGATGTACTTTTGACTGAATGATCAAGAGTAAATGTATTAAGGATTTGTTGTATATCTGATGTTTCTTTGATTAATAGGTGCTCAGGTGGATATAAAGAACTGGAATTCGGCAAAAGTCTTTTCTTATAAAGAAATTAGATCAGCCACACACAATTTCAAGGAGGTCATTGGTCGGGGTAGTTTCGGATCAGTTTACCTTGGAAAGCTTCCTGATGGGAAATTAGTAGCTGTCAAAGTGCGGTTTGACAAAACTCAGCTTGGTGCGGAGTCTTTTGTCAATGAGGTCTGCAATTGGTGGCAACAACATCTCTGCGTAATGACTGAATTTGGGATTGATTTTCTTCCATTGATCTCTCAGCTTATTTGGATGTTTTTTAGGTATCTCTTCTATCAAGAATTCGACACCAGTGTCTTGTATCTTTGGAAGGATTCTGTCAAGAGGCAAAGCAGCAAATACTAGTTTATGAGTATCTACCAGGCGGATCCTTGTCTGATAACCTTTATGGTACTTCTCTCCTAACATGTTATTCATTTGGAATGTTCAATGTCACATTTCTCAGTTCTGGATTCATTTCATTAAAACGGACCCATTGCAGGTACAAAGAGTAAAAGGATAACATTGAGTTGGGTTCGCCGGTTGAAAATTGCTGTAGATGCAGCCAAAGGTACATTCTAAAACTTCCATGGCTAGTATAAAGGAATTTATGAGAGAGAATACGTGAATTTTGGAGATTCCAAGCTGAAATTTTATTCAATGCAGGTTTGGACTACCTTCATAACGGTAATGATCCAAGAATCATTCACCGTGATGTAAAAAGCAGCAATATACTCATGGATTCTGAAATGAATGCTAAGATGTGTGATTTTGGCCTTTCTAAGCAAATGACTCAGGGAGATGCTACCCATATAACCACTGCTGTCAAAGGCACTGCTGGCTATCTCGATCCAGAGTAAGCTCTTAATACCGATGCCATATATTCAGTAAAGATTTATTTATGTTTTTTATTATTTTTACCCAGCCTCACTGAGTTCTGTCTTCTGCAGATATTACTCCACCAGACAGTTGACAGAAAAAAGTGATGTCTACAGTTTTGGGGTTGTTCTTTTAGAGCTCATATGTGGCAGAGAACCGCTCACTCACTCAGGCTCGCCTGATTCCTATAATTTGGTCTTATGGGTAAAAAAGAACCTCTGTCTTACAACTTAACATCTCTGATATAAACTTCTAGTATCTGCCTCATAAGTCTCATAATAATAATTTTGTTTGGATTCACTCGCCAACTGGCTGCAGGCAAAGCCATATCTGCAAGCAGGCGCATTTGAGATAGTGGATGAGAGCATAAAGGGAACTTATGATCCTGAGAGCATGAGAAGATCAGCTTTGATTGCTTCAAGGTCTGTCGAGAGGGATGCTTCGCGGAGGCCTTGCATTGCAGAAGTCCTGGCTGAGCTCAAACAAGCCTACAGTATTCAACTCGCGTATCTAGCTTCCGGAGGATTTATGAATTAGTGATAGGTTTTAGCTGATATACAGGTTTTGCATCATAAGTTATTAACCCACCTTCTTCTGCATAAATTGCTATTTATAAGGCTACACCTAGTCAATAAGCAACTTCCCCACTTATATCTGTGTAAAACCTTGCTGAGGCTATTATTTTTTTTGCATTGTAATATGATCGGAACAAAGATCTGGGTATTCTATTCGCTGTGAATTGTGCTATAACTACTCCTGTAAATCCTTTTTCTTTTTTTTATCATTTTAATGTCCTCAACGTTAGTGTCGTTACTGGTAAAACCAAGTCTATGAAATATCATCAGTTCATCAGTTGCTGAAGGACTTACTAGTACCATATCTTGAGTAAGCTGAAATTGTGAAATTGTGAATCACATACACATGTATTTTTATCACTATTTGGCATGTTTTCATGTGGTCTCCGCATCTTATGAAACTTAAACATGTATTCTTCGAAGTGCCAAAAAAGTTGGGGGGAAAAAAATTTTCGGCTAGGGAGTTATGACCAGGTTGAACGTCTACTTCAGCTATAGATTTACAACCGGACTCCATTCTTCCCAAAAGAAGAGTCCTATTTGCAAAAATTCTTTCATGTAAATAAAAGTGATGACAAACGTAGATGAGTAAATATGCTTGTCGACAGATTCATCGAGCTACTCAGCCTGATGAGTTGTTTAAGAGTAGGGAACAGACAATTTGTATGCATCACAGCAATGGGTTAGAGATAGTCATTATAGAGATTTATATGAAATGTTTCACGAGAATTTTGATTTACATTGGACTAAATATCCCTTTCTCTACAATATCAACAGTTTCTAATATGTAAAATGATGACTCCGATGGTTGTTCAACAAGCCGTTGCAAACAAGCATCATTCCTCCAATTTGAATCTCCACTGCAAGACTGGTCCCGGGACGAGGATGCTCTTTTGATTTCCGGGCTTTCCTTCTTGGATTACAATGTGAACTGGAGATAAGCAATCAGAACTAAAATGAGTATCTACGTCGCAGATACAGGAAGAATGCTGTCAAAGCAGCGGCAGCATATGGAAGCACAGTCCAGGCACCCTGTGGTATCACACATCTGTTAGTAACAGACACTGTATAGCTTCCTTCATATAGCCAAAAAGCATTACCAGCGAAGATATATGGCTTACCACTACAGTGGCTACGGTAGCTAGGGCAAAAACTGGGCGCTCTCTCATTAAGAAACCAATCCCCAACTACAATATAGAGTAAAATAGGTATGAGATGATAAAAGGACAAGTAGAAATTGACTTGATTTCATTTACAAATCCATTCCTAATTTATTTCTTGAACAAGCAGAAAATTGTTTGCTGGCACAACATGCTGAGACTTGCTCTACCTGAATCGGCAGAGTGACAAGACCCCCACAACAGACACCAGCAAAGAAATACTCAGGTGATATATCCTGCCATTCAAAAAAATGACAGATTACAAAGAAATCATCATTTTAGGGATGACAAAAACAGTACAAATGACTAATAAAAATTGAAATATTGCACAAGCAAAAAGGCAATCTTATGGCTGCTTTTGTAATTGGACACAACAGACAGAAAACAGGCATTGCTGCATACAATGCATGATGTAAAGGTGCAGATGTACATGATTAATCAACAAAAAGATTTCACAGATCAATAAGGAAAAGCATTTAAGGTGTCAGTATTGAAACTCAGGCAAACAAGTTCAGCACTGGAATAACTGGTTTTAGCAGACATCAACTAAGTATTGGGATAAGTTTTTAGCAAACTCAACTATTTCCAATAAAAAAAATGGCATTTTACTAACCATTGCTCCAGCCAGAAAAGCTGTAGGGTTTCTCACACCAAGAGAAAAACGCTCCACTGCAATTCAAAAAGTATTTGTACATCAAATTACAACCAAGAAATCAACTGCTCAAAAAATTGAATGTCGCACCACATAAGGTGTCAAGTGTTTTAACTATAGGGATGTAAATTATTCTTGCATATCAGAATATTGCGAATAAATGAAGACCTATTTTACAAGAAATTCTGACTTACCAAATCCAACTAGATTTCCATATCTTTGGACTATCCTTGTGATGCTCATTGCTTTCTCTTGGCCAATTCCTAACTACAAGGATAGATATAACCAAAAACTGATAATCAGCCCAATACTTGTTCCACAAGACACTAGATTAGTTTTCTTTATGTCAAATGTAGATAGATTGACCACTGACCAGACCTTTGAACAAACATCATCCGATGCCCCAGATTGCCTAAACAGCTTACCAAGATAAAATGGTACCATATCACTGATACAAACTCCCCTGCGAAACGAGTTAAGAACATGGAAACACTGGTGATTATTATGTACTAAACAGATATCCAAGACAGCACAAAGCAACAATGAAAAAGAAGCTCGCAGCATCACTGCATCCCAGACTGAGAAGCTCAGAATTAAGTTGAAGTTACCACGAACCAGTAAACCCACATTACAGTGGAAATTATGTAGGTAGCATTCCTAGAGAATGAATCCACAAAAGATTGCCATGACCCATCCAACGTAAGCATTCGAGATAAAGTGATGCCAACCTGCATAGAAGGGGTAATGTTTTCATAACCTCACAAACACCCTCCAACCGAAACTGTTCCATAAATTTAAGAGCATCAAGAGTCTGTGAAACTGAAATACCAGCATGAGGCACAGACCCATATATTTAATGCCTCTTCACTGATGAAAAGTCCAAACCCAGCAGCCATCAGCAGCCAAAAGTAGACCCATCTGAACCAAGGAATTTTTCTAGTTTAAGGCCTTATTCTACATATTTACAAAAGGAACTAAGAATAGGACACAGATGACAAAATTCTCTTCATGATTTTAAAACAATGCATTCACAGGTTCAAATGTAGACCAAACAAGAATGAACTTAAAAAGGCAGAATGCAACACTCAATATTTAGAAGGGCACACAATTTCAGGCCAATCAGGAACAAACAAAGTAGTGAAGTACCCGGGAGCATATTCAGGAAGTATGATTCTGTATCCGAAAGCTTTGAAGGAAAAGCCACCAGTGATTGCAGCCGAAGAAGAAGAACTGTCAGCAAGACATTGAATCCCAAGAAAAGATCCTTGTTGAGTACTAGGCTGCCTTGACCCAATGGCTAACAGTGTGAGTGCCAGAGCTACTCCCAGAAGAATCACCAGAGTTGCCAGAAATGGGCGCCCCGTACCAAAATCACTTTTCCTCGGCAAAATGGCATCCCCGGCGACCTTACCTTCATGCCCCTCCGGCTTCCCCTTAGATGCTGCCACCTCATCACTTTCAGAATCTTCATTCCGGAAGCAATTGATCCTGAATTTTGTCTCCAGATTGAAATAAAACAAGTCTACACAAACCCGAAATCGAAAAAAGTGAGAAACAGAGGCAGGTACCGAGATAGAGCAGATGGCTTCAAGAACACATTTAAACGCCGACGATCAGTTTCCGGCGGATTGGGATTCTGGAGCATAGTATTCCGGGAGGAAAACCGACGCAAAATGCTACAACCATGGGTGAAAGTAGTGTTGGTGGGTTTTGATGTAATAGAAAGTAAGAGAGTCCCATTTGTCAAAACCGCCATTGCAGTTGAAAAACGGGGTCGTTACTGGATCTAACCGTACTCAATTATGGCGATAACCAAGAAGTGAAAGTACGGAAGAAGAGGGAATCAGAAGCCATTTTGTTAGGAGTAAAAGGTGTGGACTGTGTTTTGACTCGTGATGACGGTGGCCGGTGTGGTGGAGCTTGGTTCATTTCCAGGTGGACCGGGAGAGAATCTCCAAGCTCATTGGGGGATATGCCTTTCTTTTCAAACTTCTTCTGTTATATTCTGGAAAGAGTTGCTGGGACAGGGAAGAAGTGATGATGGGCCCATCTGTGAATATTGAGATTTGAGACCCATTTTGCAGCATTTTATTTTGGGCTTGGGCCCATCTTTTGAAATGCCATTTGCCAGTTTAGAGTTTAGGCCATCATTCATATTTCAATTTCATGCCTGTGGAGCTGACGTTTGGTATACAATAATCCTTTGTTAGTTAGGGGCTTAGGGCCGGTTGTACTAATTACTACTCGGTTGTTGTATTAGTTTATGTTTTCTTGAAACGGTGTAGTATTAGTTTATGTTACTCCCTCCGTATCAAATAAATACTAAGTTTTTTTTTAAAAAAATATCTTGAGTATGGTTTAATTGTGGGGAGGGATGAGAATGTAACCCAAAAAAAAAACTCTTTTAGTCGGAATGTGTAACACGATGAACATGTTTGTTTGAGCTTTGAAAGAAATGAACGGAGAAGGAAGTATTCACGATTAGTATAATTATTTTTATTACTCCTTCCGTCCTACAAAAATAGTCCATATTGAGTTTTGAGTTTTGTACTGTTTTTAGTAAAAATTTGAAAACTCAATGTGGATTATTTTTTTGGAACGGATGTGGTAATTACTAATCTTCTAAAAGTAGTCCAAGCTAGTTAGTAGTTAGGTGGATATTTTGCCATAATCAAGTGTAGGGAAGGAAAAATAATTAATAAAGTGGTTATTCCCCTTTGAATTGGTCCCTCTTTGACCTTTTAGGAGGGAATCAAATGAATAATAGAAGCAAGTAAAAGCCCAGAGAAAAAAATGAACCACGGAATATCTTACCTCGTATTTCCCACACAAGAAGAAAGGGAAAAAAAAAAACCGTCTGTTATGGATGTTTCACTTGATGCAAACAAATTAACTGTCCATTCATAAAACTACAGCCATTTATTTCAATAATGAGGCCATGTTGGAGATGACAACAAATTAAGAACATAGAAATGCCCCGTGAATTTAAAAAGATATGTCGAAACTATTCAAAACCCAAAACATACGAATGAGTTCACTACAAGAAAAAGGAAGGGAAAAGGAAAGCATGCATCCCAAGCAGCTGAATAACATGAGATCATCCATCTTGGTCACCTTGGTTTGAGGCGCGTGTTATGCGAAAGTGTATATCCTTTGTCAAACCCCAAAAAATAAAAATAAAAGAATTAAAAAAAAAAATTTCCTTACCTTTAAAAGCAAAAAAGTTCATGTAACCAGTTCATCATCTTCATTGAAAAGTTGCATATCTGTTAATGCCGTATTTTTCAATTCCGTGTTTGCTGATTGATGCTTCACAAACTGTCAGCCGCGGTGGCAGTTAGTGCCTTTCCATATTTAATGTGGTAGGCTAGTATCAATACACTCTATTTTGTTATCACGTCCTTAAACAATACTTCTTCCTCTCTTTATCTCCGTAAAAATTGTTTACTTTATTATTTTTCTGTTTTTAAAAATTATTGTTCAAATTCAAATTTCACTTGTAATAGTATAAATACCTGGACAATCATTTTGAATGAGTAAAAATAGCTTATTTTAATTCAGTAAAATAGATTATTTTTATAGGACGACAAGAAAGAATAATAATTAAGCATACAAAATACATACGTACACAAGTACAGATACATTTGGCTGTATTCCACTCCACAGTGTCCAGTTTCAACGTTTTTTGAAGCTCAATTGATCAACCCCAAACCACCGCATGCAATGAACGAGGAAATATGCACCCCACTGCCCTATACACCAAACCTTATTCCGAGAGGGGGGTACTTAAAAAATAAACAGACTCCTGATAACGAGTCAAATGAATTTAGGGTGAGTTTTATTTTGGGAATTTAATAAAACTTTGTTAACCGTCGTTGCCGGAATGGAATTAGTTTTTACGTTGAATCTAATTACTTGTTTAACAAATGTTACGTTGATCTCTTTTTGTTCTTTTAAATATAACTATACAGGCAACCAATAAGAAGATCAATTGACTTTGAAGTTAAAAAAAATACAAGACGTGATAAATGAATACAATGCACCGACTGCTTTGATTGTGGAAGTTCTATCATCCTCCTTTAAGTTAACCCCCCTTTTTTTAACCTATAGTAACAGTGTCTATCGTTGATCACAGTGGTGAATTATTTTCATTTGTTGAAATATACTACAAACAGTTAATGGATGTAAATTTAATGTGTGATTTCATTCCTATAATCCGAAGGGTTAAACTCGTTTAGTCATTCCGTCTTACATTAATAATAATATATTCCAATTTTGGCCATTGATAAATTTCAAGTTTGGACTAGTGAAATTTTGTACACAAATCTAAAAATGTTTCCGTTGTCGTTGCGGGTCTTGTAATTGACAAAAAAGCAATTCCCACGTCGTTTTCACACCAAATTGCTTGTAAATTGATTTCTTAAATCCTAATGATTTGTCACACCCAACTATCGTAATCATATCTCATAAAATTTCCACATTAATTTAATCATAATCAAATTGTCCAAACATGATTGCTCCACATGTTAACAACTCGACACCAGTTTGAGTTTGCTTAAAAAGTTTCAAGAATGTTCTATTACAGTAGAATAGGGCTCCTTTTTCTTATATACATACTGTATTTATTTTTCAACTAAATTTTTTTTGTTTTTGTTTTTCTTTTGTGTGGAGTGTAGTTCCTTCGCGGATTTCCCCTTACATTATTTTCAAAATCATTTTCTCTGCTAAACTTTTTCAAATTATCCTTTGGAAATCCAAGATTTCGTAACAGTTGTCAGTATTTTTTTTAAAAATTTATATAAGTAAAATTATGTAAGGATATCACCGTGATTAGTGTATCTTGTACTTCATATTGGCGGAAGGAATGAACATTCAACTATACTTACCACAAAAGTTGTCATAAATGATTTCTCAATATCGTTTTATTCCTTGCTTACAAAATGAGGAGGAAGCTTTGGAAAAATAAAAATACTGATAGATAGTTTTCCTTCCAATTAATCGAGACAATATATAGTTTTAAACACCTAATCATGTAGAATAAAAATAAATGTACAAGAAAATATAAAAGAAAAACAGATGAGAAACCTCATAAAGTCTCGTATACTCCAGTTGGCCACGAGTGTAACCTATGACTGTTATTACTACTACTAGACTGCACAAGTAATTGACAATTGACAAAATATTACCTTATCTTTTTCTTTTTTTTTAATACAGATCGATGATAGATATTTTAAACTCACCAAACATAACGTTTATTTATTCAAAATAATTACTCATTCTGTCCCAAAATTATTATTCAGTTTGATATTTCATTTTTAGTATAATCACTTTTAGTACAATTTGTATTAAAAATGAAAGTCCAAACTGGACAATAATTATGAGACGGAGAGAGTATTATTTTACTAACATATAAAATTAGGTAGAATCTTTCAAAGACATAGTATAATGATGACTTAAATTGCCAATTATCTAGTTGGATGATTGTATCTGAAATATGATCAGTACCTAAATCCTTTGCCCAATTGCAAATAACCGAAATTATTTTTTTTTTAAACAATAAAAAATACTTTGTCCCAAAAAATGAAAAGAAACAAGTCGGCATAAACTGACTTGACGGTGACACAACCAAAGAAATTCATTTCCTTATATCTTGGGGCATATGTCCTAAACCTTCGAGGCTTCGACCAGCTGAAAAGTCCACACCAATGACTTTTTTCTTTTTTTTAACACTTTTGTTTTTTAATTAAAAAAACCATTTATTTTGACGCCGGCGCCAAAAAAGCATATGTCCGCGCCATTAGTCCCCTACTAAAAAGCGCCGTTGGAATATTCAATATTTATTAGGAAATAAAAAGAATAAAATTATCGCCACCGCCATCGACACCGTCACCACCACCCGTAGCGCGGCGGCCGTCGTACGCTACTGGGCGGTTTTTTTTCCATTTCTTTCATTGAGAGGAAAAGAACTTGTACAGAACAGCTGTTGTATTGTATCTTACCGAACTCCTCTGTCTCTTTCTAGGCTAGACTTTAATTACATATCATTCATTCATTCCAGTCATTTAATTCTTACGCATTCTCTCTCTCTCTCTATATATATATGAGCATAATATTATTTTTTGAGATTTTTTTTTCTTCCATTCACTTTTTTTTTTTTTTTGTGTAGAGAGAGAAAGTGTGGGGGAGATACCGTAAGAGAAAGAAAGTTAAACCACCCCTCTCCCCAACGCATCCAATTCAGCATTCCACTCTCTCACGAGAAATTCGTGTGTGTTTCCTTTTGTTAGTAACAGAGAGTAAACGGAAAGCAAACGCTTGCACGAATCTTAACTAACCAGGCTCTCTCTGTATCGCCGTCTTATACGTATATAACAGCGTCACGACGGAAGACACAAGAATTCTGATAAAAGAAAAAAGGTGATCACATTCTTCGTTGTGGAGCTGTAAATGCGGTTGTTTTTTTCAATTTTGGAGATTTATACTTTAAAGGTTGTTGTTGATTGGGGGAACTGGACCTGCTTTTTAATTTTAACATTTTTTTTTTTTTTGTATGAGATGATGAGAATAGTTTGATCTTTTGTGTTCGTTGAGTCTGATTATTTTTTGTTTCTGAATCAGTTCTGATTCCTTCCGGCTTCTCTGAGAGTCAGAGTGGTGGCGCTAGTTCTTGAGTTTTGTGTTTGTGCCGAATTTTGTCGTTTGTTTAGTTTCAGTTTTTTTTTTTTTTTTTTAATTTCCGTTGGACTGAAGAAATGATATTTTGAGTTTCTATTGAAACACTGGAATCATGATGGAGTTTGATGTCGATGTTTTGACTGTTTACTTGGCAATTAGGTAGAAATCAGATTGTTGAACATCTCTGCGATCATTTATATATTTGTTTTTTGGTCTAAACAGCAGTTCTGATTTTCTTCCCTCCTTTGTTTTGTTTATATGAAGATAAGTTGCAGAACTGGACTCTAGGAGAACAACACAATGCCAGGTATCCTCGCTTCACTTTAATGAATTTTGGATCCTACCTGGAAATTTTTAGTTTAATTTCTTCGAGTTCTTCTAAATAGTCTTTATTTGGGGTGTGTCTGATATCTAGAAATAGTTTTAGCTCTGGAAGATGATAAGGCAAAAAGATCTGATCTTGAGACCTCCGAGGATGACAAGAAAAGAGCGAGAATCAGATCTTTTAAGAAGAAGGCTAACAAACTCACACATACCTTGAGGAAACGGAGTAAGAAAGTAGCTCATTGCAGATTTGCTTCCATTTCAACTGAAGAGTTTCGAGATGAAAAGGAAGCTGGAGCTGTCAATGCATTTCGACAAACCTTGATTGACAAGGATATGCTTCCGGCTCGTCATGATGATTACCATACCATGTTGAGGTAATTCATACCTTTTTGCCACACTTGTGAATCCTGAAGTCACTCCCTAATGTTGGTCTAGTTTGCTAAGCTTTCGGAGATTAGACAGCTATGTATTTCTTGCTGCAATCAGTTACGTATGCAAATAGAAAATGTTTATAAGATAATCATCTCGGCGAACCCTATTCTATTTAAAATACGAGACATGAATGCTTGAGATTTGATAGTGTGGTTCCTATGTGCTAGGTTATAATATGTTGGACTTGGTGGTATTAATTCATAGTATCTGTTCCGATCAAGCTTTGATCATGGCCTTGTGCTGCTTAACTTGAAAATACCCCCATGTATACCCTTGCAGGCCTCTCATGACTCTTCAATTTATGTTTCTTGATGTTTCATGGTTTGTCGGTGCAGGTTCTTGAGAGCAAGGAAGTTTGATCTTGATAAGGCTGTTCATATGTGGATAGATATGCTCAACTGGAGGAAAGATAATGGAGTTGATTCCATCCTCCAGGTACTATACGTTCGCCTGTCTCTATGCATTTCAAGTTTTGTCCGAGAATGGTTACACAAGTTCTATGTAATGAGGATCTTTGCTTGGAATCAAATCTAGGCAAGATGTTCACATCTTTTTCTGAATTTGGCTTGTCTTTTCTATGTACTCTCTGGCTGTTACTGAATTAAGATTGAGGCCGTGATTCTTCTAGTCTAATTAGCAAGATTTTCAGCTGCTGTGTTTCTGAACTGCTGCAGTTATGCTTATTGTTATCATGCTTACGAGGTTAAGTGTTAACCTATAATTACCAGCTTCAATACTAATTGTTGTAGGCAGAAGTGGCCTTTGAAGGAAAATGGTGGCAGATAGAATTCTGAACTGGAGCCTGTCTATGTTTACGATTATGTTTTTCCATAGTGACAAATTTATTTACCAAATAATGCCTTTGTAGGACTTTGTATATAATGAATATGAAGAAGTTCAACGATATTATCCGCATGGTTACCATGGTGTAGATAAACAAGGACGGCCAGTCTATATTGAAAGGCTTGGCAAAGTTGATCCCAGTAAACTTATGAGTGTCACCACAGTGGACAGATTCTTAAAGTATCACATCCAAGGATTTGAAAAAGCCTTTGCTGAGAAGTTTCCAGCATGTTCAATTGCAGCAAGAAGGCATGTTGATTCCACAACTACTATACTGGATGTGCATGGACTGGTTTGTCCCGTAACCTATGAATTTCTGATATGTGATCTTTCCTTGTATTTGATTTTTTATTTTTAATGTTTTTTACGTCTCTCTCTGACATATTATTATTATTATTAGTATTATAATTATTATTATGTACTTACTGAGTGTTCAATGCTGTAGAACTGGATGAGTTTTGGGAAGGTTGCACACGAATTAGTCATGCGCATGCAAAAAATAGATGGTGACAATTACCCTGAGGTGCTCATAGCTTTTAAACATTTTCAGGAGTAGAAATCTGATTTGAAGTCCCATTGTCGTTGCCATTGACCATTTTCTGATGCTACCTTATCATTTGCAGACATTACATCAAATGTTCATTGTTAATGCTGGTAGTGGATTCAAATTTCTGTGGAACACTGCAAAAAGCTTTCTAGACCCAAGGACTACTGCTAAGATACATGTAAGTAATTTTGTTTGTAGTTGAAGCTTTTTGGAGAATACAGAGTTGTCCATTAATTGACTTTTATTTGTCAACCAGGTTTTAGGCAACAAATTCCAGCACAAATTATTAGAGACTGTCGATGCTAGGTTTGTTTTTTCTACCTGATGAGATACTATGTGCCATTTTGGTTCACTTAGACAATTGTCTCATAAAAGTGATATGTGCTACAGTCAACTGCCAGATTTTCTTGGTGGAACCTGTTCATGTGCTGGTGAAGGTGGTTGCCTCGGCTCAGACAAAGGACCCTGGAATGATCCAGAATTGATGAAGGTTCGCTGGTTGCTTCAATTTCTCTCATTGGGCTACATGTTTCCAACTGCTAATTGGTTGTCGATTTTGCCTGAACTATTAGTTAAAGGTTTTCTGACTTTTACCCGCAGCTAGTACATGCTTTACAAGCTAATGAAGGTATCTACCAAAGGAAACTCACTTGCTCTTCTGATTGCGACGACATTGAAATCATGCCAATTCTCAAGAAGGTAAGAGCTATAATGCTTTCTTACATGATTTACATTCCTATATTCATTCTCTTATTCCAATGCTCAGCTTTTGTGTTACTATTCCCAGGACTTAAGCAGTGAAATCGGTTCTCCCATTTTAGGATCCACAGTGCAAGCGTCATCTTCTACCATGATACAGGATCTGTCTCCATCCAATAATGTAAGATATTTTTAGTGTTATGTTGTTTGCTAAAACTCTACATCACATGTTGGCATAGAGAAACTGTCATTTTCAGTTAAATGGTGCATGAGAAAACCATATTCTTTGAAACAGCTACCTCGTGACAGTTAATTCAGAATGGAGAATACTAACATCACTGTGTCCCCCTTTTGTTGCTTTCTGGTTGTGTTAATTAGGAAAACTCTGAGAGGATTGCATATTCACGTGGCACAATTGAACCAGATGGTGATGAAGCTAGAGTTCACTATCCAAGTAATTCAAGTATGTAGCTTCATAATATTTTCCAACGGAACAGCTTTCCCGTTTACTAATCAATCAGTTTAAAATCTTTTCAACCTGTAACAGAGAACAGAATGTTTTGTGGTGTCCATGGCTAGATATGGATGGTTTTGCTTCAGAATAATTTTTGATAAAAACAATATTATCTTTTGGCCTTGTTGGCATTCATTTACTCCTTTTCTGTGGCTCTTTCAGGACATTTGCCCACTAGCAGTGTGGAAAGAAGGCTGCCTCAAAAATCTTTCATAAGTATGTTGATGGATTTCTTGGTGGAGTTAATTATGTACATCTATATGGTGGTTCCCTTTTTAAGTACATTATTCAAAAAGAATGATGTGGTGAATGAATTGGAGAACCAGCAGAGAACAGAACTGGCAGACCAAAGGTCTCAAGGGCAAATGAATTCCGAGGTGAAGAAGGAGGACCTAGATCCGTGCTGGCAAAGATTGCAACATTTAGAATCTGTGGTGGCTGAACTGCTGAATAAACCAAAACAAATTCCTGCTGAGAAAGAAAATGTTCTACTTGAGTCTATGAGTCGCATAAAGTGTATAGAGCATGATTTGCAAAAGACGAAGAAAGTAAGCCTGCAGTTTTTTTCCCTTATCTGACTTGTAACCTAGAATATAGCGAGGACTGGTATTACCTTTTGAGGAGCTGATTATTGACTAGAGCTGGGGTTTTTACTATGTAGGCTTTGCTTGCAACAGCATCAAAACAAGTGGAGCTAGCTGAGTCACTGGAATCGTTGAGGGATTTAAGTGTCAGAGTGAGTGTTCATCACTTTTGCATGGCGATAATTTTGATAAGTGTCGACCATTTATATCCTAAATCTGCAAACCTCTTACCCGCCGTTTTCTAAAAAGAAACCTTTCTCTGGGTTTTTTAGATTGACTAAAATGTCACTCTCGAGAGGTTTTACATTGAGTTATTTTTTTTAGCTATTAACTTTGAGTGCATCTTGTTGATGGTATAACATGCTGCTTCATCACAGGCAACAAGCAGTTGTTGGGTTCGGGGAAGCAAGTCAACGTCACGTGGTTCCCATCACCTACTGACATCAGACAAATTTTGATCTCGGAAGCACTGTGTCGCTGTTATGATTAACATTTCTGCGAGCAGGTTACTTTTTGATTATGGTCTAGAATCTCTGTGGATGGGACCTTTTAAGGTATTTTTAACCTTGTTTGATGCAAGAACGATATGAGCCATGTTAATAGGTTTACCTCCACAATCTCACCACCTCACGCCTGGTTTTTTTCTCTCTTTACTCAGGTTTTCGGATACACACTTGAAGGGTCTCACTCTCATCACCGGTTATTGAAATCTGCCTCATTTTTGGTGGAGGTTGGGAAGTCCAATGTGATATATGTCACAGCTAAGTTCCCTGTAATGGTTGACTGTTGTATATAGTGTATACATGAAAATATCACACACTAATGCATGCTAAAACTGGATTGTGAAAATCCAATGTAATTCCTGAAGAGGAAAAAAAAAACTTCAGTACTGATTTGACCATGAGTTTCCGCTGGCTAATGAAAGTAACTCGTTGATGGTAGTTGCAGTCTCATTTTCTTCATAGGAATGCTGCTTCTATGTTTGTTGAATACTACCCTATGTTCCAAGATTACAATTGGACTAATTAGCTTCACAAACTAGACTTGTTTTTTTTTTTCTTTTTTTTTTTGTGGGATGAAACAATTCTCTTTTTCGTTTCAAATATTCCGTAAAGTTTTATATTCGGTTGCTCTTATGCTTATAGAAAAACACCAATTTGTGGTTGAGGCTTTGGGGACTATTGTTCATCTCCATACTTATAAAAACCCGAAAGAGATAAATAACGTGTTGAAACTCAGTGGAATAGTTTTTGTATTTTTGACTCATTATTTACAAATCCGATGGTTCCATCGACAATAGGAGCGACATTTAAGTTTTGAAGCATGGGAAACATGTGAGCTACTAACTTGCTCGAGAGGACGAACACAAATTTAATAAATTGGTTCATTTGTTCAAAAAAATAAAAAATAAAATAAATAAATTGGTTCATATTGCACAGAATTCAAAACTTTATGGCCTGTTAGTGTTTCAATTAATAGTTGAGGGAGTAATATGCAAAATATGACCAGATTAGTGCGTATTTACTGGAAAGGAAAAGGATGAACTCGATGCGCCACCTATATTAAAAGCCTAATTCCCCTACAAAGTTGAAACATCGGAAACAATTGGGAACCCTAATTATACCGTTCCGGCGGCCGTTGAAATCAAGTGCTCCCCGGAGGAAAAGAGATGGAGTTGACACAAGAAATTAAGCAACGGATATTGTCGTTTGTTGATTATTTTGACGTGAGTCGTGCTTCTTGGCTTGGAGGGATGCAGCCTCTACTTTACAGTACCTCAATTTGAGCTTTGCTGATATCCAAACAAGTTTTCCTGGTGTCTTCTTCCAAAGAGTACTGAATTCATAATCTCAAGCGACTCTATTCGAGAGCTGTGGCTTCCCCATGAATATTCAAGTAATTGCACCTAACTTGTCTAAGTTTTCTTACTCGGGTTTTCGCACACCATCGAAGCTAACATTTCCATCTTCTTATTCAATCAAAGAGGCTGAATTTGTTAGTTTTAATTCCAAAATGAACACTACACATGGTGGTGACCTTGTGGAGCTCCTCAGACGTTTCAATCAGTATCAGGCCCTGAGTTTGGATAAGATTTTCTTATGTCGACTTCATATTGGACGAAATAGTTCCGGAGCATTATCAGCTACCACCCCTAGTGAACATCAAGCACTTTACTATAAGAATGAACAAAAATTCACCTATCAATGTGTATGCCCTGGAGAGTTTGCTTTGGATGGCCCCAAGTCTGGACACACTGTCTTTTGTTGTTGATCGTGATTCCACAACAACTTTCCAGTTTATTCGTGACAATACTTTAAGCAATGCGGGATAAACGGATTCAAGTCAGAGTTGAAACTTGTCCAGTTAACAATTCAGAGAGAACAGAGTTGAAGAAATATTTTTTCGACGATTCAAATTGCTTTTTGGATGAAAGAGTTGCTGAATTAGAAGTTATGGTGAAGTGGAGAAGTCGCATCAACATGTAAGGAGGACCATAGCAAGAATGTCAACATAGCCAAATCGCGGATTGTCCTGCGTTTGCCAACGTAAGTAAGGCTTTCATGTTTTTGGTAAATCGACTTGGATTGTCCGGTTAATAGTTTCTGCTGCTTGTCATATGAGTAAATTACTCGGGCAGCTTTGGTGGATTTTCTTTTAATTGCTTATCTTGAAATTGCCCGTTAGCTTATTGTTGATTTCTGTTCGTTTAATTTCCTTGAGGATTTCTATGATTTATATATCTCCTCAATCTTTTACAATGGTTATGTCGCATTTATAGACCGATTGCTCGATGAAGCACACTTTGCAATCATTTTGATAGTTGACTCATTGGTTAAGGTGTGTTTTGGATTTTTTTTCTTTCTTTTTTTTTTTTTTTTGTTTTGGATAGAGATGTATTAGATTTTCTACCAAAAAAACGAGATGATTACTGATAACTTTATGTTGTTGTAGAACTATCCCGTTTTAGAGCATCTCCAATTCAAAATACAAAAATTGCAGTACGTACAGTATGAGTTGTCGTAATTAAAGGCTTAAAGCACAGCTAATGTTGTGATCAAGGTATAAATAACTGCACATCGTTAGTATGAACTACACTTCCTCTCTCCTAATTTTATTAGTTTAGCTTAACTGGAGTGCCGACTGGTCGCGCAACACGCGACTGACACAAACTAAAGTAGTCTCACAAAGGATTAAAAAACGGGGACAAAAAAGGAAAAAAAGAAAAAAAAGGATTGCACAGCACCGCCCCCAAAATTGTTAAATCGATACCATCGAGGTCGCCTGTATAGTATCATCCCATCACACAGCCTTCCCTGAACAAAAAATTGGCGATCTTTTGTTTTCAAAGAATGGAGTGAAGTTTGAGTTGGCAAGCATTGATCCTTCTACTACTCTGCTTGAGTTCTTGCGCTCTCAAACCCCTTTCAAGAGTGTTAAGCTTGGGGGTGGTGAAGGCATGTTAATTTCCTCTGCCAATTGATTCTTTTTTGGGTGTTTTCCGACACTGTTTGTTTTTGTTCCACATGTTGATGAAACAGTACTTGCTGAAAGATTTCCGCTGCCAATTGATTCTTTTGTGAATTTCAGATACCATTTTAGTGTTTCATAATTTGATTCAAGTTCCGTGAACTAACTGCTTTTCTCTCTTGGTATTTTTGAAATAAATGAGGTATGGTTCAGAATACACTCAGTAATTAACTGTACTAAATGTGGTTGTCTTAATGATTGAGTTAAATATGTTGATGCAGATATAGCAGGATAAAAGGTAAATATGCAGATTGCGTTAAGTATGTTGATGCAGTAATTGTGTCTATTCAAATATGGCGGGATAAAGTTTTAGTAGTAGTAGTCGTAGTAGTAATAGTAGTTGCAGTCTGCCAGCTGAATGATCCAAAAATCACATTTTAACAGTCTATTGTACCTTTGTAAACAGTGTTTTTTTCTTTTTTTTCTACAGGATACCAATTGGAGTTGCTTCGGTGAAAGTCTAGCTAAGGGGTACCATGAAATCAAAGAAGCAGCGTCAAAGACGAAGGAGACAGATGCAGAAAGAGCTGCCTCAAGAAATCAAGCAACATATCTTGTCATTCCTTGATTTTTCTGACGTGATTCGTGCTTCATCTGTATCAAAGGCTTGGAGGGATGCCGCGTCTACTTTAAAGTGCTTAACTTTAAAATTGGCTGCCGATGGACCATGGGGAGATAAGGTTAGTCTTCCATCCATTCAGTCTTCTGCTGATCACTTCCTTTCTGAGCTCCAAAATCAGGATTTATACATACAGCAGTTGAGCTTGAAATTTCGGCATCAAACATTTGATTTTCTGATGGCACAAGCGGACCTTGTCATTAGGGGCAGCGAAGATTTTGAAGAATTTGTGTTTAATGTTTATTTGTATGATACTTTGAGACAAGAATCGTTGACTGTTAGATTTTTTCATGCTTCTCAGTCTCTGCATAAACTTGTTTTAGAAGGGGTACGTATTTCTTTGGAAGTTGGATCCAAAATAGATCTTCCTTTATTGAGGGAATTGTACTTGAGGAGGAGTTTTACTCAAACTGAGATACTGGAGCAACTAATCATGAACTCTCCTCAGCTGGAGACTCTGGAAATTCATGATTGTTTACTTATCCGTTCTTTGAGAGTATCTGGATCACATAAGTTAAAACGTATTATTTTGGACTTGGAAGATGGGGGAGTAGAACAAATTGAGATTAGAGAAGCACCGAATCTTGAGCACTTTTGTCACCGGCATAATGGACTGATGCGTTTGCAAAATCTGAATTTGGCGTCCTGCAGGGATTTAAAGGTTCTTGAGCTTATCATGGTAAGAGGTCTAGAGGAAAATGAGTTGGGTGAGGAGATGTTTGAGTCAATCCGACAACTTGTTTCATATCTTAATCTCCTGGAAGTATTCAAGTTGACCAGTTATTTTCATCCTGCTAGAGGATTCGATATATCAAGCAACTCCATCAGAGAATTGTGGCTCGAATTCAAGTACCTCGGCCTTACTCGACTGGAACATGTTCAAGTGATGGCACCTCGCCTGTCAAAGTTTCATTATTATGGTTTTCGACCATCTCAGCTGAGACTTGTATCTCCTTCATCAATTAAGGAGGCACACTTTGTTAATTTTCGCAAGGACGTAATTAGACGCGGTGAACTTGTTAAGTTGCTCAGAAGTTTTAATCAATGCAAGGCTCTGAGGTTGGATGATTTTCGTTCTGATGATTTCTGGCTCTCGGGTGCAGTTCGGAAACACAACGGGCCTCCTCCCCTTGCTGCTCTCAAGCACTTAACCATTGGTACGCGTTATTCTTTGAAGAACAGATCACCACCAATGCATGTGTATGCCCTGGAGAGTTTGCTTTGGATGGCCCCGAGATTGGACACACTTTCTTTTGTTGTTGATTGTGAATCCACAATAACTTTCCAGTTTATACATGAGACCTTTTCCAGGAACGTGGACGAGGTGATCCCTTTCGTATCTAGGAAGAACAACAAATTGATTGAAGTCAAAGTCGAAAGTTGTCCAGTTAATACTTGGAACTGCTTGGAGTTGAGGAAATATTTTTTTGATGATTTTGCCAAGTGCTTCTTGGGTGGCATGGTTGGAGAAGTGAAGGTTATGGTGAATTGGAGAAGTGCTCACTGTTATCGAACTTTAGGATACATCATCTGAATGAAATTTTGGGTGTTGAAGGAAGAAGATCAAAGGAATTTGGCCCGTAGAAGAGCGTGTTTCGGGAACAATACTGTTGATCTTTTTAAGCTTTTCTGATGCAACGCCAGCTGAAAGGATGATGCAGTTAGCTTAATTTGTTAGTTTCGTAGTTTCTGATTTCTGAACTTTGTTAAAATGTACCATTTGAAACTATGCAGTTTGATGTTTTTGCCGGAAATGTATATTGAACCTAGAATACAAGCTTTACAAATTTACCCAAGACTAGTTTAGCAAAAGATATGCTTTTCATCCTTGCACCCGGGACTAGTTCTTGGGTAATTGCAACTTTTGTTATACTGAACTCTCTCTTGTCCTTTCAGTCTTTTGGTGGAGTGTGATTTGTGAAACTCTGGTTACTCTGGAATCTGGATTCATCCAGGAAAAACCGAATAAGTAAAAGGCTTGGAAGTTGCCCCGTATTTTAGAGCATGATCGTTTAAGCAGCAATATGTGTAATAGGTAATTCGAATGTTCAGTATGTGTTTAAGTGGCAATATATGTAATAGGTAGTTCGAATGTTCAGTATGTGTAATAGGTAATTCGAATGTTATATTATCTTTGTTCTTAACTAAAAAAAATTGCATATAAATTACCATAAATAAATAGCTTCATTAGCATCAAGACTTTTATTTATTTTTCTGATAATGGGGGAAAAAAAAAGTCAATTATTTTTATATACGAACAGTGGAATCGGGTGACCCGGAAAGAAATGGGTCGGATTCAATCAGTAAACTTGGTCCACTATAGCCCACTTTTTGACCAACCACCTCCACCTCCACCGCCACCAATCCACCACTCACCTTCACTCCCCGGATTAAAAAAGCCACCACCAAAAACCAAAAACCCTAAAAAAAACAATCTCATTTTTTCCCAAATCATGGATGACCAAGAAAACAACCCCTCCTCCTCCTCTCCTCCGCCGCCCGCCGCTTCAAATCCTTCCCAACCCAAATCCCAACCCGAACCACAACCGTCGGCATCCGCCTCCTCCAACCCATCTTCCCCAGAAGACACCACCACCAAACCCAACATTGAAATAGTCCCCATTTCCACCCCAGAAGCTAACCCTAATCCTATTGCCACCAGAGCCCCAAAATCACCATCCTCCAAGAAAAACGCTCCTCTCCCATGGACCCACCAAGAAACCATCAGTCTCATCCAGACCTACCAGGAGAAATGGTACTCCCTCAAGAAAGGCCAACTCAAGGCTAACCAGTGGGAGGACGTCGCCGCCGCCGTCGCCGCCCGCTGCGGCTACGATTCCCCCTCCAAAACCTCCACCCAATGCCGTCACAAGATTGAAAAGCTCCGGAAAAGATACCGGGCTGAGCGGCTCAAGCCTTATCCTAATTCTTGGCAGTACTATGAGCTCATGGACCACATGGAACGCGGCCCTATGCCTATCACGGCAACCCGTTCCGCGCCTCCGGTTAAGTATCAGAATCAGAAGAATGCGGGCGCTTCGGGTTTTCTTAATAATTACAGAGAGAATAATAGTGATGAGGGGGGCGCCAATTATGGTGGTTTTGAGGCTAAGAAAAATAAGTCCAAGAGTATAAACAACATTGTTCGAGGGAGCGGTGTTGATATGGGCAACAGGAATCTGAATAAAATTGGTATGAGCAGGAATTTTGGTTTTGGTGAGAATCCGAGAGGTTTAAGGGGATTCGTCCCGCCTGTGGTCCAGAAGCGAAAAGGGTATAATCAGGAAGATGAAAGTGACGACGAGGATGAAGATGAAGACGATGACGAGGACGACGAAGGGGAAGAGCTGGAAGCGGAGGTTGAGGAGAAAGGAAAAGGGGTTTTAGTAAAGGCGTTGGCTGCAGAGGTCAGGGGTTTCGCGGAGAGGTTTTTGAAGATGGAGAATGACAAGATTGAGTTGATGAGAAAAACTGAGAAGACTAGGATGGAGATGGAGAAGAATAGAATGGATATGATTCTAGAAGCGCAGAGAAAAGTTGTGGATACCATAGGCAAGGCTTTTGGAGCTCACAAGAAACCCAAGAGGACGGCTCCAGAAAGCTGAGGTTTTTGTTGTTGTACCTAATCCTGTAGTTCTTGTGTTTAACTTTAGATTCCCTCCCCTAATGGTTACAGATTGTAGTGCTTCTTACAATAAGATTATCCCCTCTGCAGCTTCTATTTAAGGATGTTAGGGTGCTTTTTAGATCTGGTTTGATTAGTTTATGTACAGTTTAGCACTGAGTAACAACAGCACTGAATGATGTAGTACTTGGTTCAGCGATGTAAAATCCGATATGTATGTAATGTTAAGAAGGGATTATGTAACGGGTAGAGGAATGAAATCGACCTTCCTGGATTCAAAGGTATCATCCAAATTAGTCCCTTGTTAGCTACGGATCATTCAGAAAATGAACCTAGCAAATCCTCTTGCTTCACTTTTTACCATTCAACGAAATCATTGCTGCAAGAGGGCTGTTTCCTTTATACTTGAGTTTATAGGATTCTAAATTTGTAACGATCAAAGCTCTTAATTTATAACTTGCGTTGTCGCGAATGATAGAATCGGTGATATACAGTGTTGTGCTCTTGATTGCATGTTTCTCCTGAAAGGTCTCACTATTAGTGTGCTCCTCAAAAGAGAAGCAAAACTACCACCCCTACACCATCATCGTTTCTGCACAAGTTCTGCGACGGCTCGCACTTTTGTTTGGAAGAATTATATGGCAGCCATAGCTATTTCAATCCACTTGTATTTCCACTTCATAACTCACGTACCCTATAAACCAGTGCTGAAGATGCAAATAAAATTGGTAGAGTTCAGTACCTCCACTTGTAGCAGTCTTCTTGAGCTCTTGATTAACTGACTTGAACTGAAAAAGTCACTCATTGGAAAAACATGGGCATTAGTGAAAAGTTAAAAAAAAAAAAAAAAAATCAGTTGGCTGTGTAGCCCCCGAGAGAGAGAGAGAGAGATGAAATTAAGAAGCCTTTTTTTCCTCTTGATGACTGCAAACTAACAATTTACAAAAAGAGCACAGGCTCCTTGGCAGTGTGGTACATGATGACATTTTCTCCTAAGTAGATAAAAGGACCTGTATTCACAAAATTTCCACAGCCTTTGGCCATAATAATTAGTGCCTACCCCCTAAAACAAAACGGAAAATTATACAGGGGCTGACCTACGGGGGCAGAAATAAATAAGGCCCCTCTAATTTTCTGCAAGGGAACCAATCAGCGGGAAACAACCTAACAAGCAGCAAAAAGGAGACGCAATACCCTGTACAAAGTACCTCTATATTTCTCTATTCTCCCAAAGCTCTAGGCAACTACTAATTTACAGAACACCCAAAATATCCCTTGCAAAGAACCCTTCCAAATAAATACAGACAATAGTCTCCCACTCCTTGTTCCTTGTGATGTACCCCCGCTAGAACATTGAGCAGCAGCTGAAACAATGGAAATCACTATATTAAACACTCAGTGGCTTTCAATTTCACTTGCATATTAATACAATTGTTCAAAGGAACTACTGACTCCTTGTGAGATCACAAGGGAGTATGAATAGAAGACTTTAGTCATGAACTATTAGTTTTCCCAATCATGCCTTTGTGGTTAACAATGTCGGAATCACCAGAAAAGAAAAGATGTTTGTACCTGTACATTACCCCTTTCAAAGCATGCTGACCCAAAGGACCAGGACGGCACTTGAATGACAGCATTGCTTCATTCCAATCTAGAGTCAGAGGATCTAACAAACAAATTGCTGCCATTTCCCCCAAGCTGCCCCTGCTGTTGAGAGTTCTGTTGGGATGGCAATTGCATCTGCTGATGTGATGGCAGCAGCTGCTGCTGGGAGACAGGTGATGGGGATTGTTGCACCTGCGATGACTGTTGCCACTGCGCACCGACTTCCATTCCAACGGGAGGGAAGTTCCCTGAGGACTGCCTCGACCCTAGCCCCTTTTGTCCTGATTGAGACAAAGGCTCACTGCCAGAAGATATCGTGGGTGAGGTCCCTACAGGACTGAAAGTTGTCACCGGGCTTGAGGTGCCAGAATCGTACAATGGGTCTGAAGCTCTCCACTGAGGACCACTAGCAGGAGAGAGCACCTGCATCCCATTAGTTGCATCATTAGAGGTTTTTGGTGTTGTTGCCATAGCACCTATTTGAGATGAATTAGATGTAGAATTCTGGCTTGATTGAGTTTCCCCTCCCTGCAGCTTGCTAGATAGGTCGGAATTCATGTGTCGATTTTGCTGGGACACTCTCTGAACAGATGACTGGTTCAGATTCCCCAACTTCTGATTTGTCTGCACTTGCGTGGGCTGATGATTTGAAGAAGGCATGATGAGAGGTTGAACTGACTGATGACCAGTGGAAACAGGACTGGAAGCAACCGGGGAAATATGATCTTGACCAGGAGTATCAGAATGAGAAGGCATTTGCTGGAGATGTTTAGCCAACGGGGGCACTTGGCTGAGAATCTTGTGCTGAGGCTGGGACTGGCTTGAGGAATGAGGCACTGGCTGCTTCCCAGTTTGGACAGGGTTCATTGCTGTCCCAGAATATAGCCCCTGACCATGCAATAAATGCATTGGCTGTTCCCCTTTCTCAACAGTTTGGTTTGCAGGATTTGTTGAAAGGCCATTTAGCAGTGATGGATCAATTGGAATATTTTGATGCATCATCACGTTCCCTCTACCCACACTTTTCATAATTTTAGCCTGCTGTTGAGGATGCAATTGTTGTCGTGGCTGAGGATGGTGTCGTCCAGATTGCTGAAACTGCTGCTGTGGCTGCTGAGACTGACGTTGCCTAGGCTTAGTCAATGAATTGGTAGGACCGCTTCCTGAAGATTGGGCATTCCGGGCATGCCCATGCGGTGGTCCTTGATGCTTCTGCTGCTGCTGTGACGCCACAGGAGAGGCAGATGTCAGGGGTGAGAGAGATGCAGCTGGAGATGTTTGAGGTTGAACTTGCGAACTACTCTGTGGAGATGAAATGGGAAGTTGGGATGGGGGCTGTACATGAGGCATCATGGAGTTTGATGATGAAAACTGCTGCTGGTGCTGTTGCATAATACGCTGTTGCTGCAGCTGTCTTTCTTTGACCAGGCGCGCGGTGGCATATGCTTGATGTTGTGGACTTGAGACATGATTTGTTCCTTGAAGATTGGGATGATGAACATGGGGCTGCTGTTGAGCCATCCCATGTGACTGCTGATTATGAAGTTGGTATGAAGCAACAGGCGGAGACCCTGCCTGGTTCGGGAATGAGGAGCCTATCGCACCATAAGGTGCAATTCCAGGGTTGCTTCCTTGTGATGCTTGAATCTGGAGCTCAGGTCCTTGCATTTGTCGTTGAGGGTCCGAATTCTGGTTCGGCTGTGGATGCCGATAAAAGGACATAATGGTTAAAGAACACGAAAGATATATCTAGAAAGATTATATGTAAAAGTCAACAGTTATGCCATCCACAACGAAGAGTCGGAGCATCTCACAAGAAACGTTTGCTTGAATACAGTTTAAAGTAGTCACTCAAGACTTCTCAATCCTCAAGCAGCTACTTTCATAAAGATCTCACATGTGAATGCTCCTTTACGGAGTTTAAATGAGAAATAAATTATTATTAAGTAATAATATTTTTAAAGTTTCGAAAAGAATTATTGTGTGAGATCAGTGACAAGTGAATTTACAAGGAAAATGCAGAAAAATGAAATGGTCCCAACATATCAAGACAAAGAGGTCTGCAACGAGTATACACTTAAATATGCACCAACAATGACAATCATTCAACCAGGGGGCCATGGAGATCGATACACAAAATTTAGCAGCATGTACTAGGGCGTGTAGGATAGTTAAGGTAGATCTTCCATAACAGAAGCCCATTGTAGGGCTAAAAATGTATTACTCTCTTGCTGTTTTGTTAATATAATACCAGTGGTGTTTTCAAAAAAATATATAAATTCAACCCGGGGTGTATAGGTATTATGCAAAGGAAAAATTTTTGTATGACTGACCCGCATTAGATGTAAAGCATCACGGGGTCTGATCGTATTCCCTTGTCCAGAACCTACTCCAGGGTGCATGTTCACAGGACTCTGAATAGCAACCATACCCGGGGATATCATACTCCCAGAATTGAGCATGGAAGATGAAGCAATCCCCTGAAAACCAGGCCTTGCAACCGGTGAGTTTCGATTGATACCACTTGCGATGCCCATGCCATTTCCACCAGGTAGCATACGAACTCCACGGTCATTTCCAGGAAGACCACCAGAGGATGGTGAGTTTGACTGCGGAAGGTTTCTACCAGGCAACAACTGGCCATACTGCTGCATTCTTTGCTGTTCTTCATTTGACAAAGATGCCGACCTGGGAACAACGTACCTTGCATCCCTATTATTAAACGCCCAATTACAAAGAATACACAAGTTATTTTTAAACAGAATAGGGTGTGAAGGAAAGGAGGGGGTAACACAACAAAACTTCAAGAAAAATGAACATAAATACAATGCACAATACATGACATGTACCTGACAGAAGTATTGACTTGATTTGGCGAGGACGAGAAGTTGTTGCCAACAACCATGTTGGAGGACCCAGCAGCAGATGAATTTACACCAGATCCATTAAGCATAGGAGTCATTGGAGTCTGAGGTGACAAATGCATCCCACCAGGCTGGCCTTGATACCCCAGAGTAAGCATGTCATTACTAGGTGCAGTAGCATCACAGAGATCCAGAGGTCTTCACCAGAAGAATAGCATGAACATGCACAAAAAAGGAATGGAAAGGTAAGAACAAAAGCAACAACCAACAAATCCCAATAACACCATAGTGAAACAATGTACTAATGACCTATTTAAACATCAAATTACAAATCTTACGTGAGAGGGGGTCCTCCATTCAAATAATTTGGAATATACTGGTTAAGAGCAAACATATGAGAATTATGAGGTGGCTGGAGCTGCTTTGGATCCTGCATATCATTCTTTCAATGTAACAGTCAAGAAAAAGCACATAAATAAATTACAAAAAATAGATGCAAGACATCAGACAATCAACAAAACAAAGTGACAAACACACATAAAGAGAATCAAATAGGCTTGTTGATATGACGAACTACCTAATTTTCCGAAGCAAACTTGCGATTGTACAAATTCAGTTAGAGAAAAATCGTAACTAGTTACTCATTCAGGGAGCAGAATAAAAAGTGACTTTCGCTACATTCTGTTCAAGAGAGTAGAATAACAAAGTGTAAGGCACCTAAACTTTCAATGTCTTCATTTTTTATTTTTAAAGCATCAATATATTGCAAATATTGGATTTGCACTAAAGCAGCAACTATAGAGGCTTCTAGATATGTGATGCAAACACACGCGATTAGTATCCTGAGAAAACTCATTTGTCAATATCTCTAATAAAGAAGTCAAGGGACAGTGCTTTTTCTATGACCCTTATTTCTTGATATTTGAAGAGAAACAGGTCTTCTATGTAAAATAAACCCATTTGGAAAACCAAAATGGCCACAAGGTGTTTGAGAACATATACATGCTCAAAGAGACATCAGCCTGGAGTATGTACCTGTTTCCTTCGACTATGGAGTTTCTGTCCAAGCATGATGATCTTATCAAAGTGACATCTAAGGGTATCCTCTTCCATTGGCCCTTGCAAACGCTGAAATAATTGTCGAGCCTGTCCCTGAAAGAAATGCATTAAACATGTTCAAGAAAATTTTTAAGTGATATAGATGTTAAGCTGGTCGTGTCCACCATGTACCTTAGGGATGCCAGTAGTATCGAATGTATCAATCACCTTCACAATCAGAAGTATTAATAATCCATATTATTAGATAAAAATTAGAAAATATGCATTATACCTTAGGAATGCCAGGAAGAGTAGAATTATAAGGTTGAGAGGATCCTGAATCTTCAGTGCTGTCAGCCCCATCAACAGTCCTGTCCATCAAGATCTTATGGCGCTCCTTGCATTCTTTAGGATTGCGGAATATGCACTGCAGTTATTCAAGGGACACTATTACTTCCACGAACAAAAAGGGTCAAGAAGTATACTTAATTAAGAGGTCTAGATAAATCAAAAAAATATTGAGCAGGGCCACTCAAAATATAAGACGATCAAGATAAATAAGCAAAAACAAGAAGCTTCAAACCTTAAACTGCAATGTACTGTTTATAGCATCACTAACGAGCTCCCAGTTAGGACCCAAATCATGCACAAGAACAACGAGGGCCTGAACAAGTTTCATCGAGTCATTGACTATGTCTTACAACGGATTGAAAGAGACACTACAAGAGAAGTATAGTTGTCATCTCAGTTACCTGTTCTTCAAATAGAGTCCATGGACTTCCAGAACCCATCTCACCAGCAGGCATCTGTTCAAAATTTTATATGATCAGATTTCACTAGAAATTTATACTAAACAAATAACAAGGCAGTATGAAAAATAAGTCACAAGGTCGATTAGATCGCGGGTAGTACCTTTGAACCTTTGTTTTTCCTACCACGAGTAGTAAGCATTTTCATTATCTTATTCTGGTTACTGATCTGGGAGGCCACTGGAGAAGGCGCAGACCCACCAACTGGAGCACCACTCTCATAAGAATTATCAAGTGATTGCCTCATGGTCTTTGGTTTTTTAGCAATATGTTGTCCATACATACCTTCCAAAAAAGACAGTCTCAGAAAGTACGAACTCAAAAGAATAAGCAAGTGACTGAAACAAGATAGAACAAGCTTACCACTGCTACCATTTGATTCCAACTGATGACCATCTGATCTCTTCTTGGAGTAATCCCTCTGAAATAGTAATGGCTTGATTAAAGAAAAATCTTCAAAAAAAATCAACTTTAACTATCAAAATCTCCAAAAACAAGCGAAGGTGCATATCAGTCTATTTCTTCAGCTTGATGTGGGTTCCAAACTTGAACAAAATTATGTTTAAACGCACTTGCTAGATAGTTAATAGCAACCTCAATTACCAGTATTCATTTAAACTAAATAAAAAGAAAATCACCTGATCCCGCTGAAAATTGGTGTCAACTTGCCATCCATGCTCATACCCAGAACCCTGGATTTTAACAAAGCGATCAATATGAATGTGCATAATGGAGACAAAATGAGGATACACTCGTTGAAAGAAAACAGATAATCTGTCTAACCAAAAAAGCTGGGCTAACTTTCTTTTCTTAATTTTAATACAGCGTAAATATGTTACCAGATGCTTCGGTTTCTTCTTCTTTTTATTTTTCGTCGAGATTTCCACTGAGTCAAATGGTAATTGCTTTTCAAAGTCCCCCATTGACTCAACTTCCAAGTTATTTGGAATGTTTGATCCACCATGCATGGTGCTCTGATCATCCTGAAATGAGTTGGTATCACCACTTGATGCATCAGTCTTAGGTGTGATCTGGACAGATCCAGATGGTCCAGGCCCAAAGGGACTTATAACTCTGGGCCTGATATTAGTCCGCGTGCGCTTTGTTGGAAATGACACATGAAGACTGCTAGCAGGACGTTTTCCCAATTGAACATGTTGTTGGATCCCAGCCCTATTTTCCATGCATTGCATAAATGGTGATTCAGCAACAACTTCATATGATCTTGAATTGTACGCCTTTGGTGAGTTCTTCCATTTCTTATGCGAAAACCTTGAAGATCTGCTACCGTCAAAGGCTACTGATGTATCGTACGTGCTTGTCTCGTCTTCATCCTCTTCATATACATGATCCTGATATCCAAAATCTGCATCACAAACAAACTCTGAAGTTAACTTCCAATCCATCATACCAAACGCAATAAAATGGGACATCCTCATAAATACCTGGTACAACTTCACACGCCGATGTCTCCACTTCCTCTTGTACACTACTGCCGGTTTTCTGCAGTGTGTGTAAACATACAGGAAACTTGATTTCGGGTTGTTTGAAGTTAAAACAATACAACGCATCATTTTGGTTCAAAAGCTATACACAGGAGAGTTAAAAGTTAATCATTGAGATCGAAATGCCTTCTCAAGTAAGTTCAATCATGATTCCACATTAAACCATTAAACGCCAAAAGTATTACAATGTCTACAAAGCAAACACTTCCTACAAAACCCCAAACCCATTTTTCAATATCATTCTCAATTAACAACACTATTGGATGCTGAAAAAAAATGTTACAGCTCATCTATTACGTTAACAACTCAAAGTAGCTCACACAAAGAAATTAACAAATGACATAACCAAGTGAGAAAATCCAATACGACACTTTATCCTGCCTCTGGAGTTCTTCATCGCAGAACTTGCAATTAAGCTTAAGAAACAACGAAATCAAATCAATTTCTTGTCCCAATATCTCACCCATTCTATAGCACAACACAATCATGCATTAGAAAAGTTCAAGGAACAAATCAGTCTGTTAAGCTGTTATAAATTCACTACAAGAGAGATATGTATTCTGTATTTCATGCATAAATGAGAAATAAACACCTCCTGGCGTGGGCAAAATCAGTTTATACAAAAAAAAATGAGAAGGGAAAAAAATTAGAGAATAGTTAATTGACGAACTAACAATAAATGAGATACCCCAGGCAAATTAACCACACAACATTCAACAAAAAACAGTAGTTCCAACTTGTCATAATTTCGGCACACCGTAATCGTAATTACCTCATATTTTGCAGTACGAGATTCAATAGATCTTCTGTACGATTCTGCAGCACCAGGTAGAACTGTGTAGAACAGATTCTCCTGCAGGAAAGAACAAAGCCACAAATAATTTAACAGACTACACAATTATTATGTAGGACTCGATATATTCACATAGACAACCCACACACACACATCTAACATCTTATTACAAAAGAAATAGAATTTAATACCTCAGTTAAATGATCCTCCCACGACATCCCTGAAATTCCCAAGTCTGAAATCCTGTCAGGAGTCTTTGGAGCTTCCGCGGGAGTATAGAGAACATCAACAGTGTTATGCTTCAAAAATCTCACTGCATATTCTCGAAGAGCAAAAGAACCATCTTTTCTTGAATATTGCAGCTCCTGCAGTTCCCTTTTCTCCTGAGTAGTCATATATACAGCAAATAAGAACTCAAATGTTCCAATGTTCTACTTCCTATAAAACATTCTATCCCAGAGAACTATTCCAGAGTAAAATTAAAACTATTGCCTAAAAGCAAAGTTGCAAAAGCAAATCAATGGTCCATTTGGTTAAAAAAGTTCCACAACATGATCAAAAGCAAAGTAGAAAACTAGCAGGCATTAAAATCCATGGCAGATCACTATTTCTTATATCTGCTCCATCAACTTACATATACCATTAGGAATTTTATGATTAATCTGCTCTTTTCCTTTCTGATCCATTCCAACACATAACATAGTGTTAGAAGCTTATGCCATGTTTTATCTAGCTAACCCATTAATAAGTCCTTTCATTATAACGGCCACCAAAGCAACAACGTCAGAAGCAGACAAAAACAATAAATGCTACAGCAAATTGATCACCTTTAACTGACTGCGAAGTTCACACAGAACTATAGCAATCTTACGGATAATACTAAACAAATAGTAGTTCCAAAATCACTAAGAATTAGGCAAGTCATAGAAACATGTGAACTTATAGACAGTCAATACAAACAGCATGGCTGCAGAGCTGCTTATCTAAATACTAGGCTCTACCCAGAATTTTGAAGGTACATAAAAAAAAACTCCATGAACAGGCTTACAAAACAGCCATTCTTTCAATGAAGCAATAGATCCCCCAACCCATTATTCACCCCAAAAACATAAAGGACCAAGAGTACCTCGACAGAAAGCCAGAACTCCATGACAGCATTGGCTAAGATGTGGGCTACTTTCTTATGCTCCCGACAATTAGTCTGTTCAAGGAATCTGAACCGAGTTGTAGACGTAACTAGATGGCACATTTTTGCAGCAGCAGTGAGCTTCCAAATGCGCTCCTGTATCAAAAAGATAAATATGTGAAACAAAAGACAGACTTTAACATTAAAGGGTTACTAATACCGCAATCCAAATCATACAGTTCACAAGTCCTGGTGAGGTAGATACAAAAGGATAAATTCACCAATCATATGCCGACATATTGCATCGTAATGAGGGAAAATATGTACATACATACATATGTGTGTGTGTGTGTCTTTTCATCTATGCCACACCATTATGTTCATTTATCATAACACTTCGAATGCATTGAGTATTACTATTTTTCAAGAAAAAAGAGGCACATAAGAGTTTCCCAAATAAGTTCCATTTGATAGTTCGTAGACAACTTCAAATGGAAGCACAAAATTTTCCCGAGACATGTATCAGACCTGAGCAAAATCATTGGCCAACCATGACATCTCCTCAAGTACAGAATCCCAATGAGATCTCCGATGATTCCTGGTCGACAAGTTTGCCATGGATAATTCAGCAATCTTCTTACGTTTTGCCTGTTCATAACTTCATCTTAGCTCTAGATATCCGAGTGCATTTTGCAGTAGAAAACTCCAAAGGTGAAAACAAAACCATGAATAATAACTACTAACCTCTATAATTCTTGCTTCCTCCAAAATAGTGTCCTCATCAATCTTGTTTGCCTCAGAGTTCATATCCGAAGATTTATGACCATCTGTGGCAGTAATTGGCACACTATCAGGTGATGCAGTCTTTGGTAGGCTTAGCACAGAGGAATCAGTGCACTCAGGCCTAAGATTGCAAATATTTGCACTTGAAGGATCCAAGTTGTCAGCGGGAGGAACAGCATTCGTTTCTGTTCCTGAACAAACTCTGTTGCAGTCATCAATTTCCATGCTTTCAACAATTTGATGCTTCGGTTCACTTTGGTTTGGATCCGCTGAGTTATCTTGTATGGCAGATCCACCGTCATTAATTTCTTCCTGGGCTTTCAGAACAAACCCATTGTCCTTTTGGCTTTGCTGAGTCAAGTTACATTCATTCTCTGTCAAAGTACTCCTATCATCAACTTTAGTCTCTTTCTTTTCTTCAACAATTAACTCTCCTTCCACATTTGGTTTTGGTGGTATCAAAGTGGTCTGTTCCGTAAAATTACCATTAGAACCAACAATCTTAGTGTCCGTACACATTTCACTAACATTGTTCCTGTCTATGCTAAAACTAGCTTGGGCGCAAGACGACTCTGAATCTAAAAGCTTTGTAGCTGGTGCAGCACTGTTGTTTTGACCATCACTTGCTAGTAGATTGTCATCTCTAGCGGTGCTGTCAAAACCATTAACTTGACCAGTACCAGATTGATTCTTCACTTCAGTCACAGGGACTACCTCTTCTTTTCCCTTGTTTATAGTATCTCCAAGAGGGACCACAAGAGATTTATTACTATCAACAGCAGATTTGTGATCATGTTGATCCCTCTGAATATCTTTTGAGGTATTAGAGCTGACAATGTTAGCGGGTAGATCATTTTTAATTAGGTTTGTAGCAGACTCCACACCATTTCCAGAGCCCACCTCCACATCCAACTGACCTTCAGATGGTACAGTCTTACTCACTGGAACACCATTAGGACTGAGAGTTTTTGAATCAGAATTTAAAGTAACTTTCTGTTCCTTAACTTTCTTTTCTTCAGAGACCAATCCCTTAGTCTCCTTGGATGCATGCTGGGAAGATAGAGAAGATCCATGAGGACTACGACCAAAAACTGCATCAGTTGAGCTTGGGCGAACACCATCACGGCTTGGTCTAAAACGCCGTTTATATGCTTTCTTTGGGAAACTAAAAGTAGCAGAATCACCCAATTCTTTAGCATTATGACTTCCACCCTGCTGGGATGAATGCTCGGAAGGAGCAATGCTAGTCCTATTAGGGTGTGCAGAGCTCCTATCACCATCCACAGAATCATTATCACCATCAAATAACATAAGATTATCAGCACTATTGGGTTCACAAGCAGAATGAGCTCCAGGCCTGCCACTGCTTTCAACTGAATCTCCATGAGGTGAAGCGGTAAACGGGAAACTACCTTTTGCTTCACTGAAGATGGAAAGAAGGTTAGACATCTAAAATATACGGTCCATGCCATCGTGTATTAAACAAAGAGTTTACCTAGTCACGATGAGTTCAGCAGGTTGATCAGTTGGCGAAGTAGACTGGACACTAACAGAAGTAGCTTTCCCAAAGTTGAAATCTAAAGGGTTTCCACCCTGCCCATATTCATTGTTAATAACATGAAAATAACCATGTTAAAACTCATCAAAGCAATACAAAGAAGAAAAGGGCCCATACTTTCTCAAGAAATTCCAACTCCCTTCTCCTTTCCTCTCGAACATCATACTCCTGCCTATTATTATTAACAAGTGACAACATTAGAGAGGAACAGAGCTCTCAAGAAAATAAAGCCACGGGCGAGAAAAAAATTTACGAACAACTAATTATACCTGAGCTCTGCCTGAACCTTCTCAATTGCCGCACGTCGTGGAGAAGTTTTTGTCCCGGTGACTCCGTCTTCAACAACTCCTCCCATCGAATCAACCTCAGCATTGACTATAAAAACAGATGCTGAATTGCATCCATGCATTCCTGCCTAGAGAGCTAGAGATGTCCCTCTTCCATACGTTTAAGACAAGAATCAGATCCCTACAAACAAAAAACTGCAGAGTTATATGGCCAGAAAGGGAACAAATCCACTTTTGCGCTATTTCCCTTTATGCGTTATTGACTATATGTGTGTGCGCACAGTTTTGCAGATGGGATGGGGGAGCAAAACTGGACAAGTAAACATAAAAAGGAGAAGACGGACATATAAAAGAAACTGCAGTTACTCACATAACAAAGGAATTTCATGTAAATGGTCGAGAATATTCAAACTCCAGCATTGGAAGGAAACATTTTCAGCATCATAAAGGATGATTGAATAGTAACATTAAGATGCTGATTACCCTCCCCCATACCCGATACCGCATTTCAACAATTTCTCTACACAAAGCCAACTCACTTCAGATAAAGTTGCATTTGCTTTCACAACAAAATGATATCCAGAAAGAAAAAGAAAAAGACAAAAGACAAGGGAAAAAACATTAAAATAGTTCAATCACGACATCACAGACCACAATTTCAGCAGCAATCTATCATCTCATGAGACATCTTAACCATTACACAATAAGCCTAATGATGAAAAAATATGTACATCCTGTGACTTCATAAGGTCAAATATGATCTTTGAAACACATCAGCACAGAAGTGACACGAGAATAAATGAAGAAAACATCTGTAAACAAGCAATCATCACAAGAATACATGAACAAAAGAAATTCCAAATCAAGTAATTGCCTCACCATTTTTACAGAAACTTAAGATGCTAAACATTTAACCTCTCCGTAAAACAATAAAATTAAGATAAAAAGATAAAGGAATATGCATAACAATCAATCCTTCCATCCAGGAAGAAATTGTTTTAGTGTTTAAGGCACAGCAAGAAAAAGATGGCTAAACATGCACCATTTTCGATAATGTTAGTGACAAAGATTTTTTAAATGAACAACCAATACCAGTGTGCATTCATGGAGTTTGCCAATAAGGAACCATTTAATTTGCATGGGACACATTCACCCCTAACTGACTACCATTCATTAAGTTAAACTGATGTTACTAACTCAGAGACACGGAGGTGGTACTGCATATGACATTAAATTCCTAGGTGGATTTTGTAATCTAAGCATTCAGCTCTCTAGAACCCATGACACTTGGTTAAGTTACAAGTCACCTGTGCATTGCCCACATTATGCATCACATTCCACCCCAAACAGCTCAAATAGATCAACTTAAAAAAAATCAATACTGAAATCAACTTATCTTGAAGCAAGTGAAAATGTATATATGTTAACATGCGAAGCTGCAGTCAGCTCTCACTATGATGCAATAGGAAATTATTCATGTTTCATCAATGGTTCCACTAAACAAGCAGCAACCAAGTGACAATGCAAACAAAATGCGGCGACAATACTCTCGAATAGAGGATTCCGCATTACTTGCCCCAAATTAAAAAAACCCTAACAACCATTATGGACCATTTTTTTTCATTTCTAGGGTTTCCCCAAAATTGCAAAATAGAAACTCCAATTCTAGGGTTTCCGTTGATAGGATCACAAATATTACCTGAATTGCGCGTGTACACACTGGAATTGCAGATTAGGACCACTACAAGTTCCCCTTGAGACTCCCTCTGCGTTCTAGGGTTTTGAAGAGACCTCAATTTGGTGCAATAAAATTCAGCCCTAACAATGGAAGCATTGGAAATCCTCACGGAACTGAAGATATATGCATATATACGACAAAAACAGGTATGATTACGCCACCATGAACATGTATATGTGGGTGAGTGTGTGATTTCGGGATATATGTTTCAATTGTCGTTCGTCTTCGTTGCCCTCTTTTCGTTTGGTTTCTCTCTCTAAAGTGTAAATAGTTTCTCTCTCTAAATTCGTGAACTATTCGCTCTCGGAAACTAGTGGGCTTTGGGACATGCAGACTACGTAGAGGAGGGAGGCCTTTTTGCTATATTTCAGTCAGTTTGGGCCTTTTTCACCGTGAACATATCGTTTTTTGGTTTTTTTTTTTAACTTTTATTTTAATCTCCTTTTCCTTTAGAAAATTGAAATTGTTAAATTATTGGAGTTGTACTATTTAAAAAAAACAAAAAATAAGGAAAAATAACTAAAAATACCACCATTGAATGTCAATACTAATTGCTGAATTCAATCTTTATTTTGACATAATTCCTCAACAACTCTTCCTTTCTAATGTGCTTATAAGAATACCTCCGAGTATAATTTATTTTTAATTTAAGTGGTGGTTAATTTCAAATTTGAAATTATTTTCATTTTGCACCCCCAAAAATTCTTTAATGAAAATATTTTAATTTTCTTTTCTGATTGAACATTTTTCTTGATTTGATTTTAAAGCGTTTGAACATTAGTTCTAAAAAAAATAAAAAATAAAAGGTGCCGACGTGTGAATCAATGTTACAACAATACAATAATTTCATAGGAGAAGGGCACAGTGGATGTGTATTCTTCAGCTTCACTTTTCACTCATCCCATCAACGATTTTTCCCAAAACCAACTTCCAACAGCTCCATTTCTCCGACTGCTGTAGTCCAGAGAGAACCAGCCAATCGGAAAATCCTCAGGAGGTGTTCCCGGCTGGCCGGCAGGGGTGAGCTGACACATTCATATATGGAGTCCCAACATCGCCGACAACAAAGTAGATTGTCAAAATGAGAAATGCATTCCGATTAATTGAATCACCAAGCATCTTTTATGTTTTACTCGATGAATTGTTACTCAAAAGATGCAAGCAAATTTCTGATCTCTTTGGCATGTTTAGTCATTCCGGCCAATGAATAAGCTTTTACCATCGTCCTGTAGGTGACCTTATCAGGCTTGCATCCGTTCCTCTCCATCATTTCCAAAACGCCTTTTATCTCTGTGAAGCATTCCATCATCCCATAAGCATCCACTAGGCAGTTAAAAAACACAGTATCGAGTGTCACATCTGAGTTCTCAATAAGTCTCAGAACTCTGCTAATTTTTTCGGCTTTACCCGCCTCACCATATGCCCTAACAAGTGAACAAAGAGTAACACAGTTTGGTTTTATCCCCTCAGACTGCATCAGCCTGAACAAAAATTCCATTTGCTTCAGATCGCCAGCCCTGCCAAATGCATCTATAACGATATTGTAAGTCACAAGCGTCCACCTGAAGAGATATTTCTGCATGTATTCCATCACCGCACTCATTTTCTCATAGTTTTCTGATTTCGCATATGAATCCAAAAGTATGTTAAATGTCTTGATATTTGGTTCGATCCCAGAACTCTGGAACTTCTCATAGCACTTCTCCATCATTTCAATTTGCCCACTCCCACCAAAGGCTCTCAATGTAGAATTCATGGTCCACACGTCAGGCTTGCAGTTCTTCTGCCTGAGCATTTCTATGAGTGTCGACTCCATCTCCACGAACCTTTACAAGATAATAATGTATTGCACTAGTTATTTTACTACAAACACAATAATACATCAGCTTCCATGAAAATAACTCAAGATTAACAGTGAAAACTCTGATCACTGTGGTTATTATATATTAGATGTGATGCAATCAAACAAGAGGAACCAATATATTGGACCAAAAAATTTGCAATAGACTAAAACAAGTCCAGTTTCCGTCCGTTCACATACAAAAGCATTCTCGCAGAGAAACTAAGAGAAGAAACAAATTGGATGAATTACCTTTTGGCTTTTCCATAGGCATCAATGAGGGTGTTATATGTGACTGTGTTGGGCCTGATCCCCTGTGATGCCATGTCATCGAGCAGAGCTTCTACTTTGTTAAAGTCAAAAACCTCCACAACTGATTTTATGAGTATGGAGTATGTGAAGACATCTGGTTGACAGTGGGGAGTGTATTTCATCTCTTCAAGGAGAGAAAATGCTTTCTCGAAGTTGCCACTCCGGCTGTAAGCGGATAAAAGAGCAGTATAAGCTTCAGTATTCACAACACAGCCTTCTTCAATCATCAGTTGAAACAATGAGCTAGCTTTTTCAGGTTGCTTACATTTTCCAAGCATGACCATCAGTTTGATATACATTGCAGCACTAGGCTTGTACCAAATCTGCTCCCGGAGTAGTTCAAAAACCTGAAAGTACAGGTCAACATATTGAAGTTCACACCCACTAAATTAAACAATTTCCACTAATAATCAATCGTTGGATTTCTCTTTGTAAATAGCCTGAAAACAACATAGTAAAATAGCATGTAACATTTGTAGGGCCAAAGAAAAAGGTTTCTCAAGCAACACAACCAAATAGAGATGTTGCGATTAAGCAACATGACATCCTAAAAGCTGTGATACAGTATCCATATTCCATATGCAAGGATGATTCATATACGCATATTAAACCAAGTGTGAGCAGAGAGACAGCATAATTCTTTGTAAGAAAATTGTTAAGTCTCATTTAGCAACTAAAGACTAATTATGAGATAAGCCATAAGCATGCAAAGGATGCGCCTGTAATGGCTTACTAGGCAACCATCTTCAATTCCCAGATGGATACAGACAAAGTAAAATCAACAACACCAGCTATTCAAACTCTTAAGATATGCGTATGTCAAAAATCAACCTCCAAACCTCATCTCTCAGCCTCTTTACCTACTGTCTTTCTTATCCTAGTAATTCACCATGAATTTGCCCGTCTTTGCGCACTTTTAAGCATCCACATAAATGCTTAACCATTTATCAAAAAAAAAAAAGCAAGACTAATGCATCAATTTAAATTTGCTTCATCTGTAATGCATGCTAATCAAAACATTGAAAACCCAAAAGTAAAACATGAAATGATTCTCACATTAGAAAGGTACCTTAAGAGCAGATTCCCAACGAAGGGCAGTGATGCGTTCATGAAGGGCTTCAAGAACAGTTCTAGGCAATAGCTTCTTAGAATTTCCCTTTTTCTTCTCAATCACCGCTTTTGTGGCTTCCCTTCTCAGTATAATTGATACTGCTTTCTGGGATGCTATTTTCCTGTTCGTTTCCTCTTTTATCTCTTTTGTTTCTTTCTTCTTCAGCTTCGCCGAGTCCACTTTTCTGGTAACCCTCTCCGGTGATGTCACGGCGTGTGTTCTTTCAGGCCATGGTGCCGGTGGATGTGCAGAAGCAGATATAGGAGGGCAAGGGAATGAGCCGACGGGATTAATCCTGGAACGCGGGCGGCGAGGTGGGGGAAACGGCTTGGTGGTTCCCCGGAGGGATATCACCAACATCAGCTCCAATCTTCCAGTTTAGATAGTTCGAATTAGTGAGACCGTCGTCAGTTTTATAAAGCCGAAACCTCTCAGATTGATTTTTTTTTGTTTTCCTGATTCCATTTTAGCATTTTCTTTGTGGAGGTTGGAAAGTTTTGGCGAAATTATCCAATTGCTCCCCGCAATTCTAATATACGTCTTATATTTTCTTTTGTGTCCTTTATTTTGCAAAAGTTTTAATTCAGACATAAACCTTTGCAGTTATTTACCACTTTTGTTCCGAAGACAATAATTTATTACTATCTCCATTTTTTTTTATCTTTCGCTTTAGGATGTGCACAGATATTAAGAAAAAAATGATTGATAATTTTATTTTTAAACATAATACATTTATTGTCCCGATTAAAAGTATTTGAACTCTACAAAAATTTTAAATATAAGTAAAAGAATAGTTATTGTCATTAATATATGTTATTAAAAGTAGAGAGAGATAAGGTGAAATTAGAAAAAAATTTATTTAATGTTGCATTGAGAATGAAGTGCGACAGATAAAAAAAAATATCGAATTCACCCTAAAACGAAAGATTAAAAAATGGGAGATAGTATGTTATTGATTTGCTTCTTTTTCTGGGGACGAAAGAAATACAATTAAGAACTTATTCAAAAGTACTAGTCAAACCGAGAGACATTTATTTTAAAACTACAATAAAGTTTAGGAAGATGGATAGCTACAATTGTTTGGAAAGATAATTAAAATGATGTCACAATGGTTATACAAGCAGGGGAGAGATAGTTTTCATACATATTGGCCGGTGATGTCAAGAATTTGATTAATAGAAAATGAAATGAAAGAATTACACATATTTAGTGTGAGACAAAAGTTATTGTATTTTCTTGGATCTTTATGTTCGGGATTATATAACACTCCTACCAAAAGTCCGGTCACCACCACCAAGCCCCCCAGATCCGCCGCCCCCTCACCCAACCCTCAACTCCCTTCCACCCAAACCATTCTCATCGAACCTCCCCTCTCCCCCCCCCCCTCCCCCTTCTTCAAATAACACTACCATCTCCCCCATCCACTATTGGTGGATAGGGGAGGACAAGTTTTTTTAAATTTTAAATTTTTGTTCTCTTTTTTGATTTTTTGTGTTAGGGTATAGTGTTTTCGTAGTCGATTCTTGAAATTACCTCCAGATCTGGCGATAATGGAAAGAATACTGGAGTACCGTTCTTAATCACTAGTCGGGGAGTATTCAAGAGGCACACAAGAAGTTTGGAATGCTGCTGGAAGGAAGACTCATGTTCATGAGGATGGAAGACTGCTGTAGAAATGTAATTTGTCGTTTGTACTTTTGCGCTTTTTTCTGTATTTTCTTTCATTTCGTTTCATAGTCTTGCCTCTTAGAAAATTAGGTACTAGTGATTTTACTCATTGGTTTGATTACCGTAAGGAAGTGTAACCAGGTAGACTCCTTATGTCATTTGACATAGGTGTGATGTAGTAGGCTGTGTTTGTTTTTAGATGAAATAAAGTCCTTGTGAGTTTTGAGGCTTACTCACGAGGTTAAGGGCTTTGTTTTTACCAAAAGGTTGTAATAAGTAGGGGCATGAGTCTGTGTTTGGTGGTGTTTGTCTTGGTAGGTTGGGGTCATCCCTTCGTGGGCTTTGAGGCGAGCCCATGAGTTTTTTTTTTTTTTTTGTCCGAGCGATAATCATAATTTATATATAAAAAAAAAGGATAACCAAATAGTTATCCCCAAAACTTACAACCACAAATAGTGATAACTACCGCAACCTATGGTTATAATATAGATCTACCATAGATATCCATAGATATCAAATCTAGGCAGATCAGAGAAAGAAGAAAAAAAAACCAGCAAATCTAAAACAGAAGGGAAGAAATTGAAAGAAGATTACAAGGAGATTAAATAATCAATTGACCTAAAAACTACCCCAAATCTACAACTCGCACTCCTTTGCCATTCATGGTCTTCACGGGCTACCACATTAGATCTGCAGTAGTCTCTTCCTTCCTTGACACTTCTTTCTTTAAATCTTCATCTTCTTCATCAGATCTACTTGAAAACCTACATCTAGGGACATAAAAGGAAAAAAAAATCCTATGAAAGAGGAGCTAACTTCTAGATCGGAAGAAGATAAAAACCCAAAAAGGGTGGGAAAACACTCCTACATATAAGCGAGTATGGAAGGACGCTAATCTGCTAATATTTATTTTCTCTTTTTTCTTTTCTTGTTTTATATATACTGTCTCTTATTTCTGGGAGGAAAAAAATGTTCAGGATTATATAATCAGTTGTGACTGGTGTTTTTCCCGTAAGAAGTATAAATCTAAATTACATATACTTCGTGATCTTTATTGTAATCCAATGGTCCGATTAATCCACTTCACTATTATAGTCGTTATCATTTTTATTTCTACCGATGTATTTGTTATGAATTATCCTCGGGGATCAAAGATTTTAAACTTATAAATTTGATAACCACGCTGTCGAAAGTCAAGATCCTAACCGAAGCAATATTATGTGAACGAAGTACATAAGAACTGACAAAAAAGTGAAATGCTCTGATCGTGCGCATTCCCGCTTGGGCGTAGGTAGTGAAAAATCTGGGATCCATTGTAATGATATGTAAATTGCAAATTATCATTCACTTTCATCGTGACATTCCATAAACTATACTAATTGCACTTCTTTGTTCTTTCTTTCTTGGAAATGTTTGGACGTTCACTCATTTTTCATTTTCAACTCAATTTATTTTTTAAATACAAAATTCAATATAAAACTCCGTCTAAACAATTTTCTGATTTACATTTTAAAATCAAATTTGAAACATTTTGTTAGTGTAGTGAGCATTTTTTTAAAACTAAAAATAGTTCAATGACTAAATTCAAAACTTTATACATTTATTTCAGTTTGCTTCTAATAAAAAACCGAAGCCCAATTTATGATGGTTAGGAAAAAAAATTTTGGAATATATATTGAAATATCAAGTATGACAAATATCACTAAACAATCGAAAAGTGTCAATTTTAATCACTGTAAAAAAAAATTTCAAAAATGATCACTAAACAACGGAAAAGTGTCGATTTTGGTCACTGTAAAATATTAATTTTAGAAACTATTCTGTGATTTTAGTAATTATTTTAAAGTGACCAAAATCGATACTCTTCCGTTGTTTAATTTTTTAAATTCTTTTGCTACGGTGACTAAAATTGAAAATTTTCGATTGTTCAATGATATTTTTCGTACTTAATATTTTAATATATATTTCAAAAAACTTTTTTCTAACCACTATCTAAATATCTTTTTGATAAAATTACTATCTAAACAATTTTTTCATCTCACATTATATTTTTCATTTAAAACACTTTCTACATTCAAGTAAAAACTAAAAACTAAACTAACTTCCAAACAAACACTTAATCTTTAATGTTGAAGGCTTGAAGCATTCCACCTCTATCAGTCTATATAATTCCCAGTCATCGTCAATCTTGATACGAACGGAAAAGAAAATCAGCATTACATTTCTTAGGTCAACCGAGTGACGAAAGATAAGTGTGTAGTGGCACCAGACCATCATAACAGCAAAGATTTAGGCATTCGTAGTCGCCACAAAACATTGTTGTTTAGCTAACATTCTAGCAAATAATCGCTTCTTCGGTCTGAATTTTTCAAATTGATAATGTACATAAATTGAAATGGCTAATTAACTCGGAAGAGGAAAAGAGAAAGATGCATTGCAAATCAAATTTGTTGTACAAACAAGTTTTCCAAAGATACAACACCAAAATTGACTCAAAAAGCACCACGACTTCATAAAATCCAGAAACCCCCAATTTGGTCAAAGATCATCAATCCTTTCCCAGTGGCTAAAATTCCTATAATCGACCAATATCAACACTAATTAAAGTACAATTTTATAAGCCACTGTTATTTCTTCTTAGTACCGTCTTTGTTAGACCCAGAATTGTTTTCGAGCCCAGCGGCTTGAGCTGCTTTCTTTGCTGCCTTTTCTTGGAGAGCCTTCGCATCCCTGTTTCCAAATCCCAACAAAAACTTAAGCCCGATTTAACAGAGACCCAACTTAAACCAATCAGGACCAAATCAGTTTATACAGAACACAAATTGAGTGAAGCTCTTTATTACCTCTGGCGTCGTTGTTCAGGGGTCAAACCATCATCTCTGGGCTGCTTCCCCTTGTGGTTGGCTCTGGCTTGAGCCCTTTCACGGTCTCGATCTCTCTGGTTTCCCCGTGAGCTTTTCAAGTCAAGGATCTTCAAATCTAAAAGATACCCAATAGCCACAAGAAAAAAACAGAGTTTGATTCATCTACCAAAAACAATTACCGCAAGTTCTTACCCACATTTTTAACAATCCAGCATTGATTAGGAAAGCCTCCTAAATTGTCTAATACAATATACAATTAAAAGACAAATTTTCTGGGTAATGAACCGTAAAATGAAAGAATTTTGGATGTAAAGAAACAGTCAGAACTACAAAAATGAACGCATATCGGAAGGATATGACTCATTCTCGTTCGTGTTTTGGAGTTATTGCAGATACCCGGACAGATATCGCCGCAATTGAAAGAACCTGACCACCGGAATTTTAAAAAAGAACCAATTTTGACACCAAATAAATTACTCACAGATTGAAAAGGGATTTCTGAAAAAGTAAAAACAGAGAACAAAAACATTAATGATTAGGAGAATGAGAAGATCTTACCTGGGAGACGGAGAGGAGGAGGAAAAAGGAGGAGAATCTGGGGAAGTGATTGTGGCCTGTGTTGAATAATGCGGTGGTGATGGGGACAAAAATGAGTTGGCCTTAAAATTTATATAAATGCAGGGGAAATTAGAAGCATCCAGAAGCCGCGAACTTTCCTATTTTTCTCCCTTTTAATAATCGGGAATTTCAACTGGAGTGATTAGGACGGTGCGTTATTACTAAGCTACCATTTACCTCTTTACGATTCAAGATTTATACATCTCATCAAAAAAAAAAAAAAAAATTACTCCATAAATAAATAAATTCTGCCAAACTAGCTATGTAGTTTCCCACACTACAAAGAGTTATCTATCTAACCCAAGGTCAAGGCCCGGAAGCATTCCAAATACGATTTCTGTAAATAATAATACTAATAAAAAAAAAGAATA